CCCCAGCGGAAGAAGAAAAGAACGCTGGCATTCCGTTCTCACAAAGGAAACTAGAACATATCGGTTATGTCACCATGCAACTCGGTCGTGTCCCAGGCGAACAAGCACCTACCATACCGGACTTGGGCTTCAACATGATTGAGCGTTATCACGGGAAAGGGTATGCGACCGAAGCTGCACAAGGTCTGATCGCCTACTTCAACGAGGAGAAGGGCGTAAAAGAGATTGCAGGTCTGACTGACCCCGACAATGAAGAAGCGCAAAAATTATTTAGAAGATTGCGTTTCAGGAACCATGGGGTGAGGAGCGTAAAGGGTGTTCGGTGGTCAGGTGAGGAACTCGATGTGGATGTTTGGACCTTTGGATTGGAAGATGGTAGAAAGCTGGAGGACTTTGGGCTCTAATTCAATCCAAATGTTTCACATTATATCGTCTTCTATCTGTCTTGGACTTGACTCGAAGATCGAGGAGACGCGTGTGTCCCAGCTTCAACCTTAGAACCACCAATCTTCCCATCGAGTGATGGGCTTCCTGCCTCAGTATCAACCTCAACCCCTTCCAAATACTCAAAGCCGGTTATAATTCGTGGAATGAGTGTCTCCTCAGCCGGGAAGAACAGGTTGCAAAAGTAGTACAAGAATATGGACAAAAAGAACCCATAAAGCCAATTGAACGTGAAGAGGTTCTGTAAGCCAGCTGAAAGCTTCAAATTTGGGTTCACTTTGTTGGCCAATCCTGGTAGTAGAGGGATGATGGTGACGAATGTGGCAACCACAGCGCGCCAGTTTGTACCATAGCGACCATATCGGTAGATACCTCGTGGATCATACAAAGCAGGCACGTCGTACCTTCTGTGCTTGACTAACCAGTAGTCGGTAAACAGGATACCTGCCATGGGTGCCATGAAGATGGCGTATGCGCTCATGAAGTTTAGGAACGCTTTTCCAGAAGCCACGATAATCCAAGGGCATAGCGCCCAGCCACCAACGAAAGCCACAAGAACGGAGCCGCGGCGCACGTTGATGTACTTCGGTGCGAGTGTCGTGACGTCGTTAGCAAAAGAAACGGCGTTTGCACTAATGTTAACGCTGAGTTGGCCGAGTAACCAAATCGAAGCGCAGAAGAAAGCTGCTGCACGACCACCAGAAGTGTCCATCCAGGTATCGATGATTTGCAGTGGTGTCCAATAAGCCGTGCCCCAGATTTCCTGGGCGGCCGATGCGGAGACAATCCCCATAAGAGCGACCATGGTCTTGAAGAACGGAATCACCGGCATCTGCCAGTATTGTGCTTTAGGATCTTTGCTGAAGCGTGAGAAGTCAGGAATGTTGACAGCGAGAGTGCTGTATCCACCAGTGATGCTAGTCATGCTTGATAGCCAGAGCCAAGCTCTCTCAGCACCATGTACTGAAGCCGGACGCGTGAAAAACGTCCCATTGCCGCCTGCTTTGACAGCAACCCACACAGTCATTCCAATAGCCACCGGCGGCAACAATACAGTCTTTACCCAGAACATGTATTGTAGCCTATGTGTTGGAATGAGAAGAAACGGAAACTGGATGAGCCAATACAAGAAGTATGAAATCATTCCAGCTGTGGTAAGACCAACGGATGCGGGTAGGTGATTTGGGACATCCCGGAAGCTTGGCCAGATAGCATTCAATATCTGAGAAGGCAAGTCAGATTATGTCCTATACATCGTAGCTTGCCTAAAAACGTACCGCAGTGACACATGTACCTCCATTGGCGGTTTGTACGCCGAACCAAAACATGGCTAGGATACCTCTACTCACGACGGCAAAGTAACTGAACCAGTATCCAAAGCTGGCACGAGATGCGATAGGAAATGGGACATGTAGATTCGAGCCGATGGCGCCATTGAGCACTGTCGGCAGGGCGTTGCATATGCCCGCCACAAGCGTTATAAGCACAGCGTCAGTCGCCGTCAAACCTGCCACTGTCAGTATGATATTCGCAGAATTCGACACAGAGAAGGTATGAGCGCTTACCCAAGGTGAAAATGGCAGATCCTGAGCTCCAGGTCGATATCGTGACAAGGTCACTGAACCAGTATGTTACGAAGGCACTTTTACCCCATGTGCGTTTTTCTGGAGGCACCGGCTCCATGTCCGCGTTAGTCCATACATCAGGTGGTGCGATGCTACTGTTCTGTTTGGGAAGCCGCCAGCTCGATGGTTGTGTCACCCGGAGCTTGACCTTCTCTTTTGCCGCATGGCTGCGATTGCGCAGGTTGACTGGTGTCAGCATGATGATGAAGCTGCGTAGATTCAACACATCGTCTGACAGCACAACACCCTATTTGAACCCTGAGACGTTTGCGCTACATACTTGAATCAGTGTTCAAGATAGATAGGCATGCTTACGTTCCGTCGCACTGGGGAGAAGATGGGGTAGCCTAGACTGGCCTTATCATCCGAGTCAACATGATTGGACCGACAGGCATCGCTATCGAAGATTGCGCATCCCTTGTACAGCTCGCTATCGTGTTACTGCATCCGATGAAAGGTGTTCCGGTTGTACTGAGACTCGTTGGGATGATATGCAAGTGTACGCCACCTGGATAGGGTGGTGCAGCCGAACCTCGGCCGGTGTCGCGCAAGGTAGCTCACGCTTATCATCTCTCCCATCCCCAACATCTCGCATCCTCCGTGCTTATCATTCGGACATTTCAGCTCTCTGGCACCATGGCGACAACCACATTCGCTCCGAACCTATCATTCAGTCTTGCATTGGCATGTCGGCTCAACCGCGAAGTCGGCTGACTTGCACAGCTTGCGCAAGGAGGAAAGTCAAATGCAGCAAGACGGTACCCTGTGACAACTGCGTCAGAAGAGGCCAACAAGATACCTGTGGCGTCGACAACTTCCATCGCGATATAAGCCCTCTACCACAATCTTCGGAGTCAAGAACCCATGAGCTTGACTATCTGCGACAGCGAGTCGCACAGCTCGAAAGCGAGACGAGTCAGCAAAGCTCCATGGATGTTAGGACCCCGCCATGTAGCCTGCAACCCGACACACCACAACGTGGACTTGTTGATGTGTCCGCTGATGAGCCCGACGACTCGGCCGTCTCGAGAGATGCTGCGACAGTGTTAGAGTTTCTGGCTTGGGGAAGACGGAAAGACCCCGACTGCCACACTGTCGCCTCTCTTGAACCCGCCGATGATGCACCCCCTGGAGCTGGGTCGGGTATACTAGAGGACTTGTCGCAACTTCCAGTGCTTCAACTTTTACTTCCGAGTTCAGACCAAGTGCAAGAGTTAGTTGATTATCATCGCGACTGTCTGCTGTGGTATCACGGCAGCTACTTCGCGCCCACTTTCCAGGCACAACTTCGCGACTTCTACGACAAGCACGACGGACTCATAGATCAGGCTTCTGTAGATCTCCAGTGGGTGGCTCTATTGTTCTCCGTGCTCACTGCGAGTCTCGTTTGCGTACCTGATGTACGTGCGCAATCATGGGGCTTCGATCAGATTGAACGACAAAAGCTATCGCGGCGATGGTACCAGGCTATATCCATCTGTCTTAATCGCGCAGACTACACGAGCAATCTGAGCATTCTATCGTGTCAAGCCATCGCCACGGCAACTGCTTCTGCTCATCTCCTGGGATTCAGCACGAAGCAGAGCATCCATCTTGCCACCGCCGTTCGCATTGCACAGTCTTTGGGCATCCATCGTTTGGGACCAGATGCCAGTGGAAGCGATGTAGCAAAAGAAACTGGTCGCCGGGTATGGTGTCAGCTCTGCAGCCAAGACTGGTTCAGCATACCTTTCTCGGAGAGCTATCTCGTCAGCCCCAGGTACTCGACATCTGCACCGCCTTCGAATAGTCACGATCATAATTTGCTTGCAGTAGATCCTGACGTACCTACTATCACTAGCTACTCTCGATTTCTGCGCGACATCGCAATAATCATGCCCCAGCTCCAAGATGGCCTTATCTCATCTAATACTCCCTACACTCGTTATGAGAAAGTTCTGCATTGGGATGCACGACTTCGCGGATTAGCTACTCGCGAAAGGCCATTGTTCATGAAGAATACACCCTTAGATCCAACCTGGCCAGAGTGGGTACCTTGGGCGCGACGTGCTCTAGCCATCACCTCAAGTCACAAGATCATCATGATTCATCGCTCTTTTCTACTAGACAGTTTTGCCAACCCCGCCTTTGCATTTACCCGTCGAACATGTCTAGCAGCCTCGAAAACGATCATCAAAGAGTACAAGTGCCTCATTGGCGAAGATGGCCCTACTTTATGGATTCATCAAGCATTCGCCGTCGCTGCATCCATCACCTTGTTACTCGACGTACTCCATCGCGATCTACATGACAATGAGGGTTACGAGCACCGCGAACTCGCTCAAGATGTAATGCAGATCCTTCAACGGCGCCCAGAGAGCATGATCGCTATGAGAGGTAGCAAACTTCTTGAAGCTCTGATTGGCCAAACGTCTCAGGACGCTCTAGCTCAGCGAGGGAGGAAACGAAACAGAGACGGTACATCTGTCACCAGATTCGACGTTTCGGCATTGGTGAAAGACTTTTATCAGGCGAATAGCAGCAACAGAAACTCTCCGCCAGAAAATACGGCGACATCGCCTTCTTCGATCGAGCCGCGTTCCACATACCACTCGCAGCAGTGTGATTCGCTCACCGCAGGTTTTGGGCAACTAGAAGCCAGCTTTTCGTTATCAGCTTCTGGTTTAGGAGGTACCAACTATTTCGATGATCTCTTATATCTAGCAAATCACGACTTTGCAGGCACGTAATTTACTGCTAGTACCCGCTCGTTGTGGTATACATTTTCCCAGCGTATTGTAGAATGAAAGTTATACCGCATGCTACTTCTTCTGATCATTTGCACAAGTACGCAGCGTTTATCACTTTATTCAGCCATGGCTTCGAATAGCAGTTGTACCGCTCTCTCAACGCCAGTAAGGTCCTCCAATATCGGCTGATGTCCACTTTGAACAACAACTACGCAGCTCCTTCCACCCACCAGTGAACTGAGATCGTTCGATCGCTCCACTGGGCTGATCATGTCCTTGTCTCCAGCCACGAAGACAATAGGGCAGGTAATATCTTTGTATTCTGGGTCAGTGTGACTAGTAGCTACGATAGCTTCACATGTCTGCGCATAAGCTTCAGGATTTGAAGAGCTGACATCAGTTCGTACAGCTTCTCTCGTAGCTGGGTTTACCTTTCGGAACTGACTATAAGTTTATCGTCAGCAAGTTACTAACCATCCACGGGATTTTAAGCTATGCATACGTGTCTTCGTAAAAGTTGGACTTGGCTGCGGCAGCCGCCGCATAGTCGATGCCTTCCTTCCTCACCGTGGCCGCAAGGTCAAGCATGCGTTGCCGGACCGCGGGTATATGACCTGCCGCTCTACCAGGACCGATGAGCGTGAGGCCTCTAACGATTTGGGGATACCTTGCGGCAAAGTGCAAAGCAACAATGGCACCGAGGGAGTGTCCGATGATGACGACCCCGGATGAAGCTGGGTTGCTCGAAGTTCCTTGTAAAGATGTGACGAGATCGCCCAAGTCGGCGACATGGCCTTCTATAGAAAGTGGTCTTGCGGATTCTGTCAATGGCGTCTTTCCGAAGCCAGGGAAATCGACGAGAACGACGCTGTGGGTCTGGGGCAAAGAGGACACAAGTGGCAAGAAGGTCTCAGTTGAGCCACCCAACCCATGTAGGCAGATTAGAAGCGGGCCAGAAGGATTACCGCCCTGCAAATGATGTGTCTTCGTACCAGAAGCTGTGGTGAAGTATGAAGATGTGAGATTGGGGGCGACCATATTGGAAGTATGGGAGTAATGTTACAGGCTATGATTGAAGACCTCGCAGCTGTACAAATATAACAATAGAAATTTTGTACGAATTGATTCTTCAACAATGGAACCGCTCCGTGGTTCTCTTGCTGTGCTTGGAGGTTTGCAGATGTGGATACTCGGCCGAGATCCCGAACTTGGCTGATCGGATCCCGAGGTGGTATCAATCCACCCAATACGCGATCGTCGCCTCGGGGTGGATAATATGCAGACATACCCATGGCGGGTAGCTAAGACGTATCTGCTTAGACTACACTGAGTATTTCATACAACCAACCATAATCTCCAGACTATCTAAGGGTCTTCTTGGTCGCAGTCTGGATATCCTAACACGCATTTCCTGTATAGTAACTCGACACAATGGTCGTCACAGCAGTCATAACTGAGGAATCTAAATATCTGCATCTCAAAGCAGAGAAGCCTATTCTCGATCTCCCGCACGCCGATGAATCTACAGGACGCGTTGTCCCCATCAACCACGCGGAAGGCAGCCAAGTAGACTTCGGCGCAGAAATCTACGGCATCGACTTGAACAACTTTACAGATGCAGACTTCGCGTTTGTTTCCGAAGCTCTGCACAAATGGAAATTGCTGGTGTTCAAGGAGCAACCACAGATGCTGAGGCCACAGCAGCAATATTTGCTGACTGCAAAGTGAGTCGTCCACATTTACTAGACCTGACCGTGCTGACTCAACATCAGCTTCGACCGCGAGGAGACTACCGGTGGCTTTGCGCACGGTCATGACCCTTTCCTTACCCACCACAACGGCGTCGACTTCTATGGTATTCCCAAGCGTCCAGCGATCCCAGTGCAGCCACAAGTTCATATCCTTGGTCGTGGGCCCGTTCCAGAAGGCCACTTCGGTTTCCCACCCGGCTTCGAAGTCCAGGGTATTGACCACGAAGAGTTTCATCTTCCACCGCACATACCAGCGCAAGAACGCGAAGCTGGAGCTTCACGTTTCTACCAATGGCACTTTGACGGGTCTTTGTACGACATCCCTCCTCCACGTGTAGGCTGCCTTCTGGCTGTTCGTACTCCCAAGGGTCCAGATGTGACTCTGCGATGGGAGGATGAGGCAGGTACTCAAATGAAGATGGCACCAGGAGCCACGGCAATGGTCGCCGGTAGCCGTGCGCTGGCTCTACTCGACGAAGAGACCCGGAACATCGCGATGAATAGCAGAATCGAATACGCACCACACGCTTTCGTGTGGATGTCCAAAGCGCACAGCACCCGCCTTGGACATTCCATCGAGACTGAAGGACTTGAGATGCCGCTGGACAAACTTCCCAAGTGGGACAAAAGTAAAGTGTGTACCTATCCAATGGTATGGACAAACCCGAAAACTGGTGAGAAGTCGCTGCAAGTTCATGGTCAAGGTGCCTTTAAGCTGTACCTCAAGAGTAGCCCAAATGGGTCAGAAACAATTGTGGAGGACTTGAAAGAAGTCAGGGCGTTCCTTGATAAGATCATGCGGCCGGCATTGCAGCCTGAGAACATTTATGCTCATCCGCATAAGGAGCAGGATGTCATCCTCTGGTATAACCGGGCGCTATGGCATAGCATCACCGAGTTTCCGAAGTCGTATGGGCCGCGCGTGATGCATCAGTGCAACATAGCCGCCAGTGATCATCCTTCGGGTTGACGGGGGAGCTACCAAAGTGTGTATGTGGAAGGAGAGAGTTACTTAGTTCTCTGAAGTATGAAACAATACAAGTGGTCCTTATTGAGATTCGCGTCTTAAGATGATTCCTTGAAGACGTCCAGGTATGACTGTGAACAATACCTAGTGTCGATGACGTATGGCAAGTCATGCCACAACCACTAACTCCCCAGCCACCCTATGCGTCCATCTTCAAATGTTCCCTACAGCACGGTTCTGCAAGCATTCTTACTGCAGCTTCTTCCAAGCCACGCAACAGGATAGTGATGTCATCATTTCGACATGACTACGGCTACTTTGCAAGGCACCCGTAGCGCGTCCGCACCGTGAAGAACGCGTCGCGTCGCGTCGTGTCGGCCTCGTAGATCTTCCCTCGTACAACACACCGAGGGAAGACATTGCAAATCCTCTGCCACATCTGTCATTACTCTCCCACGCGAAAAGGACTTATCAGGCGTGCATCAGCAATGTGTCGCAAGGCCCGTAACGATTGATGTTATTGCCGAATGCCATTGGCTACTGCCTTCGACTCCAATGATAATGTAACCACGATCAATTCACCATATCAGGCATCACGAGGAAGACGGCCGAGCACGGCAAGGTTCACGAGTTCTGGTTTCGGCCGAGATGCGGTAGCTGATAAGATAACATGCTAGCAACTCCTAGCAGAAGGTTCCCCTCACGTTCGGCAATGCATCAACATAGTATCAAGAACATTATGGACAGGGCTGCGATAAGATTCGAGCTCTCTGTCGGTGATGCGGGGACGACGTTCGAGTAAGAGTGGGTAAGCGGAGATAACTCTAGACTTCAGCATATATGCAGTACAGTAGTCATGCACCTAAGGACCATATTTGCAGACGTGTATGACATCTGGCTTCGCATTTTCACCACTTGAACTTTCGCTTCTTCTCTTCAAGGCTTCTCAAAGGAGACCATATCGGAGGAAGATAGCTGGTCACCAAACTTCACGACATCGACAGAGAATCATGGCGCCTGGTATACTAGCCCCTGAGCCGACCTTCACGGTCAAGGAGATGGTGAAAAGTACCAAGGAGAAGCACAACTTTGGAGCAGTTATTGACGATCTCGACCTTGATAACATCAGTGGTGAGTACAACACCGACCCGATGATGAAGTGTTGTGAACTGACGCTCTGTTGTAGACTCCGACGTGAAGGCACTATCTGATGCGATCTGGACCCATAAGCTGGTGGTTGTCAAGGGCCAGAAGGATCTCGCACCCATTAAACAATGGGAGCTTGTCACACGCTTCGATCCTAAAGCACCTCACGTGCACTCCCACGGTGATGTGAAGACCTTCCACAAGCAGGGCGGCTTACTTTCGGTATGAAAACCTCCATCCTAGAGTATGCGTCATACTGATTTGCCTCCAGAAAGGACGTGATGTTGTCGGTATACCTGGTGCAGAAAACGTTCGTCTAATCGGCAAGGGCTACCAGGGAGCAGACCACTACGGTATCAAAGACACGACGATCAAGAAGGAAATCGCACATGCATGGCATGACAAACCGCTTTCAGCAGAAGAATATGCCCAAGGCCATACACGCTTCCAGAGGTGGCATATCGATGCACCACTATATGCCCGCGATCCAGCCTGGTTCACAACGCTCCGCTGCATCAAGCGACCCACATCCCCTGAACTGACCATACATTGGGATGACGGCAGTGGTTTGACCATGACCACCGAACCTGGTCTGACCGCCTTCTTCAGCAACGTCCAGACATACAACATGATGACAGAGCAAGAAAAGAAGATTGCTGATCACTCATGGGTCGAGTACGCACCTCATCCTTACCAGTGGATGGGTGACTGCAAAGCCCGATCGCACGGCCTAGGCGTAGTAAGCCAAGGTAAAGAGAAATTATTGGAAGACCTTGGCCCTTACGATGAGAAAGATATCAAGCGCTACCCAATGGTATGGGTCAACCCCGTAACCGGCGAACGAGCCTTTATGGTTCATGGTATCTGCGTCCGGCGAGCTTTTGTTCGCTCCAGCGAAGACGAGGAACCGACTATCATCGATCATGTAGCTGAGATAAGGGAGTGGCTAAAGCCAATTCAGGAACGCGTTCTCAAGCCTGAGTATATCATGCTACCGAAGGTGGAGGAGGGTGACATCATCATGTGGGCGAACTATCAAATGTTTCATACTGCGGTTGATTACCCAGATCATTGGGGTGCGAGGACAATGCATCAGGCTAACATTGGTGCCAGTAGTGGGCCAGTTGGACCGGTGATTGTTCCTGGTGTTGCGTAGGAGAAGGCATTACAAGGACATTTCACAGCGAGTATAAAGTTCGAGAACATGGCCAACGTACTTCCATTAGTTTCTTCTTAATGTCACGACTACGACAAAGAAAATTTTGCTTACACGTAGCTAACATGAGTTGGTCCTAGATCAGGTGGTACGAATGCCTTGCATTCTTCCTTTTTTGGCCCATCCGTATTTTCATTACACGACTTTGCTGCATCTGTATTGTTCTTGGACGAAGCGTCTTCGGCAGCGCTCGAGACACATTGCAGAGGGACGGCCTCAGCAAAACATCGAATCAAGTTTTGCTTGAGTGGTCCACAGACCGTTTTCAGCATCCGTATGTTAAGCGTCCGTGAAAAGCGCGTCTCTCAGCCTTATTCGCTACCCATCCAAGGATTCTCAACTGAAGTTGCGGTAGGATGGACAATGATCTCGTCAATCTTCCATCTTTAAGTCCGCATACCCCACGGCTTCAATGTTTCGAGTTTTGTTTCCGATCGAATGTCGAATGCGGCAGCTACTCGCACAAGGCATTGCCGCTATCATAGCTGCATCGTTGTCTCGTTGAACAAACGGCTGTTTTGCTACAGCTGACGTAGAACACAAGCAATCCACTCCTGGTTGATACGCAATGCCGATGTCGATGCACTTCATTGCGGTTCCGGTGCAGGTGAGACCGTGATACGACTAATATTCAGGTCTTTGACTTCTGCGGACGAAGATGCTCAACGAAGCGTCTGGTTGCCATTTGGCCATGCCTCTTTGCTAGCAGAAGGGCTCGCTTGTACTGGGTCACTCCATGGCTTTCGAAAACGAGACCAAGATCTACCTTCCAGTGTACCAAGAGAAACAGCATGTCACATCGACCCCATGAGACTGCAGCCTCGAATGCAGTCAGACCATGCCCTTCTGCTGGTGGATGGTTGACGTTCGCACCATGTTCAAGTAGAAGGGTTGCGATGCCTACATGGCCGCTCATAGCAGCAAGCTGCAAAGGGGTGCCACCGGAGTAGCACGGAGTGCTGTCTACGGGAACTCCATAGTCCAGCAAATGGCGTACCACTTCAAAGTTGCCGACTTCTGAGGCTCTCTGTAACGGAGTTCGCAAAAGGCCTTGTTGTGGAGGATGGTCGCTTGCTGCACCAGTGGCTAGCAGCTGTTGCACCATAGTGAGATCGCCCATATCGATCGCTGCTAGAAGAGGCGTTGCTCGGTGTAGTTCTGAACCACCGGGTGAGTCCCAGGCCTTCTCTTGACATACAAGTGCATTCGGATTCGCTCCATGGCTAAGCAGCATTCCCACCGCCTCGCGATCTCTTCGGATGATGGCTTCGCCCAAAGGACTAAGAAGTGTAGGTGTATGGCTGTCATTCTCATTGAGTTCTTTCCCAGTCACCTCAGTCCTCCTCCTGAGCAAAAAGTCCACCAAGTAGTCGTCGCCTTGCTTCGCTGCAAGAGACAGTAGAGATGGCAGAGTTTTACCATCCAGAGCGCCCTCGGTGCGACAGGCAAACGATTCCATATCCAATCCGCTGTCCAGCAACCAGTCAAGCAGAACAAATTCCTCCTCATGAATGGCATAATAGCTGAGAGCGCGAAGTACGATGCGCCGCTCTAGTGAACTGTGAAGCTGCATCAGTCCTAAGAACAATCGTTCATCCGCTCGGAATGCCTGTTTTCGAAAGAGCATATCTTCCAGTGGGGTATAATTTCCTTCGTCGCTTGCCGCCATAGTCGCCGAGAGCCACTCAATATCAGTCTCTATTAGCAAACTGATAGCGCCAAAACTGCCATGCTGCAGCAGTGTCAGGAACCTGTGATAATTGGTGGCATCATCGCATCCGAAGAGGATGATGGCTACACTTATTTCATGGTGATGGAGTTCTATCGCATACTCCAACGCATGATCCCAGTCGCGTGATCTGTACCAGGTTGAATATCTATGCTTACGTGCAAAAGACGTGTTGTTTTCCATGACTGCTTGGCGAAGTTTATCCACCCACTCAGCCTCAGCATAACTGTTATCCTCTATGTGTAACCCATGTTTCAACTTGGCGTCTCGTGGAAGAATCTCTTGATCTTCGTCGCTGTCTTCTTTCTTGACTGGGGGGTCGTACCTTCGTATCCATATGTCGACGAGATCCCATCTCTTACGGTGACAATAATCCATAACGATGCCACTCAAGGCACTATTCACATTGGGATATGCGAGAAAGATGTTTTCTTGCAAACAGCCTTCTAGTAAGGTGGTTGCAGCTGTAGTGCGGAACATCAATAGAGCTGCACGGAGAGATTTCGCCAAAGCCAGCTCAACCGAGGCATCCTTTCCAGGCACCCAATCTGCTTTCTTGCGGAAGACGAAGTCGCAGATTCTACTTGCAAGTAAAGCACTCGAGTTGTCACTTGTAAGTAAAGTGCTCGAGCTGCTACTTGCAAGTAAAGCGCTCGATCTGCTACTGTTCCACATGCATTGCTCCAAAAGACTGCTTCTGAGGAAGCTTCTAAGGCCTCCCGCAATCGCAGAGAATATTGCTTCAAAGCCGGCGTCTGTCGCCTCGTGTAAGGCCAAAGTGAAGCATCTAACGTTAGGAGTCGCACCTCCAGACAACAGCATACATGTCAGATTCCTCCACTCTAGATGGTATCTTGGATGTTGGTAACCTTCGTAGGAACGATGAGTCGTTTCTTGTACATCGCGCAGTAGCCTATCCAACTCCTTCCGTGTTGCGGTCCGTATCATACTCGATAGATGTGTGGCGGCCATGTCGAACTGGCGATATTTCAGCGCTCGTTGAAGCGGTGTCATTGCACCAGATCCATCATCTTCTCCCGTCGCGATAGCTTCACGTTGACGTAAGCCCAAGCCCACCATTACTTCCATTGTGCGTTTATCGCCTGATTTCAACGCTTCGGCAAACACTCGCTCACGAAAGAAGTCTTGGGCTACGGACGGCAACGCATGAAAGATGCGAATCAACGTGGTAGAGCCAAGACTCCTGAGCCATTGGTGTATTTGCTGGAGGTGAGGGACGCCCGGAAGTGTCATATCGTTGAGAACTGCAGATATGATAATCTGCTGGCGACATGGGATGCTCTTGTCTTCCGTCTTAATTCCGATTCCGGTTCCGGTTCGAGACCCGTAGAACATCGCAGCATATGATATGCTCTTCGATGGATAGCTAGGCTGCTCTCGCCCGCGGAAAGGCATCACTTCTCCAAATAATTTCCAACCCAACGTTATGGTCCACGAAAATGGTCTCAGACGTATAGCGACTTCCTCCCACTGAGTTAGCGGAGCGTGACTAGAATGATGAGAGGCAATCGGTGTCCGCTGGAATGGAATTATCGTAATTTGAGAGCACTGACGCGAGATCTCTGATTTTTTCAGTCGACTAACAGGGGCCAGTTTGGGTCGTGAAGAGATCGCTTCGTAGTCCGTTGGTTGCAGAGGTGCGAGGTGATCTCTTAGACATACAGATTCCGGAGCTACTTCGAGTCAATATGGGGTTTCATGTGTTTGAGCCAATAACTACCTATATCTGGGCTGGCTGATCGTTCTATGATTCCTCGACGGACTGTTTCCCTCTCAATACGTCTCTGGTCTACGCTTTTCCCGTTGAGTTCCACAAGAACGTCTTTACCCAAGCGCGCATACTTGCACTTGGCGTCTACGATAAAGTCCATGTCCTTTCTCTTGATATTCTTTCGGAAGCCCCAAAGTCTGAAACGGTGCTCGTACTGCGCCTTACTGAACGGTGTCAGATCAAGTATCAAAACATGGGAAACTTACCTACCTCGCCTGGAATTGGTGCAGCCTAGCCATGGTGTCTAGAACTCCATCTTCGCCTTCGAGCGGCCTACCCTCGTGCAGATACAAAACTTCGATCGCATGACGGTGTTCTTCCCAAGTCGTCTTGGAGATCTTGGCCGACCGGTTCGTAAGCCTCATGTCGATATGTAATCTGGAGACAGTCCGCAGTGAAGACAAGGAAACGGAGGAAGGTCAGTTGTGGAAGCAGCTGTGGTTTAGATAAACAGGCTGAGACCACCATCACTGCCACGTTCGTTTTCAACACTCGCTACTAGCACGAATGATAGAGATCAAACTCAGATGACCCTGGCCTGTGATCACGCTGATTGGTGCTCGACTTTAGCGCAGTTATCGCCATCTTGCATGCAACCAATCATGCGAAATCTGAAACTTCCATTTTAGGTATGTGTTGGAGGCTATGCCGTTACAAAATCTGACTTTTGTATTGCATAAGATGCGGTAAGGGAAGGGTTGGATGGACGCTTATCCTATATACTCGATCAGAATCATCACGCTATCAATGAACAGCGAAGCTATCATCGCGCTCATCACTCTGGTAGCCACGTGCATACCACTCTTGCTCTTAGCTCGGCAGTACATTATACACAGAAAGAACGGTTACCCCAACCAGATTGGTAAGTGTGCGATGTCACACCTGTGGGTGTCCAGTTATTGACGAGATGCAGACACGGAAATGGGGTTGGTGCAGTTGAGCCCACGGACTTTTCATGCTCGGATCGATTCTATAGTACAAATCACTACGTCAACATGTTGTACCATTCAAGAAGAACCATGAATATATGCTTCGCTTTGGGAACGGACAAGTGTGTATTAGGCAGGACAGAGCGATGATGCGAAAGAGCCTTGCCATCAGATATCTAGCCAGGAGGAAACTGAGAGTCGTAAGCGGAGAGCTTTGCTGTATTTCATCTTAGGCGTGCTGCTCTTATATAAGCTGGCTCCTTTGAGGATTTTTAGTTCTAATTCTATGTTTGCTGTTGGCAAGGTCAAAATAGCATTTCACAAAGCGTTAGAGTGTACACGTTTCTCAATACATACGTTATGATATCAGCACAGGACTGTGTCAACCTTGGTCGCGTTCTTCTGATGGCAAAAAGATGGCAAAAAAGAAGGTACTGGACGCTGTGGGAATTGAACCCACGACCTTTCACAAGTACGCATGTTTGATGATGCGAAGCGACTGAGGAAGAATGTTAGGATGTTGAACGATGATGAGCGGAAGTTTGGTGGTGTCTTACAAATCATACCCCTGAGAGCGTTGTTAGTTTTGTTGTTGTGGAAGTTGGATTCAGTGGCAGCTTACCTAGACCAAGCGCCCTAGTGAGGATTGATGGCAAATTTGTCGAGTGTTCAATATTGATTCTCGGCATTATCACACAGGAAGCGTAAGTATAGGCAGTCGATGGTGCAACGTGGGAAATGGCATGTCGAAATTCTTTGGCGGGGTCGGATTACAAGAGTTGCTGTGGGCAAGGTTAGCATGGCGGGGCAGTGGGCAGCGAATGAATACGGGAATGCAAGCCTTCGCTAACACTGTTCCTAGTTGCATACTTCGTGTAAGCAGAACAGGAATCTTGCTAGTCTCTAAATAACGAAGATGCATATGTTCTAGATGATGTGTGGCCTGTAAGGCCTTACAATGCGAGTGGCATACGCATCAATTATCAGGTTGTCTCACCTCAAGATCTAAGGCACGGGATAAGTAGACTTTAAGGCAGAAGAGTACGAGACGGGTTTCAACAAGCACAAATAGTGCATCTCCCTGTAAACATACAGTCGTAAATATCAGCCACGCAAGCAAGACACAAGGACAGCACAAAACATTGTTACATGAACATTATCATTCGTTTATTCATTCATCCTCAAGACAGCCTAATGATTTTACATAGGTCCTATGTCCGAGTCCTGGCTTATGATAGCCATATCGAAAGGAAGGTATCGCAAACTTCAACATTTCCTTATCCTCGTTTAGACCTTCTTAGAAGTAGTCTCCTCAGCGTGCTTCTCCAGAGTGTGCTGGGGGTTTGAGCTCAGGCTGTCCTTGGTGTTGTCGCTGGCCTTCTCAGCGCCCTCCTTGGGGCCGGCGCCTTGCTGGTTGACGTTGTCGGAGGTCTGGCCGGATTGCGCACCGGATTGGCGCTCGGGCTCGGGGGACTGGCGGCCGGCGTTGGGGGCAGACATTGTGATGGGTGGTGGGTATGTGAGTTGTTTTGGTGGCTGGAATGGGATGTTAGTAGATGAACGTTTAGTCGTATGGAAGTAGTTGGGAAGTGGGTTCCGAGGTGGCTGGCTAGCTAGCTAGCTGAGAGCTTTAGGATAAACGTACAGTTGAGTAGGTGTAGTTGTAGTCTGTTCGTCGATTAGCCAACACCCATGAAACTTCACGTCAAGAATTGAAACATACCTGTAGTAGAGCTTGTGAAAAGATGTGAGAGTGTCGATGGAGTTGTCCTCCGAAGCTGCCCCTCTGCCTCTTTTCATGCGCGAAGCTGCCCCACTAGGCCTGACGTCACATAGCGAAACGCGCTTGAATCGGGCAACATCGACGTCAACTTTCAATCAAACAGCGCGCAAGGGCCCATCGCGGGCTCGCGGGCCAGAGGATGGATGCTTAGCAAGCGCGTGTGGTGCTTGCTAACAGGTTCGTTTGTGGTTCATGCAGCGATGCCCGGCCGGTGGCTGTTATCACTCAACGCGTTGGGCGCGCCTCTTTCCCCATAGGCTTCGCCGAGCTGTCCGGACATCTCGGTGGGTGTGCCGAGAGTGCGAGATGTTTATACAGCGTTGTATGAAATTGTGATTAATGCATTTATGTTATCATGAGTTAATGATTGCGTGCTTCGCTTCGCAAATCTATCAGGCATTCTTGCCCATCTCTATATCGGCATCACCACCATCACCGTCGTCATCCCATTCTCCTCCCTTGAGTCGTTTACCCAGCCAAAGACCCAACACTGTAGCTGCACTGGCAGTCAAGAACCAGCCCTCGAACCATCTCTCCGTGAAACCTGGTTCTAATGGCGCACCCAATGCATCACCGATTTTGCTCTTCATCTCAGGAGGCAAATTGCTCCTAAGGAGTAACGCTGAACTGATCACATAGGTCGCTGTAATTTGTGAGATGATAAGGGCGAAATTCGTTCTAGCGTGATGCAGAAGACCAGGTACTACTCTAGCGAAGAGATAGAAGGTCTGGAGGACACTGTTGAATGATAATAGTAGCATCACGCCAGACAGGAGGAAGGAGATGGTGCGGCTCCAGGCAACTCGGTCAATGGTTGGATCCCAATGCTTCGCTAGTAGGGCGAGGACGTTGTTGATAGGATCGTTGCTTGCGAAGCTCGCATTCGGAGATGAGAAGCGACGCAGGGTAGTGACAGTGGTCGCAATGACGCGGTACGCACAGTATATAGCGAAAATGTACGAGACGATGTTGAACAGCTTCCCGTTGGCAGTATGTGAGCGCAGTTGATTTTGTCGACGGTTTTGGAGCACCGTCAGGGAGTTCTGAAGTGTATGGCGCATAGTCTCGAGGCCCTGTATCTCAAGCTGTAGAGTATTTCGCTCCTGGACGTCAGGGTTTCCGCGAATCGATCCTACTACGCGACCCATGAAGCCCTGCTGAGGGTTGTCCGCAAGTTTTCGTTCGACGGCACGAAGTCGGCTCTCTTTTGCCAGAAGCATGTCGTTTGTAGCTTGTATGCCGGCTTGCTTTCGACCGATATCCGATTCGGTGACCTGTACCAGATTAGTATATGTCAAAGGCGCCCCACACTACTAAGACGGAATTCGCGGGCTTACTGGGCGGTATTTGACGCCGAACGTGTGCCAGAGGGCAGATATGGCAGCGAATCCGGCGAGTGAGGCCATCAGACTGATGCCGATTATGCCAATTCTTTCCAGACAGCCCTCGCTAAATGTATGATCATGCTCATATGATTCTTCATGAAGATATGAGCCCAGTAGCCCTCGCCCAAGATACCAAAACCCTGCTAGCCATACTGCCAATCCACAAAGCTCCAATGCCCATGCTGCTCTGCGTCGACTCTTCTGCTCACCATTAATGTTCAAGCCCGTCCCTGATATGATCGAGTGGATCTCGAAAGCTGGTGTTGCGATGACGAGAAGGAAGAGCAAGGAAGGTAGCGTGATCTTGAGGGCTAGTGTTCGTGTGGCGCGGTTTACGGTGTTGGAGATTTCGCAGAGGATGAGTTCGGCCAATACAGCTGAAAGAGCAAAGTTGGTCGAGAAGATGATGCTTGCGAGCGATCGCGCATTTGGGCGTAGGCGGTTCAAAATCGAGGTCCTTTCGCGCTGGATCGATCCAGGCAGCCGCGGACCGTCATGATGCGCTTTGCGATCCGCATTGCCAGACAAGATGGGGAAGAGCCTCTGCGACACGACAAAAGCGACAACCAAGAAGGTAAGAATGAAAGGTAGCGCCGATACGGCCACTTTCATCGGACTCCGGTGCAAGGCATAGTCCGGCATGCACTCGTCGCAGTCGTCTTGGAGAATCGGGAACATCGGATCGGCGGTTCAGGTGGTCGGGAGCTAATGCGAGGTTGCTTGGTATTGCCAGTTCGTCCTGGTTATGGGAGAGGTGCGTATATCCATCGATTACGCGGCACGGTATGGATACGTTGACACATTGAGGTCCTGTGAATGTGTAAGGTTACGCAAGTGAGGCAATGAGGGACCGCCGAGGCTGGGGAACCGTAGGGGACGCGCATGCATGTCGTGGCGCCACAGCCACATGAAACGACGTCACGCCGATCAAACCGGGGTCTGGCAACAGCTTCCGAAACACCACAATTTACCGTCTTTAGGGCTGATGCGGGGAGCCTGATATCTTGGGTATTAATGCTAACACTACGCGCCTTCCGAGTCTTTCTGCGCCGAAGACGTGTCTTCGGACTTCTTCTGTGCTCCACTGGTGAGACTGTCCATGTAGGACATTGACGTATTTCCACCACCTGCATCTCCTTCGCCAAGGTTTAATTTCTCCGTTGCGCCTGTAACTTTATCCACAGCGGAGATCCCTGAAGTTGATACCCCGCCTTGGTCGTCCTCGTCCTCGCTGCTAGATTGACTACTGAGCTCAGGACTGTCTAAGTTTTGTAGATGTGGACTCTTCATCATAGGACCAGGACTTCGGGGATCATCTCCAACCAATGTACTAGTACCGGTGTCCAGTTCATCCTCGCTGCTGTCTGGCGCTTGTTCCACCTGTGCCAGAGGATGCGTGTCCGCTGCAGGTTTGGGTGCGGTCGCTGCGCCTCCAACGATCGCTGCCTCGTCCTCGTTCGCGAAGAAGCTGTTGCGAGGACTGTTGAATTCAGGAAGGCTTTCGCTCTTCGCGAGGATTTCTCTGTAGCCTTGGCGATCTGGATCATTTGTGCGCTTGCTCTTTGCTTTGTCGCGTTTCGATGTGGGACGGACAACGATGACAGGTACTGGTGAATGCTGGAGACAGTACTTGGACACACTACCCGGAAGTAATCCCTGGAATCCACCTAAGCTCTTGCCTCGAGTTCCGACCACAAGAATTGCGGGTTCGTAGAGATTGATCTGGACGGTCATTAGAGAGAAATACAGTTAATCCATGATCAAACTCACCATGTCATCGATAACTTTGTTAACCTTGCCAATTGAAAATTCCAATATGAGGTTGATCGCCTTGTTGTCGTGATTCCGGCTCTGTATGTCGGCCATGGTATGCTCTGCCTCTGAACGATATCGCCCAGTCTCTACGCTTCGCTCTCCGGCTATTGCATCTTCCTTCTCCACCACTCTGAGGCATACTATCTCATCCCCGTCGTCGACCAGCTCGTTTATGAGCCATTGCAGAGCATATACTGAGTACTCGTTCTCGTCGAAGCCACATAGGAACGTCCGCGAACGCTTGGTGTACTCGTAGTCTTTGTGTTTGGCGATCAATGTAAAAGAGCTCTCCTCGATGAAGTCTGCAGGCTTGTCGAAAGTGTCGAAAGATACACGAGGTTGGAAAACGCTAGACGGCGATGTCAGCATGTGGTTTCACGACTTTGCAATCACCAGAGTGAGACGCCGCCAGATCGAGTGCTTCCTCTGCATTCTCCAACATACTGGGAGCATACTTCGCCATTTTTACTCGCCATGAGCACTTGGACAGAAACATGCAGGAGCAAAGATGCGCAAGCACTCGGGTATACGGGAAGCGCATGACATATGGTAAACCAGTACTTACGGTGGAGGCGGCGGTGACGACAATCGACGTCGTTCACGGGGCCTGGGGGCGCCTCTGGGTAGCGACGAATTTCTGTGTGCCAAAAACTGGATTGAAGGCTGCCTTATCTTGTCTTGCGCGAGGTGTCCGCCAGTCGGGAGCTGCAGCGGGCTCACTTTGTAAGATGCTGAGGACTTGCGAGGCGCTGGAGACGCATGCCGGCCGTCCCTCGACGTGGGGGACGCGCTCATAGTGATGTCGGAGTGAGATTACGGGCACGAGGTCCTGCACCAAGTCCAATCAGGCGAGCGGAGTGTCAGTGAGGTCCGACCGCGAGAAACTTGCTGGCGTGGGCTTGCGCAGGCGATCGGTGCTGCTGTGCGTCGTGGGCAGGGTCCTTGGCGCGGGGAATTAGCTGCTCGCGGGGTAAATGGGCGATTAAGGATGGCGGTGGGGAATGTTGTAGCAGTCTCTGCAGAGGTCGTGTGAGAGGAGTGAAGGATCGGGTCAAAGTTTGGTAGTCGTTAATGCACTGCCTGTTCCGGGTGACGGCATGCTTGGCTTCTTGGTGGTGTGTCGCGCGATCCGCATCCATCGTGTTCAGACCCTGGCGTACCGCGGAACGCGCCGCTGGATGCGTTGACACATGTGAATGGAATGACATCAGATGAGGTGCCAATCTCGGGTGTCGCTGTAAAGCAGAATCAAAGATTGGGATTGAGTCGATTCGAGAAGACCTTCACGACGAAAGATAAGAACAATTGTCACAAGGGGCGGAATGCATGCATGTCATTATTCCCGTTAAGTCCAAGTCTAAATGTCTAACAAGAAATGGGTGCAGGATGAGGCATTTCTCAAGCCAAAGCCTTGAGCTCACCCTGAGTAAGCTTCGCAGCACCAATGAGACGCTGGGCCTCCTCCTGGAAGATCGCCTTGATCTTGCCGGCGTCCTTCTCACCGTTGAGCTTGCTAGTGATGGCAGCCAGTTCCTCGTTGTCCATCTTGACAATGAGAAGATCGACGTCGTTGAGAGCGGCGTCGACTTGGGAAGCGGGCGCATCGCCGGCACCGTGGAAGTAGTTGGCGTCCTTGACAGCACCACGGACAACACGCTTGTTCTTCTTGGCTGCGTTCTTCGCAGCCTCCTTCGCCTTCTTGTTGTCAGCCTTTGCGGCCTTTTCGGCAGCCTCCTTCTCAGCGGCAGCCTTGGCCTCCTCAGCCTTCTTCTTCTCGGCCTCTTCCTTTGCGGCCTTCTCAGCAGCCTCCTTTTCGAGACGGCGCTTGTTCTTCTGCGCGCTCTCTGCTTGACGGAACTTCTTGATACGCTCGTCAAGAGCCAGAGCATCGTCCACCATGTGCCTCAGACGAGCGGTGTCCTCAGTCTTCTTCTTGCGACGTGCAGCCTGGTTCTTGCGTTCGACGTGACGCTTCTGGTCACGGTTCTCGTTATCATCCGGAACATCCTCATCGAGGTACTCAAAGGTCCTCCAGCTGTCGAAGTTGTACCAGAAGTTGTAGAAGTGCTCGACCTCCTCCTTGCTGCTGTTGGCATTGCCAAGCTTGGGCACAGGCTGGTTGTTCGAGAAACGTCCCTCGGCCTCGAAGACCTTGCCCCAAAGCTTGTAGAAGTTGCCCTTTTGCGTCTCCTTCTTGGATGGTGGCTCAACCTCAGCACCCTCGTCGACGGAGTCGAACTGCCTCCTCCTGACGGGGTCGGACAGAACTTCGTGGGCCTTTTGGATGCACTTGAAAAATTGATCGTCCTCGGTTGCGCCCTTGGCAGCCTTCTTGTCGGGGTGATGCTTAAGCACCTTCCTGCGGTGGGCGCGCTTGATCTGTTCGTCGGTGGCACGCCATCGGTAGCGGGTTATGCCGAGCACAGCGTAGTGGTCTTGAGACTGGGGAAAAATCAGTAAAACTTCACGGTATGCTTGGTGCTATCGTCCTTACCTTCCAGTCCTTGGCCTCACGCTGCAACATGACCGGGTCCTCAGGCTCGTCAATATCATCGGGATCCTCCTCCTCGACGCTCTTGACGTTGGCCTGGGCCTGGATGCGGTCATCCTCGGAGAAAGTACGCTTGTTGCGCTTCTGCAGACAAATCGTCAGTACTGCATGTATTGTTGAGTCGTTTCTGGAATATAACGTACTCTGCGGGCATAGGCGAGGAAGTGTGGGCCAACAGGCTCGATCTTGCGGTCGTTTGCCTCGCTCAGCTGGCCGATGGCCTTGAAGTCTTTCTCGCCAGCCCAGCCCTCAGGCAGGACCGGCAGCGGTAGGGAAATCTCGACGTTTGCCATTGCGCAAGAGTGTCGTTGTCGTGGTGGGGGACACAGGCTGCGTGAGAAAAAGTGAGGATTCCCGCCGCACTAGCTTACCGAACCGTGATGCTAGCGCCGTGACCCCCGATAGCGATCCATGTCACTTAGCCGCGACGGACCCCAGAACGTGTCAGAATAGTGTTTGTCTCCCATGCTTCGGTGTCTGATATTCCATTAACCAAGTTTGTTACTTGTCTTCTTGCATGTCTTGTTATACGTCTTCATAATTCAGCATCATCATGTTCCAGGTACCTCAACTCCTTCTAGGCTGCACCCCAGGAAAGCTAACGAGAGATACAGCGCCTTCGCGGAGCCATCGACGCCAGAATAGCAGAAGAGCAAGCGCGCCAGAAAGCCACCACGCCGACGACACCTGCGCGATCCAGCTCAACAACCCGGCGGTCCAATTCGCGGAACCTCTCGCCCTCGAAGCGAACAGCGAGATCGAAAGATGCCGACAGCAGCAAGACGGCCCCGGCAGGGAAGGGCCCTGACCCCTCAGAGTTTGACCCCGAGTTCGTCATAGGAGAGGAAGAAGATCAGCCGAGTCGAGCCGGCACACCGCGACCTAAGGAGAAGGCGCAGCCCGCAGAAGCCAGTGCTGAGAATGGCGAGGGCAAGAAGGAGGAGACAGAGGGACCGACTGCTGAAGTACAAGAGAAGCCAGAACAGCCACCGGAGATACCACCAGAGGCCAAATTGCGGTTGCGCAGATTAGACAAACTTGAGCCCAAGTATACTGGTTGGTGATGTCTCGTGTTTGTATGCGCCAAGCTAATTCCCTTACCAGAGCTCCTCCGGTCGTACCGCATCGCACACGCCAGAGTGGGCGCAATCGAGGCCTTTGAAAGCTCCCTCCGCGAATACACGCCTCTCACCTCCATCAGCGACACTGGCGCATTTGTCGAATACCTAGGCCAACTTAACGTCAAGAGTGATATGCTCATGGAGGAACTCAAGCGGGTGTCCAAAGAACGCGACGAGCTCAACAAAAAGCTCGAGGATGCAGAGAAACGCGCAAAGGAGGCCACAGACGAGGTGGAGACTCTAAAGTCACAGGCGTCGGCAACCAACGACGCTGCACAGGATGACTCTACCACACAGACTGAATCCGTCGCACCTTCATCCCCTTCCAAAGCGTCCAAGCAGACCGAGACCACCGAAGAGACCGAAGACTTCTTCTCGTACGATAGCGAACTGCCTCGCTTGCAGTCCCAGCTACAAGAGAGCGAAGAGAAGATCGGAAAGCTCGAAGAGGAGAACAAGTCGCTCAAGAACGAGCTTTCCACGGCGCAAGAGTCCGCTCAGTCGTTTATGCAAAATTTAGAGACTACTACAAACGATCTAAACACGTTCAAGGATACGCATCAAAGGCTATCAAAGGACGCCGATGATCGTGAGAAAGAGCTCAACAACACAATCGCTGATCTCAAGTCAAAAGTTGACAGTGCCGAAGGAGAGCTCCAGAAACACAAGGATACGCATGACCAAAGTGAAAAGACCATCGCCGAGCTCAAGGCTAAGCTCGATTCAACGGCCAAAGAACTCGATGATCTACATGCAGATAAGGGAGAGAAGATTGTGGAAAACGATCAGGTGCAAGAGCTTCAACGGCGAATCGAAGAGCTCCAGGGTGAACTTTCTCAACTGCGCGAAACACACGCCAAGGCCGAGAAGCGGAACGAGACCATGGACGGGCTGCTCAGCAAAGTGCGCGAACAACTCAAGACTACAGAGACGAAGCGTGACAGTGCCTTGGCTGACCTCGAACAAGCAAAGAAAGACTTGCAGAAAGCCAATGACGAGAAGAAGACGACCAAACCAGAACCGGTCCAACTACCACAAGCAACTCCTGCTCAAGCTCCCCAAAGCGCAGCGGCAAAGAAGAGGGCTCGTAACAAGAAGAACAAGAAGGGAGGAAACGGGCCCGCGGCTAGCGGAGCGTTGACGCCCGAAGCAACCCCTAGTGAAGCTGGAGACACTGAAGGACTACTCAGCCCTCGTGATGCAGAGTTCACACCATCACAACTTGAGGATGCTTTGAAGAACGTTGCACAACTGAAGTCTGATCTGGAAGAGAAGGCTGCAGCAATCGACGCACTGCAGACTGAGGTGGCTGAGAAGGCATCATCTATCGACCTGCTCAAAAAGAAGGCCAAGGACCAGGAAGATATGCAGGAAGAGATCGACACTTTGCGTCAGGATCTTCTTGATTACGGCCTTGAGCATACTGAGGCTAAGGACAAGGTCAAGACGTTGCAAGCCGAAAAGGCGGCACTTCAGGAGAACCTGAGCAAGCTGGAGGCTGAGATCGCCGAACTGAAGACTAGCAAAGCGTCTCAGGAGTCATCGCAGCAAGAAAGAGAGGCACTGACGGCAGAGTTCACAGAGCTAAAGTCAAAAGCAGAAACTCTGCAGACTGATCTTTCGGTTGCAGAGAAGCTTGCTGCATCTCGCTTCAAAGACCTCACCGACATGAGAGAGGTGTTGCAAAAGGCGCAGCCTGAGCTTACGTCGTTGCGCAAGGAGGTGGCCGAGTTGCGCACTACCAGGGATGAGCTCACCAGCAAGACTACGGAAGTCCGACGATTGGAAAACCGCGAGAAAGATCTCAGGTCGGAAATCACCGAATACCGGTCCCAGCTATCAACCAAGGAAAGCGACATTAAAACTCTCAATGACAAGATCAAACAGGAAACCAGCCAAAGGCTTGCGCTGGAGGAGACGAACAGAAAGATTCAGCGAGACCTTCAAAACTCCGAGACGGCGCGGGAAGACGCCATCGAAGCCCGGAACAGGGTGGCGACAGAGTTGATGAAGGCACACGTCGACCTCAAAGCATCACGTGGGAAGGTGCAGGATCTGGAAGAAGAAGCCGCGAAGCTCACTCGCGAAGTGGGGAGCCTACGTGAAGAAATTCAGATGAAGTCAGCCCAATCTGCGAGCGCGCAAGACTTCGTGAGCAGCATGCAGGACCAGGTACAAGAGATGAGTACTCAGATGAAAGAAGTGCGCTCCCGAAGCGAGAGCCTGGAAGAGGAGCTTGCCGACGCGCATCGATTGCTAAGCGAACGCGGACGCGAAGCTGAGACGATGAGAAGGTTGTTGAATGACGCTCAAGGACGAGCTGAAACACGTGTGCGTGAGATGCAGGAGCGCCTCGACCTTGCAGTTGAGGAGCGCGAGCGTGCAGAGGAGCAAGCCAGCACATTCAGCCGCCGACGAGCCCGGGAGCTTGAGGAACTGAAGCAGAAGGTCCGCGACGCTGAACGTGCACAAGCGCGCGCTGTTGAGGACAAAGAAGACCTTGTGACTTCTGAAAGGGAGCTCCGCAAGCAGACAGAAGATCTCGAGAGGCGGGCCGCACAGGCTAGCGAAGAAGCTTCAGAAGTCAGGCTCGCCATGAGCCAACTTCGGGACGCACTTGATGAAAGCGAGAAGCAGGCTCACGAATTGGAAAAAGAAAAGAGCGATTTGCGACGGGCATTCGACGAGACCCAAGGCCGTCTGGAGAAGCTTCAAAAGTCTAGCAAGGTACGTTCTTCAGCGACGACTGACGTACAACATACTGATGAACAGCAGACAATGTCCGACGAGCTACGAACTTTGAAGACACGTGGCCCTGAGTCCGTTGCTCAATCCTCGAGATCCTCGATTGAGTCATCACGATCGCGCATAGCGTCACCGATACCAAAGGGCGGTGGAGCTGTTGCAGAAGCAATCGACTACGTGTACTTGAAGAACGTATTGTTACAGTTCCTCGAGCAACGTGACAAAAAGTACCAGCAACAACTCATCCCCGTACTGGGAATGCTCCTGCACTTCGACAAGAAGGACGAGCAGAAGTGGATGGCAGCGGTCTCGGCCAAGTAGCGGCTGGTGCGGCTCTCCGCAACCAGACATGCAGATGATGATTCCAGCATGACTTGCAGATCAGGTGTTAGCAGGTCGTAATGGAAGAGCGCGATGTGGAATGTAGGATATGGGATATTTATAGTTTTGCATAGCGATTTCTTCAAGGTCACGGTTTGGGCAAACATGTATGATATGGCGGTGGGGTTGCTGTGGCTCCTGCCTTGGGGGTTGGGCTGAGCAACAAGGCGCATGGCTCTTTCCGCAACAGGCGTATCTGTTTGACAATAATAACAAAGGTAGGAGAAGACGAAGGTACGATGATGCAATTCAGGGTTTCTTCAAGTGCTGTCAAGATGCGTGATGTTGACGTCCCACGTGTAATGTGACGGATCGGGTCGCGACAACAAGCATTGCTGGCAGCAAGCCTCCCTCATTGCTACCCGGGCCGATAGATGTAGGCAAGGAATTTGGTGCGCTAGACGAGCAAAGACGCAAGGCTTTTTGGGCAAAACTGGCTTCTGGGGAGGAACTAATGTGGTAGCAGGCGACTATTTGTAGGCGTCGACTGATGTCATAATTCGTCTCACCTGCTTCTTACCGCTTCCTCCGGCTTTGACGCGCATCCAGCCATCCGTCACCACCTCTATTACCATCCCAAGTCACAGCGAATTCTCCGAGAGGCGAGTCCAACTGAATTAATACCGCAGACCGCATCCCGCCCAGCGAGTCATCACCCGTGGTCGTTGCAGCACCTCGCATCCGTGCAATCCCCCACGTTAGCACCAATCAGGAGCCAGACATCGATAGGCTGGCGAGGGGAGCGCTAAGCCCGTCTCCAGCAATTGAAGAAATCGCGAGGCAGTGCGACGAGAGAGCCACACTGCCCTCATAATATATATTCAAGCCCATAGTCTGCCTCTGTCCATGAGCGCTGCCCAACGCGTCCCCAGCGCCTAACCGTACATCGCATCCCAGCAGCCCTCGAGCCTCAGGCCCGCCCACAGCCCAGCGCGTGGCGGGGAAAGCCACCATGAATGGCACCGACATGAAGAAGGCGGCCATCAACAAGGCGAAGCAGGTCGCGCAGGCGGCGAACAGCAACGGCGGAAAGAAGCGACGGAAGGGCCAGGACCTGAAGCCGATAATCACCACCGAGGGCCAGGGCAACCAGAACGCTTCGCCCGCTGGTTCGACGGGGTCCTTTCAGTACAAGTACGTTCACCACCACCACACCTCTGCTGCCACCGCCCAGAGCCCCCATCTTTCACCCGCCCACCCCAAACACTGCGCCACTTCTCCACTCATTTTAATGCGCGCGCACACATGCACCGCCCAAGACATGATCTGACTGCAGCAACCCTATACTAACTCCAACCCCGCAGTGTGCAGAACGCCAACTCGCCGCTCGCCCAGCACAAGATGTACGGAAACCAATTAAGCCACTCGCCCGACTCGTCGTCGTCGTCGGTCGATGAAGCCGAAAACACAGCCGACGAGGAGGACTCTGAGGACTACTGCAAGGGCGGCTACCACCCGGTCCAGGTGGGTGAGGAGTACAAGGACGGCAAGTACACAATTGTGCGCAAGCTTGGGTGGGGTCATTTCTCGACCGTCTGGCTGTCGAGGGATAACACCAACGGCAAGCACGTCGCCCTCAAAGTCGTGCGCTCCGCTGCGCATTACACAGAGACCGCGCTCGACGAGATCAAGCTCCTCAAGAAGGTAGTCGACGCGAACGAGAAACACCCCGGCCGGAAACATGTCGTCAGCCTACTCGATTCCTTCAACCACAAGGGCCCCAATGGTGTTCACGTCTGCATGGTTTTTGAAGTGCTAGGAGAGAATTTGTTGGGCCTGATCAAGAGGTGGAACCACCGGGGTATACCCATGCCTCTGGTCAAGCAGATCACAAAGCAAGTCTTGCTCGGCCTCGACTACCTCCACCGCGAGTGCGGCATCATCCACACCGATTTGAAGCCCGAGAATGTTCTCATCGAGATTGGCGACGTCGAACAAATCGTAAAGACATACGTAAAGGATGAACCAAAGAAGAAGGACAGTGAAGACAGCGTGAGGAACGGCAGGCGGAGACGGAGGACCCTCATCACGGGAAGTCAGCCGCTCCCTAGTCCGCTCAACGCGAGCTTCAACCACGCCGACATCTCTAGCTTCCCAGGCATGGGAGGTCCACAAAGCCTCAACAAGGTCATGAGCGAGGGTACAGGTAAAGACTCCCCCACGACTATTCCGAGTCCTCCTTCTTCATCAGACGGTGTCGTAATGAGTGGTGCTCTAGCAACTCCATCCGCTACTCCCAGCCTATCCATGGCAGAACGGCTCGGTATCAAGTCGTCTACCGAAGACGACGCGCAGAAGCAACGGGAAAAGTCCGCGTAAGTTGTGAAGTTATCCACGTTGGGAAGTGTACTAATTCCTTCAGCGATCTTCTTACCAAGGAGGTATCAGGCATCAGCCTCGACAAACCCAGCAGCTCGTCCGGCAAGACAGAGCTCGAGCAGCAAGTCGAAAACGCTTTTGAAACCATTTCAGTTAAGATTGCCGATCTTGGAAACGCCTGCTGGGTCGGCCACCACTTTACCAATGACATTCAGACTAGACAATATAGGTCACCAGAAGTTATCCTGGGTAGTAAATGGGGTGCTAGTACCGATGTCTGGAGTATGGCCGCAATGGTATGAGCGCTAATCAACACGAGAGACACGAGCTGACATCACTAGACATTCGAACTCATCACCGGCGACTACCTCTTTGACCCACAATCTGGCACAAAATACGGCAAAGACGATGACCACATCGCACAGATCATCGAACTCCTAGGCACCTTCCCGAAGGGTCTATGCATGTCGGGAAAATGGTCTCAGGAAATATTCAACCGCAAGGGCGAACTTCGAAACATTCACCGATTACGACACTGGGCTCTTCCCGACGTCCTTCACGAGAAGTATCATTTCAGCGCCGAGGAGAGTAAGAAGATTGCCGATTTCTTGTTACCCATGTTAGAGCTGTTGCCAGTGGACCGAGCAAATGCGGGTGGAATGGCAGGACATGACTTTTTGAAGGATACGAAGGGTATGGAGGGTATGGATCTGAATATCCCTGTCGGTAGTAAAGGGGAGGGGATTGAAGGGTGGGCTACGGAGATAAAGAAGACGCGGTAGATCTTGCCCTTCTTCATGAGCAGGTGAAGCTGAGTTGTAAAGGCATGAAGACTTACTGCACTGGTTAGCCTTTTTTGTATGAGCAAATGAAGTGTACCTTGCGCCTTTTTTTTTCTGGTCATGAGCGGTTGGAGTTGTCGATTGTCGCACTGGGGCGAATAACGGATTAGAAGAATTATGACTACGACTCAATGTACACTGCGCTTTCAGGTGCATGATGGTTCATAGACGGCATCTTACAAGTTTATGAGGTGGACTGCATTGGACCGGAGTCTCGTATCTGTATATCTCCGTATTACCTTTTCACATCGTCCGCCCGTCTCCTTTTCTAGTATGAGGCTATCTTGTTCAAACGCTGGCGGCCGCGTGCGGCGACACTCAGATTGGATAATTTGGTGCACAATCTTGTGGCAATGTCCAGATGCCTTTCGTATCTCGATGCTACAGTGCGCATGTATGGCGTCATTTTATTCGGATGTACGATTAAGCATGATCGTCAGTCTTGTGTTTGTATATTTGTACAAACCCAATATTTCCGTCTTCGTGTTCGCGAGCTAAAGTTAGCCACGACGAACAGCCACAGCTCATATTGGGATGGCTGGGATCAGCTAGTGGGGCGAGCGCTTCGTCATCGGCCCACGCGGCTTTAACACAGGCCTGACAATGGTACCTGACGCGGCCGTAGACGCGACCCTCTCGTTCCTGAACGACATTGGACGTGGGCCGTATCCACGGGTGCGGATGGTGATCAGGGATGCCGATGGCTATCGAAATGAATAAATGACCCACTTTGATGGGGCTGTGGTGGCTACCGAAGCGTCGATAACCTCCTCGTTCAAGCTTTCTGGGATTTGATTAAAGGTGTGGGTACGCGGCTCTTTTTTGATGCTTATCCTCATATCCAAGACTTCCTTTTTGTCTCATCGCTGAGTTGCTGTCGTTTCTGCTCTTTCTTACTTCCAGGGACATTCGTTTGGAGCGGTCGATCAACTTCGTACTGTTTAACTCTTTCATAATGCATTTCCCCAGCGTCTCCGTACTCCCTCTTTCTCTCATCCTCTCCGCAGCCATCCCCGCTCTTGCTCAAACATCCACATCATGTGATCCCACCAAGAAATCCTGCCCAGCGGATACCGCCCTCTCCTCGTCAACATACACACACGACTTCACCAAGGGTGCCGACGACGACAACTGGAAAGTTACCGCTGGTGACATTTCTTACACCAGCAAGGGCGCGGAATTCACAATCAACAAAGCTGGTGACGCACCAACGATCCAATCACAATGGTACATCTTCTTCGGCAGCGTGAGCTTCATCATGACAGCTGCGCCGGGTACGGGTGTGGTTAGCAGTGCGATTCTTGAGAGTGATGATTTGGATGAGATCGACTGGGAGTGGTTGGGTGGAGAGCCTGCGAATGTTCAGAGTAAGTTACTGTCTCTTTCTATCTCCCCTAATACGGGGTACTTATGCGGAAGGGGAGAGCGCTAACACATCCCCCTTATAGCAAACTACTTCGGAAAGGGAAACACAACAACCCACGACCGTGAAGCCGACGCCGCTGTCACTGACACCCAAGGCACAACCCACAACTACACCATCCACTGGACCTCTGACTCTACATCATGGCTCGTCGACGACAAAGTCGTCCGTACTCTCCAGTTCGCCGATGCAAACGGCGGTAGCAACTACCCTCAAACCCCCATGAACGTCCGTATTGGTATCTGGGCTGGAGGCGACCCAAACAACGCCGAGGGCACGATTGAATGGGCTGGAGGCGAGACAGACTACAGTAAAGCGCCTTACACCATGGTCTTGGAGAAGGTTGAGGTCAGGAACGAGAACCCTGGAAGCAGCTACTCGTACGGCGATATGACTGGTGGTTTTGAGAGCATTGTCACCGATGGAAAGGGTAGCAATGCGAAGAAGAGTGACACTGAAGAGGGAACAAAGTCTTCTTCTGCTTCCGGCTCTGCTACTGCTTCCGCTTCCGGTTCTGCTAGCCCATCAGCCACGGTCAATGTAGCTGGTGGTGTGGGTGGAGAGTGGGCTTCGGCTATTAGCAACAGCACTGGTGCATCAACCACTGCAAGCATGGCCACCTCGGCAAGTGCTACTGGAAGTGCTACTGGAAGCGCCGCGGCGGCTGAGAACACTAACTCTGGTGCTATGACGAGCAAAAGCTTGGGCGGAAGTCTTCTTGTTCTGGTCGGTGCGGTCATGGTAATGTTGTAGACTTAGACGGTAGTATTGATTAGACGGTCATATTTGGGGATACTCTTGTGACACTGAGCTGAGTGATGTTTTTATCTTATCATGTAAAGTGCTAGACATGTGAATGGAGTAATATACGCACATCATTGGGTGGTAATTCCACGTCAGGAACAGAAGCTTCATACCAATCACGTGTCAAGACAAAGAATAATTCTGGAGCCATTTTTATATTGCTAGCCTAGTAACTATGCAAAGCGTCCATCGTTTGTATGAGGACCACACTCTTCCCTTTTTCAACACCAAAGACTATCGATAGGTGAGCCGCACAGGTATGCAGGTGCGACCAGGCCAGGAAGTAGGTTGCGAAGCGATCGTTCCATTTCATACTGGAGGGCCGAAAGGCATTCGAAAACCTCCGTTTTCATCTAGGAGTATGATACGACCAGCCATACCGCGGAGTTCTAGATTCATGGTGTCTTCGGATGGATTTTCGAAGCTAGGCTCATCCTCAGCCTTGGAATTTTCGAGACTGAGCTTCATCTCTTCTCGGCACACCATGGAATTCATGAGAACATTGTTACCTTCCTTCTGTACGATCTTGCGGAGTATGGCGGCTGCCACTGGGAAGATGCTGGCATGATGTCGCGGATGCCCACCCAGATCGTAGAGCATATCCCCGATGACATCGTTCATTGATAGCCCTCCAGTGAACTTGGATACGGGATAGTCGAGCGGCGCGAAAGTAAGAGCGTATTTATGGATCTCCTGTAGTAGCCGGATACATCTAAGGTTTAGATCCATGACATCGAATGCGAAAGCAGACTCGTCTCTCTCGATTGCTAACTTGAAGATGCTGAGTTTCTCGAGAGAGGATAGCGGTTTGCGTGTATTATCAGGTTTGCCTTGAAAGTCGTTGACTAGACACTCTACCATGACAAGGATATCATTCTTCGCCTTGCTCATCCCCACAGGCTTCTTGCGTCGTGGCTCCCTGTCTGTACCTAGCTCGCAGCGCCGTGCATGATACTCGAGGCGACGGACCCCGCCAATGTTGCACTCTGTCTCTGCTTCTGAATTGCGGGACTTGTAATCCGCAGTGAACTTATGAGCAGAGAAGCCCAATATGAGGTTCACATGCTTTCCAAAAGTGGAACCTTGCTTCGGTCGCTTGCCCATGAACATCCAATCGCTACCTTGCCGCTCAATGAGCCAGTCCATGTCGGTCCACTGCCAGCCTTCTGGTAGATTCCCGGATCGCTGGACAGCATTGTAGAGGTGAGCTGAGACAATAATCTGTCCTTGATTGGATGCCATGTCGATGGCTGTCCTGTGATAATCATCGCGCATGTTCGCAGAGATCAAGCCACATAGCCCAGGATCGTGATTGAGTAACGAGAAACCACGGATGTTATCGAATGGTCGACTTGTTTGCTTTTCGCACTGATCGAACCCCTCCTGAACCAATGTATCATTGAGCAAGATTTCAATGAATTTCTTGCGTCTGACAATGTCTTCGCGAAATGTGACATGCGTAGCGCCAACTTTCTCAAGGCCTCCAACGTCGAGGTACGCTTTATAGCGTTCGATAAGCTGCTGCCCGGTCTTATCAAAGAGCATCTTGCCAAGATGCAGACATGACCCTAACTCTCTCTGCATGTCCCAAAATATTTGTAAGGAGAATACGATCCAACTATTCAGGTTTCGGTCGTACAGCACGTTATTCGCAGCCTTACGCACCATATAGCTATCAGGCATCGGCTCTTCATCTGGCGTCGATACAAACTGTGAAATGCACTTGAGGAATCTCCTCTCGTCGTTGGTAAGTCGACACTTTTCTTTTGTCTTTTCAAGCCAGAAGATCCCAATAACCAATTCGGTGGTATGCGTACACATCACAGTATCGGAACGTAGTATCTGCTTTCCTTCTTTGTAGGCAAAAGGGTCGCTATCATCATCGCCTGCATCGATGAAAGCTGGACCTTTCCCACCCTTGCTGTAGCTGCTATATATGAATTTAACGATCTCCAAGTGCATTTTCTGCGATCCAGAGTCTTTGAAGCGTGGATGGGCTTGCTCGAATTCGTTGCTCAGCTTTTCGATCATAGCTAGGGCGGCGTTCATAGTCAGCGCGGCGGCTTGGAGACCTATGTCGCCCTTCGCGAACTCACGCCAAGTTCGCCTAACAGCAAGTCTGAGATGTGTAGCGTCCTTGAGAAAGCAGTATATAGCGAAAGAAACGTCGGTTTCAGACGGCTCGAGCTTGTAAGAAACCTTTTGTGTGGCAGGCATGACTGGACTCTCGATGGCTTCTGGCATATCTTCCGTGTCTAAAGGCTCCTCGAACTTCAAGTGCTCGAACGCGTTGCTGGTATGTAGCGGTGTAGTTTTAACAGCCTTGAGTGGCTGGCGTTGGGTCTGCGACAGTTTCGACTTGATGATCTCCAAGACGTCCTCCAAAAGCTTGATGAAGTGTCTGTGGCCCGCATTGCTCTCCTTGACGGCGTCGTCTACTTGATCAGATATCATGGAGTACCAAACTGCACAATCTTTGCGACCCCGAATGACTGCACGCAAGGTTGTGAAGACCTCAGGTGGAACACACGTGCGCTTGTCAGCAGCAATAGCAGTCGCAAGAGCGAGGAACGACTTGGTCGTGATCTGACATGTGGCGGTAGCATTTTGCGTCAGTCCGGCTTTCTTTGCCTCTTTCCTAGTCGCTCCCTTCAGTCTGCCTCCGGTAGGCGGTACCACGTCTTGACGGCTGTCTTTGAACACATCATTGACAGTACCAGTTGCGCGGGCTGTCTCAGCTAGCCACTGGACGAAGTTGTTTGTGCCTTTCTTGTATTTGTGGTACGTATCGACGAGCAGAGGCGCGAGCCCCATTTTCAGCGATGTGGACGGCGCGTGAACGTGGGTATGGTGTGTTGCAGTCCTGTGGTATGTTGTTGGGTTTGAAGAGTTGGACGTAGCTGGACGAAGGCCTACCTCTGAGTCGAAGAAAAGCTAAACGATATTTGTTTATGAAGATCCGCGGTGAAGTTGAGACTGAAACTACCAAAAGCACTCTCACACAGATAATAGCGAAAGGACTAGACTAGAGGCATGTTTGACAGAACGTGGTAATAGACAGGTGCTGTACACAAACCAAAAGGAACCATCTTAAAGATTGCAATTCAAGGTCTCCCGAACCCAGCTCTTCAAGCCATGACCACATAGCTGCTGGGTCTAAGGCCATAGCCTTCGCGTGATCTTGTAAGGCTTTTCATTGCTGTACCACAGCTCGTCAGAGAGAACACGGTCAATGTCAACGATCGAAGCTAAGCACGCGTTACGGCCGAACGCAGTCTTGATACCCCAGTCGTTAACATATGTAACGTTCGATAAAGTGATAAAGTGATTGTGCTGGAGACATGCAATACAAGAAATCCGATGTTCGCGTTCGTTGGTAGTCTTTGAGCGCAAAGGCGATGACGACACGCGGTAGTAGCGCGATTGGCAAACGGCGCTAGGTAGAATGTGGCTGTTGCGGGTGCGATCTGGCTCCTGTAGCAGTCTTTGAGCATCACACACCTTCCTGTCCTGACGTTATTCAGCTACTACCCATACTACACCCAAAATTTTTACTGCTACTTAGAACCGATCAACTCTAATCACCCTCGTGTACTGCAGAGGAACTTGATGCTTGGGAAATGGCGGACGGGTTGCTTACGCGCAAAGATCCAGCCTTGCACAGCCCCACCCAGCGGATGAGCGTGATGTGTAGACAATCTTTCATTCTCTTCAACTCTTGTTCTCGAACTTCACATGAAGTCATCTAGTAGCTCCTGACGGTATCTATACTTTCTTATCTCTTCGGCATATCGCTCAATCATGACGGATCACGACCGGCATGGCTCCGTTGTCATACCCCGGCCGGAACGCGAATTGAAGCCGTTCGTCTACGCTCCCCTCGACCACCTGCAAGCTTCACTTCGATTGATTCGCGTCTCTGAGATGGAATCACCCGAAGGCTACATCCAGTGCGAGGTTCGCCATGCAACGATCAACACCCCCTACATATGTCTTTCGTATGTCTGGGGCGATGAAGAACAAAGACATACTATCATCCTTGACAAAAAAAACCTTTCGCATCCGGAGCAACCTTCATAGCTTCTTGATGACGGCAAGGCGAAAACGAAGGCTGTTGGAAAATTGGCTGTGGATCGATGCACTGTCGATCGACCAGACGAACGTTGAGGAGCGTAATCATCAAGTACAGCGAATGGGCCTTATCTTCTCTCGGGCCGAAGAAGTGCTATCATGGCTTGGAGATAGTCCTAACATTGCTGCATATCTACACAGGGCTGAGGATGCCTATATTCAAGGCGAAGGCTTTGATTCAGAATATCTTTACTCAGGAACCATCGAATATCATCAAAAAGTCGAGTTCCATCAATCTGAATATTGGAGGCGGGCTTAGATCACACAAGAAGTGGCGCTAGCACGTCAGGTCACAATATGCGCCAACCTTGCGGAGATGACTTTCGAGCGTTTTCCAACTACATATTACGACAGCCTACCGCCGGATCACGATTTGAGATCTGCACAAGGTATAGGGTTCAAAGGTCGAAGTCTTATCCACTTGATCAATTGGTTCAAGTCCAAGCACTCACACGAACGGCGAGACTGCATTTATTCCCTGCTCGCTCTATGTGGTGAGGGCTTCAATCTTCAGGTCGACTACAACAGCTCAGAGGTGAAACTAGCAGAAAAAACACTAGCGTGCTGCAAGCAGTCATTTTGCTTGTGTTCTATCAAGGTTGTTGGGTATGCGCTGGATATCGAAGAACACCGTTCCTGGGATTGTGTGGACCAAACCTTGGATCTATCCTCCGAAGCTTTCGCATATATGACCCTGCCTATCGTTCGAAGCGCTCCTCTTTCGTGGACACACTATGATGACCCAGACGACTATCAAACTTCTCGGGCAAATCTATGCGTCCGACACGCTGGTAGCGCTTGCTATCAACTTTCACGCGAGGAAGAAATGTGTGTCTTTCTTGACCCCAAAGGTGATGCTCTAGTCGTTATTTTCCCCAAACAGATTTGTCCATCCTCAGGTGCTGTACTTCTTGAGATTAGGACGAACATGAAATCCTCTCATTCCGTGCTGATTGCATGCGATTTGAATGGACGGAAAGTGAAGAGACGTCTGGTGAATGGTATCACTATCAGGCTTTTGGGCGATATTTGTCAGGTCTTTTTCTCATTTCAACTCTTGCTTATCTTTAATGAGGCATTAGACATTCCTAGACCATGCGATCGTGTCGTCTTACAGGGGACTAGAAGGGCAAAATATCTTAGTGAGCCTTTGCTGAGCCTCTGCTCTTAGGAAGACTGCTCGTCGGACATGCTCCGTTGTTTCAAAGTTCAAAGACAGTCAGCATCAGATCAGATGGATGCCAATAATTATCCAACCATTCTATACCACGAATCCTTCCTTTCGGATGTATAACTACACCAGAGGATTGGTCTCATATTGCTGTTCTCTTTCTTGTCATATAAGTATATATATCATCCCTTTCCAACAGGCTCTTACACGCATAGGCTCTCGGAAGTTCAACGTTTTTTCATCGGCTCATACAAGCCGTCCAGAAAAGGAAGAGAGCTATGTGGTACACATTGCACGCATGTTTCCTCATTAGTGATCCTGCGGTAGAGTAGTGGAAACGCATAGTATGAAGATTGACATGACACGGATATAAATTGCTGTATATCGCTATAACTCTTCTGGTTGCCTTTGTACAACAATGCAATACTGTGCGACCATTCAATCTCGGTGATCACCACGGCAGAGTGGTTCCATCCCAGTTCTGGAAAGTCCCAGAAAGGTTCCTATCGGCCTTATCCAGCGTGCTCAAAACACCGTTCACGCTCTGCTCAACAGTAATAGCGCCAGCAGCCTTAAGCGCCTCGGGATCAGCCATAGCGCTACCCATATCCGTCATGACCAAGCCAGGGTGGGTGACATACGATGTCAACCAAGACTCTTCGAAATGGATCCTAGCGAAAGCCCAGTTCAACGCCGCCTTACTAGCACCGTATGGGCTGAAAACCTGCGGGAATCCAGCGAGCATTGCTTGAGCGCCCATGCTGCCAATTACAGTGGAAATTCCGAGGTAGATGGGGTTGCCAGACTTGCTGGCTTGTAGCAGGGGCTTGACGGCCTGGAAGAGAAGGATGGGGCCGATGGTGTTGACGGCAAAGTGATCGCGGAGCGCGTCAGATGAGGTGTTGATGATGGTAGTACCTGAGTGTGCGATTCCGGCATTGGCGATCACAACGTCGAGCGAGGTGATACCATGCTTGGATTGAAGTTCGGCGACAGCGTTCTTGGGGTCCGCTTCGTCAGAGGAGTCGATCTTGACGACGATGAGCTTGGAGCCTGAAGCTTTGGGAAGGGATTCGAGTGCGGAAGTTGACTTGGCGACGTCTCGGACTCCAGCAATGACGGTGGTGTTGGGACGTTGGAGGAGGGTTGAGGTGAAACCTTTGCCAATGCCACGGTTAGCACCGGTGATGAGATATGTGAGGGGCGAAGACATGGTCGCTTTGAGAATATGGTGATTGATATTGGATTTGGGGGCTGGTGTTGAGATTGGAGGTTTGGATAGTTGGTTTCTGGCTTTAATCGCACACAGTTCCTTCCCTTTATATACGAAGTATCGAGCTCGCACAGAAGATGCGAACACCGAGGCCGAGCATGATTTCTCATCTAGATACTATAGCTGGAACTTATCAGAAAGTGACTAATGTTCGTGGTTGCATCCCGGTGGGCAAAGAGACTGCCCGTCCGCTTGTAAGGTGCTCAGTCATTGTTTGGTAAGATACGTATGCCCCTTGCCTAGATCAAGCATGCGGCGCGAGTGATTAGTGAACCTAGAGATACCACCCTCTGCGCAGTCTTTTAGACTATTTCCTACCTTTTGTGAGCATCATGTCACATATACAGATGACAAGAGAAATATCTCTAGGAAACGTGTTGACTTTACGCTCGATCATGACCTCTTTGTGGTCGTTGGTGTTCGTAATAAACGAGCTAGCGAACCTCTTACGGCCGAAGGTTGATGTTTAGTGAACACCATACTAGCCGCGCTAGCTTATAACCTTCACCCAATGACAAATATAGGCCATGACTGGGCCTCCTCGTCGTTGGAATTGACGCTACGCTCTCTTGATCGCCGTGCTGGCATGCTTATTCTAGTCCACTCTCTTGTTCTTCAACGTGTCTTTGGTGGGAAACATTCTTTTCTCTTCTAAGACTGGCGAGACAAAGAACCTTAGCATAACGTCCGGATCATTTCTATCGCTCTTGGCTAAATTTCACCACGCCCAATTTTGCTCCTGTACACTCTAGAGCCACATATACGTCTCATTCGTCACTCGTTCTCTCTATGCATGATTTCCGGTTTTGTCGAGTTGATTATGATGACTGAGAAGTCGCAACATGGTCCTGTGTCCGTATGCTACAAGCTGAGGATTTTGTGCTTGTAGAATCAGTCGGCCAGGTCACGCGTTCCGCCAATCGATCGAATTGGTGATTCAGATATCGTCGACGAAAGTGTTGGTCTATCATGGAACCCATTGCAAGAGTACTGATGTGCTTGCTTCGCCTTTGGAAAGCACATGATCAGCAAAATCAAGAAACTTTTCGTAAATAACGAGATGCAGTGATGGAGTTCCTTGAGCTTTCGAATTTTCGGGGGAATCACGAAGACAATCATCCGGTGGCTAGGGTGTAGCGTGATGTGTCTACGAGGCATTTACCCGTTGGGCCGTAGCTCGGAGGTAATCTGAAGGCCGTTGTCCTGATACTGATTAGTAGACATCGTTGAACGTGTCCCTGTAACATGTGGTTTGTAAGGTCCACGATCTTGAGCTTGCAAGAGAGTTCGACTCCATCCTAGCTCTCGCCAACTTCCTCCCCCTTAACCTCTTCTGCCAGAAAGTACTCTAATTCCATATCATGTCCATCATTGTTGCTTCAGACTAGAATTCAAGGGGCAGGTATAGCGAGGATGCTTCGAGCCTGCAATGCAGATTGTCTTAGTCCATAATGCTGTCTTCGGCAGGATGATACAGGCGTGTAGACTCTACACTCGCAATCTCTAACACAGTCAGCAAAGATTCAGGTCCAGCAACCGGATTGGATCCGCCTTCCGCGAATTTGATCATCGACAAGAAATGTCGTGCGCTATCGTTCTTGGCGTTGACTTTCTCTAGATCAAACACATTGAACTTCGTTTGTCGTTTAAGTAAAAGTGTCCATTCGTTCTCAGACCAGTAAGCGCCTATGTGTTTGTAAAAGTTGATGTTACCGTCATTGTGGGAAGTGAGGATACTTGAGTCAGTCGTAGCCGCGAAGCGACTGATGATTCTTGCGACTGCGCTTACAAGGCGGCGTCTCGAACATATGCAAGACATGGTAATGTAGTACTCCGCCATTGATGGTGGTTGCTGATGGAGGTGACACAACAAGCTTAGCGAGAGACGTGAGCCCTCAGGTCCTTGTTGGCTTACCTCATGAGTATATGATTCACCTTCCGACTATGTCTTGTGTGACGTGTTTCCATGATGACAGTCGCGAGGCTGCCAATAACAAAAAATCGAATTATCAAAGTCTATAACATTCCACGTAGATTGACAACTCGTTGCTGTCATGAACTCCGTGAACACCATGCTTGCCCAGATTGTATATAGCTCATATCGACATAAACCTCAAGATCCTCGTATCGTTCTATTCGTCGTCAAGTATAGAGCTCGCTAGCGGGCCAAAGAAAGGAACTTCGTATCGGTCAAGTGTCGCAGCTGTTCAGTCGTTAGCAAGTAGGTCTGTCTGTGAATTATGATATGAACTCGCCATCCAGATAGGCCCTCCAAGTCAACCACCCTATGCCTGCCAAATCTCCGATGAACAGGACCCAGGATATGAAACTCGACCAGCTGAATATGATGTGCACCACAAAGATGAAGGCGAATAGCAGACTGCTCTGCCATGCGTGGAACCGCACATAGTCACTTTGGTGCTCCAAGACCAGTAGCAACACTCCACCTGCTGGTGGAAGCAGGAGGTATGCCAGGCAAGCCTCATAGTCCAATCTCCAGCCCAGAGATGTGGTGAACATATCCACATCCTCGCGTGAGCGACCGAAGCCTGTGCTGCGAGACGGCTGGTCCCATGCTATGCGCTCGGTATCTGGTTCTGCAGGTGGGGAAACAGGCGACTGGCCCTGGAAGTAGTCATGTTGCTCGTATGCGCGTGTGGGAGGCGATATAATATTCCGTGTGCGGTCAATAGATGTCCTCGGCGAATGGACTGGCGGTGGGGAGAGCGCGCGTGACGATTCCGGTATGTCTTGATACGGGGCGAAATTGGCTGCCATTATAGTTTCGGTCGTTGACAGGTACCGTATGCTATACACCGGAAGCTTGCCGGTCTGTTGCCTGGGGTATTGAAGGTTTGGTGGAGGAAATAGGGCTGACGCAGAGCAAGGTGCAACCGGGGCTGTGACGTTGGGCAGGGATCCTAGCTCGACATTGGGACCGGGGTCCCGTTAGCACGTGAGACATCGTTTTCGGACACCTCCGTCATGTCACTCCGCTGCAGGAACAGTCATGTCGTGCGACGTGTCTAGAGAATGAGGGCTCACACAGCTCTCTGGAATGTCGCGATCTAGAGATTGCGCAGTGCATGCGCGTTGAAACAGTGATGAGTAAAGCAAACACTGCCTTCCCCGTTGTTGACCCGAGGTCGTACCTTCCTACATCACAGGGACATCAGAACGCCTCGGTCACAACCTTCATCTCGCCATGTGTCGTCCCACCTCACTCCACGTCCTGTACGGTTGGAACCACGTATATGACTGAGCGTTGAAGCACCTGTTGGCACTCATTCACACCGCTCATACTGCACTTCGGTAAGTAATCTGCTTAGTCCGTCATTTTCCGAGTTATTGAACGCCACAAAACAGTACTTCGCAGTATCTTCTTTCCCTCACATAGACTTGTCTACGACGTGGTCACAACAACATCAAAATGTGTATCGCTATTCTCACAACAGCCCATCCGGACTATCCATTCATATTGCTCAACAACCGAGACGTACGTATTGTGGTCTACAAGCATTAACTCCTACAACTAACGCATACTAGGAGTATCTACATCGTCCAACAGCAGAGGCAACATGGTGGCCATCTCCAGACACCCAAGTCTTGGGCGGCTACGATCTTCACCGTCCCGTTCATGGCACCTGGCTGGGTGTGACCCGTCAAGGTCGAATTGCAGTGTTGACCAACTACCGTGAAGAAGACGAAAAGATCGTAGAAGGCGCGCGAAGTAGAGGGCTCATTCCGAACGCTTGGTTAAAGTCCGACCCGGCGAAAGGGGAGAGTACAGAACAGTTTGCAAAACGAATGATAGAAGAAGATGGTGTCGAGGGTGTTGGCGGGTTCTCTCTGTGCTACGGATTCATTCAAGATGTTGTCAAAGAGGGAGAAAAGGGTCTTGCGATCGTGAGCAACCGAACTCCAGACGTTCATGGCGTGATTCATCTCTTGCAAAAGCCAGATGAAACCCGGGCCCTCAGCAATGCCGCTTACAACGACCGCACCTGGCCCAAAGTAATCAATGGAGAAGACTGGACGCGCGCTGCTATCGCCAAGTCTGTCGCTGCCAACGAGTCCCAAGACCAGCTCATCAACCGTCTTCTCGATATTCTGACCACGGACACCATGCCCCGACAGAAAGAGAATGAGGAGTGGGACATGTACCTCAACCAACTGCGTTACAGCATATTTGTTCCAGCAATTGGAAGAGACCATCTTGAAGAGCACAAGATGCCTGCGCCTGAGGTGGGCGATGTGGTCAAAGCGAAAGCGCTGGATGCTACAAGCGGGTGCTACGGTACCCAGAAAAATATTATAGTGTTGTGTGATCGAGAAGGGAAGGTGACTTATTTTGAGAGAACGTTGTATGATGGTGATGCGAAGCCGATTGAAAAAGGAAAAGGGGACAGGAAATTTGACTTCAAGATCGAAGGGTGGTAAGACAATGAGGGTTTGCATACTGCCTACAGATGAGAAGGAGCCATCTCGTGTGTTGTTATTGGTACCTTCCATACCCACTAGTGTACTGCCTTTATAACCAAATCGTCCGTAGAATCAATGCTTCACTTCAATACTCCAACACCTTCTACAAAGTCTTTCCCACAATTCTTTTCATCTCATTTTCATGCTTTCATGTTTCATCGGTATCAATCATATCGTATGCTTTCCACCAGAATTCAGACTTTACCAATCGTGTCAGGTTCTCAAGATTTGGTCATCTGACCATAGAGAGAAAAACAACTCGCGGTCACTTCCATCTCTTCGTTTGCTATGAGCAGAATTGCGCCGCGCGGCTGGTCTGTGCAACTTTCATTCTCGTTGCCACGGTCACTTACCTTTCCGATTCTGATTTCGAATTATTCCTCTTGTTGATATTCGAGTTTGTTTGTCTCGCAACCACCATTGACCGCATGCAATCTACTTCGGTGGTTTCCCATTACACTTGCTTGTTCACCGTCCATAGCCAAACGCCGCCATGTGTATCATGTTCTTCATATCCCACTACGACGGCCCACGAGAGCACTTCCTTTGCCAGTACCACTGCGCACATACCGACTGTCCCGGAACCTTTGGGGCACATCAAAAGTATCTACTTGAAGAGAGCCGCTTGGACTGCTCAGAGTGTTTGGCCAAAGATGGCAATCAGGTGGATCCAGATATAGTTCCGGTACAGTACTATCCTTCCACTCCCCATTTTGAGATTGAGTACGTGGAGGGGAAGGGTTGGGTCAAAGTCTGTGAGCAAGATGGCGTGGAGGGTGCAGGGGGGACTAAAGTGCAGGAGGGTGAGGAGGATGATGATCAAGATGACGGCCGCTACGCCCACAGCTTCGCAAGTCTCTCGGACTGCGACAGCGTCACTTCGCACTGGCGTCTGGATCCAACCTTCGCATCGCCTACTCGCCCAACCGCTGCAGCCACCAAGGGCAAGTCGCCCGCTCCGCCCTACCAGGGGCTGTCAACAATGGAAGAGGCGTATGAGACGCGCTCTCCACATGAGCCGCCACACGAAATGACCAAGGTACGTAAGTAAACTTTTTTCGACTTGCAATTCTTCTCGTCTCAGTGGATCTTTTGTTGAGATCGTTGAAAAGGTATGTGAGGTTTCTTATGAGAGCGTATCCCCTGGAGAAGAGCCAAGCCAAACGATCCTCCAAGAATCGCCATTTGGCGACTCTCCCAACACTATCGAGCACCGAAATCTTGTCAATCGACAGCTCGCGACACTCGAGCACCGGATGGCCCACCGTCAGCCTCAGCGCGATCTCAGCCAGCCCACGTTCAACGTCCCGCGCCCACAGTACCCGAATCACTTTCGTCAAGCTGTCAGGCATGGACTTGTTGTCAGCAACCCGCCGGGTCATGCTGCTCCGCCTCCCGTTACTCCACGACCACCTCCAGGAGTACTACCAGGAAGACCAGATTACGAGAATGGATTACATTACATGGTTTCCACATCAATCACGAATGGGGTACCGGATTCTCGATGGGGCCCAGTTCCGGGACCCGGCGAGATGATGGATTTCTCTCTTGTAAGTTGTGCTGGTGTTTCGATTAATGACACTTTGTTGACTGCTAACAGTTCTAGGGAAAGCCTACTCAGGCTGTTCGTAAGCGTCACAAGCCGCGTAATAAAGAGGAACGGATGAGACGAAGAAACGAGAAGGCGGGTCACTTTGGAAGGCTTTCGAAATGAACGAGTAGCGGGATGTTTGGATAATGAACGAGATAGAGAAGGCTTTGGCCATGATGGATTGGTGGATGTTTTGTTTGTGCCTTTTGTTCAGTACAGCATCTTGCCTTGGAAACTTGCAATTGCTCAGGATGTCCATGATATATGGACGAAGTAATAGGGACCTTACATCCTGTATATGTAATGAGAGGAGTGGACGTACCTGAATTAGATGGAGTTCATGCGCACGTGCATGGTCTTGGCGCGCTACAGGTGTCAGGGTGTTGGTGACGTCTTGTAGATCTTCGGCAACTCTGATCAACAAACACCGAGCCGCAGTCCGACGTTGAAACATCTGTACACTTTTTCGCGACAACTCTAGCAGCAGCTACTGTCCTGGACTAAATGTCTAGGCTGTCAGACTAGTCCCTTTTCGTTCATCCATACCATCGTCCACGCAACTCCCCACCACTAATACACAATCAGCCGTCATGGCGTCTCTACCGTCTCAGCGCCCCGCGTCGCGACATAGACCCGCACCGCCTGCCGAATCGTCGTCCTCGCAGCAAGAGCAAACGGAGCGATCGAGCAGTTTCTCTGGCCAGTCGGTAGACTCGCAAACGCTACTCCTCAACACGCCATCTACACAGTCAACTACTTCCGCGCCCCAGGAGCAGGAAGAGACACCCGCGCAAACCACCGCGCCACAACAAGAAGAGGATGATGAACCACGGCGATGCTGGATCTGCTTCAACGACGAGACGGAAGATGACGAAACAACATCGGAGTGGCGGTCACCTTGCGCGTGCTCACTGGTGGCGCACGAGAAGTGCCTGTTAGACTGGATAGCCGACATGGAAGCGCCGAGCTCACGACGGCAAGCTGGTAAATCGGCAGGGAAGATATTGTGTCCCCAATGCAAGAGCGAGATCAGGGTACAACGGCCGAGGAGCTACGTGGTGGACGTTGTTCGGAGCGTCGAGCGTCTCACGGGTAGTTTGCTGCTCCCTGGCTTTGCGCTCGTTACGGGTACAGCGCTCTATTCAACTCTGACGCTTTCTGGGACTGCGACTATATACCAGATATTTGGTACACAGGATGCGCTGCAAATCCTTGGGCCGCTTTACGAGACGCCAAACCGTGCGGTCAACTCGGTCACAATGCAGTGGCTCGATCATCTAAGGCATCACTGGAGGCTGGATCTTGGACTGCCCCTGATACCGACGGTTCTAGTCGCAAGCCGAACAACCTTCGCCGACTCATTCCTACCGTTCCTCCCTCTCATCTTCTTCGTCAGCTCCGGACAGCCAGGCGATGATATGCTACAGCTGCAGTGGCCACCGAGCGCCGCTTTCACCTTCGCCGCGTTACCATACCTCCGAGGTTTCTACAACGCATACTACGAACGAGTCTGGTTACCACGAGAGCAGCAGTGGTTGAAGGAGATCCAGCCACGAGCTGGCGAAGACACAACCGCAGATGTACAGGCACAAGCTCAACACGATCACGACCACGACCATTTGGGCGATGAGGACGTGGTAGAAGAGGTGGAGATTGAGCTCGACTTGGACATCTTCGCAGATTGGAATAACGATGGCGAAGCCGATCACGACGACGCGCCTGAGGATCCTCCTGTACGAGCTGCACGAGGCCTAGCAGGGCCGATCGACGCGCCTCCACAAGATGACCAAGATGATGCCAACATGCCGGTTGTTCAGCTTATCGACGATGCTCAACCAGACGTAGCACCTGCGCCCAACATCCCCATGCAGCCCGCTGCCCCGCGACCTCGACGTGTCCGACGCGAACGCGGCGTCACTTTCTCCACCACATCCCTCGCTGACACTATCCTCGGTGCTCTTATTTTCCCCACCATAGCCGCTGCAATGGGTGAATTGCTCAAGCATACCCTGCCTAGCTCATGGGTCACACCTCCGACTGGCGCGCCAGCGATGTCCTGGCTCGGTGGATGGATTAATACTGGCGGCAAGGTGGGTGGTGTGGGCAAGCCGACAGGGTTCTTGCAGACGCGTTGGGGAAGGAGTGTTGTTGGTGGATGTATGTTTGTTGGTCTCAAGGACTTCATCATGCTGTACGTTAGGTGGAAGACGGCGCAAAATCACCGGAAGAGAGGCATTGTGAATCATGACAGGAAGAAGGGTCGGGGTGGTGCTGCGGCGGCATCGTGAGGGTGTATGAATTTTGGAGCATAAGAACGGAATCTAGGAGTATATGGGTTGGATATGATGATGGCACGAAGGCTACTAGCGTCTCGCAAGCACAAACTCATTTGGAGGTTCTGATATCTGTATATTACACTCAATCACGCAGGACTGGCAAAAGTCAGGTCAACTATGAACCTATACGCTGCATCCAAGAAGTGTTCACTGCCTACTCAATCGTGACAGCGCTGTCGTGCCTAGCATCACAATCAACCCTTCAACCTACCCAAATCTCTCCGCAGCAATCTGTCTCAGAAAGTCCATGGTCTTACCCTCCTTCTCCCTTCGTTCCGCCAGTCTCTCATTTCTCTCCGCCTCCCTCGCCCTTGCAATCTCCTCCCTCCGTATCTCCCTCTCGTTTTTCTGTCTCTCCTGCTCCTTCTTCTTCTTCTTCTTATACATGTCTATGCCGTCATCGCCCATGAGGTCTGATTCTGGTACTTCGAGCTCCCCAGCTTCCTTGGCCTCGCGGAAGGAGTTCAGTGTGGAGGTTGTTTCGCGCTTCTTTTCGAGCTGGCGCTCGCGGGAGCCTGGGTCGGCGCGCGGGACGAGGTCTTCTAGGGCTTCTTTTTGCGATTTGCGGTCGCTTTTGCGCGCGTGGCGGATGTCGTCTACGTAGTCTATCTGGCCTTTCTCGCGATCCTCGGCGCGGAGCTCGTTGCGGTAGGTCAGGTCGTCTAGTTTGGGGATTGTCGGGCCGTGACCTTGGTGCCGTTGTAGGTTTGTGGGTGGTGCTGGGCCAAAGTCATCGTCGCTTTGGTCTGATGTCGCTTCCTCTTTTGATGTATAGGTTGGTGAGGCTCGTTTCGCAGGGGCGCGAGGAGAGGATGCGCGGTAGGATTGTACGGTCTCTTGGGCTGTTTTCAGCATGGATGGGTCATACCAGCTTCGTGCTAGGTCTCCACGGTTCCTGAAATGTTAGTATTGGCTGCTTCTTTTTGCGAAGCGTAGGAGGATGTGGGCGCATACCAGCGACTGACGAAACTCTTCCATCGTCCCTTGATCTCCCGCTCATCTAAATCATCGAGTTGTATCTGCTTTTGTATGTCCAGATAGGATTGGAACAGCGGTCTGTACTCGTCATACTGTCGCTTCGATAGCGGCTTCGCTTTGTAGGGTAAAGCTACGGGTTTCGGTGCAGGTGGTGAGCGCGAACGGTGTCGCTTGTGTCGGTGGCCGTCATCGTCGCGACGGGGAGAGCGCGAGCGATGCGATCGGTGGTGTTTCTTATGGGTGCGCGCTTCGTGAGGTCGCGAGTCACCATGCGATGGCAATTGCGCTTTGGATTCTTCAGGCGTCCAGCTGCGTCGCGGCATAGTTGAGGTTTGGATGTTGTAAGTTAATGTGGAGACGACGTAGGAGAAGTTCACATGTCATAGCGGGCCGTTTCCGCGCACTTGGGTACACTACTGTAGCACAATCCTGGCCCGCTTTGTGTTCAAGCCAATACTTAACATCAATCATGTCTCACATATATGCGCTGATGTGTTCAAAGCTGCCTTGACATCTAATTCATCCCCAGTCACTGAAGAAGGTTTCCATCCCACAATACCCACTCTTCGAACGTCACATCTACAGACTCCCAGTTAGACAAACTCCAAGGATTCCTGGAAGAAGCGGATCGACAGCAGAAAGTACCATCGCCTATAGGCTCGCGATCTGACATACGGATGTTGACGTTGTGGAGGTGACTTTCTAGCAAGAGATCTAAATCTCTGAATACAGGTTGAAAAGTCTTTGGTATACCACGTACCCAAGTTGTGAACACGTTCCGGACATTTCTGCGCTCTTTTAGATAATTTGATCCAAAATTTTACCACACTAGAGCAGCAGATATAACATACACAAAAGCCTATATGTCCATTGTATCTAGGTACCTAGGTACTGTCGCCTGAGCCTGGCGGCTGAAGCAAAGTTGGAGCATCACAGAAGTCACCGGAGGAACTAGGGGGTCAGTCGGTGACTGAGGTGGCTGCTTAAGGCGAGCATACTTATATATGTTTAGGAAGACCAGGTTCCATTGGTTTCTCTGTAATAGTCAACCGGGGATTGGTAGCCGTCGTGCCATCATGCCTCGCAAAGTCACGATCGGCGCTCTCGCTAGGCTGCTCGACACCGTCTATAATGACGACACTGATTTTCCCCTGATGTCGTCTCTGTTCTAGAGCATGATTGATCAAGTGCCTACTGTTCCTTGTTCGGTTCCTACTCATGCCCCACGTCTTAATTTGGCGTTCGTGCTCCGACTCACTCGAAATGTGTCAGCAGAGCTTCTTCCTTTGTGATACTCAGATGAGGTGTGATTGACATTGCTCGAAAGCCGTCTTTTTTCATTTTGTCCACTACATTGGTCAAAGTCTTCTTTTCGTCTATAGACAAAGCTTTGATCCTGCTTTTGTACCGTTATCAGACTTCTGGAGGTACTCGCGGTGCTTTGGGTCTGTTACGTTTAGGCATACTAGAAAGATATTTTGCACTATAGGAAGAAGACCAAACAAGCAGCCAACCTTGGAGACGAGCAATCCGAAAGAAGGATCTATATCTCATGGAACAAAGGCTACATCGGCCGGCATGGATACCGACTAATCATGCAGACCCAGCAATTCTGTTCCATCGCTCAATGCCACATCACGAATTGGCGAAGGATTCACCTACCAGCAGGGCCTGAAACAAGTGGCCAATGAGCTAGGACCTACAAAGCGTACTCGACTGGTGAAATCTTGAGAAGGCTGATGGATTTTCGTTCCTTCGACGACGGAATGAACAACGAAGCCAAAGCGGAGGTCAGGAGATGGCCAAAGAACCCGCATGACATCAAAGCCAAATAGCACGCGTGGTATCACGACATACAGAGAAAGACTTCGATTCGATTTGTACGTACCGCCAGAGCCAGTAGCATATAGTCGTCTTTGAAGGCACACAGGCGTCGCTTCCAGTTTGGAGTGGAAAATGTACAGTATGCTGAGCCTGAAAAGTAGACGATAACTACGTTCAGCACTAAAATATTACCATATGTGGGAGTGATCGACGTGGCTCTGCCACTTTGAGGCTGCGCAGTGTCGATCGCGTAGTGTCGATCTCCCAAAGTGAGGCAGAGTAGGTAGGTATATCAAACCTCTCAATCTCGAACATCGCGACTTTTGTATTCCATTCTTACTCGATTATAAGACGGAACGTATATTCTTCAGCACGCCACTTACTTGTATTGCCTACAAACTGAGAGATCCAAGACTTACAACTGAAGCACACAACAACTGTAACTCCCTCGACCAATCAGGCAGCATGTCACGCCTGTCTGATGAATCCATCATTGCCATCGTCACTCTTGTCGTCACCTGTCCTCCATCATTCGTTCTCCTTTGGCATTTGCTTAGACGTAAACGTCTCAACGCCCAGCGCGAGGTGCAAGGTTTGTTTGAAGCATGTCTATCAATGACCCATATCTTTCACTGACGTATGCCAGATATCGAGCTCAATTCTCGCTCTGCTATCAACCTCCGTATTGTAAAGCACATCAAGGACACCTTGATCCAGCCTGTTCTCACCCACGGTCTTTTCCGATGATCGAGAGTCGCGTTGTCGAGTCACAAACCTGAATACGAATGTAAGGACACTCACTAACATCAACACGCTGACCTGACCCACCGTGCAGATCGCGTTGAGAACCGTTGTCAGCCTGTAATAAGAACGCGAAATACCCACCGAAGATCTGACAACGACCAAATTAACCGAGGGGTGGAAGGTTCTTCGTGTTGATGCTACAAAAGCTCAGGGGTCAGACGTCATGTGGAGATGTACGATCAACACCAAGTCTCACGTTTACTCTATCCAGAAACATCCCAGCCTTGTTAGCCAATTTTTCCACCCCATTCTCTTCTTTCGTGTAGTATGCAGCCCACCTCCTAGACATCCACTTCTACCCCCATTATCCTCGGAGGAAGCACGTCGACGCAACCTTCCATTGCAATGCCAAAACGCCATGTCATCCTCTCTCCCCACTTCCCGTTCGCCTCTAGTTGCGTTTCCAGTTACACAGCAAGCTATAGGGAAGTCAACACCAAGCGCCTCAGCCGCGCTCCGTATACCTTCGTCCTTGAATCCCCACCATTCTCTGCCTTCTTCAACAATGGTGATAGTCGATGGTCTCCGCGTCGCAATTGCTCTTTCTCCTTCCTTAATAACTCTAGGTAGGAAAGGTGTACTCAACACCTCGACTTCGGTAGAGTCGAAGGAAAACCGAGGCTCATCAAGTAATGTCTCTGATGAGGAGAAAGACACCGGCAATGACTCTCTTGGGCAGTAGATGTCAGATTCAGGTGAGGAAGGTTGGTCATTATCGCGGCTGAAGGAGGTGTAGGTCTCTTGGTCCTGATGGCATTGGAATGGAAGCGTTGTATTCGTAAAGGGATTTACAACGTTCGTGGTACGACGTAATGGTGGTGATCGTCTAGGTGAAACCCTCGGTGACCTTCGAAGGGGTGATGTGCATACAGCGGGATCGACTGCAATACTGTGGTCCTGATTTATGATGTTGCTTTCCAATGAGGAGCATAGGGGAGGAGTATTATGACGGCGGCGGAAGTGGGACCTGGTTGTTGACTCTACGCCAGGATTCATAAGGTATGTCGTGCCTGATGGTATAGCTGATGATGAAAATGGCATCGAAGGAGTCGTTGATGGCGAAAACATAGGCGTATCGGAATTGGAAATGTTTTTCCTGCTAGTGTCTCTACCTGTAGTTGTAGGGGAGGAAAAGAGTAAGGTGTTTCGTCCTTTCCAGCATTTCGATGTAGCTGAAGAGTTCATCGTGAGAAGATACTCATACGTGTAGAGGATGATGTGGTTAGCAAACCAAAAGATACGAAGCTGTGAGCCTCCTATGGGTGATTCCGTATAGGCTTGCCGGATACAAAAATCTGATTAACCGACGTAGAATTAGTTCGCCTGGTTTGTAGCTGAAGTTAGAGTGAAGTGCATAAGGAGCTTGGTATATTCCTCTTAATCACGTTAAATTGTGATTCTTCCATCGTTGCCGCACAGTGTGGTTCCGCGATAGCCTATATCCATGGAAAGCGAGTGCAAGTCGATATTCATCGAAACGACGACCGTGAATCAGAGGATGTGCAATTACAATCATTGAGAAAAACCGGGTAGCGAGAGTGACCAACCACAGGAGATCATGTTACAAATCCATCAAATCAACGTTCTTCTCAAATTCATACGTACCACGGTCAATGATGCCCGCTCCCCACTCCACATACCCGATTTCGAACTGCGATAGGTGATAGCTCTTCACCTCCATGTTTCATTCGTCTTCTCCCGTTCCCAACTCTTACTAAAATATAAGACTGATATCTCGCTTTTGATTTACCGACTTTTCCAAAGAGAGAAAAACCAAATCACATGCACTGACCGCCTAGAAGGATATGCTAAACAGAAAGGAGTAAAACGCCGGTGCCGACCCAAGAATATACACAACGAATGAAGTTACACGTGAATCAAACATCTACACCAGTGATGGCTTTAACGACCGGATCGCTCCTTGGTTTGCTTTCTTCGGTCCTTGATGGTTTCTATTCGACATTAGTATAGGTCATCGTTTCACAGAAACTATCAACTTACTCTCGTCGTAAATCATAAACTCGTGCAGACCACTTCCTGCGGGCACCATGGGCAGCACAGGTACCTTCTGGTCAGTGACGACCTCCAGCAGGGCCGGACCGTCGCTCTCGAGGAGCCACTTTAGCGAGTCCTCAAGCTCCTCAGGCTTGATGCATCGCTTGGCCTGGACACCCATGGCGTCACCGAGCTTGACGAAATCGGCGTTGCGCTGGTGAGTATGCGCGAATCGGTCGGTGTAGAAGAGAGTTTGCCATTGGGTAACCATACCCTGCTCCTCGTTGTTGAGAATGATGACCTTGACGCCAATGTTGAACTCGGCAGCCGTTGAGAGCTCGGTCAAAGTCATGCTGAAGGAGGAGTCACCGTCAATGTCAATGACGGTGCAGTCAGGTCGCGCGACCTTGGCACCGATGGCGGCAGGCAGACCGTAGCCCATGGTTCCGAGACCACCAGATGTGATCATGGTACGGGGGTACCTCCATCGGTAGTGCTGGGCGCACCACATCTGATGCTGGCCAACACCAGTTGTGAGGATGGTCTCTTCCTTGCGGTTCGCGGTGAGGTCAGAGAGCTTCTCCATGACGGTCTGCGGCTTGATCAGACCGTTCTCGCCCTCCTTCTCGTAGGCCCATGGGAAACGCTCCTTCCAGGCGGCGATTTGTCCCAGCCACTCCGGTCTCTCGGGAACTTCGTTGACGAGGGGCAGAAGCTGCTTCAGGTTGGTGCCGAGATCACCCTCAACAGCCTCAGTCGCCTGTACAACCTTGTTGATGTTCTTGGGCATAATCTCGAAGTGAATGATACCACCACGACCCTCAGCCGCGGCCGCCTTTGCCGCAGGTGCGAACTTGGAGATGGCACCGGTGATACGGTCATCGAAACGAGCACCGAGAGCGAGAATCAGATCGGCCTCCTGCATGGCCATGTTGGCGTAGGCCGAGCCGTGCATACCGAGCATATGAAGAGACTTGGGTTCCAGTTCGTCGTATCCTCCAAGACCTTGCAGGGTAGTGGTAACGGGAATGTTGACCTTGTCAGAGAGCTCCTTCAAAAGGGCGGGTCCGTCCTCAGTTTGGAGGATACCCTGTCCGGCGTAGATGACGGGCTTCTTCGCCATGTTAATCAGGTCGGCAGATCGTCGGATGGAGTTTTCGAGCTGTTGCTTGCTGAGCTCGCGCGCAGCAATGGTCGCGGCACTGACAGGTGTGGGCAGGGTGCTGCTCATGGGAATCGCTCTTTGGAGGACACTAGCGGTAACATCCTTGGGCAGGTCAACGAGAACGGGTCCCGGTCGTCCACTTGTGGCAATCTCGAAAGCCTCGTTGATTCTCCGTGGAAGTTCAGCAACGTTCTTGACGAGGACGTTCCACTTTGTGCAAGGCCTTGTGATGCCGACCATGTCAGCTTCCTGGAAAGCATCGGATCCAATTGCGCTGGTAACGACCTGACCGCAGAAAACAACCAGAGGTGTTCCGTCCATCAGCGCATCCTGCATGGGTGTGACGACGTTGGTGGCACCGGGTCCAGAAGTAACGAGCACAACACCGGGCTTTCCACTTGCGCGGGCGTAACCCTCTGCCATGTGGCCGGCACCCTGTTCATGTCGCGGAAGGATAAAGTCGAAGTGTTTTGACTGGTAAATCGCATCGAAGACGGGGAGAATGGCACCACCGGGGTATCCAACTGGTGGATGTTAGTTTAAAATTCACAATTGGTATCTTCAGTGCAAAATGGCGTACAGATGTGCTTGACGCCCTGGCGGAGCATCATCTCGTGGAAGATCTCTCCACCAGTCATGCCAACAAAAGAGTGGTCCATTGCAGGCGAACGGTACTGCTTCAATGGCTGGACATCCTTGTAGTCCTCGCGGTTGAAGGCGGGCGACGGTCTTGACCGCGACGCTGTTTGTGTGGCAGCGGCCGCCTGGGTGCTCTGAGGTCGCTTCGCATCTTCTTGGGTGATTTTGGTCGAGACAGCCTGTGCAGGCCTGCGGAAGGGCGAGACGGCGAATCTTTGTGCTGTGGTGGAAAAGTTGCGGTTGCCCTTGAGAGCATTTACAGCTCGTGTGCGTGACTGCTGCATGACGGGGATGGGCGTCCACTGGGGGACGGGATATTACTATACACGGAGGGGAGAGCAGCAGCAGAGACGGGAAAAGCAAGACGTGGGAGAGAAGTGTGGGAGGCAAGCTGACGGACGGTTTTGAGTCAATTGGCCGTTCGCCTTTGACTCTTCCTCTGGCCCAGGTTCGTGGCGCATATGAAAAGTTAGTGGAGTCGTCTCCCCGGTGGCAGGGGTCGTGATTGGGCGATCCCCGCAATTACATGGCCTACTGCCGAACATCGGAGCGCTGGTGACAGCCGTCTAAGCAGCAGCGACCATCGACACGATGCAGGTTCCACCCGGAGGAGGCCATAGTCGTAGTGTGTCGGGCGACGAGCGACGACGAAGTGTGTTGACTGCTGCACGCATCCAGGTTGGCATGACTAACAGAGGCAGATGCCCTTCCTCGGCGCAGCACAAAAGGTCCGCTCGACGTCGATGACATAGTTGTAGACGAGTATGCGCCCCTTCTATTCAGCCGGCATGCAATACGACAACAAGAAACACGCTTACAAAATGATGCAGCCCTCTTGCTGAGAGCACACCCAGCCTGCCTGCGCGCATTCGATCGCCAGCGCGGCCTCGAGCTTCCCCGCAGCCGTCCCACGATGCCCCATCGCGCGGCATCGACGACATTCCCCACAAGGACTTCAGCTTCCTGCAAGACCCCCAGGCGTACCACGTCCTACCCGTGAACAATGTACCAGCCCCCTTCCTCAATGCGCCGCACGCGCCGCCTATATCTTCGCCTATAGACACCCTTCTCCTATCAGGACACTATCGCCTGGCTGCCATCGCCGCCGCGCGCAACCTCATCTCGGCTGCCGCAGGCGACCATGATACACTATTACATCTGATACATGTCCGCCTGGCATGTCTCTGTCTATTGCAGGAGCATGCCCTCGCTGCTCAGGAGTCGAAGGTCTTGGGTGACCTGAATAGCGCCTTCTACCGACACCCACTCACCAACGCGCATCTCGTACCCTGGGATCTACGCCTCCTCGTCGTTCGATTGGCAGCACTGGGCTACGGAGAGTGGCGGAAGGGCATAATGGGATACTATGAGCTTGCACGAGAGTGCAGGGAGAGCATCCTTAAAGCAAGCTCAGACGACGACAAGGCAATGTGGCGGTCGAGATTACGAGACTGCGGTATCCGCGTCGCGAACGTGCTTGTAGAGATGGGTGATCTCGAGGGCGCAGGACGACATCTGGCAACACTTGCAGCAGACGGTGACCAAACAAGGGAGATATCCATCATGGAAACACTTGTCTGGCTCAGGGTTGGTGACATGCAATCAGCACGGCGTTGTCTAGCCCGCGCATCCTCTGCCTCTGTAGATGCTCTCGTAGACGGCACACTAAACGCTCTGATCCAACTCGCCGACTCGGACTATGAAGCTGCTGCCGAGTCTTTCAAGACCCTGCACGAGCAACATCCTGAAGATGGCATGGTAGCGCAGAACTTGGCCGTGTGCTTACTCTACACGGGCCGTATTTCGGACGCCAAGGGTATCCTCAGTGAGCTTGTGGATGATAGCCCACCGTTCCATTCGCTTGTGTTGAACCTGAGTACAGTGTATGAGTTGTGTACAGAAAGGAACAGGGACAAGAAGCTTGGATTGGCTGAGAGACTGGCTGGGAGGAGAGAAGGTGGTGGAGTGGGTTGGGAGCTGAGTAACGCCGAGTTCAAGCTGTAGATGACTGATCTTGGATGTCATGAATGATTTGATCATAGTGAATTGGACCTGTCTTGTCTCGTTGCTAGCTCGGAAGCCTTCTCAGGGCTAGGATATCTGATAGTTTCACATTGCCCTTTCCACCCCAGCCTGCAGCGCCTTGAGCTACATCCGGTCGAACGCGGACATACCAGCCCCAAGCCCGTTTGTCTAGGTCATCCTTATCGAGTACTTTTGCCCATGATTCATAGAGTAGTTCCAGCGCGCCTAACAGAAGACTAAGATTGTGCTCTTTCTCTGCTGCAATGACAGCAGCTGTTCGCTTGCCCTTTGGCTTCGGCACTGCCTGTCCCTCTATCTTGACATCAACATCTTCTGTCTTGATTACCTCTGCGGCAGGTGTCTCGAACGCCTTCATCAGATACGCCCTTGCACTTTGCGCGGGATATATAGGCAGATTGCTTGAACCGTTTCTGGAGGTCTGCGCCTTCCTGAGCGCTTCAAGATCCACACCCCATAGCGCAATCTCCCTCTCCCTCTCCACCTCATCTTTCTTCGCTTTGTTTTCCTCTTTCTCACCATGCGAAACGTCCGGCTCAGACTTGATCTTTTGCTGTGTCGTATCATCGCTACCTTCCCACTCATAGCCCCACCTCTTCATTACTCTGACCTCTCTCGTCATGATCCGCAGCAAAGGCTGTCCTTCTCCCCAGCCTTCTTCTTCAGCAGGCTGGTCCTTGTCAATTCCGATATGCACGGCTTTTGATTTGCTATTCATAGAAGTGACCGCTTGTGCTAGACTGAGGCGACTGGATATAGGTTGGCCAGGCATTGTAAACTTGAGTAGTGTTACCGCAAAGGCGAGAACGAGTGGCGCACGATTTGTGTAGACGACAGCTGAACCGACTTTCTTCTCATCTAGTTCTGGCTCTGGGAGCGCTAGAGAAGCCTCAAGATCCGCGCCATTGAGGGGTTGTCCATATGTCGGTTTCGCTCTTTTTGCTGTAGGCGCAGATGCAACTGAGGAAGTGTCTGCCGATCGCTTTTTGGATTGTCGTTTTGCAGCATTGAGCACTTGGCGCGCGACCTTCTCGTCCGCGAATATGGATTTTAGTGTTTCATGGGATGAATTGGAGAGATCTGATGGACTACGCGCATATTAGCACAGTGGGTAACGCGGTTGTACGCTGTCACGTGCTTACGTGTTGAGGCTCGCCGCTTGCAAGTCTTTGACTTTGGATAGCGCTTGGGCGAGGGGTACCTTAGCGTCTTGCGATAGGAAGCGGAGGAGGATCTGTACGTCTTGTGCTGAGGTCATGGTAATTGCCCGAGTTTGGTGCTATTAAGATGAAATGACGTTGTTCGGGATCCCGAGGCCGTGGGGAAGCCCTGGACTTGACGCTAGTCTGGACCCTCACGCGCAAGCTTAACTTTCCGATGTTGACATTCGAAACCTCAACCTCGACTTTACCTTATGGAATAATTCAGCACGACCATACTTTAGTCATTCGCTAACATGGCTTTCAAGTTCTCTTTAGGCACCGCAAAGGCCACCAAGGCGCAATTGAATGCGAAAGCCAAGGAAGAAGAGGAAGCGAAACAGCGCGAGGAGAAGAATGCGCTCGACAAGGTTATGGCCGATTTCGAGGCGGAGCATGGCGCAGAGAGGAGCATATTGGGGGAGCCTGAGAAGCAGGAAGCGGAAGATGTCTTTGTGCCAACAGGGAGTAAGAGACACTTTACAGGCAGACAGCGAACGATGAAGAGCGGTCCTGGCACCCTCGAAACCGAACCTCTCGATGATTATCAAAGACCTGGCGCAGCGCCAGGGCGTCTCGCACCACAAATGCAGTCACGATTCGGAGGAAATGCACCCTCAGGTCCCGCGTCACTCGAGGGCCCCAAGCAGCCAGAAAACGTTTACACGACCGTCGTAGCGAAAGCCTCAAACCTCCCACCCTCGATAGATACGCGTCGCGTAGAAGAGCTCTTCGCGGACTTCCCGTCGCTCAAAATTACCCGTGTCGAGAAGATACCACCGCAAGGCCCATCGCCAAAGGGCAGACCATCAGCGACGATGAAGGTCATTTTCGACAAAGATGCCAGCGCGCGAGACCTTGACGATGCAATGAACAAGCTCAACGATAAGAAGTACTTGGGCAAGGGCTATTATCTACATTTGGACAGATACCTGGGCGGTCGTTCAGTGGAAACAGCGCAGCGGACAGAGGCATTTGGTGCGCGGTGGCAGGCGCCTGAACTACCCAAGGGCTTTGCACCTCCGCCAGATCTCGGCGGGGGAGGTGGAGGTGGCAGAGACAGGCCGCGCGAGGATACTGAACAGCTCATCGTCACCGCAAACCAGCCTCCCGATGTCGCTACACTCAAACTGGTGCATCAGACCATAGAAGGTGTTATACTTGGAGGCGTGGAATTTGAAGCTGCCTTGATGAACGACCCCCAAGTCCAAGACGAGGAACGGTTCGCTTGGCTATACGACCAGAAGCACCCGGTCAACCGGTATTATCGTTGGCGCTTACATCAGATCGTCTGCGATAGTCCCAATCCCGAGATCTTTGAGCGGCATGGCGATTGGCGAGGCCCGCAGGATCCACTTCCCCACGAGTTTGCCGACCATCTAGGAGCTTTTGAGTCCGACGACGAGAGCTTGGATAGCGACGATGAGGAAGAGAAGGAGAAGCCGCAGTACAAGCCTCTGCCAGTTGGCGACAACTATCCTGGACGAGTCGACAACGGTCATGGCATTATGGACCCTAGGTCACGAGCAATGCTTCTATGGATGCTCACCACCGTTCCTCCTGGTAGCATCGTTGCTGATGATATCGCTGCTATATCGAACTTTGCTGTTGAACATGCCGGTCAAGGCATGGATGAGGTCACTAGCATACTGGTGTCCAATATTATACAGCCTTTTCAGCTTACTGATGCAAACACGAGGAACCGTGCAAGCGATGCGGAAGGTAAAGACGATCTTCGGCGCCCTGATCTCCGGCAGGTAACGCTAAACGCTCTGCGCATCATCTCTGATGTGCTCTTCGTCACGGCTAAAGAGTCAGGAGTCTCGTACAAGTATCGTCTAGCTATTGGTACGGAGCTTGTGGATCGTAAGGTCTTCGAACACCTTGAACAAATCCCTGCCAAGCTCGAGATGGGTCGCATGACAGAGAGGAGCTTTCGGGAAGAAGTCAACACTATACTCAAAGTCTGGGAGGAGGAGCATTTGTTCGATGACGCAACACTGAAACATCTCGACGAGGCTTTCAATGCGCGGGAGAGACAAAAGCAAGAAGAGGAGGAGGCGAGACGGTTAGCAGAGAGAAGGAAACGCAAGGGCAATGTGGTCCGCAAGATACCGACTTCTGAGGCAACTGAAGAGGCTGAACAGGCGATGGATGTTGACGAGGCTGCGGACGATGCGACCGTCGAGCCTGAACAAACGTCTGCGACAGCGACTCCAGAGGTGTCTGTAGCTGAATCCGTCGCGCCTACAGATCCACCCAAAGCAGCCGACCCCAAAGAAGTTGAGATACCTGGAGAGACGGCTGTCGCCAGAGCTCGCCGGTTGAGGCCCAAGGCAGAAGACATGTTTGCGCTGGACGAGGAGGACTAAGCAAGTGATAGAACTACAGATGATACCCTAGACAAGAAGTGGAGTCGGACCAGCTCATCAACGCCGCCGGCAAGCAAAGAGCGGTGATGAAAGAATCAGACCTCAACTACTGTTCTCGATGCCCCACTATTACTAACGATATGGACGATGAAAATTCCACACTCAAGGTACATGAGCAAGATCACCGGCTTCCTAGAATTCCTTTGTATATGTGATGTCTGTGTATCAACCTTCCCCCCTCAGCCCCGAGGAAGCACACACGCGCCATGCCGCTAGTCATGTCGACCCCACGCTTGATCGACATCAGGCACGTCCCCTGATTCGATACCCTGACCAAACACATGGTTGCAGCATGTTTCCTTTGACCTGATAATGAAGTGAAATATGGTGGCTCTTTGAAGACGGCAATCGAAATCAGGTGCAAGCGTGATTGGCTCGTGACTTGCGCCGTGGACCCCAACACCTCGTGGGACCGCCCGCTACGGAAGCTCTCCGCCTAAACCAACAACACAGACACTTGTAGTCGCTACCTCACACCGCCTCCCAGCCAAAACTTCGCCCACTTAGTCGCGCAGCTGCCCCTCCGGCAGCCGCTCTATCGCAGGGATATTTTCTTTCCTCACAATCTTGCCAAGACTACTGTGTTAGGGCTCTTCCGCTGCCATCTCCGCAGCTTCACAGTCGTCCTCACAACACCCACAACCCTGTACCAAGATGCCGACCTTCTTAGGGCTTGCGGTCAGCATCCATGCCGACAGTAATCCGCTGCCAGAATACTCGATACAGAAGCAATCTAAACATCACCGTATCACCTCGTACATCCCCGTCCCACCTGCGAAGATACCGCCTGGCGCTACCAAGCCTGAACAGTCTTCCTTCGCGATATCGATAACCCTGCTCACTCCAGGTCTTCACGTGCCGTACTCTACCCCCAAGCCGACTGAAGATGACCCCAACCCGAAGGCCAAGATTGTCGGTGGCCTCCCTGGTCAAACCGGAGAGCGGGGCAAGTACGGTCCCACGATAGCCCCGTACAAGCCTCTGACCACTTCGCCGAACGAGACAATTGCTGCATACATATACTTTGACGGCCGGGCGAAGGAGGAAGTAGCGACCCTGCTGCGGCGCGGCGAAGAGACGTGGGTCAACTCGCGGTGGGTCAGCGTGCCAGAGTCAGAAGGTGGGGGTCTTGCAGAGCGCGAGTTTCTCTTCCGCGAGGTTGGTCTCGAGCGATGGCTGAACGGCCTGGATCTCGAGGGCAAGGACAAAGATGTGGCCGCAAAGATTGAGCGGAGAAAGCAGCGCCTCGAAAAGAAGCGGGCAAAGCGGAGAGAGGCCATGGACAGCAGCGACGAGGACAAGAAAGCTTCCAGTAACGGTGTATTGCGCTACAGCGAAAGCCAGGACGCGCCCGTCGAGACGCTTTCCGGCAACGACGAGTTCTTCACCACCGACTCCGATTCGGACGACGAGCCCCCCATGCCCGAGGCAGCTGGACAAATCAAGGTCGCTTTGTTCCGTGTGCTAGCGTCTGGAGAAATCAAGCGCGGCGAGTACTCACCTCAGTTCGATGCACACGACGACGATGAACAAAACGGAGGAGGAGAGGGCGAAGACGTTGATCACACAACGAGTTTCGCAAAGCCCAAGACGTTGGATCCCAAGTCTATCAGCACCCAAACAGTGACTGGCATAGACCCCCCGGACAAGCCATACGCAGTATTCACCTTCTTGTACCGCGGAGAGCGTAAGCATGCAAAGTGAAAATTCCCGGATCTCAATTAACAAAGAACAGGCCAGCTGCGCAAGATGGGCATCTTGAACACAAAGGAGAAGCCTACAATCACCTCGCCACAATCGAAGCGGAAATCCGGAGCGCTTGACTTCGGCAGCCTCAAGCCCCTGAACGCAGCCGCCGGAACCAAGAATTTTGGTGGTTACCGAGAGACTTCACCCAAGTCTAACAAGAAGAAGGAAGACGCCATGGACAGCGACGCAGATGATGAGGACGACGTCAAGGTTGAGGACGCGGAGGATGACAAGGAGGTATTCGACAAGGGCATGCTATCGCCAGAAGACGCTCATAGACAGGGTGAGCTCGCGGAGGGTGTGCGCAAGATCAAGGTATGTCTCCAGAGCGTAGCAAAAGTTGCCATACTAACACCTCATAGCTCAAGCGTCAGCATTCCGCAGAACCTCTAGGCCGTCCTGCAGGACCCTCTCACTCTGACTCCACTGGATCTCCTCTTTCGGGTACACCAGCACCCGACGCCTCGTCGGCAGCTGGACCGTCATCCCCACGCGCCACAGATGCCTCCGCCGAGCCAAGTTCACAAAACTCTGTCGCTTCACCTTTCAAGAAGCAGCGCGCTTCATTACCTGGCTTCGATGACAATGTTCGGAAGAGTCTGGGCCAGGCGCTCATGGACGCCCACCAAGGACGAGCAAACTCCGACGGGAACATCCCCACCATCGAAACCAAGATGGAGGAAGATGAGGAGTTGTGACACAAGAAAATTCGTTTTCAAACCGCATTTGATTGAGTGGAGGTTGTACTGTCCCTCGTCGTGTAACAAGCACATCTCTGTTCGCATTATAACGGTCACCCACGAGTCGAATACTGCAATGCCACATTTGTCCAAACCTTAATACCTCGCGGGCACCACGGCCGGCATCACCTTCTAGGCGCAAATTGACATGGATCCTGCAAAAGTAAGGATATGGGGGCCTTTGGATAAACTAGGCTTGGTGCCGGGTTAGGTTCTGGGCTGGCTGATGAATTCTGTACATGATCATGTTTCGTATGTTCTCTTTTGGTGTGAGCTTCGGCAAGGCAAGAAGCGTGGTTGATGGTTTGGGATTAGGATAAGCTGGTGCAAGATGCATTACTGGTGTGTCTAGTAGTGTGGAGTGACATGAAACGAAATGTATGGCACGATATATGGTATGTGTGCATGAATGATTGATTTGCAAGTACAAGGTGAAAAGCACTGTTTATCTGATGCAGATTTCTGAAAGAAAAAGACGGTGATTCCTCGAGGCCTCGGGAGATTTTCTGCTACACCCGATTACCGTGCTGCCTGTTGTAATGGAGTATTCAGATGTTCTCCATCGGAACGGGTGCTCGATGCAGGTTTGTTGTTTTATTGCTATGTGTAGCTGTTGTTGGTTGTTGAGTGAGTGTCTGTGTTGTCTCGGCCTTTTTCCCTTCTTGCCGCCTTCGTCCGCGTCTTCCCGATCCGATTGCCTTTCATTTCGCTCTTCTTCCCACGTTTTCCCACCACACTCTGAAGCTGGTGATGGCTAAGTGCATACCGCACCAGAGATGTCTCGTCTTTCCCCGGTCTCCATGCACATAGATCCATTAAACTGCCCACTGTCGACACAGTCCGTTTCCCTCCAGTTTCTCCCTCTTGTTCAAACTCTTCCTTCGATAGCGTTGATGGAAACTGATCTCGCTTCACTAAAACACTAGACCACCCCGCATCTTCAGCGCCAAAAACATCTTTCATCAGGTCGTCTCCGACATAAAGTTTCTCGAACGATGATGCTGGGGTATCCGAGCTGAACCCTGTGCTATCCAGTGTGAGAGCTAGCATCCTTTCGGCAGCAATGAAGATACGTCGATCTGGTTTCTCGAAGCCGACATCGTAGGATAGCACAGTGAAATGTACATCGTCGACCCATTTGTTTCTGTGTTGTTCTTCTTTGTTCTTCTGAGCTCCGGGGACGTAACGACGGGAGCTTGTTTTGACTTTCAGTGAATTCAAAATACCGGGGACACGGTCATCGGAATTTGTTATGATTCCCACAATGGTTTTATTCCAGGGCCAGATGGCCGAAGGCTTGTTTCTCTTCGAGTGGGCTCGCAGTACTCTGAAAAAAGTAAGAACGTCTGGGTACAGATTGTATCCTGAATTTGAGGAGAACGTGCGAAGAAGTTCCTCGGTAAGGGCAGGTGGGAAGGGTTGACCTGCGCTGAGAAAAGGCTTGAAAGTATCTTCTATGACGTTTGACCACCACGTCCTTGCACCCATGCCTGTGGCCTTTCCATAGTTTGGGTTCTCTTGAGAAGCTTTTTTGAAGGCGGAGCTGAAGGTTGAACCTACCACAGAGGGGGTTTTGGTGTCGCCTACGTTGATGCCGTGACGGGCTGCGGCTTGTGCGTAGGCTTCTGGGATGGTTTTATAAGGATGAAAGAGTGTGCCGAACGCGTCGAGACAAAGAAGTAGGTTCTTCTTTCCGGACATGCTGCAGACAGCGACGGAGATTACCTAGGTCTGTCGGGTGCGTGATGCGAACCGGCCACTCCAACGGCGATACCTTGTCGACCCCACAGCGTTCATCCGACAATACTGATAGATACACGGCAATGTCGAACCAAGATCGCATCGACGTGTAAGTGGACCCAAACTCCCTGATGGGATTGCGGAAGGAGATGATCCAAAGAGGCTAGTCAGGGTCCGAGCTACTTGCGGACACGATCACCTCCGCGAATCCTCAACCTCCAACGTCAACCCTCACCTGCAGTCGCTCTTTCACCCAATTCCGCAGACACAACAGCCGAACCAAATATGGCGAACACCAACAAGTACTCGGTCCTCCTTCCCACCTACAACGAGCGTCGCAACCTGCCCATAATAACATGGCTCCTGGCTAAGACGTTTGAGGAGAAGTACGTCGCAAGACAACTCTACCACACATGACGCCAATGCTAATTTCCTTCCAGCAAACTCGACTGGGAACTCATCATCGTCGACGACGGCTCCCCCGACGGTACCCAAGAAATCGCCGCCCAGCTCCAAAAGGTCTACACCCCCCAACGCATCCAAATCCGCGCCCGCGCTGGTAAACTCGGACTCGGAACCGCCTACGTCCACGGCCTGCAATACGCAACCGGCAACTTCGTCATCATCATGGACGCCGACTTCTCGCACCACCCCAAGTTCATTGCGCCCATGATTGCGCTGCAGAAGACTAAGAACTACGACATCGTCACTGGTACACGGTATGCGGGGGATGGTGGTGTATTTGGCTGGGATCTCAAGCGCAAGTTTGTGTCTAGGGGCGCCAACCTGTTTGCGGACACCGTGCTCAGGCCAGGCGTGAGTGACTTGACGGGTTCGTTCAGGTTGTACAAGAAGGAGGTGCTCCAGAAGGTTATTCGTAGCACCGAGAGCAAGGGATATACTTTCCAGATGGAGATGATGGTTAGGGCAAAGGCGATGGGATGCACGGTTGCCGAGGTGCCCATCTCGTTTGTGGACCGTCTTTATGGCGAGAGCAAGCTGGGTGGTGATGAGATTGTGGAGTATGCCAAGGGTGTGTTGGCACTGTGGATGAAGGTCTAAGAGAGTGGAAGAAGGGCTTGCATGGCGTTGGCGTCCGGTAGGGATGGATGGCCTTGACGATATCCTGGACTGGAAAAGAGTGGTATACTTGATCTTTCTCTTTTGTCTGAATAGTATGTTTAACTCATAATCTTCTCGTCACGATCCTTCTCTCAACTCTAGTTTCCCTGCAAAGATGATCATCGTAGGTTCTTCTACATTCAGTCAATCGCGAACACCTACCGATACGTCCCAAGGTTTCCCTTTCGACGACACTGCAAGATGCAACTTTGCTGCCGGTGTCACGGTCGATGTTTCTATATTTGCACAGATTCCTGTAACGCTCATAGGGGGTCGATCTCTATCGTATCATGCTTTGCGCCTTAGGAGGCTCAGAAAGTATTCAGATGTTCTCAGGCGACAATTCTGTAGTGACCCAATCCCAATGTACGGCAACTCAACGATTTCACACTGTGATGACCTAGTCAGGCAACTACCGATACCTTTCTGCTACGACAACGCTCACCACCCATCTGGCATGCCAAGCGACGCTAGTGCCGCCTACTCTTGCCTCGCACTCACTTCAACTCTGGCAATCACTTGATTACTACAATCGCGCGCAAAATAAGACCATGGAGTGTCTCGTTGCTGCACCTACCGAGCCTGCCGCTACGATGGCAGCACAAAGCGGCCTCGAGCCGTTTCGCCTCATGGAGTATGTGTTTCTGTATGAACTATATTTGAGACAAACGCTGACCTCACATCAATATATAGCCTTCCCACAGAATTGCGCCTCATGATCTACAAGCGACTCCCTCGTCAGATCAAGCATACTGAGCTTCGATATGACGACGGCCTTGAGGTTGACTCGGTCATCCTGGTCACACGTCAACTTCCAACGGCTCTATTGCGTGCAAGCCGTGAAATATACGCTGAAGCGCACGATATTGTTGCCGCTCTGATTCGGACCTTTGTGAAAGAGTCGCAGCCAAGGGTCATCGAACATGACTCCTACGTGCAAATGCTTGATGTCCTCAGAGCTGTTTCGACAGAACGTGAAAGGCTTGCTGTAAGTTTTCGTAATCTTGGTACCTACATGTGGGATAAACAGCTAAGCCATTGCAGCCTGGTCGATCCTGTCTTATGATTAGAGTCAGTCAAAGACACCCAGAATTTGTCTACCACCCCGAGGAAACCGAACCACCTCGCGAGGTCACACAATTTATCTGTCAAGCTACATTAGCGACCAGCAACACTATCGCGATTATATCTTGCGTCGATTTCGACAGCACAGCAGATCACTGTCGTCTGGTTCGGGAAGCTGATAGGCGAAAGGACATTATAAACACAACGCTCCAGCGTTCGTATCGCCCAGATCCGTGTGCTCAAGTGGATGAGACCTGTATGGTTCTCCATGCACCTGATGGGGAGATTAAGCTGACGGCCACCAACACTCCCGCCAAACTTGACTGGAGGGAGTTCTATGAATCCAATTGCTTCAACGATGTCTCGACTACTCATATCAGCCAGGAAACTTGGGTCGAGGAATGGCTACCTTCTATGTAAAGGGTTTGGAGATCTTTGTTCATGCGGCCCCCAAATGTAACTACCGGACTCTGCGCCCATGTGGGAAGATTATGACCCGCTGCGAATCTCTCTAGGGTGCCATTAGTCTTCAGGCGGTCTTGTACTTCCAGCTCCTTTATACGATTAAAATGATTAGAGCACAACACCAAGGTAGAAGCCCAAAAATTACGAACTCTGCGTCTCAAACATTCTGATGCTTCGCATGCGAACTTCAATGTTATAAACTTACCATATGCCGCCATTCACTGTTGGTGAAGAAGCTGCTAACCAGTTTCGTCGCGCTCATCCAGCCGATCATCTCCGACCGTCAGACGCTTGGTATCCCTCACAAACCCTGCAAATACTCTTGTGTCTACCAGCCGCTCTTCAAGACATGGGCATCCGGTATTTCCGGCTGACGCGGGGATCATCATCACGGCATTACTGTCATCTCCACACGCTCCGATAGGTTAATGTTAAACTGAATATATACCAGACATTAAGTCTCTCCTCTCATCTCGCAATCATCTCCCAAGGAGCTATAAGTTTACATTCATTCCTATTTTTCCTCCAGGTTCGCGCAACTACGACCACCAACATCGTCGATATTCAATCAATTCTTCTTAGTAACAATAGCCGATAGCGATCACTTGGTCATCAGGAATTGCAATTCCAACGCCGATATGTCAACTGCCCAATCCGAGTCGTTCCCGTTTTTGAGACTTCCCACGGAGATACGTTTGCTCGTCTATGAACACCTACCACGTCAGGTCAAGCACACTGAAGTCTCTATAGACGGTTTTGTCGCCATCTTGGTCACACGGCACTTGCCCACAGCTATACTACGCACTAGCAAGCTGATTCGCGCAGAAGCCCGACCCATCATCCACAGGCTGATACAAGAGTTCATTGAAGAATCGCAAACGAAGATCATCGAATTCAGCAAGAGTGGTTCCAAGATGAGACATTGCAAGATACTGGAGTGCTTGAAGACGCAAATACCTAGAGAACGTAATGCAGTGGAAGGGCTTGAAGACTACGATATCCAAGCTATTCTTAGACGGATACCAGAGACAAGAGAGCTTCAGTCTACGGACCCAGCATTGTCGCCTAATATCGCTCGTTTCATGCATCAAGCCGCCAGGTCAAGGTATCGCTCTGCAGAGCTCACCCCTGCGTCTGCCGACAAGTCTTGGAACAACACGGTCGTGACGGTGCATGTTACTCATACCAATTTCAAAGACGACGATCAACTTTGGTTTGTTTGTGAGACCAATCACAGACATATTCGGCATATGTACCATCATGAAAAGATGGCCCTGCTTCCGAATCACATCTGGATCTTGGATGGCGGCGATGTACAATTGGCAGAAGGTGCCACTTTGGAATCGGCCACTGACACGGTTCCAGTTTTATGGTCCGATGGCTACGACCGGTGGGGTAACAGAACACGGGGTGTGGAGGCATCATGGGGACCGGCCATGAGTCAAGAGGACTGGGCCGCAAATTGGCTACCTTCGTAAGCCTGGCGTGAGAGGTATGTCGAAAACAGCACCTTGAGGGAACGTCCAATAGAGACCGCAGATGAATAAAATAAACTCGTTTCAGAAAACCTTAATGTGCAATTGTGCAGATCTCAAAATCCAGCGCCGCGAGTTGAGTAATCACTACAACTTTCTGCAAGGGTTAACTCTCTCACAGGCGGGTCATCAAGCCCACTCATCAGCCTCGCAAATTGCGAGAACGTAAGGTTCATGAAAACCATCCCAAAGTCGCTCTTCCGATTTCACTTTTCCATCCTGAACTCCTGACAACCCATGTTTTCTAACTCTCCCGTACACTAACGCCCTTCTTCATGAACAGTAGCTTGGTCTTTGTCGTCTCGGCGAATTTCCCCTCTTCTTCCAGCACCGGCAATGCATCATCCGAATGCATAAACGCAATGAATTGCTGCAAGTGCAACTCATCTTCAAAAGCCATCACACCCATACAATCCCAGTCCATACCGTCATCGTCGCCAATCAACACACGAGGAACTCCAATAGGACATTCCGATTCGTCGACATGGTAGTGCCTTGTCCAGGATAGCGGATGCACCTTCCCAGCAACCTTCTTGAGCAGTGGCGCATAAATTTCTTCGTTATGGCGGTGAAATTCCTCGCGTGAGACGCCTTCCTTTCTCGTAGCGACTGTGGTGAGGATGTATGGGTATGTACTTGTCTTCGTCAACATCGTATGCGGCATGATTGCGGTGTTGTTTGGTGTTTTATGTGTATACGGTGTTTTGTCGGCGGTATGATGATATGCGGCCGATGTTTAGCATGTACTGGTTCAAAAGAATGGAAGGAATTGGAGTGACAAAGTCTCCGAGGAACAGACGAGATGGGTATATAGAAGAAGATTTCAACTAAATTGAACGAAATTTCAGGCAAGAAAACAGGAGACGGCTATCTTCCATATGGAGAGTGCTTACCCGCGTGCCGGTGTCATCTAGTCAGACCATCCCTGCCTTTTATCGGTCCCACTTGCCGCTCGGTTGCCACGAGGCTGATCATGCAGACCGTGCGCTAAAAGTTCATGCCTGAGTCAACTACCGATGAAGCGAAGTACCGGACCTTTCCCAAACCTCATACCTACTGCCTTTTTCGTGCACGTGCGACTCAGCTACTCACGTTAGTACCATTGCATTGCTTGAGTTCGTCATCTCGTTTGCACTGGCGAGCCGCTACGAGCGTCATTTGCTCAACCGTCGTACTGTCAGGCCTCCAGACGTCGCCCGATTTTAGTTCCCGATGGCTGTTTCGAGCTTCTGCGGTCATTGCCGCTGCGCAACACGACAGCATACGGCATTTTTCGGAAGCGCACATGTCGAGTCAGCGTATTTTTCTGACACAGCCAGCTTGATCGTCATAGCCCCGATCCCCGGAAGGCATGGTCGGGAATAGCAGACTTTGAGCACATTTTCGATTCAACATCTGTTAGCGTCGTCTCGGCTACACCATTAGTTGCACAAAACCTGCACCACTGAGGGCAACGCGTGCCGACATGTCTTTATATCGCTATCCTCTCCGTTCAGCATGCGACTCTCTACCAGCCACGGGACCAGCACCAACACGCCTTAGCAATCTTGGCAACATGCATTGCCTTTGAATCATATTCTGCTTGCGGATTGCTGGTTTACTACAATATTCATTGAACTAACTATGACCCTGAAGAAACCAGTGGCTTCCTCCCGTCCGCCGGTGCATCGGCACGAACCGGCACTACTCCACTCCACAGTCCGGATGCTGAGCTCGTGACCGGCAGGTACGAATGAAGTCGGATCATGCAGATGAGGATTTCGAAAGCTCAGGCACATGAGCATCTTCTGATTGAGGACCACCATGTTGATCTTCGAGGTATATCGTGGTGATAACATGCCATAATAATGTCTATGTTGTGGATCTTGACCGCAACGTGCATGACATCACTCTCTAGACACATACCAAGGTGTCCGAGCGCATGAGCTCCGATGGTAGGGGGTCAGACCAGTACCCATCGGTTCTGTACCACCCTAGCGATAACTGAAACCACCATTGTATGTGTCTCGATGATTTCGGTGTGCTCATCAATCAATGCTGCCTCATCCTGAGCGCCTGTCCCGCTTGGAGATGGTCAGAGAACGAATGCTGGTACGTGGTGACAGCGATCGTACTCGCAACCTGTTCCATCTTAACTAACGAGCGAGGCCAGCTGGCGTCTTATACTGATCTCAGCAGCACCAGTGATCTCCAGAAAAGTCACTGCTACGCCGGGTGTTATGATTATATCAGTAACACGATGTACGTTATCTGACTAGAGAATTCAAGGAGTTGCCTTCGACACCCACGATTAGCTACCTGAGCGACGGCGGAGCTCAGATACACGATAAGTATGACGGATGACGTGCTCAATCGCATGATGATTGCAGAGAGCTCTAGTTCGTGTTCGTAGAGAAGTGTCTTGCTAGCTCGCACAGCCCATGCATACTACTAAGCCAGGTCAGACAGTGGGTGAGTGTGAGATGGGGCTTCAAGCGAGCCAATTTCGCCAACATAAGGCAGCAGTCGCGGCCATTTTCTGGTTTGAAAGTGTCTACAGTCCATTAAACTATGTGTTGATTCTTGGCATGATCCGCTCTCCAGCTTTGCGAACGAAGGAAGACCAAAGCAATCACAATTAATCACTTGCGTACTGCCTATCACCTACACGAGTCTTGTAACATACTCCTGACATCTCAAAGTTAGTCATCATGGGATAGCTGTATACCATGATATATCACTGCTTTTGGGTAGTCATATGATGTAAACTTCCGTATAATTGCTAACTCCATGCAGCGCTTGACCGCAGTCGTTGTGATGATAGGTAGCTAGCTAGAAAGGTGATGTGTGATCGTGAGCCACAAGAGAGATACATCAAGAACGACAACCAGAGTTCTGGGTTAAACAAATCCGCAATCCGTTCCACCTTCGCGCACGGGTTCTGGTATTGCTTGTTTACCTCCCAGATTGGTGGGCACAATCAATCTTGCGCTACATGAGCCTCGTCATCCGGAAGTCTCATCCTCTCTACAGCTTCCTCAAACTCTTTCAGCTCCCTAAGCTTCATTTTGCATACCCTTTTTTTGTCTTCCATCTCCTGATTCAGCACTTCGACCGTCTCGCTGAGACCAGTGATGGCCTGGAGTAGCGCCAACGTAGTTTCCAGCGTGTCGATATGAGTACCAATTGCTGTCATGGATTCATCGATGGCGGCGTAGACGAGATCGCGTGTGGTGAGAGTCGCAGGATCGACGATCGGCAGGGAGGCAGGCGCGTTTATGTCGAGGACAGTGGTGATGGATAGGAGATCAGATTCCGTGCTTCCTGCGCTTGAGACTACGGGAGACGGTGTGGTCGCAGAAGGAACGGAGTCTCCTTCGGTGATCCGAGGCAGGACATGAATGGCAGGAACTTTGGAAGTTTGTGGAGGTGATAGTGTTTGTGAGGGATTTCCGGATGTGATCGCCGCTGGTTTTTCAGCTTTGTTGACTAACGGCGATTGCTCATGGGATTTTGATCTCGCGTGTGGACCATGCTTGAAGAGGTGTCGAAGTAGGTTACCGCGCGGCATCGTGTCTGCGTCAACCAGATCGAACTGCGGAAACTCGATCGGACTGGTTGTAGAGCGGGCGTGGTTAAGAGCGCAGTGTCGGTGTGAGAGCGCTCAAATGATACGGTATCGGCCTTGCGGTACCTAGAATATTCTTCTTCACCTTCATTACCAAGGCCTCTATATTCACCCACACGCTGTCGAACCCCACACGCCGAGCCAGTCCTTCTATTTGAGCCGCGTATGCACAGGATCTGTTTGTGTTCGAATTGCTCACCAGTCCCTTAATGTCATTATATGGTTTCAAATAACACTCATAACAATCGGCGTGATCCTCGGCTCAGCTATTTCTATACCAATATCAAGACGAGTGGTTCCGTTTCCGGTGTATCAACGCTAAAAAGCGATACAGTACCAATGGATGATCGTTTGCTGTGAGCAAATCCGGCCAAGCACTTATACGTTTCTTACTGAAATACCACAGCGATATCATTTCTTCCACCGGTGATTTGCCATTCATTGCAGACCAAGAAGCCGATAACGTAAGGCTCCAGCGAGAAAAGAGAGAAGCTAAAGTGGTCGCGAAAGAGCTGCATGGTGGCCTTGACCGAACGACCCAGTCTTTGAACAACCTGATGGCCTCATATGCCAATCCTCTGCGAGAGAACAACACGATATCAAGCGACAACGTGGCCATCGAACAGCGACACACCAAGATGAGGGCAGAAGCCGCCACCTATACGTGTGAGATCCGCACTATGACCACCAAGATACGAGAGATGGAGGAACAAAGTCAAGCATATAAGATCGAGAACACGAAGCTTCGAACCACCTCACGAAATTAGAGACTGAGTTGGAATTTCTTCGACTTCGAGTAAGAGCCCTTGAGTCGGGACAAGTGCAAGGACGGATCCCAGACAATGCTGTTCGAGCTTGATGCAACGATGATGACGAGTAATACGGCCAAAAGTGAACCTCTAGCGCTAGCTAGCAATCTAACTCGGTCGAGTTGAGATGTGTCACCTCGAGTGATCGAGATCTTGTTTCCATCATATAGCATCGAACATCGTTTACGGTTTTACTTGCCAAAGTTTTCGCCGCTGCGGCTTGCATGCATTTGACCATTTCGTAACCCTCCCACAAGGGCATGGTGAGTCAGGAGTCAGTTTAACTCCGGTGCTGTGAGTCGCGACGTCTCAAGTCGACTGCAGCAGGTGACAGGATCGGTCTCTTCTCAACGCGAACTCCGCGCAAATAGCATGATGTTGGCACCTCCGCACTTCAGCCTACATCAATTAAGCTTCTCATTGGACATTGATTCATAGTTGCCGACGTGTCAGCCCCGTCGGAACTCTGGTCGTGCTAACGAGAACGTTCAAGGGACCCGCGGCCACCGCCCCGTCGGCAATAGATCGCCTGCGTACGACGACTCTCCACAACACAAGGTAATCAGACTTAGGAGTTTCAACGTTGATCTCTCTGGAATGACAGTAGCTACTGTACAATATAAGAGAGATCCATGAACATGGCTCGAAGTTTGCACTTATCTGCCATATTATCTGGTCCGTGATGTTTCGCGCAACCATCATTCCTCGTCTCCAGGAAAGCTTGGCAAGCTCTGCCTTAGGCGACTGCTCCTTTCTTGAGCTAACGATTTTCATCATCTCCCTCGCAATCACTTTGGGATCGTCTCGAGCAGTTTATCTGGTCTACTTCCATCCATTAGCATCTTTTCCTGGACCCTACAAAGCGATTTTCTCAAGTTGGTGGCAATACCCGTTGAGCAAGCATGGGAAAATTGAAGAAGTTCTCGAGCACCTTCATCGAACATACAGTATGCTATATCATGGTTTCTTTGAATAGAACATTGACGATAAGACAGATACGCGTGTACTACGCATCGGTCCAAACGAGCTACACATCACCGATCCCACGCTTTACCACACCATCTACTCGCAACGCTATACGTTTCCCAAACAAAAATCTTTCTATGATGCCTTCAACACGCCCCATTCCGTCTTTGTAGAGCATGACGGAGAACTGCACCGTGCGCGACGGAAGCTACTTAGCAACTTCTTTTCGAAGTCTTCTGTACGAGCCATGAACAAGATCTTGCTCACAAAGGTCACTATCATGTGCGACAGGATCGCCGAGATGAAAGGAAATGGCGCAATCAATCTGTATCACGCTTTCAGGTACCGGAACCGAAGCAAGCTAACCGGAGATTAGCTAACAAACGTGTCACAGATGTCTAACGGTAGACTTCATTACCGAAGTTGCTTTCGGAGAGTCCTTCAATCTGACTACCGAGTCTGAAGACAACACATTCAACACACCTTTCATTGAATGTTTTGACCTGGCTTCCGAATCGCTATGGGACCTGTTGTTCTTCCCCTTCATCCGAATCATCGTTAACAAATGTCCGCCTGCTGTCGCAGCAAAGCTCAGCGAGCCAGCGGCAAAGTTCCAGGGCCTCATTCGTGCGGTTGCTGCTACAGTAGCCAACTTCAGACGTTTGAAAAGTTCCGGTAAATGCCTGAACCGTGAGATCGTGTTCGATGCCATGCAGCATCTGGACGATGAGCTGGTGCAGGCTGAAGCTTCGGACATCTTGATTGCAGGATCTGATACAACGGCTACAACCCTCGCAGTTGCCGTCCAAGCGATTATAGAGAACCGGACAATATTCACTAATCTGAGAAATGAGATGAAGGACGCTGGTATTACGGCAGAACACGATTTTGACCTTCTTAGACTCGAGCAACTTCCATATCTGGTATGATTCTTAGATGAATAGCAAAACAAAGCTAACGCGATCAGACTGCTTGTGTAAAGGAAGCATTGCGCTGCGCTATGGCAGTGCCTGGAAGACTTCCGCGAGTTGTACCGAACGGAACGAAACCACTCGTCGTTGACGAGAAGGTCATCCCCGTCGGAACCATTGTCGGCATGTCTGCCTACTCGATGCACTACAACGAGAGCATTTGGGGCGAAGATGCCAGAGTATTCAACCCATCCCGATGGCTAGTTGCAGATGCAAAAGATTTGGAGAGGTATCTCGTAACTTTCTCCAAGGGTGTAAGGCAGTGTCTCGGAATCAACATTGCATATGCGGAGATCACACTCACGCTCGCAATGTTAGTTGCAAGATTTCGCTTCACGATCGACGAAACAGTGACGGAGTCCGATGTCAGACAGCTAGACTACTTTGTGAGCGCGTTCGAGGGGACAGGTATCCGTACTTACGTCCATGAGGACAAGTTGTAGTGCTGAAGACTTGAATGAGGACAGCGAGAAGATGAATTCAGGCTTGATAGATATATCGGGCATCTGTTTTGTTCAAAGCAAGCGCAAAAGTAGCGAGAGATAGAGACTGGAAGTAAACAAGAACACCGTCACATCTGTCAAGCTGGCAAAACTATGTGGTATGCAATGAACAATGTTGCGATTCGGGAGATCCAAGAGATCATTAGCCTGATGGTACGAATCAATGTACGAAACGTGAGTGGCGCCCACTAGCTTCGTCGCACATACTGGCGTGTCCTCAGCCTCGTGTGCTCAATCCCCGCCCTCTTCCGAATCGGCCGAGAATAGTCTAGTAGTAGATCGCGTTCCCCGTCGGCTACGCCCCCACCAAAGACTTGCTAGTAGGCAACCTACGGGACCCTGGTGCCAAACATAAAGTAAGTCTTTGACTACTCTTACGTGCATGCATAGTCATCTTGAATACACCTGATCAGAAGGATACGCTCGAACTTCATGCCAAACACAATGACAGGTACTACAATAGAATGGTTTGGTATGGTTCAGTGGCATCTATACGATAAGATGGAACGCTGACTTCAGTAGGTGCGACAACATTTCGCCTTCGAACCAGCGGGATTACTATCTTTCTGGATACGTGGCTCGACCGGCCCTCCGTATTGCCGCGATATTTGGCTGTTGACAACGTGAACGAAGCGGATTACATCTTCATCTCTCACGCCCACTTCGACCACCTTCCAGGAGCCGATCGCATCGCGATTAAAACTGGAGCCATCGTTGTTGCAAATTGCGAAGCTATCAATCTCCTTCGTTCCGCTGGCGTCCCGGATGAGCAACTTATGCCTGTATCTGGCGGAGAACGTATACCGCTCTTCACGCGTACTGTGAGGGATCAAGCAAAGCGCGGCGAGGTTCCAACAGCCAAAGCTCTTCCAGACCAGCCGAAAATGCCTGATCATTCTCTCGCTTCTCTTGCAGTACATGTCTGGCCATCACTACATGCTTTTATGCCCAATCCTCATCCCGATCTGATGGACACTGCAGTTGTGTACACTGGAGGAGCCTCTCCTTATACGTGCACTTTGGACATTAGCAATGGGATGAAGTATGGCCTCTTACAACTAGATAAGCTCGTACCAAAGGACAAGATGAATGACGGGATGCGTTCGTTCCTTGACTATGTCCACGACAGGAGCACCAATCTCTTCTCACATTGCGATGGTGGCCAGCTCATGTTCAATATAATCATCGATGGTAGCGCAATCCTGTGGAACGCTCATCTAGGTACCTATGAGGGTGTCATCTCGAGAGTAGAGCCCAAGCCGAAGATTGCGCTTCTTGCTATCGCTGGGAGAGCGAATCACGATGGACGTCCCTTCAATGGATCGGCTGCACAGTTTGCTGTAAAGCAAGTTCGGTGGCTCGATCAACCGGAAACAGTGATCTGGTGTCTGCACGACGATAGGTAAGTCGATCAATATTGCTGCATTGGAGGGATTACGGCTGATCGCTGGTCCAGTTGCATTGCACCATACAAAGTAGATGTCACAGGAGCTACGACAAGCGTAGAGAAGGAGACAACCTCTAGCGTACTGAGCCTAATGCCTGGGCAATGCACAAACCTAGACATCTAGCTATGGGCCACTGTACATCAGTATTTAGTCATTCTTGTATGGAAGTCGAGATATTTTAAAGTTGATCCGCTGATGCCATTGCTCGGGCATGTCAGAGGGAATTGAACCTCATAGTGAAAGTCTGTGTTTCATAGTCGCAGTGTATGTGCAACTTCCCTTACGCAAGAACAAGGGTAGCTCCTACCTCCACTACCCCAATCGGCGTCATGTGTTCAATGTTGTGCATACGTTCCTTGCAACTGCCCTGCAAGAATGGATACACACCTCCGGCTGCCGGTCAAACATAGACGCCGATGCATCGCTGTTCGCTGTGGATGGTCTGGCAATCGTTGTGCGAAGCCGAGTAAAGTGACGGGGATGTCTGTGGGGCCGGCGGCTCATGGTGGGACCAATGAACATCTCCGGACTCGACAATTCATTACCACATGGCGTGCACTCCACACAGAGTGTCCACCATGGGCCGACACAGTCGGTCATAGTGATTGAGTAACCCCGCGTTTGACAACGTATATGCTAGGCTACTGAATCGTCGAAGTGCAGGTTAGTCGGTGGTTGTTGAAGCCGGGGTAGTGGAAGACGGCCACTCCAAGTTTATAATCATTCGCGTGTCCACAATCCTTCCATCTGCCCGTTATCTATCAACAATTTTCTCCAAATCTGTTCTCGTCTCTCGAAATGGCCGATTTTAAAGTTGTCATCGTTGGCGGCGGCCTGGCAGGTGCTCTCTTAGCGAACGGTCTCCGAAACAATGGCGTCCAAGTCATGGTCTACGAGCGTGATAGAGCGGACTCCAATCGAGAGGGCTACCAAATCCGATTAGGACCTGGATCTCAGGCAGGCTTTCGCGCATGCTTGACTGATGACCACATTGGCAAGATAAGTGCTAAACTTGGAAAGTCCTCCGGGGCACAAGCAACAGCGCCTTCCCTTTTCAACACGAACTTCCAAGAAATCGTCGACTTAACGCAGTTGCCTACTTATTCAAAGTCAGCTGGTATCAACAGGGTCGTCTTAAGAGACATACTGCTTGAGCCGATAAAGAAGAGCGGCTTGATCAAGTATGGAAAGGGGTTTGACCACTACGAGATTATCACTGAGAAGACTGGCAAAGAGAGGGTTAAGGTCTACTTCTCCGACGGTACTGATGATGTGTGCGATGTGCTCGTAGGAGCTGATGGGGCGAACTCCAAGGTTGGTGTGACGTAGTGTTAGGGTAGATGAAGGGTTAACGGTTGTACAGGTAAACAGGCAGCTTGGCTTGAACAACATCAAGCTTTTGGATAGCCACTGGGCTTTCCTAACGAAGGGGAACCTCCCATTCAATCGCATGATGAGCCTGCCTCCCAAATTGCGTCAAGGACCTGTCATCGTCTTCGCCGGAAGTATGTCATTCTACTATGCTCTGTATCTCCCAGAAGCGGAGGTGGCGGACGAACACCACAAGGGCGTCAACGAAAAGGTTGCGTTGCAATATAACGAGTCGGAAGCATCTTTCTACTGGGGTTTGGTTGTCCCAGTCGACAAAATTCCCTTCAAGGAAGTCTCGGAGGTCAAAGACCACAGAAAGGTTTGTCGCGATGCGATCAAGGAATGGGCGCCGGAGTTCCATAGGATGATCGACATCAGAGACGATGAGTCCGGTGATACCAATATGCTCGTTACGCAACTACGTGCTAGTACACAACCCAGAACGGATTGGCGGTTACGAGCTCAGGAGGAGGGAGATGGCAAGGGAGATCCCCGGGTGTGGGTGATAGGAGATGCCATGCATGCTATGCAACCCAATCGCGGCCAGGGAGGTAACCAGGCGCTGGCGGATTGTGCCGACGCACTTCCTCGGCTGCTTCATTTGAATTCATTAGCTAGTGTCGGCCCAGAACACCCGACATATGAAGAAGTGAAGGATGCGTGCGAAAAGTACGAAAGAGCCATGATACCGCGAGCTTTCTCTTGGGTTCGGAAGAGCGGAGGAACTAGCTTTCCCAGCATAAATCTGGATGGCTTCCTGGGTGTTGTGGTACATTATGTGGCTAAGCTGGTCATGCCACTGCTGAAGTTGTATCTAATCGTCTTGCCACAGAAGGACGGAGAATGAAGCCTATCTGGGTCATGACGGATACCTCACATACCCCTTGGCATCCTTCCTTGACTCATTTGTGCAAAGCAGCCTACGAGATCCTCCGAGATGCCTCGCCAAGGTCTCTGAGATCGCAAGATGTTCCCTGCATCAGCTAGTAATCTTTGACTGCTCTCAGTGCTGTTCAATATGCCGATACCTGTGATATGTACTCTCGAGCCCTCGCCGTCTCTTGCCCATGCAGTTATGTCGATCTTTTCTTTGATCTTGTCTAGACGAACTAGATCCCCTGACGTATCCTTTTGGCCCAGTATTTGGTCATAGAGAAGTATGTAGGTGACAGCGATAGCGAACGAAAGGGTTGCATAATATGCAGGATAACGATCATTCCGAGTGAACGCGTAAATCTGAGCTGCGTGCCACAAGCAGATCCTAGCTGTATCCAGGTTGCGTCGCAAATACTCTTTCAGTCTTTCCCTTGTCTTTTGCATTTCAGCGAGGTTCGCTTGCCATCCTACTGAGGCGTAAATCATCCGTAGTGGGATGTTCCTTAGTATAGAAATGACGTGCACAACTGGGTCGTACATGGTATGATCGCCAGCATGGCATGAGAGATGTGTAGATGTGATGGCGTCTTCAATCCTTTGGTCCAAGTATGTAATGTCATCTGGAGAGACTCCAGAGGATAGCAGACTATCTCGATTGGAGTTGACATCTTGTTCTTGTAGAGCGATCGCCAGTTCGGGCCTCAATAGGGCGCTCAAGCGCCGTGAAGATCGCACCTGGTCCAAAATAGCTCTCTCGTCAGCGTACAGACTTAAGATTTGAATATTGCTGGCGAAGTGATCGAATCTTGACGCTTGGTTGTCGGAGGCTTCGTAACGCTTCTGCTCATTCCATGATCTCTCAGAGCGACAGTTCCAGACAACATGAGTGCAAGGCAAGCGCTGGGCGAAATCTGTAACTCTGAAGAGCGGACGCTGGTCGAACAAGATCAACTGAAAACATTCTAGTGCTATTCGAGGTGTCAAAAGGTTATCTTAATAATATCTCCATCGTTCGACTTACTGTATACGCAGTGAACGAGACGAACAACTTCTTCGCCTTGCAACCATGGCATCCATCCGTGATCCAAGTTTTGGTCTACTACAAAGTCCTCGCTGTCAGGGGCACCTGCGCGAGTGGATAGAGAGCGGCACAAGTTCGTGATCATATTTCGCTCTCGCTGCAACACAGCATGGTCTGATTTGCGGCCAGATGCGAGAAGTCCTACATCCCGCAGAAGCACGCTCTGAGCAAAGGAGATCTCGGTTCGTCTTGTAAAGACCTAGAGATCCCAAGGGCGTCAGATTTCACAGCTTTGATCTGGCATGCAAACTTACATGAACTTTGACAGCTTTCCGTAGCAAGTAGTGAAGGACTGTAGTATACGTAGGTGCGTCTTTCACTTCAGAGTACTGACTTCCAATGGCGGCGACTGCTATCAGAAGGACTCCGCATATGTCACCTCTTTCAACCCTGACTGGATGCAAAAAGGGAAGGTATGGATCGAAATACTCGAAGTACAACTCTACAAAAGCATGGAGCATCCGAGAGTGAGGAAAGAGCATGTCGTCATGACCGCGTTCCGAGATGTAGAAGGAGCGTGCATCTGTGTAGGCTTTTGTAGGTATTGCGCTTACATGACCGAAAATCTCAGCGCCTACAATTTGTAATGTATTTTCTTCGAGCATAGGAAACGACGGGCACGAGCGCGTCAGATGAGAATCTACTGTGCCTGCAGTCTTGCCCAAGACCCTCCTGTGGGCCTCAACAGTAATGTGTGATTCGACCTCAGGTCTTGGAAGTTCGTCATTATTAGTGGGCTCTATAGCGACCATATTGCCATAACTGGATATGTAGGAATCTGATATGCCTGACTCGAGTGTGCATGGTATCTGAAAGGAAGTTTCGTTCACTGGGATCATCCAGGCGAGTGGTAAGTTGAAGTCGGTAGACAACCCATTGAAGTAGTTTATTCCGTTTGAAGGAAAGTTCGTGGGTAATTCGGAATCCGATCTGTCTCCAGAGCCAGATATATGCGAAAGACCAGACCAGTCTGTGCCGTGCATTCCCTCAGATAGGGTATCGCCCATGGGGATAGATATGGGGGACCGACGTAGCAGCGCAGCATCGGTAATTTGCGACGTTGTCTCAAGGGAGACAGTTGTGGATCCTGGATCTGAACTGAAGTCAGGCGGCGCCATGTCAGTTCCATGTTCGTGAACGATTTCGAACGATGCGTGGTTCGCGAGAGTATTGCTTGTTGGGGGAGCAAGAGCGGCGCCCTCGGATTGATCATCGTTGAATTTGCATGAAAGATCCTTCCGATGGCATCTTGTACAGGGATTCTGACCATAGCAGCGCTGCTTTGCTTTCACACAAGAAGCACATGCTCGTGAGGCTCTTTTTCTATCACTCTGTGGGTGTTCAGTCCGAGCGTGGGTGAGACGATGCCGATAGAGCGTATCGCTCCGGGATGTTAGTCATTTGCTACAACACTGAAAGGAAGCTGATTCACATACCTCCTTGAGAAGGATTTCGAGCATAGCCTACAGTTGAAAGGTTTTGAGCCTGTATGACGAAGAAGATGACGCTGAAGGTGACCATTGCGCTGGAAGGTCTCGGCGCAATATCTGCACGTCAATGCAGTTGACTGAGTTGACATACTCGTGTGGCTCGCGTCGTTTTGTGGGTTCTGGATGCATGTCTGTATGGTAAGCTCATCGAGCGTGAGCGCTTCCAACCAAAGAACTTATCGGGGCCGGCAGTCTCCGGAACGCTCGGTTAATAAGATACTACTTGAACTGTGATACTGATGTGAACAGCGCCTCCACTGAAGACGACGCAGAAGGCGAAGAGCGAGCAGCTGGTGTCGTGGGATTGGTTGATGCGGTACCGCGGCCGCGACAGAGTAGAGAAAGTCAGATGGTAGCCTATGGCATCTGCGGCCCCTTGCAGGGATGGTGCGGGGTTCTCGATCGATTGAGCATAGCGTCGGTGTCTCGAACGCCGACACGCTTGCATCTCCAATGCTGCCCAAGATTAGGACTCGCTCAAGCCATCAAACCCCCATCGTTTCGTACACCTTTTCACAGATGCATTGCGTGTCCATCCGGAATTGGGTTACTGACATCGATACAAGTACAATCTGATTAGTGATGATATAACGATGACTATCTAGCGGTCGTCGGTATCTAGGTAGAGTTGAGTCCATCACATCAATGGAATTGCTCATTGGCGAGCGCGAGACGGCTTCTGAACTGCGAATCAGATGTCTTCACATTGCAAATGTGACCCACTTATGCGATCATTCAACAAGAGTCTTTTGGTCCATTGAATATGACACTGTGCAACAGTCTCTCAGGATCGATCTGTTAATCTACATTGTTTCTCAACATTCCATCATACTTTGTGCATGACCGGCAGTTCAAGGTCGTTTATTACTTTCCAACACCCCCAGATCAACTTCTCTCAATATGCTTCGCACACCTGTTCCAGAGACCATGTCGGGGATACGAGCGCATATGTTGGCATCATCGAATGCGGGTCAAGACGCAAATTCCGACGTGTCAGCAATATTCGATGAGCTCACTGTAGAACTACGATCGCAACCAAAGAGCTCGAGCGAGATAAGGCAATCCGCTTATTTGCAACACAAAGCGGACTTTCAAGAACTGGTCACCAAAGGCGCCAGGCTCTTTAAGCTGATGATCGCCGAATCGACGAGCTCCGCACAAAGCAGCTTCACCGATGTTGAAGACCTTCAAAAATGGGGTTACGACACATACAATTACAACGATGCGTCCGAGCTACGAGGTATCGATAGCGTTCTGGATACCATCGAGGTAAGTAAAAAATCCACGCGATTACTTAGCCCGAATATACCTGTCAGCCATACACACAAGACACCGGTTGTTGTCGAAGGGATGTTATTTCCAGCGACCAACGCGCTCTTATGCCAAGTCATAAATATATCAGATGGGATCATAGTTGCTTACGACAATTTTACCGCACAAGGCGTGAACGGGCGTAAAGGATCGCGCGTGCCACCTCTAAACCACTGGTCAGATATAGCGTACCTCCAATGGTTGTCCAAAGCCGAGCCGGATTCCAACTTGCGTTTTGTACTTAGGTATAATGTGATAAATGATGGGACTTGCTTTGCGTTGGACTTTATGGAATCGCACTGCGGTTTCGCATTAACACAGTGGCCAGGAACGACGTATTACCCAGGATCTAACGAGTTCAATGCGTTGTTAGGGTCGCCCAATGGTCAAGGTGTGGCTCATATGCTCATCCAGCATCGAAAGCAGCTAGGTCACAAGACGGTCGAGAAAGTTATTGTTTTTTTCATTGCTTGCCGCGGCAAAATGCTGCTATTTCATCTCCAGGATGTGGAGGAGACGTCACGTCACGACGCCTGTTCATAAGCGACACTCAACAGTGCCAAAACAAAGGCTGAGTCTGATCGCTCCAGCGTCACAACCATGTTAGAGAACGAAGAAACACTATTTAAGCACGTGTTAGCTTAGAATCAGAAAGCGAGCGAGCCCAAGGAAAATCGAGATGGCGACATCCTCCGCTAATCTTAGATCGGTGGAACCAGTCACTGACAGATCTTGTAGAATATCACCAATATTTCAGGGCCTCTTAACTTGCGTCAACACATAATCGGGGTGCGTCCTGGTAATTATCTACCAGTACTGAACTGTTCTTGTATACTTCCCATACTCAGGAACTCCATGTGCAATGGATAAGAAGATATGTGAGTAGGGACGAAGTGGCCTCGGACCTGAACATCGCGGGAGAAGATCAGGTTGAGCGATGCGTTGACTCGGAGCCGCATACAAAATTTCATGTAGATAACGCTGGGTGAGCAACACCTGCACATAGACCACTGTCATCATGTCAGGATTTGAGTCGTATGGACGGGGATGACAAGAGTAAAATGGAAGGTGTATTGCGCCTCAAAGTGGCTAATGTATGGTTGCACTGGCGTCAAAGATAATCTACAATCCGGACTTGACTTGGTTGTCTTTCTTCGCATCCTCTTCAAGACTTTCAGCCCACTGGCCAACTGTCTTCACTTCATCTACGATGAGCGGCCAGACCAGATTCTTTCCCGCATCGTGGTAGGCAGGCGAATGGCCAGCCGTGGCGTCAGACCTATTGATAACACATCAGTCACGTACTATCATATAGGGCTATCGCGACTTACAGTATCGTCACATGGTATCCACTATAATCAGCAAGGTCAGTGTCTAATCTTCATTGTGCGAATCTATTGCGGAAACAATGACACTTACAGTTCTCTCCCATACCTTGCGGTGGATTCAAGGCATGTACTTGCAATCATCCCTGCCATTACTAAATGGGTAATTTCGCGTTGATGGAGCTGGTAGTCGAGGTCGGTATTCGCAAATCCACTGATTGGTATCATTAGTCAAATGGCGGTCATGTGAGCGAACGAATAACGTTGCTCGTCCCGACATCCAATCCTAGGAACGCAACGTGATTTCACTTACCTGCTATTCCAGTGCTTACTGACTACAACGTCTTTATTTCCGAAGACGTCTGGCTCTAGTCCAGGATAGATCTCGGCTCCCCAACTCCCTTCCTGGAGCAGCCTATGCTGGCTCATTCCAGATGTCGTTGGGTTCATGTGGAGCCATCCCTGGTAGTTACCTTCCTTCCATTGCTGATGCAAAGAATAGTAGATCGGTATGCCGGCCTTGCGAGCTGCTTTGACGACCTCTTGTAAATGGTCCAAAGTGTTCGTCTTGGCCATGGATTCGCTGACAAAAGGGTTGATCTTTCCCTCAGGGTGAAGAAATTCATTGTAAACGTCGATGAGAACTAGAGCAGTTCTATCCACAGGGCTGGATGAGCTTGGAGATGCCATTTCGTAGTAGCTTGATAGAGTATTGGCGCAGCTGATGAGAGTGCTCGTTATGTTTCGAATAAGCTGAGAGATGTGCGTCTCTTAAAAGCGTTCCTTTATCCATCTACTACTGGTGGACCACATCGTTGCTGCCTCGGTACTGGAGAAAATGCGTAGAGCTGCCAGTCTCGCATGACAAACCGATCATTCATCATGCGCTCGCTAATACATTTACTTACCGGATCACAGGCTTTAGTGTTATACCGGCATCCGTGGCTATTGAATGTTCTTGAGTGAGCTTCGCAGAGCTTATCGAATAAGCGTCATGTCGTAGCACCGGCAACGCTGCTCTCGACCGTTAGAGCTAGCTGGGATAACCACCGAATCATTGGAAAGCTAAGCAGAAAGGCGGGGCTGAAGAAGCTAGGATTGCCTCATCCCAAGCTTGTAAACATTCGAAATTTGTTCAGTAAACAATCGGGGTTGATGAAGCCTCAGTGCGGCGGGTTTGAGACAGATTAATAATCTAATGAGCTAGCCACGACGAACCTAGCGCGACCCATGACATTCAGCACGTACCAATCGGACATATAACCGGACGTTTTTTGTTGGAAGTCGAGTATGATGCGTGATACATCGGGATTTGAGAAGTACCGCCGGCCGGACTGGAGGCAGTTCTTGATCAATCGTGGCAAAAGAGCATCAACACTCACGAAATGAGATGGAAAGTTACGAAAAAAGGGGTGAATGAGGCAAAGTTGTAGATGTGGACTTGAAATACATAATGATATCTGAGGTGAGCACATGAAATAGTGGCACATCAACAGTTTACAGTCGCTCGCCTCGCCTCAGAGATCGCCTACTACACAACCTCCAGAATGAACTTTTCGTGGCAGTCCATCTGCCTCACGGCATTCGGCATTTTCTCAGCAGCTCGCGCGCTGGAGTTACCGGAATACGCTGGGTTGAAGACATCGCTGAACAACAGCATACTCGAAGTCACTCTTCATAACTCAAAGTCGCTTCACAACCTCTGGGATCAAGACACGCAGGATGGATTGACTGATCTCGTCGGAAGGCTCCAGAAAGACAACGAAACCAAGGTTGTCATCTTCAAGAGCGATGTTCCCCGATACTTCATGGGTCATCTTGACTTGACATTGCCCAACCTTCGTACGTATCGATTCCTCATGTTAACATACTTATGACTGATGTCTGTTGTAGCTGAAGTTGTTCCCGCTTTCAGCAGGCTCATATATAATATCTCGCAGCTTCCCCAGGTTACGATTGGCGCAGTGGAAGGTAGAGCGCGAGGTGCTGGAAACGAGCTTCTCGTTTCACTTGACATGAGATTCGCGGTCAAGAACGACACTCTATTCGGACAGCCAGAAGTTGGCAGTGGTACCATTCCTGGAGGCGGCGGATCTCAGTTCCTTCCGGGGTTGATCGGCCGTGGACTGGCCATGGAATACATCCTTAGCGCTAACGACATCAACGCCGTAGATGCGGAGAGAATTGGCTGGATCAACAAGGCTTTCGATTCTTCAGCAGAGATGTACAAGTACATCGACGGACTCACCACGCGTTTCGCTTTGTTTCCACAAGGAGGATTATCAGCCGGTAAGACTGCGATCAATCGTCGTACCACGCCAACGCTCGAAGACCTTCAAGGAGATGTGAGCTTGTTTCTCGAACGTATCGAAGATCCTATCGTTCAAGAGTTGACGGCCAAAGGATCAGCTGGAAACGAAACATCGGCTTTCGAATTAGAGCTCAACCTTGGAGAAAATATCTTGACCCTGTACCAGTAGAGGAGCGGAACGGTGGCCCGATTTGAGTGGCCCGAGGGTAGTGCAAAAGGAGTATTTGGTTACAGTGAATCCCACTGAGCGGTTCCGGTGGAGCTGTTTGCTCTATGGCGCATGTGTCAATATTATCGTTACCAGCTCTTCAAACTGATCTGTACACAAATTACAAGTTTACTTATTAGTCACAAGTCGTTGTCGTCTTTTTCGTTTGAAATGTCTTCAAATGCGTCAACACGCAGACCGAAGATGCAGTAGACGTTCAATTCTTGGTTGCATGTAAACTTCCGCCGTTCACGTCCGTCCCGTTCCTGCAGCGCATACTCCTAGCAAGCGTAAACATCTCGCTAGTTCACTAGTCTTTTAAGCCATCTGCGCATTTGACCATCTGCGATAACGGTAATTTTCGCGTTACCATTACAGGTTGATGCTGGACGAATGCACAGTCGGGAGATTCGGTGCGTAGCTGCGATGGCGAGTGGGATGCGCTATGAGCCGGCTGGGTGGGAATCGCGAAGAAGACGCGCTATCGGAAGATCGGAAGTGAAGGTTTGCCGCTAGGTAAGTCATTTCATCTTCACTCTCCCGAGGTCACTCTCCCGAGGTCACTCTTGCCATCCAACACTGCGTTTCATTACACATTTCATTATACATATCATCGATTTTCATTGGAGATGGCCACGCAGTGTGTGAATACATCTATCTAAACACGTACACTCACTCGACAAAGTCTGTCCGTTGCCGCTTAACGCGTTGTTACTAAAAGTAGGAGCGCGGCCGCTTGCTCCCAGTCTCGAAGGTGCCGCCGGTGCTGATGGGATAGATGCCTAGCTTCTCGATTTCCATCTTGAGCGCATCATTCTCCGCCTTGAGCTTCCGAACCTCACGATCTTTAATAGCAGCCTCCATTTTTAACTTCAGAATCTCTATCCCCTGCTCTTCAAGCTTGTCTTCAGTATCTGGTAGGCTGGTCGTGGTTATATCGTTGTGGTCCATCACGATCTCCTGTTTAATACTCTCGTGTTGAGCTGGAAACGTGAGAGTATAAGGATCTTGGAGCCGAGGATCAAGACTGTTGTTGACGGTCATCGTTGGTAGACTGAATGGGCGCTTTGGCAGTGGGAGCGGCTGTTGAGATTGGACATTTGGGACGAACAAGGATCCTTCGGCAGTGGTAATGAATACTGAGCGGGGTCTTCGCTCCGTATCCATGATCCTGGCTGTCATCGCCTGTGGGTTGGGTCGGCCGTTATAGAAGGCTTTCACAACTGGATGATCTGGCTTTGCGATTATGATACCGTTGGGGCCGCGTGTTCTATCCAGGACACCAATGTCACACAATATGGCCAGCTCTCGATCTTCAGGACGTATCTGTCGGTCTTGGAGGGTCTTTGGGTGGTGTGGAATGCTGTGTCCCTGGTACCATTGAGCGGTGCAGTATAATAGTGGACAGCTCTGTTAACAAGGTTAATTAGCACCCTGCTGCACATCTTTGGCGAATCTTACCTCATGCTTGTGGCGGCCTGTTCCACAGACCTGGCATTTCTTTCCGCAAGACGTTGCTGAACCGCCCGCGCGGATGGAATGCGCTTTCCAACAGACTTTACAGCACTCCTGCCTGAAGAAGCGGGTGCCAAAGACAGTGGGTAGAGCGAGCTGATCATAGTATATCCCGGCTGGAGGAAAATACCGCTCGACCGGATACCTCAACTCATGTGCATTGTTTCCCACCAGCGGCGGAAGAGGCGCAGGAGTCTCGATACGCAGGAGGGACGGGGAGTCGCCTACAGGCAGATCACATTGAGCAGCTGGTGATTCGCTCTTGATGCCTATCGGCTGCTTGTTGGCGCCAGTCGGCTCTCGACACTGGTCGACTTGATGATCGACTTCAATGGGTTCTTCTGGGTGTCACTAAAGTCTATGGCAGTGATAGGAAGTACTCACGGTAAGACTGTATCAACTGCCGGCGCGTATCGTGTATGTAATTCTCGGAGGTTGCGGTCTCACTCTGCTCTCGTATCTCACCTTCCTCGGACACAGGACCTTCAGGATTTACCGCGAGCGCAGGCGAACTCGGGTCATACAGTGGTTTCATGACGTACAAGTGCGCCATTTTGACTTTGTGGGATTGGCAATGCGCGTGTGCGTGGGTTGTTGTGGGTGTACGTGTTCAGTGTTGACAACGACGTGCTGAGGCCTATTGTTTTGTTGACTTGTACACACCCGATCGGGTAGGTGCGTCTCTCACTCAAAGCCACGCGATATTCCAATATGAGCTGTCATACTAGGTAATTGCCACGTCAGTATACGAAGGCGCGGTGAACTCCTCGAGTGAAGGAGGACCAGGTTGAACAAACCGGTATGAGCAGTGAAGGAAAGAGGCGACATGCTGTGTCCAGTTCACGCCAAGATACCATGACTAGATGTATCTGTTCTGAATTTATCCTCATTCCTCAGAGTCGATATCATCGTTTATCGGTAGATCTCATCCTCGAAAACGAACGAGCCTGTCGCAAGATTGCTGACAATTGAACGCCGTATATCTGCCTGGCCATTACTACGTCAGGCGCGTGGTCAAAAACAGGGCGATGTTTCATCGATTCCTGAATGCCTTACATCAGTAATCGGCGATCTTTGTTATGTAGATGCGGTTCCTCATTCAGATTCTCTCTCTTCCGTCATGTTCACCTCCCTTTTGAGACATTGACACAAACGGATAAGCAATGATACTGTTCTAATCTTGTCTTAATCGACACTGACATAGGCAGCTGCTCTCGTCTTTCCTTCAATTATGAATCACACGAAAATAGCGCGAGCACCTTGCCAATGCTTGTGTTGAACTGCATGCACTGCATAGATCTCTTCGATCTCGTCGCGCATCATCTTAGGCAACACGTCCACTTATATACATGACATGAACTGGATTATTCGAACCTGTGAGGGCTAACGCAGATAATCAACGGGATCGCCTTGCATTTTTGAAGAAGACAACTATAACCACGACACGTGAGATGGAGATAATAGCGTGAAAATTCTCGATCCTGGAAAGTTAAGTTTGGAAACGACCTTTGTCCCCGTTGGCCATGCGGTACACGTCCGGGAACTCGTGCGGCAAGCTAACCTTCTACAGGCATTTCGATAATTTGTAAACATAAATAACGAGAAAACAAGTGGCGAAGGGTCGCGGAGCTTGGAAATACCCGGGAGTGTGCGACAAGGCGCTAACGCAGGTGGGAACCTGGCTGCACGTGAGTGTTCGTACCCAATGCTTCTTCGTCTTCACGCCGCCATATCTTGAGTAGTCGCTACCATATAAACCCGTATTGGGAACTTTGAGAATATGGCAGTGGAGCGGAATCACGATCCGTCTGGCGCAATGGTCGACATCCAGAGAAATATCCCTGCCAATGTAAGCCCTTCACGGTCACTACTGATGAGAAACAAAACGATAAACACTGACCGAACATCATAGCAGCGCGTTCCAGATCCCACGTTGAACAACACGAGCAGTGTATTGCCGAGGAATGAGATAACGCTCGAGCTTCGTCCCTCCTATCCGTTGACCACCACCCATTACGGCGAATGCATATACCTCTCAGAGTACCAAAAACGTCCTCCTAGCAAAGCCGACGAAGCCTCTCCCAACTCTTCTCTTTCCGCGCCTCTCCAGAGTCACCATAACTTACCGCCTACGCCCTGTCAAGATCCTATTCCGCCCTCACTCTCCCACAATCTCATCACCAAAGAAGACTATGAGAGTATGGTCAAGGAAAACGTAAGGCTGAAACTTGAACTGGAGATGGCGAAGGAGACCGCCGAGAAGGCCACGAAGGCATGTCGCGACCTCGCCGCGTGGACTATTTGGGAACGGAATAGATTGCTGTGCGAGCTAGCGGAGGCCAAGGAGGTGCATCGCGCTTTCGTCGATAACGAAGTCAACGAGCTCATGGCAGAGGAATCAGGCTATCTACCTTTTTGTCAGTAGAAGGTCCCGTCTATGCGTTATTTGGACATATGGCAATCGAGATCCAAGGAATTCACTGAAGTTCTGATAGTATCTTGATCATGTCGCTGTCCTTACGTGACCCCCAACTTTTGTTCGCGCTATCAACCGAGATTTTGTAGGTTGCAAACCGCAAGTAAATCTGCTGTATTGAGAACGCTTCATTGTGTTCTTGTCTTCGCCAAGCGGGGAAGGCGCGGGGTGCTTCATGGTGAGGGTGAATCAAGCCACAGCCAATTGGACAGACCTGTAGCCCCGCATTGTCGTCAAGGTCGTGATTAGACCCTCGCAACACATCAATCTCGAGATCAAAGCAAAGATTCCTCCCCAACACTGCTGCCAATCATTAGTCAAACGATATGGCACATTTCGTCCTGACACCGAAGTGGCTTGGAATGCTACGTGCGACTCGCGCTGCTACGGCAAGGGAGCCGACCGCGCCGCAACAAACAGAGTACGAAAGCAAGGCAAACGACGAGGACATGGAACATGACCCCACCCACTACACAAGCGACAGCTCTGAAGACAAATCTGGCAGCAATGCCGAGCCTGAGATGCCTGCGGGCGATAGTGGATAAGACAACAGCACTGGACACGCACTACCTGGGGAGCGTCACAGCCCCATAAGAGCAAACGATGGCATCAAAGTCATCTGGAAACACGTCGCCGATAAGGCCACTTTCCTGGCCACACAAGCCAAAGATGCTGTGACCGAAGCTGTCAATAAAGTCAGGGAACTTGGCTTCATCGGTACGGCAAAGGCAATCGGCGAATGGATCAAGCTACACCCATGGGAGACCGCGCTGATAGTGGTGCCTCTCGTCGCGCTCATCGCCACAGCTATAGCGCTCTCGGCTACGGGATTTGGACCAGCTGGAATCGTCGCTGGTAGGTCACAGCGAGACGTTGATCGTAAAGAGAAGACACTGATATTCCGTAGGCAGTACAGCAGCGATCATCCAGGCGGGTATCGGCAACGTCGTCGCTGGTTCGATCTTTGCGACTTGCACCAGCGCTATGATGGGCGGATCTGGAGCTCTGATAGTGTTTGGAGGAGTATAGCTTGGATCGACAGTCTTCATGGCTAGTCTTGCGGTAGCCTGGAAAAGGTGGAGAGATCGATCACAGCTTGCGATGGTGCTTTCGAGGAGCGACTCACCCAAGACAGCCGCGGAAGAAGTCAAGCAAGCTGCGTCTGACGCCGTGTTTTGGACGATGTGTGCAGCAGCTTATGTGGTGTACCGGGTCAAGAGTTGGTACCGAGGACATGGGAGAGGGGATTCAACAGTTCGCAAGTTGAAGAGCGAATAGGTCGACAAGGCACGCTTGACTAGACGAAGAAGATTGCGCGTTTGGGAGTGCCACAGCCCTGAATCCTCGCATTGCTGAGGATATGGCTTGGAAGTTGCTTCGAATTCAGTGGTCTGTGAATCGGAAGTCCGCATAACCGCTTGCGCCGAGCGGAGCGCAGTCTGAACCTGTCATCAAACAGAGCAGACACGCCATGCATCGTGCTGATGCATTAGGCATGCTAGATTAATGAAATCATGGAAATCCATCAACTGACAAAGTTCGGCCGTTATGGAGTGTAGTCGTGAGAGATTCAGGAGTCGTTCTAGCTTGAATGAGGCGTCCCACTGGTGCTGACTAACGAGGAAGACGGGCAGCAACGGCGGCGGTGCGGCATGCCTCACCTCCTTCCACATCCGACGCGTCGAACATGCCAGCAGATCGAACGCGAACCACAAACTCCCAAGGCAGGCAAAAGTCTTGCTCAGAGTGCGCTAAAGCGAAACGCAAGTGCGGTTTGGAACAGCCTCATTGTGCACGATGTACTAGACAGCACTTATCTTGCATCTATCCACCAAGGCCTGGTGCGCAGGCCGCAATTCCGCAAACTAACGCAGCCGAATTGTCTACTAATATGGGATTTCCACAAACACCGGCAGATATTACAGATCTAGTCAACGATGATGTCGAATTCGACTTCGACATGCCTGCCATGCCAACAAACCCCACGGCGGATATCCTGGACTTTGACTTCTGCACTGGCGCAAACTCGTTGGACGCGCTTTCGGAAATGCTGGCCTCCCAGTCCAACCAGTGGAATCCCACAGCCCTGCAAGCCGTCTCTGCGCCAGTCAGAAAGCCCTTCACATCAGCGCATCTTTCACCTTACGCAAAGTCCAGAGTGGAGTACTCATTCGAGCATATCAAACTCGCGCCGAAGATGATGGTAGAGCAAGCCTGTACACCATGGTCGCACCCGATGCTTTACGAAGAGTACATGCCGAGATCACTACAAGACGCGCATGCTGCATGTGCCCTCTACATCACTATGAATGACGTCAACTCTGAGCATGTTGCACGGTACATTACTAGCCGCGCCCAAGAGCTTGTTACCAGTGCCACGCCAACTACACCAATTGAGATTCTTGCTCATACACAAGCGCTTATGTTATATCAGGCCATGCTTCTCTCTAGTGGTGGAATACGGCTCTGGGCACTAGCTGATACCCTATTGCCTTATCTCGAGGACATGGGCGCCGCTCTGCTACCGATTGCGGCTGAGGAGAGTGACATACCGGAGACTATCCCACTATATCCCAGCACGGTTGCTCGAACGGCCTGGAAATCGTACATTTTCCGCGAATCAGCCCGACGGACTGTTCTGTGTGCCTACCATATAGCAATTATGTGGACTTTGTTCAGCGGTCAATTCAAGACTTGCTCCCACGATACCTCTCTGAGGAACCTCGTCACACTCTCGGCACACTTGTGGAGAGCGACCAACCCCTTCGACTTTGCCATGGCTTGGAACGACAAGAATCACTTCCTTGTTAAAGAGCTAGACTTCACGGAAGTCTTAAGGGTTGCGCAGCCGGATGACTTGGATGTGTTTGCTAATATGATGCTTGTTGGACTGCAGGGTATAGACGATGTACGAGGTTGGTATCATACACGAGGTGGCGCCTTGCTGTAGCCCCACTCCCAGCAATGCCAAAGCATCTAAACTTGTAGGATTGACTGATATTCCAACCTCGTCCATTCCTGCTTTCAAGCAACGGTCCAATTATTCAACGGACTCCGGGTGTTCATCACCTGTACTCAGGTGTCCTTGTCGCCAAAGCCTTGCATATTGGCTCCTGGAACCGGTACCTGATCATGATTAGCAAAGTTCAAACCATACGCAACATGGTATGACTTACCTCAGGGTAGGACCACCACCTGTCATTGTTGTCGATGAACTCTTTGCCCTTCTTTTTGCCATACTCAATGATCCAGGCCTTCTCCGCATTGGACAGTGGATGATGACGCCAAGGACAATTGACACCCATCTCGCAACGCTTACGCGTGAGGAAGGTAGCGAAGCAGAGTCCTAGGTCGTGTCGCTGCTCGGATCCGTACAGTGCTGGTGCAACCTTACCATTGCCACCATTGATGAAACGCTGGTTCTTGGGTTTGCGTTCATACATGACTTTGATGCGGTGGTCGTAGCCGCGCAGGTCTTGCACTGTTGCAGGTATTCCATCGACGTCTGCATTCTTGAAATGCGGAAGACCTAAGAAGGGCTCCTGGACCATGGCCTCGCGCTGTGGGTGGATATGATATTGGTCTGGCTTTTCAGACTTGGTCAAAGCATCATCGTCATCTTCGCCCCAGTCTACCTCGTCTTCAACGTAGTATCCAGCACACGATGGCGAGACACTCAACTGTTCTTGGTCACTCCAGGTGTTGGTGGACAAACGACCATCGGCAGTAACTTTGGGTAATGAAGACTGTCCCACGTCGTCGCCCTGGTCATCGTTGCAATCTCCGTTGAACCCTCTATTCGACTCATCGCCAGCATGTTCGACCTCAGGTTTGACCTGGCCAACGCGTACCTTACAGGCACGGGCGATGTGTCCTGTCTCTCCACACCGGAAGCAAGCCTTCTTGCCAAAATGTGTAGCGATGCTACAATCAGCGGCTTTGTGACCTTCTCAAGGCTTAGCGATTGTATATCAGCAGGCTATATTAGCAACACACCTGGCTCATTGCAACAAAAGCACCGTATGCCATCATCTCTCCGGTTGTCCTTATGAGAAGGTATGCTCACGGACTCGCGACGCATAGGGGTTGGCTCTCGGTATCGCGGCGACTCACCAGAAAAGTCTCGAGGGCGGGCAGGCGAACGACCTCGCATACGCTTTGGCTCGTGGACAGGCGAGCGACTGCGCCTGCGCTCTTGCTCTATTCCACGAAACTCTGCCTCAGCTTTTGCATAACTTCGCTGTCGTACTTTTCGGTTCGGACGACCTCGACCTCCCGCCCGCTGGTGCTCGTAAGCTTCTGGTGGGGGTGCGACGGGAGGCGGTGGAGGGTTGTTTGGACCATACGGGCCTCGTTGTTGTCTTTCTCGCATATCAGGTTGCCGCGACATGCCTATTCTTGTCAGTGTAGGGGCTTGGTTAGCTTGTTCGTTCCAAGATCAAGTGCAAAGGCTAGGTGTCGGTTTCTCGTTGACGGAGTGAAAAGTCTATGCGCGTGAGACAAATCTACGTGACCGTATATTCGCGCACAGACCGCGCATGATACTCACGTAGTTAGTGTTACAGTGGAAGTGGTTTATACTATGACATCAATCTCAACTATGAGGAGTGTTCAGTTGTGCTGAAGTAGTGCATCAAAGTATTATCGTTGGTTTAGTAGCCATTCCACTCCCCTTCATTAGATATGCCAGCCGTAGAAAAACGTGTAATTGATAGCCTTAGTAACGTTTAGATGAGACGAAGTCCCATCCAAGTGAGTCGGTCGAAAAATGTAGTGAAGTCACTCAGGAATATGGAAGATGGAGCGCCCTTGTTGAGTCTGTCTGGCCTACCGACTGATGTTGAAGCGGCTTCCTGGTTGCCTTTCTTGAAGGTTTTGACAACAAGACCAAGAGCAACATGAATTTTAGACTTGATCAGCACTTGTTAGCATCGTGACATCAGTCAGCATAGGCGACCTTCTGCTTGGTATGAAATGTAACAAAATATCATTGGAATCAGAATCGTAAGGTCAAACACCTCGTTCAAAGAAACCGGGCCTACCCTAATACAAGTATAGTATCAGAAAAAGCTATTCATCTCCTTCCTCCCTATATCAAAGTCCTCAGCCTATAAACCCTCTCTGAATACACTTCTCCGGCTCTCCGTCGGACTGTTGTCGATGCTGTCCACACTGCCCGCCTTCTTGTGCTTGGGAGCGCTTGGCATGGTCGCCGTGGCACCGCCCCGATAACTCGTATCAGCATCTAGCACCGGCCTGGGACTCACGCCTCTGAGACTCGCCGCGTTGTCATCGCCGAAAGGATTACGCGCGCTCTGTGCGTCAAGATGTTCGTCGTAAGAGTCTCTCGTGCGGCTGCGTCCGCGACTGGGCTCGGTGGTGTTGTTGTATGGGGAAGGGTTTGCATACGGGTTCGCAGTTTGTCCATGGGTAGACACGGGTTCGTGAAGACCGAGTTCCTGCTCTTCATAGTATGCTTCGTCGCCCACGCGCGAACTCCAGGCTTCATCGGGATCAAGACGACTGCCTGCACCACGGCCTCCGCCAACACCTCGTCCGCCGCTATAGCCTGCATCTTCGTAGCCGCTACCCGTTGTGTACCGGTTGTTCCTGTTCTTAAACTTGCGCAACTGGGTGTCGAACCAGCCTTTGATGCCTGTGGGCGCAGGGCCTGGGTAGTTTGAAGTTGCGGCGCCAGAGGACGAGGAGCGGCTGAAGGCTACCATGGGGTTCATCGAGGGCGGTGGTAGGCCATTGCGGGATGCATTCCACCGGGCGTAGAAGTACCACCCGAAGTAGGAGATTGAGAGCAGGAGTAGCAGGATTATTATGAAGACTAGCCAGCCGTTCATGTTGGAGGTGGTTATATGGGGTGTTGGGGGCGGGTATTAGGGTCGCATGTGCGATTTGGGCGTCGTCGTCGCGATTGCGCGGAATTCGACGGGTTCGCGGTCGCTGTCCCGGATACTCGTGGCTCCAAGGTGCGGATGCAAGAGGTGAGGAATTTGGTGATATCCCGACGTATGTGGTGTGCGACGTTGACTGTCCGCGCCGCAATGTCAATTTGTTGGTGTAGCTGACAAGCGCGGCTGAGTTGCTCGAGCCCAGGCTGCTTCGTATTGCCAAGTGATGACGTAACAAGTGCTGACGCCGCTGCCCGAATGTAACAATTGTCAGTTCAGGAAAGTGATCCTTCGCAATATCCGTGGCATCAATAACATCACGCTACGTAGCCTGCCCCCTTTCGCAAAAATTCATTCGGCCAGAAATGTTTCAGATTGATGCGTGCTTTTGGTCTCAAGATAGTAACGTTATTGAACATGACGCACACGGGCTAGCGTATCTGTAAACGAAAAATGGGGAAGGTGGGATCCGTCGATTGCGCGATTGGGCAGCGAAGATCTATCTACGCCCTGCGAAAATGGATGGTGTTGCATGCAGTAGGATTGCATTATCAGTCTTCCATATCCTGGATCTGATCCATTGTCTGTCTTTCCTGCAGTCTACTTTCGAACTGGGCATCCCTCGATATCTCTCCGAACGCGTTGTATAATCAGGACGACCTGAGTCATTCATCGCACTAGGCCTTCGACATGAGTTCATCAGCCATTGGAGAGCCCCACAACAAGATCGTCTTCGAAGCGAAGTGTATCGATAACCATTCCAAAGTCGTCGTCACATTGCAGGAACACAAAGATGCCACAAAAACGCCCTCCTTGATCAATGTGTCCAAGCAACCTCTCGTCCCGCAACCTCCGAAGGACTCAACCCAACAGCGCGAAACACACATCATCCTATCCGTTGGCTCCGGTGACAGAAGCGCGGAAGACTTCTTCTCCAATGTCGTACGTCCAATCCTCGTAGGCATTTATGATGAGGAAGTGGTAAAAGGAATAAGCATACATACCACCGAATCAGCAACCAGCATCTTGGAACTCACAGACCAAGTATTCTTCTCAGCTGCCAATCAGAGTAGACGACTACGTATCATCCTTCTCTCAGGAGACGGCGGTATTGTAGATCTTGTAAACGGCCTCTCATCAAAGACGCCGAACCCGCAAACATATATCCCGCCCGAAGTTGTACTTCTGCCCTTAGGGACGGCAAATGCACTGTACCACTCCATCAACGCTGGAGGGAAGAACACATGGGGCTTACCCGCACTCGCATCATGGAAAACAAAGCCTCTGCCAACTTTTACAGCTACATTCTCCCCCGGCGCACGTCTTCTCACTGATGAAGCCCGAAAAGAAGAAGAATTACCAAAGGACAAACAGGGTAATGGTGTCCTTCACGGCGCTGTAGTAGCTAGCTGGGGTATGCACGCGTCTCTAGTTGGAGATAGCGACACAGCCGAGTACCGCAAACACGGTGTTGAGCGCTTCAAGATGGCTGCGAAGGAGGCTTTGTACCCTGCTGACGGCTCACCACCGCACCCTTACAAAGGCAAGATTTCCATTCTCCAGAATGGTGCTGAATGGGTCACTTTACCAGAAGAAGAGCACATGTACGTTCTTGCTTCCATGGTCTCACATCTCGAACAGCCATTTTGTATATCGCCTGCTAGTAAGCCACTGGACGGTACTATGCACCTTGTGCACTTTGGACCGAGGAGTGGGGATGAGGTCATGGCTGTCATGGGTAAAGCATACCAGGGCGGCTTGCATGTGCAGGAGGAGGATGTGAGGTATGAGAGCATTGATGGACTGAGGATTGAGTTTGAGGGCAAAGAGAAGGAAGGTAGATGGAGGCGTATATGCATCGATGGAAAGATAGTGAGAGTCGAGGGTGATGGATGGGTGGAAGTGAAGAAAGTTAAAGATGGGGAAGGTGGCATGAGGGCACTAGATGTTGTTGTGCCTTAGGGTAGCATGCTCACGACAAAGAAGACACACATGGATCATTTCTCATTTGATCTCTATACAGCTAAAGCTGTCTGATCTAACAGTACCCTAAGTACGTCTCCTGCCTGATACCAATCGTAAAAGCCATCCAATCCTTCGACCGATGCCAATCTCACCTCCACCCTTCATCTATGCTGCTCCTCCCGCGGTCTTGCGCATGATGACCTCGTCGCTACGGCGTAGAAACTCATCGCCCTTGGTCAAAAAGCGGATGTACGCGCGCTCTTCATATGTGAGACCATGGCGATACTCGCATGCAACTCCATGCTGACAGACATTGGGAGTGTGAAAGTGATCGTGGCATAAGCCTAGATCCCAGAACGCGTTGGAGCCGTACTTTTGAGGTCCGACCTTGCCATTTCCAGCCGTATATGGAAGAGTTGGTTGAAAGCGACGATAGTTCTTGAGACCCTTGCGTGGCGCGTCCGGATGAGGATAGTCAAGGCTGTCACGCACTGCCGCATCAAGCGAGGGGATGTGCGAAGGTATATGAGGGCGGCGCTCTGGGGCCATGCTGGCGATGAACTGGTGCAAGTGGGTGTGTACAGCTTGCTCGTGTGCGAGCTTGATCTTCAGGTACTGGTTTTCGCGCTCGAGCTCGTTGATAGTCTTGTCACGTTGGTTTGTGATCTCTCTGACGCGAGTCGCATCCTGCCTGAGCTGGACGATCTTCTGATTCTTATCCACAAGCATACGATCCTTATCCACAAGCTTTTGATCCTTCTCGACTAGCTGTGTATCCTTCGCGAGAAGGCAACCCTTCAGCGTCAGAGTGTCTTCCTTCGCGTTGAGGTAGGCTAGCTTGGCCTCACGATATGAGCTCTGCCAGTCCTTGGGTGTCTTGTGGTCGGGTTCACTGAACGGTAGCCGCTCTTGGTGTTGTCCGCCGGCGTCGATGTCTGCGCCAGGCTCTTCCAGCCTACGTTTCTTAGTAGCTGGGGTGACTGGTGTCGGGGTATCAAAGGACAATGCGGATGCCATTCCAGGCGAAGGGGGAAGTCCGTAGGAGTTGCCGATGGAAGTTGTCGAAGCTGTCTCGGTCAGTCGTTGTATTATATACGACGCGTGGTCATGAAAGAAGTGGTTGTCATCGAACTTACATCTTCTTGATTCACCGCCGTAAGTCTCGTAAGCCCTCAGCGGATCGCTTGGGACATGCGAGAAACTGTCGGACCCTTTATAGACCATTGTGTAGATGTGTACAGCTGGGCTGTCAGGGATTGCGAGGTATGGGTACCGCTTCAAATACTAGTAGAAGTGAGTGTTTATACTGACGCGTTTGTGGGTGCGCCAAGACACTAAGGTGTACCTTTGCCCGCTTTGAGAAGTTGAAGTGAAAGTGAAGGTGAAGGTGAATGGCAATTATTCCGGCCCGAAATCTTCGTTTTGAACAAAACCAAGACTGTGCCAATGTACGATGACAGTCAGAGAATATTTTCGTTTATAGAAGCATAATACCTGTAGGATTTCCTGCGCAAGATGCGAAGCTGAGCCATGGGTTAGCAGTGCAGGCTGTTCACAGTGACGAGGTCAGACTCAGCATTATAGAATTGATTCAATCTAAGATCTCATCGCCGTGGCTTTGAATTGTTCTATTCGGAAGGTGTTTCTCATCTAGGTGTTGTACAGGTTGCATATATCGTCAGTGACGTATTGATAATGGTTCGTCACAGTATCAGCAGGTAACATTCTTGTATTATCAATATGGACTGTAGTACTCCACAACGTTTCATGAATAACGCGTGATCAGTAAGAGCCATCAGTGAGTAACCGCTCGCGTAAATGTACTGTTTCCATTCACTTGTTTGTTCTTCAGTGTGCAAACGGCAGCAGACGATGGCAGCGAAGTAGCCCAACCCATCCATCAAATTCCCACACACATACTAACAATTTTAAATACTGTACATATAAGATTTATTTGAGGATTCAGTCATCGAACTACGACTGCAGCGTAGTTCGGTCCCCCAGCAGTTCTCCCAGCAATGGGCCCCCAGCAGTCGCCTTCAATGGCCCCCCGCAGCACCTCCCAGCAATGGGCCCCCAGCAGTTCTCCCAGAAATGGGCCTCCAGCAGCTTTTTGAACTAAGTTCGACTCACGATGCCCACCTCTTTTTTTCTTTTCCTTTTTGCCTTTCTCGTTTTGCGCATACTTCCCAAGAGGATATTACGCGCCTACACCGTGTCGACACTCTTCCTTTATGCACGCACATGACGCTAAGCCTTAGCAGATATCAGCTATCATTGCGTTAAAAATGCTGCACTGTTTTGTTATTGTTGTCGATGTTTCGACTGATGATGTGTATGCGATCCTGGTTAAGCATCTTGACGAGCTCCTGACCTAGTAATTTGAAGACTGGAAGTGGTAGGTAGCCTTCAGTCCAACTCCGGACTGCATCTGAAGTTGTCGCAGGTTCGAGCAGGGAATCCACACCATTGACGTTGATCTTGGCTTTCTAGTAGCAGTGGGAGAGGGCGTTAGTGACGGCCTCCACGATAGCGACATAATCGAAACCCAACTCTTCCTGTGTGACTAGGTGCTATCAGATCAAACAGTGTTCTGGTTTCTTGCTTAACCTAGTGGCATTCTTCTAGAGCTCGAGGCAGTATCTAATAACAGGAAAGTCTTGAATGAATTGTGACACTACGAGTACGCGCTCTTGCTTGTACATCTTGCATGCGTCTAAAGTCGATAGTGTATTACTCTTTCGTTTAGCACAGAAGTCTTGAGGGCAATGTTATGTTGGCGTTTGAAGATTCAGCTAATCGCTCGAGAGCTTACGTGCTGTTGGAACATCCTATTATTCGCTTCCAAAACATGTCTTTATTGTCTATATACAGCTGCACATAGTGAAGCTAAGTGCTTGGGGACACGCTTCTCTGTGATACAATACTGTGCAACTTAACAGCGTTGTGCCTGCGTTCTATTACTAGCACGTTGATTAAATCACTGTCTTCGTTGTCTATTATCCTGATCATCTTATTAATAGTGTTAGTATTCTTTACTGAGGTTTAAGCGTGTTTGTGCGTAAGCCGTATACTATCGCGAAGAGAAGCTATATCGTGATTTATCCTATCCTGATACATGAGACTATAATGACCTATATACAATGAGCTATAGACATGTAGCGTCCCGCCGTCGTTGTAATTTTAACAAAGCACACTATATGTAAATAGATGGGTCGACCGCGCTCGTCTTCGTGCGCAGATCGCCTTGCACGAACCACGGTTGAATTGCAGTAGCTCCTGCCTTCGACGCCAAACAAGCGTCATAGGCCACAAGTACAAAGGCACTCGCTCCTCACCTTTTTCTTGCGAAGGGTCGGAGAGGGACGACCACAATTTTTCACATATCCCCACACAACCGTCAGACACAGTTGCGCTTTCGTACCCATTCATCATGCTTCCATTACCCTAGCCTTGACCGTATGTCTGGCCCCCCTTTGCCTGCGACAAATACCACCGAGACAGCTACCACGATCGTCAAAAGAAAGTAAACTTTCGACTCTCCATCAATGCGAAGCAACTGCGCTCATTATAAGAGAATGGCCGGTGGCTCTTAATATCTTGGCTACGACTGCATGATGGCCGGTGTTCAGGGGCTCCAAGAGAACTGATGCCTCAGGCCTGGTTATTCTCGAAACAGTTCATGCCGCCAGATCGAGGATCTTAACTCCACCTAAGCGACCTCAGCTTTGATAGGTCTGTCGCCACGCGAATTCAGAATCGAGCTAGGAAACGATGGAACATCGGTCATCTTGGACTCAGCCCCTCGGATGCCAGTCGTCGCGTCTGCCCAGCTACACAACTTGGCGTAGTAAACGCTATCTCTTCGGATGACGACAATTCCGGGGTTGAGCAAAAGCAACAACAGGATGATACGACATCAGCAATTGCGCTGGCAGCGTCTTTTGAGCGCAATTCTCAACATGCGTAGACCTGTGCGGCTTGTGGCGTTGGATTGTTGAAGTTCAGACTTTCCGGCCCCCACATGCAAAGCGCTGACAGATGCCGCACACCAAGCCTATAATTAGGCGTCTCCACTGCGGGCACCAGTCGCCCTACAGGGCCGCGGCGATGATAGTAATGGAAGGGCAAACTGCTATGAGCAGGCCACGCTCGCAAAGTCATGAATCGCAGCGACCCGTAAGAGCGAAAGAAGATTGAATGCGCATCCTGTGTGTTTCTGACATCACGCGCACGTGCATGACGCGTTTCGTCACGGCGATCTTGGGCTGTGTGATGACCACCCGGCCCAGCGCATCAAGCCTACTTGCACAAGCAGGGGTACCGTCAGCAACATCCTTATTACTTACCCATTCCTGCCGGCGCGGCGCAGCCTCTTTTCTCCAGTCGCATCCGCAAGCAATTGAGCGAGAATCCTCACACCTAAATATCGGCCCTACTCGACGTTGATCGCCCACCATGAACATGATGCGCAAGAAGGCGCAGTACGTGAACATCACGCCCATACCATCCTACATCCCGCGTCAGCTCGCAATCGACTTCCTCCACAGCCATGGCGAAATCATCGAGCTGAATCCACTCGTCACCGGCCACGAACCCATCAAAGCACCGCGCGACGCTCCTGCAGACGAATTCTATTCAACATGGTACGAGATCTCGCAGCGCATACAATACATACCCGGTATTGGCAAGATGGGAAGCGGCGCAATCAAATTTCGAGGCGTCTTCCATGACCTGCCCTTCGGCCTGCAGACACACACTTATGCGCCTGCAAATGTCGACCTGCGCAACAAGTGGCAGATTTGCGGAAACCAGCCTGGCGAACCACCTGAGCCGAAAGAGCTGGGCTCAGGTGCGCCACCTGAGGGACTTTACATACGCGAGGATGTGGAGATCAAGTGCAATATGACCATGCTCAGCTTTGTCAAGAAGGAGATGAAGGCAGCTGCAAAGGTCATGGTAGACCGTTTAGTCAAGAAGGCTGAACTACTCGACTCAGGAGCGTTGCATGCCATGATGGAGAACGGGCGGCTGAAGACGGTCAACCCAGCAGATCGTTCAGCGCACGATTACAGGTCGCCACAACCATCGCCAACGCAGCCCTACCAGATGCCCATGTCACCGCACAGGCAGAGCCAACAGTATGCGCAGCCTGATCAGAACGCTCCACCAGTGCCACCGAAGCAGCTCCTAGGAACGAACGACGTCGTGATGGAACTACCAGGCGACTTCTACCACCCTCAACCATCTCCCACCTTCCTGCACCCGAACCATAACCGCACATCTACCGCCTCCGAGCCGTCGCAATACTCACCCCAGCCGCAAGATGTGCGCTGGTCAACCGCATCGCACAGCACTGTTAGTTCACGGCCGAGCTCCTACGCGCCCTCAGAGGGTATGCGCTCGCCAGGGTTGGAGCAAAAGGCGTTCGCGGCCGAGCTGCCGACAATGGAGGAGACGAAGGAAGAGCATAATGTCAGGCAGAGGCGAGAGAGCGACCACAAAGGTCAGCAAGCGTACACATACAATCCACAGGATTACGCTCGGACACAGCAGCAGTATGGAAGCAACCCACCATACCCGGTGTATGGGCAACAATATCCCCAACGGTAATTGACTATCTTTGTCCGGTTGGTATCGGAGGTATACAGGCAACATGTTTCCCATGATGACTCGGCGTTAGTACAGCGGCTATTTGTTCCTTCTACATGACGGCTTATGACTCTACGCAATGTTTCCAGATATCCCCTTCCATTATGTAACGCAATCGAATTCTTCTTCTCGCACGACCACGCTCTTCTCGTGTCATCTTTGCTGCTATGTGTCTGGTATACTAGCGATGTAGTTCCACTAGCCATGACTACAGCACCTAGTGGTCCACAATGTTGAGGTCGATGAAGGAATCGAGGTAACGGGCAGCAATGTTGACGAAATGATCCATTCGTATGCATTACCACGACAAGATGCTACTACATGTACTAAGATTTCAGGCAGACTAGACAAAAGAGTGTGATTTGGACCCGCTACCCTACCTACCAACAAACAAAAGCACACAACAGCGAGGTCCTCAACTACTGAAGCAACTTCTTGACATCTCCAACGGTGTCGACCTCCAGGAAAAAGGCATCTCTGATCTCCAAGCCCAGTTCCTCTCGCAATCTCTGAGACATGACCAGCGACATCAATGAGTCAAGTCCCAAGTCAGCAATGTGAGCGTCATCTGTAAGCAGGCCAATGTCGACAGCGAGTTCTTCCGCAACCAAAGCTAAGGCTTTGTCTATGGCGCCACTCGCACCAGTGGCCGGACTGGCTGATGCTCCCGCGTCTTCATCTGAGGACGAGCATCCTCCGGGTCGGGAAATGATCACCCCAGAAGAATCGGAGTGTTCGGAGCCCTCCTTCTGACTGGGGGGTGTCGAAGCAGGTTTGGGTCGTGGCACTTGATGTGCCTTGGACTTGAGACGCGCTGGAGGTGCGCTCTTTACAGGGACACTCGCCGCTGGCTTCGCCGTGCCATCAGCAGGCCTGAAGAAGCGATTGAGCATCACTCGTGGCCACTGTAGAAACAGTATCGCCTCAACAACTCCAACAATTTCCGAGTCTTGCAAAACATACACGTCGCCGACAAAAGAGTGGTTGTCCGAGGGCACCATTCGGACGTAGGCTATGTAACGTCCGCCCGGAACCAGCGGCCGCGCAAAGCGCATCGACTTCCAGGATGGAGTGATGAAGAAGTTATTCGTGTTGTCAAAGTGGGTACCGCCGTTCAACACAAAACCCGACAGAGAGATAAGGCCGTCGATGAAGTGAGGTGGGACAGTCCAACTGCCGCCAGTATCATCAGGGAACTGCACCTCAGCCATGGCCTCATCTTCGTTGAGGATCACTGATTGCATAGTCTGATACAGCTTGGAGTAGCCAACCAGCTTGCCAAAGAGGCTGTAGGCGAGGTCGGTCGTAAGTTTGCTAGCTTTGCCTACCGCGGCCATGTCATTGAGGGCGTCGATACGACTAGTGACCAGTTTGGTAGAGCGAGACCACGTGGACAACCAGGACGAAGGATCCTCGTACAAGACGGTAGCGTGGCAGTACCAAATCTCTTTGGCAGGATTGAACCATTTGACGTGAACTTCCATCTTGTCCAAGTCCGCCTCGGCAGAGACCAGGATTGGCTGTGGTTTACTTGTATCGATGAGCTTGACGACAGGCTCATGATACTCGAAGTCGGCGACGTTGATGCCAAATGATACTGCAGTTGCGAAGCTCTTGTCACTAATACGTTTCGCGAGCGTGAATGCCATCTCCGCATGAAGGAACTTTGTATTGTTAGAGTTTTCTTCATTTAGGAACACATGGTGGGATATAGACATCACTTACAGACGAAGCAACCCCGTATTCATTCATCGCGTGTCCATCGACTACGCCTTGAAGTGAAGGATCAGTAATGCTGCTCTCCGCCGACAAGGTTGCTGTTGATTCAGTGTAGTGCTCCGATGTAAGCCGATGAATACTAGAAGTCTGGAATCCCTTCACGGTCGGCACAGGAGCAGATGCAGGCTGCAACTCAGATACTGCTCGGCCTTTGGTCAGATTCCAGTCTCCACGGTACTGAATCCAATAATTCTTATTGGTCCACACGTAGGTCGGAGCATCAACAAGTCGGAGCGCCTGCTCAAAGGGACGATGATATTCATTCCAGTCGATTTGTACGCCTGCACTATACAAGATGCAGAGTGATTTGGTCAGAGTTGACCAGTTGTCGTTGTCGCGCTGTAGACTTGGCAGTGCCATCCGAGTGGAAGACAGTGTTCGGCTGATGAAACCACAGCACGTGGGATGATGGCCCATTTCCAGCCAGACAGTAGACTTGTTGACTACACCAGTCTCCCAAGCGTTGTTGAGGGCACCAACAAATTCGACTGTCTCCCGAGTTGCGCCGACCAAGTATGAAATATCGATTGTGTCTTTTGATGTCATGATTTTCCCGTATCGAGGAGAGATAATGGGAATTCTTGTCGGACTGCATACAATCGATCTTGTTTGTCTGAGCAGCTCATCCGTGATAGTGTCCATCTGGGATGTGTGGTAGGCATGAGGAAGATCCAAATGGAAGGTCCTGTAACCCGCAGCTTGCAAAGTTGCCGAGAGAGCTTCTATGCTCGGGAGAGTACCCCCGAGGACTGTTTCGTTTGGACCGTTGATGCAGGAAATCTCGAAGGGAATGCCACTACCAGCACGTTTGACATCTGCTACTGAAGCTCGTACTGAAAGCATACCGTGTGTACGAGCCGTGCACTTGGAGCTCAGGAGCGCAGCGCGGGTGCCGACAAGAAATATGGCAGCGCTTTCGGATAATACACCAGCCACCGCCAAAGCTGCGTATTCACCCAGGCTGTGACCAATAACAACGCTTGGTTTGATGCCAAATGACTCCCAAAGTCGCGCTAGAGCGATCTCCACACAGATTATGGCAAGGTTCATCGTGACGATAGAGACATCCTTTGGCTGTACAGTTCCAGCAACGATGGGCAAGAAAGAGGTGAAGTCTTGTCGTCGTACCAAGCCGTCCAGTCGATCAATGTGCTGGCGAAACTCGCGAGAGTCTCGATATAATTGAGTGCCAATGCCGATATAGAAAGTACCCTGCCCAGTGAATGCGAATGCTATGGGAGGTTGTTTGCCCGAGTGTGGAGTTTGGGATAGAGAGGTTTCAATGTGTGAGCGAAGTGACGATGCTGCTTCAGCTGTGGAAGACGCAAGAATAGAAACTCGATAGTTGTAGTGGTTTCTCCGAGCCGACAGGGTATAGGCCAGGTCTGCAATGGAGAGTTCTGGGCGCGTTTCAATAAAGTCAACAAGAGCTTTGAGATTTTCCTGCAGTGAGTAAGCCGTCTTTGCAGACACAACGATTACATGTAATTTTCGTGCATCGTCCCCCTTCTTTGATCGTGGCATCGCCTCTTCCACGATTATGGACGTATTTCCTCCGGCTGCTCCGAAATTGTTCACCATGGCTAGTCTTTTCCGATCGCTGTTTGGGGCCCAATCAGCTGCTGTTGTAGGGATAACCACGTTTCTTTTGGTCAAATCACCTGGCAGTGCTGGGTTGAATCGAGACTTGATGCCAATATGAGGAGGGATAATGCCTTTCTGAAAGACCAACATTGTCTTGACGAATGCCATGATACCAGCAGCTGCTTCCCCATGGCCCATGTTGGATTTGACGGTACCGATGTGAAGAGGTGACTGCGGATGTCGAATGTGGCCAGTAGAAGGAGCGAATACGTTTGTGACTGATCTCATCTCGTTACTGTCGCCTGCCTGAGTTCCTGTGCCATGCATCTCAACAAACCCAACCGACAAAGGGTCGATCCCAGCCCTTCTGGCAACTTGAGTATACAGATGGGCCTGCGCAACATCGTGCGGATGGGTGATAGAGACTGCCTCAGCAGAGTGATCAGTAGCTGCAGCGAGAACAACTCCTAGAATATTGTCGTTATCCGCCTCGGCGTCTTCCAGTCGTTTCAAGACAACGCTACCGACGCCATCAGCACGACAATACCCATCAGCCCCTACATCCCACGTCTTGCATCCGCCAGTAGGTGAGAGAAAGTGGCCATTGCTGAGGCCGGCGTAGACATCAGAGTTCGTGATGATGTTCATGCCTCCAGTAATTGCCATATCGACATCACCACTCCATAAAGAAGTGCATGCAGCTTGTATCGCCGCAAGACTGGAAGAGCATGCGGTGTCGACACTGAAACTCGGACCCCAGAATTTGAAGAAGTAATTGATGCGGCCAGGACCGAACGCCCTACATCCTCCGGGAATGAAGTAAGTACCAACTTCTTGTCCAGAGTTGACCTCGCGGTAGTCGTCGCTGGCCTGTCCGTAAAACGTACCCACGCGTCGCGCGTGTATACCGCGACCATGCACGTAGCCTGAGTTCTCCAAAGCCTCATAAGCAGTCACGAGAGCAAGTCTCTGCATCGGATCCGTTTGTTCAGCTTCTCGTGGTGACATGCCGAAGAACATGGCATCGAAGAGACCTGGGTTATCTACAAAACATCCATATGGTGTTTTGGATGTATTCGGGGTTTTCCCTGCTGGATCCACATGAGTTTCAATATTGAAGCGATCAGGAGGAACAGGCCCGTGGGCATCGTGGCCTTGTACCAACAGTTCCCAAAATCTTTGTGTGTTATCAGCACCTCCTGGAAAGCGGCATGCCATACCCACGACAGCAACTTTCGATGACTTCGCATCCTTGGCAGGACTGCTTCCAAGAGGGAGGTTCATGATCGCTGACATCATGTCTTCGGCCGTATGTGTAGCGGTGGGGATGTCGGCTTTCCATTGCGCAAGTAAGCTTTCAACATATTGTGATGGTTGTATGGCGATCAGTTGGGTGGAATTCGGCGAGACCTGTTTCAGCTGTTCCGTGACGCTCTGGATAGTTCGATCCCACCGGATTCTTTGGGTGAGCATCTCTTCCATGATTTGCTCGAGTAGTTCATTGGCATTCGCTGCTTTGAATGGTTGTCCTGTCACCGGGGAGAACAATGAAAGATGCAGTCGGTGTTTTTCGTCGATATGCGGAACGACTTGCCGCACGTGTTCTGTACCATAGACCTTACCCGTATGCCACATTCCTTGCACTTTCTTCATCGGTAAGTTTCTTGTACGCTTGAAGAATTCACATTCTGTGAAGAGTGTTTTGAGAGTCGATGGTGGGCCACCAATGCTGACAGACTTGCCGTCGTCATTGAAGACTGATGCCGCGCTCGTCTCAGCATATTCCTAACATACATATCAGTGCAAGGTCAGAGGCAAATTTTCCTTTTGAAGAAGTATGCCCTGAACAGAGGGCCATGGCAGGTCCAAGAAATGGGGACAGAAGGACTGGAGATGAGGCACAACATCGCTCCCACAAGCACCTAGGAAAGGCAGACAAAGGAGAGTGTGGATGGATGCAATGATAGGGAAGGAGATGGCGACAGAATGAGCAACCGAGATGACCACCTCACAAGGTGAGCGCCCGAAATGCAGGTCACAGGAGATACTAGCGTCAGTTGGACCCCTGATCAGAATGGAACTGCTGGGTGCGCAAAGTGGGGCTCGGCACCCGGACGCCAAGTCTCTGACCCAACCTTGGAAACCTTCCAATCGAAAACAACATGGAAATCTGACTTACCTTCTCGGCATTGAAAAGTGCCACTGCTTCTTCAGCCTCGGATGGGTCAACACCGTACACGCAATATATCCAAGCCCCAGCAGCGTTGATCTCATCTGGTGAAATTTCCAATGATCGGCAGACCTGATCAACAACGAGCCCGAATCGAAACGCTACTTTGGCGATGTCCCCAGCAATGCTTGGAACCATAGACACATTTGGGCAAAGTGCGATCGCTGCCGCTGATAGCATGCCTGGGCCTCTCGCAATTAGGAATGTATCTGACGACTGAAAATTATATTCGAGGGGGTGAGCTTCGTGGTATCTGGTGTGCATTAGAACCTTGGATGACAAGAGCTGATGGAGATACCTACGCAATGAAGCTTCCCAGCTGAAAGGCAAGCACCAGTACTCGCTCGACCGCTCCACCAAGTGACGTTTTCCTCAGCTCAACGACATGATCGGTCAAGTCCAGGATGCTCTCGAAAGCTGGTATCGAATCTCTCTCAGTGCGGATCAGTCGACGCTGTTCCTCCTTCACAGCCCGTGTGATGGTTTCAAGAAAGAGGGCAAGGATCGGATAACTTCGCTCCTTGCTGAGTAAGTGCAGCTTCCTGAACAAATCTCGCTGGTCGCCCTCCGGATCCCCTTGAGGTATCTCTCCAGAAAAGTAAAGGACCTTGGCCCGTATCATCTTCAATATGTGTTGGGCTCAACGAGACAAGATTTTAGGATGGATAGAGAGCGATACAAAAAAGTCCGTTTGTCGACGTATTTATCTATGCCGTCGACCATACACATATCCCAAGCGTCCCAACTGATGCCAGTATTCATCAGCATTTCGGCTTCTCAACAAAGCGAGTCCTCACACCACCGTCATCAACCGCTTCCTATCGTTCTAGATGACGTATCATGCCTTCCTGGGCGTAAGACTTCGTTCCGGGTGGACTAGGAATGTCAGACTCAGCCGTCAACAAGTCTGATATGGCACTGCTTGTTGTGCTCTACCCAAGTACGGTAACGAATGATTCTCGTCTCCGCGCAGTCCGCGGACCGACCCGGTAGTCCAGTGATCGGTCAACTCATGCATAGCTGGGAGGGTCGGCTCGAGATAAGTTGCTTGGCAACGTGGGAGAGTCAGAACCTTTGTTCTAACATTGAATCGCGTCTGCATGCTTTACCTAGCTGATTCATCTATTGCCAACATTCTATAGGTACCCAAGCCACAAAGCAACTCGTTTGTAGCAAGTTGTGGTTTTAGAACATTCCTTCCAAGCCCGAATGAAAACGCACCTACATTACAATTCGGACGGAAAGGTGATAGAGAGTATCTTCAGTAGACGTACTTCCCGTAGTGCAAGGATGTACCCAACGCCTCTTTCAGTAGGCGCTTACATGTATACGAGGTAGGTAAATACCTCACAAAGGTTTCCAGTAGACCTTCCACAGAAGTACAACTAGTGAGCTTCCTTTCTTCTGCAGGTGTTCACACTAAGCATTCTGGTTCGATGAGCTTGCGTACGGATAAGCAATCTACGCAATTAAACCCCGAGCCGCTTGTGTGAATAAGCATTCAACGCCATCGGAGACATTCGGTCGCGGCTCATGTCAACGTATACGGCAACATGGGATGTGCGGCCTACACCTGGCTGTAGATTGTCCTACTATGAAACGTCTGATGCATGTAGCCACGATCATGATACAGCCAATATATACGTACTCTACCTCTGCACCTTGATAGTGGCGTTTCTGCAAGTCAGATTCGCATCCATCTCTTCTTGTCTCTTACTGCAGGATCTGACAAGTTGGCTGACATTCACTGCAACTGCGTAAAAGCCATTTTCGATGTGAATCAGAGCTGTACAAACTTGTGTACACTCTTGCGCATGTTCGGGCTATAGTTCAAGCGCCCTATGCACGTCGCAGAAATAAAAGCGGGAAGTTGAGCACATTGTACGGGATATTTGAAGACGCTTTGCTAAAGTTAGCAAATGCCGACTCTGAACCTGTGAGACTCTGCCCGTGCGAGTCTGACTCTGCTAAGACACATCCACTCACGCCTTCCGCTTGAACTGTCGGCTTCGGCAATAGTAATATCCAAAGCACAACGGAACAGAACTAGAGTAGTAGAAGCAATCCCGCATGGAACTAACGTAAGCTTGCCCATGGCACCTTAATGTGTTCTATAAATGAGAGCCTCGTCCCTTCATCCGTTACCCTTCAGCTCTTCGTGCAACCTACTCTTCGCTTATCCCTTTCCCTTAACTAATCAAATCATGGTGGCCTACACTCTTATGGAACAAGTAAGGCAACTACTGACATCAGCTCATGGCGATGCCCGAAAAATCCTACTTCGTGAATTGCACGAGATGATCGTTGGTTTAGAGACGCCAGAAGAGACTGCAACACGCATGTAAGTGTTTAACCCTGTTGGGAACGTAATACGCGAAACTAAGACTTGCTCCTCACAGAGCTCTTTATGTAAGAGTCGCTCCTCAAGTGCATCCGTTGCCTAGCCACTAATTACCTTTCAGCCCTTACAGTCTTCAGCTGTACGGATCGGCCAAGATTTGAAGATATTTGACACCTTGGCAAAATCTGGTTCAAAGAGCCTCCAAGAGCTGCAGAAAGTGACGAACGCCCATCCGATCACCCTTGGTACGCCTTGTGATGACCTTACGCCTTGTTGAGAAGCAGTGCTAATCGTATATATTAGGGCGTCTACTTAGATACATGGCCTCAGTTGGACTCATCCACGAAACTGGTGTCAACCAATTCGAAGCTAGCAAGAAAAGCCGGAATCTGGCAACTCCAGAAGCTGAGAAGATTGTCACACACTTGTAAGCGACTCAGCCAACCCTCCCTGTACCGATTTTTGGGAATTGACCGCTCTTTCAGCTTCGAGAACTGCGGTCCTCTGTTCCAGGAAATGCCCGCTTTCTTGCGCGCGAACAAATATCAGGATGTTACCGATGGTAAAAACACAGTATTCCAACCAGCTTACAACACCGATTTGGACACGTACACCTGGTTTTCCCAAAACCCACTGCAGATGGGTGCTCTTATCAGCTACATGGCTACGGAGCAAGCCGTCCGGGGGCGCTGGTTGGATGAGTACCCCATTCGACCCCAGACGAAAGACTGGAATCCTGAGTTGCCAGCATTCGTCGATGTTGGTGGGAACGTTGGGCATTACTGCGCGATGTTCAAGAAACGCTTTCCGGATATCCCTGGCCGGATCATCTTGCAAGATTTGCCGGATACCCTTGCCCATTCTTTGAAGACACCTGGTGTTGAAGCTATCGGTCACGACTTCTTCCAGCCTCAGCCCATTAAAGGTATGCGCAAGATGGCTCTTAAACGGGAAAGAATATGCTAAAGCTTATTCAGGTGCCAAGTTTTATCATCTAGGGTGGATTCTCCACAACTGGAACGATGATAAATCGAAGCAGATCCTACACCAGATCAAATCGGCGATGAGTGCTGAATCCGTGATTCTGATCAACGATATGATATTGCCAGAAGCGGCGGTTCCGTCTTTTGCCGCTTCCTTGGATCTGGTGATGTTGGGTGCCTGTGGCGCACGTGAACGAATGAGGAAGGAGTGGGACGAAATACTGGCAGATGTTGGCTTGGTCGTCAAAGACTGTATCGTGTACAATCGTGAACTTTGCCATGGTATCATTGGTGCAACACTGGCTTAGGGGCTGCTCGGGTCATTGAACCACATGTACTCAGCTCCGGAATACAGATTGCCTCTTCTATGTGTACTGCAACGCTAGCTTATTGGTGTCGCCTTATCTTCTACCGAAACGTGTTGAAAGTCAACCTCTGATTGGAGACCATCAGGTCCACTATCATCAGTGTCTGTGCGTTCTAACTATGGGATCAGCATCCTGGACCGGTATTTGAAGGCGGGAGGTCTGTCTTCGCAAGAAGTCGCAGCTGAAGCTGGGGAAAACAACAAATTTTCCACTTCCGGAGCCTTGCAGTTCGCATTTGTTAGTTTGTAAAAGTTCGATTGCTCAATTGTTGCAATCGGATTTTACGACGTAGGAATGAGCGTAAGCTCAAGGAAGCTCTAACAAGACAACCGCTTCTTCACCGAGCACCGCTTGCGTAATGAGACTCTTCGATGGCGCCATGTAGCAAATGGACGGGTCTTTCCAGAATCATGCTGCTGTCAGCGCCGAAAGGATTTTCTGCGTTTGACGTGGTCTGAGGTGTACGCCAATGCGATGACGGTTCAGCGTTCATGTTGGTGTCCATGTAATCATCGAGCTAGATCAGTGATTGGCGCGGAATACCGGGAACAGTTACACAGCTCCCACCTGCAGTCATCTTCTGCTTGACGAGGCGTAATTCCAGTCTTGGGTAGAAGATAAGACATGTAAGACTTATACGGAAACTGCCGTAGTGCCCGAAAGTGCAGATCCTGCAACGGCCCGCATCTGGTGCAGGAACCGCGCGGGTATGTCGCTGACATCCCACCCTGCAGCAACATGATGTGCAGATCCAATATAAGGCCGGTTAAACGGCCGATATCCGGCGCGACAACCTCGCGCTGTCACTATACGGCAGTTGGCATCCCACGCTGCAGGAATGGGTGGCCTAGGCTGACGAACACCAGGAGTACGAGGACTTCCAGCAGCGCTTCCATTGCAATGTAGGCACCTTGCTGCTAAACGCGGTAAATTGTATCGCGCTGGTACCAGGTCCGCTTTGTAAGGCTCGACGTACGAGTTGAACAGGCTGTGCAAGAAACGAGCATGCCGATCAATGTTCGGGTTTTTCTAGGTGCGCAGTCGGAGTGTCAGCAGTACAATGGCCGAGGTTCCCTGAAGATGCATAGCGAGCACGAGTGACAGCAACATTCATCCCCACATGTCGCCTTCAGCTCTGACTGTTGCATGACTGGTGTTTCGCAACGGTCTTTGGATGCAACACTCAACCCAAGCGGAGGGTCGTGTTGAGGACAATCCCAGCTTCAACATGGTTTGCCTGCACATCCTTCAGGTTATGGAAAGCCAATCTATCCATCGGATCAGGCGTTCCGCTTTGAAAAGGCATCATGGGCTGTTTACTCAGATATCTAGGTCATCTGAATAGTTTGGGCGGGGGTGGGTGGAATAGTCTCATCGGGTGAATTGTACTCAGCCGCGCGTGGTAGGTAGAGACGTTCTCTCATGGTCTTTGAGCATATCGCTCATGGACAACAGCCGCTTGAGTACGTTAAAAGGACAGCGTACACACGTCGGCCAGCTTACCATATATTCAATTCAAAGTTCATCCCATCTCATTTCTTGCCGATTGTCCAGCTTTTTGTCACAGCCATTTACCTATTGACTATGTCGACCAAGTCGTACCCTCATGTTCTCGTTGTAGGGGCTGGCATGAGCGGGCTTACGCTCGCACACCAACTCAAGACAGCCAATATATCCTTTTCCATCTTTGAGCGCGACCCAACCAGCGATGCTCGAACTCAGGGCTGGGCACTCTCACTCTTCGGGCCAGCACTGGCAGATCTGGTGGAGTCGATGCCGGAGGAGATGGGCCCCGTTGATCAGACGAGCCATTTGCTTCCCCTGGATCTTCCAGCCCAGTTTGTGTTCTATGATATCACTAGGCCTGGAATGCGTGCCGGGGTCATTAGCGATGAGAGCGGAAAGATCGTACGCGCCAACCGGACGCGGCTTAGGAACTGGCTACTCCAGGGGATTGACGTCAAGTACGGCAAACAACCAGCGAGGATTGAGGAAGCTGACGAAAAGGTGACGGTACATTTTAGCGACGGCACTTCTGAGACGGGCGACTTTCTTGTGGGTGCTGAGGGAACGCGAAGCATGGTCCGGAAGCACATATTGCACGGTCAGGACGTTATGAAGCCACTGGCACTCGGCTCTCTGGTTGGCGAAGTAGCGCTCAGCGGTGACGACTTCAAGCGCCAGCTCGCACTAGCGCACTCGGGATACATAGTCATGAACTCGACACTGGGAAGCGATGACCAGAGTGCTATATTTGGTGCCTTGAACAAGGTCAGCGAAGACGGAAACACAGGATACTATTACTTCATCTTGCTTTGGGTTGACAAGAATGCTCCAAACACCACGGAGGAGAACCCCAACTGGACTGTTGGGGCGACCAAGGAGCAGCTCGCTGCCTTTGCTCGTGAGAAGACGAAGGCGTATCCAAACCACCTCCGGGAGCTTGTTGACAAAGTCCCCATTGAAGGATACAGCAGCCCTGGGTTTCAACTCCAGGGCGTACAAATGACCGCTGAACAACTACCTGCTGGAAAGGTCGTCGTCATTGGCGATGCAGCTCATTCTATGACACCTTGTAAGTCTGCATCACAAATTCACCAACTAGTACGTTTGCTAATGTCTTCGAGTCCGTGGTGAGGCCGGTGTCTGCGCCTTCACGGATGCGCTGAAGCTCGGACGAACCCTTGCCCGTGTGCGAGATACAGCTGCCACGGGTGATGATCTGAAGCAGCTCGTCACGGAGTTCCGTGACGACATGCTCTCACGCGGTAAGTGGGCTATCGAGGTGTCCAATCCCGTCCTGGAGGATTACGGCCGTGTACCCGATTACAAGTTTGGAACCTTCGGAAAGGAAGCCGTGCCACTGCCAGAGGAGGGCGTTTCGGTTGTTGCCGTGCAGTAGGAGGTTCGAGGAGAACGAATGTGTGCGTAAGAGTCTGTCTAGTCACATCTCACCGTATCACCCAGTTCAGATACCTTGATCATCTGATCGGAAGCTTGAAAAGATGAAGTGAGTTCAACCTGCACGTAACGGATTAGTCCTCAGCTCGCCTGAACCGAGCCAATTGTCTGCCCCTCAATATATTAGTGCTTACAAGCTTATCCCACGCGCCCTTTTTCTCTTGTTTTGTTGACATGCATGGTGCGAGCTGGCTTGCATGAACAGCCCCACTCTTTGTGCTACCTGCCGCCTGATTGCCCTGGACCTGGGAAGTTTCCCCTCTAGCTCTCTAATACCTCGTTCTTAACTCCGAAACAAGTGCTTCATGACGATAATCGCACGAAGCTCAAGTTGACGAACACACTTGAAGGAACAATACGAACACGGCTATGGAAACTCACACAATCCGCAGTTTCACAGGCTGTTGGACGTGCCGCCTCCGCCGCAAAAAATGCGACGAGAAGCGCCCCATCTGTGACGTATGCTCGTCTCTCATGATCGCCTGTCACTTCGATCTTGCAAAGCCAGAATGGATGGACGGTGGCGCCAAACAAGAGGAAATGGCCGAGGCACTCAAACTGGAAGTCAAAGAGAATGCTCATCGTCGTCGCAGCGCACCGTTTCTGAGTAGTAGCGAACGCGTGTCGCCCGCAACTGCCATCAATGGAGACTGCGTCATGCTGCCACCCCAGACACCAAGGGCTTCAGCGTCTCCAACGTGCAACTTGCTAGTTGGTAGCGCAGGAACGACTCCTCATTCGTTGGCGAGGTTGCGCCAGAGGGGCCCAGATTGCACGCTCGCGGGCAAGGAGACACGAGAGCGTTTGGCGATCGGACGTTCGGATGCGATCCTCGTCATGTTCTACCTCGAGAATCTGTTCCCGTTCTTGTTCCCTTTCTACCGCCCGTCGCTGCTGCAGGGTGGTCGGACATGGATCCTGGAGATGATGATCAGCAGTCCGGTCGTGAAGCAGGCACTTTTATGCCAGAGCTCTTATTTCCTGTCGCTGGCACAAGGGGCAGCGAATTGGGAGAAGGTTCTCGAGCAGACAAGAGATGCGTTCGAGGTACTGAGATTATCACTTCAGGTGATTAGTGACGCAGGCGTGATGGAGCATTTGCACGGTACGGTACGCATCCTAGCCAGCATTATGCAAGTGCAAAGGTTTGAAGTAGCCGTTCTGAGCTTCAACAACTGCCAGGCACACTTGAACGCCGCACTAGCACTCTTCATGCAGCTTCTCGAGAGCGTCGACGCCATGACACCAGTATGTCCCAGCTCAAGCTTCAATGCAGTCTTGGATCGTCTAAACCCCACCACACTGATCGATCCAGCCGAGATATTTCAAGCCCCCATCGCAGAACAAGCAGCATTTCGCTTCTCTTCTGCCCTCCTTATCCTGGACGACATCATCGCGGCCACCATTCTTCAACAACAGCCTCGCCTATACAGCTATCATCGGAGCCTGCTCTATACACCCAGTAGCTCCGAAGCCGTCATCAACCTCGAGGAAACAGTAGGGTGTCAGAATTGGGCACTCCTCTATGTCGGCGAGATAGCCACCCTCGATGCATGGAAGCAACAATCCCATCGCGCAGGAAGCCTCGACGTTATGGAGCTGGTCCGGCGCGCCACAGCCATAAAGGCTTCTGTTGAAGAATATATTTTGCAGCTTGATAATGACCCCATGAGCCCTTCCAATGAAGGGTCGAGCTTGCTAGAGATGTTCGCTTCGGACTTTGGACATCAACGGAGAACACCAACGCGCCAAACTATCCTCGCGACCCGTGTCTGGGCACACGCAGCACTCTTGTATTTGTTTGTCGTTGTGTCGGGATGGCAGCCGGCGAGCTTGGACGTCCGATATCACGTTGGAAAGATCATCGAGCTACTGACGCAGCAGATTGTGCCGCCAGCGTTGCTGCGCTCCATGGTATGGCCGTTCTGCGTGGCGGGCTGTCTGGCGGCGCCGGAGCAGGAAGCGCAATTGCGGGAAATGGTTCAAGCACTACAACCTCCAAGCGTGTTCGGTACGGTTCGTAAAGCATTGGAAGTTATGGAAAGTGTGTGGTCAAAAAGGCGCGCAGGCGATACGGAAATCAGGGATCTGGCGACGTGTTTCAGGAGTCAAGGAGACTTGGTGTTGTTAGTCTAGGTGATGTCATACTTCATGAACCCACTTGATTGGTCGCCAGGTCTAATCTTCCTTCTTGACAACGAACATACAAACAAAATCTAGAGGCACTCAGAAAAGCTCGTCTCATACACATGCAACACATGTTCAGATCGTTTGATGGTAGCATGAATTATTCTGCTGACTACGAACAATATAATGCGAGCAGTATAATGAACGACTAATGGGACCGACAACCACGTCACCTACGCAACGCCTCGCGTCCGATTTCCGTACCTTGATTCGCTCACTTCAAAGGGAATGATTCCTCACTAGTCAAGAGAGCGGTGTCAATTTCACTTGAAAGAGGCATATCCCTGGCCTTTCACGAAAGTGGCCTGCCATGGCACGCCCTCAGGGTGCTGCGCCAACTGTGGATAGTACTCGCCATGGGCAGGGCCATCGAGTGCCATACCCTTGAACTTGCCATCAGGATGACGTTCATCGGCGTAGAAGAATCTGAATCACGAAACGTCAGTGATAAGACCATACACGCATGTATTCGAGATGATTACCGGTAGCCTTTGGACTTGTACAGCGTGTCAGCAAGACCGACCCAGTACGCGCTTGCAGCCTTGCCGACACCCAAGTTCATCATGGACGGCATGGGGATGATGAGTTCGTTCTGGGCGTTGCCAGTGTAGATGAAGGTCTTCTTAGTATCTTCGGGAAGTGTCTCCCAGGCTGCGAGCGCCTGCTGTGCCGCCACGTACGGGCTGACAACATTGATATTCAAGTCCTTGGTGACAGCCTCGGCAGAGACGGATAGGACAGAGGTTGGGTCCGAAGGAGGAGTCAGGGCGGCAGCGTTGTAGATGACGACGCTTGGGGCAGTGCCAAACTCCGACTTGACGGCAGAGAAGACATCGGGCAGGCTGGAGGGAGACGCAAAGTCGGCTTTAATGGAGAAGTATCCTTCTTCGGTCTCGCTGTTGGTGCCTTTACGGGACGCAAGAGCGACGCTGTAGCCGCTGTTCTTGAAAGCCTGGGCAACAGATGCACCAACGCGAGGACCAGAGCCGAGGATGAGGACCACAGGAGCCATTTTTGTGTATCTGATGTGAGTGGGGTATGATTGTGGAGAGGGTTCTGAGATTGTGCTTGTGGTAGATTTGGACTTGGCTCCGAAACAGAAGAGTTTGGAGACGAAGGAAGAGATGGGTGACATGTACGTGAAGATGCCGACGCGCAGTGTCTTTATATCAGAAGAGTCTTCAGTTTCTGCCTTCTTTTCGGAGCCAGAACGAGGGTATGATACTAGTTGGAAAGTGCGCTCGGGACACGCGAGTCAAGCAAAGGCATGGCGAGCAGAGATGGCTTCCGTTTGCAGTCAATGTGCTTTTGCCGTTGTCACGTTGTCTAGGATTCAGCATGGTTGTGCCTTCATGCTGTCGTACGAGTCGAAGAGATGCTGGGCGGCAAAACGCGGGGGACACTGGGTGCCGTAGTGGTGGGATCGACCGCGCGCGGAAACCACGATGCGAACCAATATTGGAGTCTCCTTCAGTGTCAGAAGCTCTATTGTAAAAGACCCACAAGCCGCGCGGGTGAGCCTGGAAAGATTAAGCAGCAGCCAAGAGTCGGCGCCCAGGCATGGTCGATAGGATGCCCAGTGCAGGCCGCGCGGTAGGGAAACACACCTCATTAGGCAGAAGTTCGCAACCCGCGCGACCCAGTTTGGCGGGTATGAGTAAGTTGTGCAGTGATTCAAGCAGGGTGCGTCGCAATCATGCATGCTGCACGTGAAGATACTTACATAAGCCGCGCGGTTGTGACGGGGGTCGAAGGTAAATGTCTGTCGTCTAGCCGAAATGGGAAAGCCCTTACAGCGACCGCGCGGTTGGACCAGCATTTTGTACTCGGTCTTTCATACAAAACGCACGAGACGACATTGAGTATATCGGAAGCGGCAGGACATACGACCCCGAATGCTGCTGCTGCCTGTAAGAACCAGGTGCATTCACCTGCAAACATTGTTGTCTTTCCAGTTGTCCAATGTCGTCGATATTGGCAGCTAGTACCCACTCGATCATAGTCTCGGCGATGCCCCTACTCTACTGCCAGTTCATTGCCTAGTCCCAATCATTTTTGTTCTGCGACGTTTGGTAGCTCAGCATTGCCTAGCAAGACATGCCCTTGGCGCTGTCGCCCATATACTTGACCATCCTCATAGTGAGCCTCTGCATCCCGTTCCTCTGCGAAAGTGCTACCAAAATCACCATCGCCATCCAAGAAAGTCCTCCCAAGACACTCAAGATGTCCAATACTACGACCACCCCATCTTCACGGATGCCAGTCTACTTCCTGAGCATCGGCGGACCCAACTTTATGGAAAACACGCAGCATCCTGCCTACGCGAAGTTGGGCGAGGTTGGTAGAGAGATTACGACCAAAGTCAAGCCTAAAGCGATCGTCGTCTTCTCTGCACACTGGCAAGATAGCCCAAATCGTATCCAGATCAACGCCGCAGAGGACACTGATATCATCTATGATTTCTTCGGGTTTCCACCTCACTACTACGAGTACAAGTTTCCGAACAAAGGCAGTCCTGAACTTGCGAACAAGGTTATCGAAAAGCTAGGCAGCGCCGGCATCGAGGTGCAGAAGGTGAAGCGAGGGCTTGATCATGGAGTATGGGCAGGCTTTGTTGTCGGTATGATTGCCTTGTTGTAATTGGTGGGGTTGTTTCCATTCTAACGTGTTGCTACAGCCTTCGATCCCAATAAGAACCCTCTGAACGTGCCGATCGTCCAAGTCTCCCTCTTTGACAACGAGGATATCGGTCGCCACTATCGCATGGGCGAGGCGCTCCAGAGTCTCCGCGACGAAGGCATACTGATCGTAGGTGCTGGAATGGCAGTTCACAACCTACAGGATTACCGGAAGTCTCGAGGATCGGGTAAAAATATGCCGTAGGTCATTTCTGTGCACATTTAACTGATTGAATCGTCGTTGGGAGACTTGACTAATCCCTTGCAGTTACTCCTCCACCTTCGATGATGCACTCAAGAACGCCGTGACTTCCAATCCAGAAGAACGCAAGGAGAATCTGCTGGACCTTATGAAGCGCAGTGATGGAAGACAAGCGCATCCAACGCTCGACCATATCCTGCCCATGTATGTCGCTGCTGGTGCGGCAGGTGAGAGCTCTGGTGAACAGCTCTGGACGATGCCTGAGGTGAGTCTGAGCTGGGCGCAATACCGGTTTGGTGAACTTCCGACTACAGCGTGACTGCACGGTAATGGCTATGACATGGGTGGGTACACTCATGTAGAGCAAACGAACAGATGGAATGGATGCTGCATGATCATGTAATGGGGGAACCGAATGAACTGAGGTCAGCTCGAGATCACTTATCTTAGACTAGTGTGATCTTCTTCCAGACTCGCATCCATCTTTTGTACCATGAACGAGCCAAAGCTTCACCGTTCATATATCCGTGAACTGCATCATGCCATGTTAGCCAGACTTCCTCGAGATACGCTATCTCAGAAACTCACTGTAGGCTTCGCCAACGACGCCGAACATATCTTCCCGTGGTCGAAGTGTTATCGGAAAATTGCAGCCAGAGATGATAAAGACCACATCGTGAGGCTGAGCGTCTACTGGTCCGATCCCAATATGCCCATTCCTTGTTATGAAAAGCCGACGTTGCCGCATCACGTTTCGCATGGTAGGTGCGTACTCGTCATGCCATATTCTTCCTCCACCAGTGAGTGTGGCCATCAGCATGGATGTTTCTTGAGAATCGATGGCGTGCTCTCTTCTGGTCAACTCCCTCCGTCGTCTCCTGCTAGATATGAACTTCGATCGGAGAATGAACTCACAAATCTGATCCATGAATTCATCGTTGCTCGTCGCAGTGATGTCTGCATCGCAAACTTCCGCAATACTGTCCCACTTCTTACTCAATACCGTAAGTGCCCTCAGGTCGTCGCTGAACAGAGCGAACGCCTCCGAATTGCCAGCCGCAAGGTATCCATGCCCTTTTAATATGGCCATATCCATGGATCCAGAGTATGCGAGTTTCATCAAGAGTCTGCGGTTGACCAGCAATATTGGCCTTCCCGTGGTAGCCTCGCTTCGCCAATCCGGCACCCACGATGGTAATTCGGCGTTACTATTGACACCGCTTGCCGCAAGTAGGATGTCCATTCGACCCTCCTTGATTATGATCTCTCGCGCAATCTCTCGATACACCTGTTCCATCGACTTCCGATAGTCTGGTGCCATGGTGGAATACCCATCTTTGGTTTCACCAACCAGACCCAATACAGCAAACACCTTATCCCTTGGATCCGTCGATGCGCGATCCCAGATGTTCCAGAGCAGTGACGATAGCGTACTGCCATTGACTCTAGCTTTAGCAAGATGTATCGCTAACGTATACCGCCGCCGCAAGGTCTCCCATTGCGACTGCCTTCCCGTGCCTTTTACATGGTCCCCCATATCGTCCCATCCCTCAGCATAGTCCATGGCCTTCTGAAAATTCTTCCACTTGAGCTTCGTAGGACCACAGTAAAGCACTGCGTTTGAAGCACACCATACCTCCTGTACGATCCAGGTCCGGCCCCACCAAGGGCGCGCAAGTAGTTCATCGACAGCCTGCCAGTGAGAATCCCATTCCTTCTTGAAGTAATCTTCGTGAGGATTGCCGAACACGTTATATAGTATAGGATAACCTGTGATGGTGAAATTATTCTTCGTAGCTTCCATAGCAGTGTGTGCGTCTACGAACTCAGACCACCTTTTCCGGCTCCATCGAGCGTCCTTATACTCTGAATATCGCCATCTGAGTGACGTCCAGAGCGACTTCAGGTATGTTTTAAGCCTTTTCCATTGTATAAAATCATTAAATCGGTTTCCACCATCACACAAGGCTCTGGTAGAGTGCGATGACAGTGGCCTACTGTTAGCTTCGCGACCCAAGGAAGCGGCATACGAGTTGACCGAATCCTCGTCTCCGGCAATCGCTCTATTGTTTGGTTCAAAACTCGAACACACATTCTCTTCTGGTACATCCACTTGCCCAACGCTATGATCTGAAGCCGAAGGAAGACTCCAAGGTGACCGATCCGGTCCAGGACCCAGTTCTGAGCTCGTATCACTAGCTACCCTGACACCGTTTCTCTGGATGTTCCGATCCTCATTTCTCTTAGCAGTGGCCATTATCTTCAAGAATGCCATGGCCTGTTCGCTCGATTCTGTTGCTGGCCCGATCCAAATTATCACGCGCGCTGCGTTGCGGTATATTTGCCTCATGATAGCGACTTGACTATTTCGCTCAGAAGTGTTGGCCTGATCGATGCAAATGGCATCAATCCAGAGCTTGCACCCTTGCGACCTGTACCTGAGATGCTCAAGCGCGACATACAAAGTAGAGCTGACCAGGAATGATGAGCCATTGACCGTAATGAATCGACCACAATCATCATGTCCCCACGCATACGACAAACACTCGTATTTGTGATCGGAGTTGAAGTCGACCTGCTCGAGCTCAAGTTCTATCGCCGACTCTTGCTCGCTATGAAGGATTGTGATGAGGCGGATCTGGTTGGACCCAGCCAAGCTCTGGTACTGGAAAGGCGGAAGCTCCATGGCTTCCTTGGGTACACCACGGGCTAAATGGAATGGCTCTTGGGAGCTTCAATGCTGTGGCGTGCAGCGCACGGTCGGCGTGCGAGATAATGAGGCTAGGAATTCCAGGCGCTATTGACAGGTGCACAGTTCCGCAATTACTTGAGCTAACCCCAGCGGCGTTAGCATGCGGGGAGGTTTAGGGTCAAACATCAATGGCCAAATTGCTCTCCACATCGCAACATTAAGGTAAGCAACCGAGGCTAAAGAGAGCACCAAAGAATGGTAGAAAGAAGTCCGGAAGATCTCAGACCAATTGACACCATTCGACGATGCTGATGAGCAGCTTCTCACGCGCTGAAGTCGACTTGTCGCCTATCGTCCGGATGGGATGACGTCATTTTTGTCAGATCTTAGCCGTACTTTTGCCTACGGAGAATTCATATCATCAAGATGTGTCGCAGATTGATGGAACTTAGGGTGCGCTAGTTTCTCGGCTTCATCAAACTGACGGAGGAATTCGAAACATGTGTGCCCTTTGGGGGAGGGGACGCATGTATATTGGCGAGATGGTTTAGATGAAAAGGACGCTCTACCTACCTCTGTCGCTTTCGCGCTTTCGACAAGACCTCGATATCTGATCATCATGCTGTCAAACATCATGAACCGGTTGGCTTTGCCGTTGGCCATCTTCGCATTCTGTAAGTATGCCACATGTATCACGAACACACACAGCTGATGCGCTGTAGTCTTGTCTTTTGCCAATGGTCTTCCCCATGAAGCACGCGACGCGCTCGTTGCGCGGAAGACGACCAGCCTCCGCATCTTGCCTCTAGGTGACTCAATCACCTGGGGTTTTATGAATGGCGCTGGTACGAACGGATATCGTCAGCAACTGCTCAATGACTTGAAGGCCTCTGGCAACACCGTCGACTTCGTCGGCACGCAACAGTCTGGAACGATGGCCGATAAAGACAACCAAGGCTTCCCCGGATACACGATCTCACAGATCCGCGGTGTTGTTGCCGGCGGTCTTGCATTCAAGCCAAACGTCGTCTTGCTCCATGCCGGCACCAACGACCTGAACCGTGGAAACCCTGCTTCGGAACCTGATGCTGATGCGCCGAGACGACTTGGACTTTTGATCGATGATGTTTTGAAGGCAGTTCCGAATGCGGTTGTTATCGTGGCTAAGATTATCCCGTCAAAGCAGTCTGGTCTTAATGCGACGATCAAGACCTTCAACAATGCGTTGCCTGCTATCGTTGCTGCCAGAGTCAGCAAGGGATCAAAGGTTTCGATTGTCGATATGAATGTACTCAACTCAAACAGCGAGCTGAGCGATAACTTGCATCCGTAAGCAACGAATCCTACCCGCGTAATAGTCTACGTGAAAATGATCAGCTAATCAGTTTGACAGGAACGCTGCGGGCTACTCGCGGATGGGCGACATCTGGAATGCTGGAATCAAGGCTGTTGCAGACTCAATCCCTGCACCTGCTTAGCTCTACTCGTTTTTGGACTCATGAGGCTGGTATGTCAGCGTATGACGGCAATGGTAGAGTAGGACGCGAAGTGCAGTTCAATTCATGCCTCATTCCATCACTCCGGCCTTTCTGATGACCCCATTTCCATCCATATCTTCTCATTTACAATATGCCCCAGCTTCCCCACGACGCTACGTCGATCCCCGTGCTCCGGTACCACCTGTCGTGCGAAACGTCGGTCGGGTTGGTCAAGCAATCTCAAGCCTTTAGCCGAATGCGGGATCAGCAAATTAGTTCCGCAACTGCCGACATTACCTTCATGCCACGAGGGCGTACACAGTAGGTTAAGTTGTGGTAACCCCAATATGTATCCTTTGGTAAAGATGGGGTCGGCAGTTGTATAGCAAACGTCGAAGGTGAGATGGATGGCAAACATTCCACGTCTGGATCACATCGGGCTCGTGTGAACACCGCATAGAAAATCTCTCGAAGTACTTTATCTGCCATTGCATCTTCCTTGCATCCTTCCGTACTTCTTCAATCCGTCTCTGCATCCTCCAGTGAATCAACCTCTCAGTCGTCATGCTTCTCTCGACTCTCTTTTTCGCCGCCCTCACGCAGGCTATGCCTCAAGGCTTTGGCGGCCAGGGCTTCACTATGTTGCGTTTTGGCTGCGCTCAGAATGTCATCGATCGGATCGATCCCCTCGTAAACCCTGGCCAAGCTCCTTCACCACATATGCATCAGGTGGTTGGAGGAAACGCTTTCAACATCACAATGCAATCAACCGATATCTCCAAGCTGGCGACTTGCACTACATGCGGGTACTCTGAGGATGTAAGTCAAGACGGGAAGATGTATGCGTGGGGCATAATGGCTGACAGAGTGGATGACAGCTTTCCAACTACTGGACCGCGAACGTGTACTTCAAGGCACGTAACGGAACCTACAAGCGTGTGCCTCAAATTCCTAACAGGTAAGTATTTCGATCAACAGTCAGTCGTTCTTTGTACTGATATGATATAGGGATTTGTTCAACGACAAATACACCGGCAAGACTACTGGAGGCTTCGTCGTTTACTACGTCTCTGGTGGCAAGGGCCAAGTCACAGCCTTCAAACCCGTAAGTAAGGTAGATATGTATGCAGCTCTGTTGTTTAACCCAGCATATAGGGCTTCCGTATGCTCGTGGGTGATGCCACCAACCGCAAGTCCAAGAATTTGAAGTCTCAGACCTGCTTTCGTTGCTACAACGCGCCTAACTTTGGCGGTGACAATGCTGCACCTTGCCAGGATGCTAAGTGAGGATTCACGTTTCATTATACTCAATTACATGCTAACATATCAAGGCTTGACACAGAAGGCTTCCCTACAACACCTTGCCCAGGTGGCATACGCAGCAACATTCTTTACCCAACGTAAGTAACCTCTCTCGCAGCACCCACCCTTGTATGTCACTGACTCATCGATAGGTGCTGGGATGGAAAGAATCTCGACTCGCCGGACCACAAGTCTCATGTCGCATACCCCAGCAATGGCCCAGCTCTCTTCTCTGGTACTGGTACTGGTGGCGCATGCCCTTCAACACACCCGGTGAAGATCCCGCAGGTCATGCTCGAGGTAAGTTCCAAGACTTTCTCACTATTACACCAAAGCTGACTTCGTTGTAGATCGTCTGGGACACCAGCAAATTCAACAACAAAGTTGAGTGGCCCGCCGATGGCTCGCAGCCTTTCGTCCTTTCTACTGGAGACAACACCGGATATGGACAGCATGGAGACTACGTCTTCGGCTGGAAGGATGACTCGCTTCAGAAGGCTATGGATGACGCTAAGGGCTGCATGGGTGCCAACTGTGGTAGCTTGAAGACACAGCAGCCTGCTGATGGCAACAAATGTGTTGTACCCAACCGTGTGCATGAGGAACATGACGGCTGGCTGACTGCTCTTCCGGGTATGGAGGATATGCCGATGATCTAGAGTGCTAGAGCTAGAGTCGATGATCATCAAGCTGTTCTGTTGGCGGGTTGAAGAAAGAATTCTCTATGTGACATTCGACGTTCAATGTCAGATTCCTCCGGTGTGTCGAACATGCCGAGTAAGGCCGACAGGCGACTAGTCAGTATGGATCTTGTAGGGATTGGGTAAAGGCTAGGTAGATTCTGAATGAACATCCTGTATCAACGCAGGATCTTGTACCAGCCTGTGGTTTTGGGAGTCTGGATGTTGACACCCGTCTTACTGCCGCGCAAGCGACCTTGCTAGATAGTAGTGGGTAGCAGACGGAGAAATTTGTTACTATCAACTGAAGTAGAAGATTTACAACATTCTAGACATAGGTCGCAACGTCTGTTGAAATTTTCATCAGTAAGGATAAGATTGGCGATTGCGCACGCAGAGAACCTCGAGTTCGGGTCTCTCAACATCATTTTTGGAATCGTTGCTCGAAATAGCGTAGAAATTCGAAGTCGACGCTGCGCGCAATAATGTGGTGGCGCGTAGATATCAGGCAACAGTAAGCCATCCGGGTCAGACTGCACAACTTCATGGTAAGGCCCTTCATACATCTGGTCGTGCTCGGCGTCGTTCGCCAGGGCCAAGTAGATCTCGACAAATACACATCCTAGAGAAAAGACATCCGATTTTGAATTTCGACTTCCGCACTCAATGACCTCAGGTGCACAGTATCGCCTAGTCATGCCCTGTGGGTATCCCGTAGTTGTACTTCGGCCGGCGTCTCCGAAGTCGTACGAAGAACCAAAATCTGTATACATAACGTGCCCTCGATGAATCAATATGTTCTGTGGCTTGATGTCTTTGTGTCGGATGGTCTGCTTGTGAATGAAGGCTAGGGCTGAAGCTAAACAGTAGGGAGCTTTGCGCAGGATATTATTCTGAACAAGGTTTTCGTCGTTGGTATAACCTTTGTGCCAGGAAAAGCCTTGGTCACGGTAGTTTTGTAAAAACCCCGCTAGGTCTCCTCCATCAGCGACCGGGTCAAGAATGATGGTAAGCTCTCTTCTTTCGATATAAGTGGCATGCACTTGGACAACATGGTGATGTGCAGCTAAGCGTCGCATGATCTCGACTTCGTTGAGAAGTTTGCGTTTTGCCTCTTGCACATTGCGAGAATAGACTCTGGTGATCTTCCGTGCATACACCGAGCCCGTATCGAGATCGCGGACCATCTCAACGCTTGCGCTTCCGCCATGACCAAGCATTCGAACATGTTGATATTGTGGTGCATTGCTGCATTGATCGTCTTTCTCGGTATGTTCAGGCTGATTCCCACCATTCGTAAGAGTAGGCAGTGATGTAGCTGGGTCGAGATGGAGTAGAGTTTCACCTTCAGATGGATTTTCCGTGTTGCTACGGTCTCGTTCTTCCGGTGCGTCCTGCTCGCGCTCAACGCTTCCCCCAGATGAGGCTGTGATCGTCGGGGGTGCTGCTCCAAAGCCCCGATAAACGCCATAGTGTATCGACCCTGAGGAGCGATGTTCGCTGTAAGGGTCGAATGATTTTCGCAGGACCGGTTCACGTTGTCGTGGCGGCAACCCCATGATCCAACGACTAGATAGGCTTTCCTGTCCCCTCCAATAATTCGTTTGCGCCGAACAAAAGGATGTAGGAATAATATCGTTCAACACATCTGTTGCAATGTGAAATAATGGAGATAAGGACCTGTACCAGAGGGAAAGAAAGCGGTGTGTTGCAACACGACATGCGAGGGCTGAGTCCGTCCCCTTGCCAGGTCATCTTACCTAGGTATGCACGCGACAGTGGACAAGTGATTGGCTTGCATGGAACGGACCATGCTGCTTCGCCCCCTTGCAGCCTTACAGGCTCCGAGATGGACACCGAACTTGATGTGCAGCATATCGGGAAATAGATGCGTAATCTAAAGAAGCAGATAGGTTTGCGGTTTATATACGTGGCCATTTAAGCTGGAAGAGATAATCATTGCATACAACATCGCGACGCGACGAGCTCACGCAACCACATTGGACAAATAATGACCGCCAAGGATCTAACCTAGCTAAGCTAAGATGGGTCAGCTCGCGTGTAGTACTCAGATGGAGGATAGCTTGATATGCTGATCCAATAGCATCGTAGGTCATTCATGAAGCAATTACTGAGAATTATCCATTGGCGAACGCATGGATGCAAGCAATTGATTCAGTAATATACGGTGAATTATCACCGCGATATGTAGCTCTTGCAAAAGCTAAATCTAACGCTCAATCAAAACATCGCTCTAAGGGGTATCGACTGAATCTACACAAATACTAGTAACCTCTTTTCTTTATACGCGCAACTCATTTTTCCTACCTCCTAAAACTCCATCCTCTCTTGCGCGCACCAGCATCAGTTTGAGACCTCTCCAACGTAGGCATACCTGTCCCCTGACCCTCACGCCTGGTAAATGTCCTCGCGCGACTCCATGCCCTACCCCTCATACTCTCTCCACCATCAGCCAACTCCCTTTCCCTCTGCCTCCTCTGCTGTTCTTCCGCACTTTGTTGTTTCCACCCACCTTCGGTCCTATCCTCTTGCTTCTCTGGCCACAGTATTTGACGGATGACGACAGCGCGAACGTTCATGTAGATGACGAAGAACCACATGGCAATGAGTGCGATAGTCATTGCACAGCCGATGTATTCGATGGGCTTGTTGCCGTTGAGGGCGCGAGCGATGGCGAAGGTGGATGTCGTGAGTGCGGTGTTAGGGAAGATGAAGGAGTACCATGTCATGGCGAAGTCCATCTTTCCGCGCCTGGCACATGAGTAATGCGCGCCGACACTTACGAAGAAGAACCATAGTGCTAGACCCCAGAGCCAGAGGCCCATGTAATTTGCACATATCATGCCGACTTTGCCAGCGAGCTCGCCATTGCCCTCGCCCATGAAGTCGCTGGGTACGGTCTTTGGAAGCTCTTGGCCCATCATGACAACTCCGGCGATGGTGAATCCAGAAGGACCGACACTGATGAACATACCCGGGCGGAGGGATTCTTTAGGAAGCTTCTGTGTCATCAGACGGTAAATGAAGGCAGCGTAAATCATGAGCGACACAAGGAAGCCGATGCCTTGGATGACATATCCGGTCAAGATGATGGTGAGTGATATTGTTGGATCCTCAACCTTGGGTGCGAGGTTACCGGCATGAGGTCCGATGATGAGCAAAGGATATGCTGGGAAGATCCAAATGGGCGTCATCTGAGAGATGGTGAAAGTTGTGGTTGACCACCTAGAGTTGTTAGCATAGCGTTCATTGGAGAATTGATTAGAGAAACGAACATGAGCAGGTAGATGCCAATAGAGAAGCAAACAGCAAGGCCGCAGTCCATCCAAAACAACACAATCATGCATCGCTCCAACCACTCTCCCACCCCAGCCATGTCAACTCCATATTGACTGACATTGATCAAGATGATACCAAAGCTGACCATGGCCGCAGGGATGAAGAGCGATTCGGTAGGATGTAAAAACGAAGCCTTGAACGTTCGTGGGTAGAAGTAGAATCGGCAAGAGATCATCGCGACATTGAACAGAAACAGGACTATGTTGAAGATGAAGAAGATACAACCGAGCGCGTAGAGGCCGTGGAAGCGGAAAGGCACGGTGTACAGAACGTTAGCAATGCCTCCGGTAGCCATGGTAAGGCAGAACCAGGTCCAGGTGAAATGCCGTATGCGCTCCTTGAAGCTGAGCGTCTTCCTATCCTCCGGCACGTCTGCTCCACGAGCGCTGTGTTTTGTGCTCCTGCTAGTGACAGCCGTCAATGCCCTCGGGTTCTGGCGAACGGAATCATCGGTCTTCTCTGTGGAAGTCGTGTCGGTCCTCTCATTGGCGTCCCCATGGTACTCCTCTTCCTCCTCTTCCCGCTGAATCTGCTTCTGAACATCGTTTGCAAGGCCTTCAGGTTCATCGCGGCTCAGGGGCGATGCCAATGCGAGGTTGGGGTCATCGAACGGGTTCTGAAATGACGGATCCGCAAACGGCGTCGCGACATTCGGGTGACTGCGCCATTGCAGCCTCTCCTCTGCACTCGACACTGAGGCGGTAGAGGAACTTGATGCGGGCCGTTGAACGTTGGAAAAAGGTGGGAAGCTGTCATTAGTTGGCAAGCGGAGGTTCTGAGCGTTGCGGCTCATGATGCCAAGTCAGGCCGCAGCGGTACAAGCGGGCCCGCGGGGCGAGCGAATGTCTTGGAAATTGTGGTTCAGCAACAACCCAATGATGTCACTCTCCTATCGTCCTATCGTCGCCTCTGCAGAGCTAATCGGAGCCTTTGTTTTGACGCGAAACAGAAAGAGAAGACTGTAGAAGAACCTCAAGTGAAGACCTGAAACAAAACTTCGGCGATACCCAACCCTATGTATCTGCACGCCTTCCCATTGAAGCACCGCTACAACAGTTTTTGACCAGCCCCCACCCCGTCGATCTGCCGCACTTCCAGTCGCAACAAACCAGAAGCCAGCAAAGTTGCGTAGTCATGGCCATAGCGGGCACACCATCTCGGCTATCTAGCCGGCCCCCTTGAAATGCCTCTGTTTAGCGGGAACTCGGAACATAATCCAAGAGCAAACCCTCGAGTTTCAGACTGCTATCTGCAGGTTACCGTCACCGTCTTTGATCGCGTAACAAGGGTCAACATCCATGTCGCTCCCATCACTGGCGGGAATAGCATCTTCGTGATAGCGAGCGGACTGCTTGTGGACTCTCGGAGATTCTGTCAGTACAGTAAGACAGGGCCAGCACGGCCGAGAACCAGGCCGTATCTAGATACCCAACGTCTATTCAAAACACCAACAGCCCAATACAAGGAGATATGCAGGCCCAATCCAACTCAAGTTCGTATGTTCCAATGTTGATGTATGCGATATTGTCCGGGCACGGTAACCAAGCACACGAGCAAACCACTCAAGGCCCACGCAAGCCGCGCTATGCCAGCATTGCTACAGGATCATATTTTCCGCGTAGGCTATCGCAACTACGGCGGTTAATACGGATGATGAGTACATCACGACACGCTCATCTTGTCATGTGCGCGGATTAGATCTGGCACGAACGGCATCTTCGATCGCAAAAGAGAACGCGGAGACCCTTGACCCACTTGGTTCTTCTCGACCCAACGCTATGACGTATGGGTGTATCTTCGACATATCCATAATCCGCGTCTTGGCTTCGACCTCTGTTGGTAGACTACCGTGTTGATGGCCCCAGATTCGACCGCGGTGACTGACGTCCTACGGTGATGTTGATCTTCGAGCGACTGGTTATGTTTGGCGTATGCGATTCGAAACATGCGATACTTTTTCTCTGTGCAACTTCATCCACCGCATAAAGCGGTTCACCCGAAAAACCGAAAAATCTGCGTTGTATCTCTACGGAGAATAATCGGTGCCTTCCTCTTTCGAACAGTTCTCATCAGACGTTAGTCTAGAACACCGTTACCATATAGCTGGTAAATAATCTTCACCGTCTGCCGTCGTTCCGCCTCGGTACTGGCAAGCACGGCAAGAGAAAAGAAACTATCCTATACGCGTCATAGCTGACATGTGCATGCTTTTCTTTTTGGAATACAGATCTTCACTACTTCGTATCACGAACCACGATGCCTGCCAGCTTCGGATAGCACGAAACCCAATATTCTGAATCCTGCAGGATTGTTTCCCCCACAAGAGACAATATCGTGAGATGTCTCGTATGCAGCAGTAAACTCAATCGAAAATCCACATGACATGATCAAAGTACACGCACGATCACATTGAGAAATTTTCATAAAATCAGTAATATCATCATTATTGCAGCAGGCTCACCACCCACTACAAGCTGTTTCGCTACTCTCCCCAACACCAAAAGCACCACTGCAATGCCGCTCAGTGAAATGAACAAGTCATACTAATACACGAAACTCGCCCATGAAAAGCACATGTCCCAAAACTCCACCATGCTAATGCCACTCATGCACCCACCCACCAAGCAATCGTTCGCTTAGACCGATAGGGTATGGCAAGCGGCCTACCAGAAACTACACCAACCAATATAATGCTGACACAAGTTCTCCAAATTTGTCGCCTCCTTGATCAGCCTATCGACCTGCATCTCCGTCCTCAATTCCTCTCCCTTGCCAAAGTCCTTACCTGTCAACTTCTCCTTGACACGGGACAGGACCTGCAGTGCCCTTGCATTCTGCACTTCCTTGGCATCGACATCGTTATTCTGAGGAGGAGCGACGGAAGAGCGATGACGGGGTCGACCGACGATACTGGGCATTTGGTGGGGGTCGTTGCCGTTGGGGTTGTTGGGGTCGCCGACCATGATTGATTGGCGGCGCTCGGAGGGGTAGTTGGGTTCGACGGGGGAGGTGTCGCGGTGGTTTAGGCGCCAGGTTAGGAGGGGGTCGTGGATGAACTGTAGTGTTATGTTAGTAAAGAGATATGCATATAGGAAGAGGAAAGAACTTACAGCTTCAAGCACAGCCATGACACTCTCCTTGTTACTCCTCAACACCCGCATGACGTGCTCGCAAGTCGTCCGATAGCTACCCTCAATGTTACTGACTTCCATGGCATACGTCAACATGCGCGTCAATCGGAATGGTACACGTTCGGGGTACTTCTCCCGATGCATGGCCACTTCGAAACAATCTCCGAAATCGATGTGGATGATCTTGCCAGTGACGCGATCCAGCATCAAGTTACTAGGGTGGCGATCGCCGAGACCCAAAATGTAACCGACCATGGACATGACGGCGAGCGAACGCGTGTAGTTTGTGCGGCGGTCAAGCCAGGCTTCCGAGGATTTAGACTTGAGCCACAGGACACGGTATAGATCTTGACCTGTGGTGTTATCGAGCGCGTAGCCAAAGACCTCAACCTTCTGCATGAGTGTAAGACAGTCGTAGTCGGGCGCCATTTGTAACATGATACGGTGCTCGATGTTGAGGAGAATCTTTCTACTATCCCGATACTCTCGGATGAGCACATGAAGCGTGTCGCTGTTAGGGACAAACCCAAGCAAACCGGACTGCGTACTAAGTGGAACCGCGGCATAGCGTTGAATGTTAAGATGTCGCTTCCGTGACTCCACATCGTTGGAAAGCAGGGTGTTACAGAGACCGAAGAGTTGCATGACACGTTCATCTTGACGAATATCCTCGTGGCCCTTGAGGATGTGGGTATGCGCCTTGCCGTCACTTCCGCGCATCTCCAACTTCCTGGGCCGCTGCTTGGACTGGATGACAGATGCAACCGGGTCGAACGAGATGATCCGGATAACCTGCTTGCCGACTTGGTACGTTCCGGGCACAGCAAGCTCCAGGTCGTGCGCATCCTTGAGTTTTGGTGAGACATATTGCAACTCAAGCGTCATCAAGGACGGCAGTTGGCGAGCGATCTTGCGGAACACCTGGTAGTAGAGGTCCCATGCCTGGTTGAGATCACCGATTTCACCAGAAGTCCTGAATGTATTGCACCAGTCACGCGCTTCTTGGAGTTCGCGACCGAAAGACTGAATGAAGGAAATCTCTCGTAGAGTCTCTGGGCCCTTGTCGAGCATTGCGTGGAGAGGCGCGAGTGTGGCAAACATGCCATCGATGTTATGGTCGCCGAAGTAGAGCCTACTGGCTTCCTCGAGACCCTCATGCCATTGCTCGTGCCAGAGTACGGCAATACGGATGAGTTCATGACTGACAAGATCGGCTTGTTCGACCAGTTTTGGCGAGTGTTCGCGCATAGCCTCCATGAGCTCCTTAGCGGATCGCTGTCGTCGCGAAACGTCTGATTTCATTGACACAGTCAATGGGAAAACCAAAGCCTGTGGATGTGCTTTGCCGACTTCGATGAGTAGTTGATGAATCGATTGCCTGACCACGGCGTTGGGCTGGTTGATTCTAGCAAGCAACTGTGGAATGACCTCAAGCCATGTATCAATGGGTACCGACTTCGTGCCCTCGGTGATTGTGCGATTAACGCCCTCCCTACCACCATAACTGAACCACAAGGTAAGCAACCTGAGTGTGTCTTGCAGCGAACTAGTTGAAGACAGCGCGATCGACTTGAAGAAGCCCTGGATAGCCGGGATGACGTGATCGTGGATGATGTTATTAGGCACTTCAGTTGCCTCCCTGTCGGACTTGGATGTGATCGAATTGATGACTTCGAAGTTGGCCAGAGCCCAAGCGTGCCAGGCCTTGTACCAGTCTTTGTTGTAGCGTGTAGCAGCTGCATAAGCTGCTAAGATCTCGTGGACGAACTCGTGTTCCCACTCGCCATCTTGAAGCTCTTGCTGCCAGTCACCCTGCTTGAGGTAGCACTTTGCGAGCAGACGATGACTCTCGGCTAATTCGGTAGGCGAGACACCTAGGTTTGATCCGTTTAGCATGCTTGAACCATTCATGCCATTGACTCCATTGTGTCCATTCGTGGCAGCGAAGGGATTCATGTTGGTAAACATGTGCTGTCCATTGGACATACCGTTCATTCCATTCTGTGCCATCATTGGGTTGGCTGCAGCCCGAGTTCGCATTGCGAGATCCTCGGAGAGTCGACCGGTGAAATCCTTCATACTATCGAGAGCCTCCTGCTTGTAATTTTGGTCGGCCCACATGTACTTGTAGGTTGTGTATGCGACTGGATGAGAGATCTCCTGAGCGTTGTTGCGTACGAACTCGACCACAGTGCTATCGCCAGTGCTCTCGATGTCCAGCAACTTTTGTAGCGCCTTGTTCGCGAGGTTCATTCTGTTGCTCTTACGGCAAAGGTTGGTGTACTTGATCCACATATCGGTGCCTTCTTTTGGTGAGATGACAAGTTGTCGCACCTTGATCATGCGTTGCCAGACCTCTGGGTTTGGTTGCAGCCCTCTAAGCCGCTTCATCCAGGTCTTGCGCATGCTCCTCTGCTTCTCAAGGTTGCCGTCGTTCTGCTTGTACTGCATGATCTCTTCAAGCTCTGCCAGCATCTGCACACGAATCATTGGGAGATAGGCGCGCTGGTATGACTCTCCTAGGAGCGAACTCAACTCAGTGTCGAGACCCTTCCTGGCCTTGGCGATTTCGTCAACGGCGATCTCAAAGCGGTTGTTGTGGATGTTGAGGATAGAGGCAAAGAACGCGCGATCAGGCGATTGTTCCTTCATGACACCAAGGTAGTTGTCCATATCTGCGAACTTGCCCAGACCCCAGGCGGCCGTCGCAGCAAGCGGTGCTATCGCCTTACGATACTCCTGCGTCGCATTGGCCCACTTCTCCTTCGACAAGCTAGAGAGCAGGTCCCATTCGCCCAAAGCGTGCAAGCAGCGCATCTTGCCCATGGTAACATCGAAAGAGTCGGGTTCTTCAAGCTCACGCCTCTGATAAGCAGCAAGTGCTTCGTCCCACTTCTGCAACTTCTCGAACCAGGTCTCTTTCAACTCAACGTCGGCGTAGTTCTGCGCCTTGCGCAAGATACCGAACGCAGCATCGGTTTGCTGCAGCTGGTTGTTGATACTGATGAGAGCTTCCACAGCGCTGGAATTCTGCTCCGCGTTGAACTCGAGCTCCTTATAATGCAGCGCTTTGGCGAAAGCATGGCACTTTCCAGCATACATACCTAGTATCCGCACATCGATCGGTAGAGCTTTATCATCGTGTTCCATAAACTCTGCCAAATTAAGCAAAACTTGTAGAATCTCAGGTGGGATGTTAGGTGATGTGAGAGCAGTCTCGATAGATCGAACAAGCTCTTCCTGGTACTGATCATAGAGCTCAGTCCAACATGAGACGAACGCCGAGTTGAACAAGGTACGTGCGATCGGGTTGTACACACTACCAAGGGGTGTGCAGGCGCGTAGAGCCTGCTGTGGTGACTCTCTAAGGAGCTCGACACTGAATCTTCGCATCCATTCGATCCAGTCTTCCTTGGTAGTTTTGTTAGAAGCTTCCCAGGCTTGCTTGAGATGCTGCTGGTTGACGGCCAACTTCTTAGAGGAGATCTCTGCAGTATTCAAGTCTTCGTCGTCCTCGCCATATCGCTCATCCGGGCTCAGATCTTGAGGCAAAGGCTCGCCCTTCTGTAGCTTCGACACAATACGTCCATAATTCTCATGAGGAACTTTGTGCGCGATGAGGATCTTGTTGACTGTTGGTACAAAATGAATGTAGTCTGGACCAAGTTGGAAGATAAGTGCGCAGAGCGTCTCGAGAGCAGTTTGCTTCAGGGATGGTTCACTACCAGAAAGCACTCGGCAGAGGGGGTGGACGATGCGCGCAGCGAATTCGGAGACGTTGACTTGCTTCGATAACCGTCCTAGTGTTTCGATGGCATGTTTTCGGATCGCTAACGGTTGACCTGGTTTGTCAAACATGTTCACCATCACCGGGATGATCAGATGCATATATTCTTCCGCACTTGCGCCGAAGATCAAGAACGCGTGCAGCACTCGCTCTGAAGGCAGTCGCTTGCTGGTGTTATCAGAATCAAGGACGCTCAGCATGAGTGGTAGAACATCGGCCAGGTAGACCTTGAACTCGCCTTCCAGTGAGCGAGCGATAGCCTCAATCAGGGAAAGAATGGTAGCTTGCAGCTGCGGACTGCTACTCCAGTACTCTTTGATTGTTGCAAGGATGCTAGGCAGGTAGGGCCGAATGTGCTGACGTACGATTCGAACAAGCTGGCTAAGCTGGTTGAAATAACCTTCGGAGCGTCCAGCCGGCGTCGACCGGATGACGTGGAGGAAGCCAGGTACGACTTGGCTCAGGAACGGGACGCACTTCAAACCCATCGTCGCGTAGATGTTCATGACAGCCTCGACGATGGCAGTATGGTACTGCACAAGAGACGGATCCTTAAGCAGTCCCATGAGCGTGCTAATGACAATGGTCGGGTAGTATTCTTCATTTGAAGGAGTCGTGCCTTGCATGATGAGCGAGACGTCGGTGATGGCTTGCGCTTCCATGATGAGATGTTTGTCTGGCGACTGCTCCATGATCTTCTGGTACTCGTCCGGATCCAGGGCTCCAAGGGTACCCATGAGCCTAACAGTTTCCCTTCTAAGCTCACCTTCTGGTTCCGTCTTGACGATGCTCATCAAAATGTTCATCAGTTCTGGGTAGTCTCTGTATGGTTCTATCACATATCCGGCGTTTGTCGCTAGCTGTCCCAACGCTTTTAGAGCCGAAAAGCGTTTAGCATCCGATGTCTGATCTTGCATGAAGTCTAGGATGACTGGCATGAGATCCTTGATGTACTTGATCATACCCTCACCACCGACTGTTGCAAGGTCGCCAATAGCTTTGAGCGTGGTCGAAGCAACCTCGGGGTTAGTGTCTTTGCACTTGGGTAGAAGGACCTCGACGATGGGATCTATCAGTGGCTTGATGAGACTGTCCGCAGCGCCGACCAGACTACTGATCAACTTGGCGCTCTCTTCTTTACTGCGCGGGCTGTTGGCATAGTTGACCTCAGTCAACAACTGTAGGAGGACCTTTCGTAATGATGGGAACACATAAGCCGGATTGACAGCTGTCAGGCGACCGATGATGGACATTGCAGCTTCTCGGATAGCAAATATCTCGTCGTTGAGGGCGAGGAAGAGCGTACGGACGTTGTCTGCCTTTCCGAGATGACGGTCGAAACGTGCGTCCAGCGCCATCAAGACGTCCCATCGGATCTCCGCATCAACATCGCCCACACCGACTGTCAAGAGCTTTTCGATAATGTCGCCAACGACCTTGGTCGCGTGGGTACTAGTCTGGTGAACAATCGGGTCCTTGACAAAGAGTTGACAGCATGTGAGGGCGGCACGCTTCCGGATCTCAGAGCTATCCGCTTCTACGTATCGAATAGCAACATCACGAACGAATTCGTTGAGGACGTGGCCTGTAAAGTCGAAACTACCGAGCGTATGCAGTGCCAGCGCGATCTCAGCTTCTCGTGCTGCGATGATTTGAGGATCCTTGTGATCGCGTGTCCAGATCTGTGGAGGTTGTGAAACTTGGAACGGGCTGCCAAGGGGTAGGAAGTGTCGTCCGGCAAGGATCTGGCTGAGGAGATCTAACAGTTTGTCCTGGATCATGGGACGTGATGGCGGTACGTAGTGCGCCATGTCCACAAGGGCCTGGAAGAGCGAGTCACTCAAACCGCAAGAGAAGATGGGGTCCAGCAGCCGCTCAACAGACTTGGTAAGTGCCTGACCAACGGCTGCGGCAACCATACTGAGACACTGAAATATTGGTGCTTCGTTGATGGCGGCCTTGTTTCGCGCCTTTGCGATGAGACCTTCCTGTACGAAGCCTAAGATGCCCTCCAAATATGGTGTGATGGCGACTCCGACCGCGTTTGCGATCTGCCCAATAGCCACGAATGCCTTGTCCCTGTCGCGGTCTTTCCTGATCAGACCCTGGAGATGTAGCATGCACTGGTGTAAGTACTTAGTCGCAAACTCGGTCGGTGAATAACCAGCAAGAATGGGTATGATGAGTACCACCTCTCTCCGTACCAGCGCGTCGCGGTGTTCCCGGTACTTGAGTACCTGCTCAACCGTCTCCTTGTACTTCTGGTCGTTCATGAACATGGCGCTCTTGTCGAGTAGCTCCTTCATGGTGAGGAGCGAGCCGTGGATCGCCTCATTCGTGTTGATGGTGAAGCCGCGTAGGATCTCGTCGTAGACTTTGCCGAACCATAGCTGTCGCATCTGTGAGTCGCGGGGGGAAATGATCTCGAAACAAGCGCTGATGGCCTCGGCGGCGCTCTCTCGTATGAGAACCTTGGGGTCTCGCAGGGCGACCCAGATGACCTCGAAGATCTGCGCAATCCACTGGTACATAAGAGTAGGGGAGTTCTTGGCCAGTTCCCGCAGGATGAGGACAGCAGCGAAGCGCCGATTCTCCAGACGCTCCAGCTGCAGCCACTCCAGGGCGCCCTTGACCTCTGCCTCGACCAGCTCCGCCGTGAGTGTACCGCCGGGCTTTGCGAGTCTTCCCAGGGCCTTGGCTGCTACCACCATGGCTGTGATGTCCTGACCCCGCATTACCGCCCTCAGGTACGAGGCAAACCGCGTCGTCTTCTGGCCCGCATCGTCGCCGCGGAAGTCGATCAGGGCGTTGAGCGCGTGGATTCCGCCGATGCGTTCGTTCGAGTCGCTACCTGTGACGATGAGGCTCGAAATCTTTGTGTATACTTCGTTGTTGTACGTGGTGAAGACGTTGGGCGCGAGTTCTGCACGACATCAGTTTCCCACAGCTTGGGCGGGGTGCTTCGCGTCGGTTCTCACCTCGATGCGCCTGTTCGACCTGCGATCGCAGATCGTTGGCTGCCCGCTGTCGCGTATCGTCATGTCTTGGCTTGTCAGCTGCCCGTCGCAATTGCTGTGCTTCAGAGAGCTCACTTTGAACGTAGGTTCTGGACTATGCGGTCCAGGTTGCCCGAAAAGGCGTGCTGCGACATCTTGACTGCTTCAACTGAAGCCTCTCGCAGCAAGAGTCTGTGTTCTCACTCCATCCATGAAAAGGAGAGAAGAACCGTTATTAGAAGGGGCGCGTGGGGAGAATTGGTGTTGCCAAAGTTACTGGACGCAGGCCCGACGTATGTCACGAACGCGGACTAGCGCTTTGACCTCACGCGAGCCTCGGGAGCTAGTCCCGATCCGCACACCGGGGAAGCGCAACCCAGGACGAGACGTCTGGAATTAGTAACGGCGGTGAGAATTACAAGGTGAGTGGAGACAAGCTAATCCAACAATAAAATGTGATGTTGTGATTCAAATGCATCATCTGCTAGTTGTTCTACTTTTGCTACCGGTACAACAAAGTGATCCTATGGCACTTATGTGTTAGAGACACCTCCCGTTCACTATGATACACATCCATTCACCGCACAGCACCATATTGACAACGCCGCATAGGCCCCATTATCGACATTAGGTATCACATGCCATGAAGCACGCACGTCAACCGCCCGATCGTACCCACAATGACCATTACATCGTTGTTCCGTCGTGATGTCTCCGATCTAGCCAGCCAATACGCCCTCAACAGCATGGCCGATTGCTCCACCGAGCTGCCCAAAGAATATCGACTTCAGGATAGTTTCGCCTTCACCCACAGCCCACATGCCGGCATCGCTCAGCTTCTCTTTCCATTGATTCCTCTCCTCGTGGCTGAGCTCCTCCCACTTTCGAGCGGCGGCATGCTTCTTCAAAACATCTTCATCTCCAGCATGAACTTCTGTGCTAAGAGTACCGTCAGACTCTGGGTCGTGATGTATAACGAGGGCCTTTTGTTGACCTGAAGGCTCCGATGGTTTGGTGTCGGAGATGACATGAGGGAGGTGAAGGTGTAGTAAGTCGGCGATGCGATGCGATGTCTTGACCACTGGTGAATTAGCGTTATTGAGAATGGCGTTGTGGCGTTTGTCGCGCAATGTCTCGCCAAAGCTTTTGTGTCGGCTTGCCGCGTTCTGTAGACTGGCAGGTAGTATGCCCTTCGTAAGATTGCCCTCTGGGTCCACCAATGACTGTATTAGTAGAGCAATGACTGCCACCATCATGGCCCCGACGAGGTAGGTAGCCGCTGTGAACAAGTTTCTCGAACGCGCTGTCTGGAGCACATAGCGAGATCCGGTATATTGCAACTGAAAGGTCTCCACGCTGATCGTGTTTCCCAACGACGTACTTGCCAGACGCAAGTACTGGGGTGGAGCTTGGCGGCCAGTGGACACTTCTGGCTTGTAGAATGGCGAGAAGACGGCTTTCGTCATTTGCACATCGTGAACCTGCTTCTGTTAGCATATATCGGATTCTACGGGTATGTTTTCCACTTACATTATCGTAGCTGTTGAATGCATGGAACGAGCTCAAAGAATCTCTTGCTGGCCCGTGGTAGTCCATTGTATAGACGGTCAAGGATATATCAATGGCTGCGACCGCAATTGCAATCTGGTAGGCGCCGTCTTCGTCGGCATCAAGCAAGCTGACGTCCATATCTGTTGCTGCTTTTACGTGCTTGGGCAGTGTTTTCCGCAGAACGACGCTTGCCGGGCCGTCTTCATAAAGATGTATGAGGAGCAGCTCGACTCCGGTCCTGTTGGGCAAATTCTTCAACAACAATAGGTGTTTCGACGAAAGCCACCGTACGCATCTCAGCTTACTCTTGGCGCCTTTCTCAACGTGAGGTATTGTGTAGAGCTTCCTATGTTCGTTTTTGCCCTTAGTCTTCCTCTGATCGAAGTCCCAGTTCACATCCTGGACAAAGACATTTGAATCCGTTACGTAGGCTATCCGGAATTCTCCTTCTTCTTGCGTAAAGATATCCAGATCGTTTGCTTCTTGGCCTTGATGCAGATCGATTCGTCCTATTACATCTTGATCGGCTGGTTTAGTCGAGGTTGCACTAAAGATGACAATCTCATTCTCATCTCCTGCGAGGCTGGACGCGATCGCGCCAATTCGCCTGCTGGGTGTACTGGACGTCGTCCGACGTGCTGGGGATAGTTTGGCAATCCGCTGGTAGCCTTCCTTTTTACCTCCGTCCGACTTGGGTGTCTTGAAGAGCTGAGTCTTACTGACGAAATCGACCTTTCCATCTGTTTTCTCGGCACTCTTTGGATATTTCAATTCAAACGCCCGCAAATGTTCGTTATTGCCCTTCAACCGTTCCTCCTCGCTACTACCATTTCCAGCGAACAAGATTAGGCCATCTTTTGTGGAAAGGTTGTCCAAGCAAGTTATTGAATCGTCTTTGCTTGCTTCAATCTCCGCGAAAGATTGTATAGTCGGCGCTCGTGAAGTAAAGTCGTATGCTGTAATTTGGTTTTTGACTCCGCTTCTCCCTGCTCCTCCACCTCCGCCCACCACGAGAACGCCCGGTCTGTTACTAGCGAATGTTGCAGCCTGCATGCGAGCGTACCAAGTCAGTATATGTCTCATGAAGTCCGTACAGGCACACTACTGACGAAGATCGGGTACGTGGTTTGCGCTTTGGAGACTGCCGGGCGCGACATGATGGAAGCACTCTGCCCAGGGGCTTTGTAACACGTATGTTCGAGGCTGGATGATGGTAGGGAGATGCGACCGTGTGCCGCAGTCGTTCGCGCTTGGGAGTCGGACTTGTACTAGGTGAATCGAGTCGCTTGTTAGGGTAGAACCGAGGATTGGTAGTCGCGTAGAAATGAGGAATCTTTGCTGGACAGCGATAGGTGTGTCAAGATGGCTGTCGGGTTGCGATGCGCAGATGTAGTTTCTACCACGTTTCGCGCGGGATATCAACAAGCCACGATGACGCTTTGCGCCGGTGGCTTATCGATAGCGTGGTCCGCGGCCTCCTTTACGATCGACAGGGCAGCCACACGCCTTTTCCTATCAACCATGATCGTAAATCCCGGATAAAACACGATATTGGTGTAAAGGTCTCACGACAAGTCAATGTGGTAGTCTTGCAAAGTTTGCTCCTATGTTAGGTGCACTATCTACTGTGGCCTTTAGGCCGGCGACAACATCATTCCGCATACATGATCTCATTCCAAGCAATGGTGCCTCTCGTGGATATCGTCCTCCTCTTTTTCATAACAATGATACCAACACACCAAACGAACGCCATACTACACCGTCTGACTAGCAGCCGCCGGAACAAACCTCCGGTCCAAAGCGTCTTCCCTGAAAAGAGTCAAAACGCCAGTATGCTCGCTAAAAAGAGGCCAACTAGAAGGCCCAGGCCCTACTTCGCCTTTCAATCTCCGAGTTTGGCCTCGTCAAACTGTAGCCTGAAGATATACGCCGAGCTTCTCGTGGGCTCTCGAAACAGCGAGGCCTTGTGTATACCTCTAGGGCAGATTTTATTGTTGACGCGAATCATAAATCATGCTTCTACTGTGGCGGCAATCCTGGGTGTCCATTGGCAGCAGCAGCTTGAGCCTCGGCTTGAACTTGGGCGATGATATCGGCCTGGTGGACAGCACCCTGGACCACTTGTTGCTCCTCCGCACTCAGGTTCTTGGTAAGATTTTCGTAGAGCGCAGGTTGCTCTTGTTGGAGACCTGATGCAGTCAGTATGAAATTGCGGCACAGTTCGTTAGATTATACTTACGTAGCAATGCGTGCTTGAACATGCCATATGGCTCGACCTTGTCAAGCGGTGTCTCGAGGAGACTTTCCTCTTCTAGCTCATCATCATCGTCATCATCGATGGAACTGAACTTTTGCGCCTATTTCTGGTCAGCTTGCATCTCCAATACCGGGCGGTATGTACATACCTCTTCATTCAAGAAGTCGAGATAAGCGGCACTCTCGTCCTTGACATCCTCAGTCTCGTCCGCCTCGTTGTTCCAGTCAGCTTCCTGTTCCCACTCCTCGTCTTCCTCTTCCTCGAACTCGGCGGAGTAATCGAATGTGTCTTCCTTCTTAGCTTCCTCGCGGTCTATTTAGGTGTTAGTTATCGCTAGTGGACCAGGATAAATGGAAACTTACTCTTCAGAGCTGCGGGGAGCGTCTGGAATAGACGGGTGACACCCTGCAACAAGCGTGGCCAGCCTTGCTGTACGCTTACAGGAACGTCCTGAGCTCGTAGTGTGAGGAGGGAGCAGATGGCGGAGATACAGAGCTTCTTGTCGTGAACTCGGGTGAAGTTGTCGATGCTCGAGAACCAGAGACTGAAGAACTTGTTGGTCCAGCCGTTTGTCTCAAGCACATGGAGCGCCAAAGCAGGGTTGTAATAGATGGAGTTGATGACAACCTCCATGAGATGTATCCTCAAAGACTTTACTTTGGGTTCATCGTTCATCAGCACGTGCATCGTAAGTCCGATAAACTCAGGGACGTAGTCATCGGCATGGCCACGCATGTTGAGCATGATGATCTCGGCTAGCTTGCAACCGCAGATGCGATCAACGCCACCAACCTTGTCATCCTTGAAGATTGTCCTGACCATGTCGACAATTGCATCGAGGTAAGACCGGTTTTGGATCAAGGTGGGTGTACCATAGTTGACAAAGTTCTCAAGCGCAGGGAGCATATCTATACATAGTCAGCAGACGTATTGGTGACCGGCAAGAAAGAAGGCGCATACCCTCAAGATATAGCTCAGCACCGGCCTTGAATGTCCTGTGTATCAGCTCAAATGCTTGCCACATGGTTCCGGATATGCTCTTGGCAGCAAAGGTGCAGCTGTCAATGATCTCAAAGACCTCGTTGTATAGGTCTGCGAAGACGTTAGTATGGGGCTGAAGCGGTTGTATTTACAGGTTTGCATACCGTAAAGCTTGTTCTCGAGGGTAATGGTGATAACAGGCATGAGAATGGTCTCTAGATGCAGGAGAACATCAGGTGTACTTTCCAGGGTAAGGATAAGAGTACCAATGGTCTGTAGGACACCAAGAGCCGTGATGCTCTTCTCATCAAGGAAGTCACCGTACTCGCTTTCGTCGCCCTTCTCTTGGTTTCTTGATACCAATTCCCGCACAATACGCAGGTAAGTGTCACGCAGCTGTTCGCTCAGCGCCACGGCGAAGGGAGTCAATTCCGGAGCAAAAACTTCGACAAAGTCCTCCATAACGTTGGCAAGGGCATCAACGTCGACTTCGTTAGCGAGCTTCAGTAGCTGCTGCATAACCTGGGGAATGTTCGTTTTCATGTTGGTTCGAATAACATCGTGGCGGATGAGGGGTTGCAGTGACAGGGCAGCAGCAACACGGACCGGCAGCGTTGGATCAGCCATGGACTCCAGGATGTTACGGTAGATGATGATGAGGTTATTCGGGTCCTTGAAATCAAGCTGTTCGAACTTCTCGAGGGTATCGCATGCGCGAGCACGAAGGAAACCGTGGGGGCTTCGGAATTCGGGGAACACATGGCGGACGAAAAAGTATTCGACCTGGTCTGCGATCGGGCTCTTCTTGCCTAGTATAACGCCAGAGAGCGTACCAATCATGCGCAACGCGCCCTCCTTTTCTCTTGGGTTCTTCTCGTTGTCGGGAGCGGCCTCATATCGGTTGACTACCTCGTTGACAAAGTTCAGCACAGTGAATGTCTGCTTGCGGCGGCTCTTGGTGAGCGTGACAAGGAAGTTTGTCGCGGCGACGTCGGGGGCGGTCACGTCTTCGTAGAAGTTCAACTTTCTGTGTAGGTACTCTTGTGGCTCCTCCTCGAAGAGTTCGATGTCTTCATCCGACTGGCACAGGACAGGGAAGATGAGATGGGCGATGAGGTTGTCGGTGTGCGGCTTGAGGAGGGTCCACATGGACTTGGGCTTGACGCACTCGTCGAGGAAGTTGAGCGTGTAGTACAAGCTGGCCTTTGACAACCAGACTTGCTTTCCAACCCATTTCTCGACCTGCTGGAGGTAGACCTTGAGGATCTCGGGCGCGAAGTTGGTGATGAAGGTCTTGGCTACTTCGGTATAGTCGATCTCGTTGTTCTTGCCGAGCGCAGACGGGTTGCCGTACCTGTTGGTGATTAGCCACGCCCAAGTGAGTCATGCATAGTCTTTCTATGTACCTAACGAATAGCCTGTTCAAGTTTGCGTATGACCACTTCTTCGCCTTCCACCAATGATTTACCTCCCGCTCGTCGAGATCTTCGGGGAGAGACGACTCTGGGGGTTCTTTGCCTACGACAGTCAAGAACAGTGTGCACCAGCCAACCATGACTTGCTGGTCGCGGAGGGATGCGGGGAGATCGAACTATGGTCTGGTCAGCTACTCGTCATATGCTATGCCAGTGAAAATCTTACGTAGATGGCATGCTTGTACACTTTCAACACCGTCCGTAATATCTCGCCAGCCTCCAAACTCGTCTCACCAGCCAGTGAGTTTCCGATATTCAGCAGCTGAGGGAAGGACATGGCGACTATCTTGTCGAAATCTGCGCGGTTCTCTCCCGACTTGAATCTGTAGATCTTGCATATCGCCAACAGACACTGGACACCAGCGAAGACTGACTCGATGTTTCCAGCGTTCAGTAGTTGTATAGTGATGTCGAGGAAGTCTGGCCATTTGGCAGGGAAATCGTATGCGAGAATCTTTTGGAGGGTAGGAATAAGCTGTAGGCGCACTTGGGGCGGGGAGGCGACGAGGACGGGGACGAGGCGACTGCGGAAGGCAGCCTTTTCTTCCTCTGGTATAGGGATGGCCTGGCTGTATTCTTCGGCAGGCGACCAGCCCTTGGAAATGCGGTTTTTGAGGTAGACGACGGCTGTAGGCACGCGTTAGTGATGAAGGCCACGGGCGTAGAGTGGTCGTGGGCGCATCTTACTCGACAGGCGCACGGCGTTGTTCTGTTCCTGCTCGAGGATGTTCAGCAGGCCGTCGGTGAAGCCTGGCTTTTCTTCGGCCTATATTTCTATCAGTCTGCCGTCTGGTAGGCATTCTTCCAGCATTCAACACGCACATGCTTGAGGTCGAGTTCAGCTTGCTGTCTGATGGCGGCGTTCGCGTCAAGAGTCGCCTGAATCCTATCCCGCAGGCCGGCAACGTCCATGGTTGCGAGTATGTGACAGGGTCTGCGGCGAGTATTGGTGATGGGCTAGAGAAAGCCAAGGGTGGTGGGTGCGGTGAGAAGTGGCAGTGGGGGATCGGGCGAGATTACTGCTGTCTTTGCACCCGCAAACAGCGTTATGGGGTAAGAATTGGCGGGAGGGACTGTGTCAGGATAAAGGCACGCGTGCTTTTTCCCTCGATTTTGCGCCTCGTCGGGCTTGTGCAGCTTGTGCGGGACGTGATGATGGAGGGGCAGTAGTTAATTTTGTGTGGATCAGAATCGCGGCTTTCCCTCCCAGCATCGTTAGCGCACGTGGCGGTCAATGCACTGTCCCTGCCCTTTGACCACCACGATGCATCTATTTACTCATCACCACATGCCACCTTGGCTGTCGCGTTTTCTAGCACACTGCCTTGCATCGCCAAACACATCAACAGCCATCCAGGAACCGATGTTCCACAACGCGCATCTACTTCGACGGAGAGTAGCGGCCTCTGAGCCGGCATGAAGCGGTACCTGCAGGCTTATGGATAGGTACTTAACATCCGACGCTTCCCACCGACTTCCATCGTTGCCGATAGGAAGGACTCAGACCGAAGCAACAGAGCGTCATCGCTCTCATATTGGGCCCTACCCACTTGACGCACTGACTTCCGCACGGCTTCCACGGCTGCGACGCGACCCTTTCGGCAAATAGTGCTACTGCTGGATCAAATGCAACCGTACTACGACGCTGACCTACCATGTCTTTACACCCTCCATAGTTTTATCCGGAAGCTTGTACTGGCCTATGCAGCAAGCATGTTTGCGAAGTCTGTCACGCCACAATTCAGGGATCGCCACGAGGGACCGATCGAGACTGACAAAACCATGTTCAAGGAGATTGGACAGCACGTACATCATAAGTATTTCCGAGTGTCTGCATCACTATATCAAAAACACGCTTGAAGCTCGCCGCCTCCAAATACGACCACATAACCAGGACATGAGTTTTCTTGTCTTCTTTTTGAGCAAGGTCCAACCGAAAGATGTTCACTGGAGATAGGCATGCGCAAACAATATCATCATCTTGATATGTTCTACAATGATGTAGTCGATTGAGAGAAGGCCTGGGTAAAACGACATTCATCTCTGCCCGAGTTGCGAACATTGGCTCAAAATATCATGACATGTTCAAGTTGTTGCAGCTTTTGATCAATTCCAAACAACTTGGATAGTGAACTGAAGATCAGTGAGGCATATACCTTATGTATACTTATCCAATACCAATGCGCTATCATTCCGGCTGTACAAGTGGAAAGACCATCCTGTCGAAAAGACGGGCTGATCTCATGTCTGCATTCAGTACGTTTTGGAGAAAAGCGAAAAGACAGAAGGAAGCATGGGTTGAACAGCCTGTATTTTTTTGGAGGGGTTGATACAGATGATGGTATAGAGAAGAGACCAAGTATTGAAGGTGTGTTTTATATCTTCCGCTAACATTACGGCCTCTTTAATCAAGAAGGTTAATGAAGTAACACGAAAACCTAAAACTATCTGATTTGCGATTTTTCACGCAGTTTTTCAGCCAAACATCAGTGTCTTGGGCCCTTTTTCCCTTTGAATGGAGGGACGGAAAATCGCCCCGGTGAAGGTTTGCTGTGAACGGAAGTGCATGATTGTGTATGTCGTAGAATTTCGGAGATATATGCTCATCTCCGCACTGTCCACATAGAAGGTTGGATGCGGTGTCGAGGGTCAGAGACCTAATACCCATGAAGATTTATCAAGTCTTTGATCCAAGCACAAATTCACATCCCAGCGTGGCGTGTCAGTTTTGAAGACCAAATCCCGCACAGACGAGACAACGAGCGCCAACATGATAGTGGTCAAGCGAGTTTTGAAGTTGGCAATCAAGCAAGCGACCATATCATGCGTGATTTGTTGTCGCTTTGTGGTCGTCTGCCCTCCTACAAACATGGCTATGCTGTTTTCTGTATCGGTTCGCATCAAGCACTCCATACTACAGTCTCTACACCATTTTCTTTTTGGAGGGACGAGGCAGACAGCATGTTGTGGGAGTTTTTCTTTTTTGGACCGCAGAAAAGTCCGTAGCGCGTTTTTGGGTTCGTTTTAAGCATTTTAGAAGTAGAGTGTGATAAATAAGAGAAGGTTCCTCAAAAGCTGAGCAGTGTTTTATACCCTCATAAAAGACAGCACATGCACGTATCTGCATCCGTCTACTTCTTCGAGAGGCACAAAATACACGACCGGTACCCGTGGTTGTTCTTGGGAGCCAGAAGGTAGAGAAGATGATCATGCGGCTGGTACGGGTTGCTTTTGGAGTTCTCGCAAGCTTGCAGATATTGCATGTTTGTGTTGTCTTTTTAGAGGCAGGAAGACAGACGTCTTCGTAAGGTATGGTGAAGGGTAATTTTTGAGAAAGCGAGGTAAGATGTGCGATGAAGGAGTATAAGAATTGAGAGCTTGAGCGGTCTTAATATGTTGAGAAGTAGGCGGAGGAGTTGGCACATATGGTGTGACAAGGACCTCCAATCCGGTTTTTGAGTTCAAAAGCAAGCATCATACAGAGCATGAGGGACAGCGTTGATGGTGAGAAGTACCATTGCTTCTGAACTACTGAGATATTTAACCCAAAACTATCGCGCCATGTAAATGCTGTGTTATCAAGAAAACGCCAGGTAATGCTGCTAAAGCCCAATAGAAAGAAAACGCCGCTCAATGCAAAAAGAGAGCTTATGCTGACCAGCAGCTGTTTTATCATATCCCATCCCATCATCCATCATCTCATCATACCATCATTCCTCATAACCATTACCAAACTCAACCAATTAACCAATAGACTTTCCCCTCTTTCCCTTACCACACTCCCTCTTACTCAATGGCTCATCAGGGAAAACCCAACCCCTAACCCTCTTCGCCTCCCTCTTCTCGCCAAGCTGCGGCTTAGGAATCCAAGTGTCTTTGTCCAAGAAGTTTTGCCTGGTCAAAGCGGCAGGGCCACCGACGTCCATGCGCCAGGTGCCCATACCCTCAAAGGGGTTCTCCTTGGCGAGCATGTGCAGGTACCAAAGAGCGAGGGCAGCGGTCAATTGAATGTCGCCAGTCTCAGGGTGCGAACCGGAAGTTGAGAGACGAATAGGAGCAGAGGTCTCCAAGTAACCATAAATGGGCACACCGGTTTGTGCGTTGACGGTTGTAGGGTCGGGGGTGGAGAAGGAGGATGGGCCACCGCAGCGGACGCAGAGAAGTTCGATCTCGGTCATGATGAAGCCGTAGCGGCAGCCGTGCTCGCGCATGACGCGGTGGAGGTGAGCGAGGCCCTGGAGGTAGAGAACTTGCTTTGGAGGTGACTCGCTGCGCATGCCAGTGTTCCATTGGTCGTAGCACTTGACGAGACCGACGACACGACCTCGGCTGTCACCGAAGAGAGTCTTCTCATAGTCGGAGGGGTAGTTGGAGACGAACTCTGGTTGTTGGCGTTGACCGGCGACGGGTTTGATGGCGCGCATGACCATGTGAGAGTTTCCCTGAGCAACCTTCAGTGCAGCGTTGACCTTGTTGGCGTAGTAGTTTGTGCAGATGTCTTGGAGCGCTGACTCGTTCTCTGGTTGCAGGTTCTGGCGGCAAGGCTGGGGAAGGTAGTTGGCTGGGACTGGGACCTCAAGAAGAGGAAGGACCGAGGGGATGGACTTGATAGTGGTAATGTTGAAATCTTCCCAGCTGCGGAGGTTGCGGATGTCCCACCAGAAGTGGTTGTTGATGCCGCGTGGTGCGCTAGTGACACGGCGAACCAGAGATGGGGAGGGGTTGGTAGAGGAGAGGTACTCGACCAGAGACGATGTAGCAGGGACTTGCTGAAAGCTGTCAAAACTGACATCTGTGAAAGAGGGGTACTGCACAGCCGGCGCCGCCTCGAACTCTGGGACAACAAAGTCTTGAGTGCAAGTGGAGGTAAAGCTGGGCATGTCTTGAACCGAAGAGTAAGACGATGGAAGGGAAGTGACGAGGCTCAGGTTGGACTGAGGCGCACTTGAAGCAGTGACGTAGCTGGGCATGTTGCGGTAGGTGGGGAAGCCATATCGGCTGATAACCTGCTCATCAACACTTCCAGCAGAGCCAGCGCGAGCATGGCGGGCTCGGTTGGCTGAAGTAGAGCGGGAGTGCGAGCTGACGTACGAAGACCGACGTGCAAGCTCGGGCTGTTGTGCGAATGTGATGGGAGAGTTGAGAGTAGAGAGGTTGAAGTCGTATGAGGAAGCTGTTGACACGGGAGATGTCATTGTGCTGTGGGCATTGTGGATGTTGTGGTTGAAAGGACTGGAATCACGACGAGCCATCGAGGCTGGCCGTGAGTAAGGGCTGTAGGCATAGCCGATGCTGGATGAGGTAGACGTCGTCCTGCGATGTCTAATGGGACCACTGGTGGGCTCGGCAACTTGATCTTGCATGCGGACCTTGGGGAGGAGAACAGGTCCATATTGCCGAACTGGTGACCGTGGAGGGGTAGGACCAGCGAGTTGAGGTTCTGGTGATGAGGCTTGAGAGTAGTATGTGACGTCCGAGCCGACACTGCCCGGGATGTAGTTGAAAGGAGCAGTCGGGGGTGTTGTTTGACGGCTATACATGATGAATGATGTGAAGCTACCAGACTACGTTGTATCAGCACCAATGATTCGGCTAGAGGATAAAAGCAGTGACTTACGCTGTGGAGACTGAGGATAGAGACAGGAAGAGATTATCGAATAGCGATTAGTAGCAGAGTCCAGCTCCAGGTGTCTAAGACAAAAACGCAGAAGTTAGGGAAGGAAAAGGAAATGAGACACAATCGACTCGTCGGGCAGTGCTCTAGATGAAGTGCTTGAAGAAGCTGATGGACTGGTGGATTGCGGCACAGACAGACTTCTTATCCTTCCTGTTCCCCGCGTAGAGACACGAGAACCAACGCCCACTTCGCGCTAAAACATCTGAAACACGATCCATCGAAGGGCCAGCACCCGGGGAGTTGGACCGGTAGACGTTCTGGCGGTCTGGCGGCAGTATCAGAGCATCCTTCTACAACATGCGAGCCTCACAAGGCGTCTGAAACATAGCGCTGCTGGTGCTTGGCTTGGGCGAGTACGTGGCTAGCGAACGACTCTGGCTATGCTATTCTTGAGGCGTTGCATACTCGATGTAGTATGGTGGCATGGAAATACAGCCTCTCAATGGCTACAGCTATGAAGAAGTATACGAAAGCGGTAAGCGGGCCAGCGAGGCGCCTGCACATGGGGCGGTTGGATAACATGAAACCGGCAGCCTCGGCGCCGCATAGCAGAGTTCTAGTGTGTAGTACTACACTGAGGGACTTTTCTCGATGGGCGCCGGGGCGGCAGTTTGACGTTGGCAGCGCGAAGGGACGAATGGACGGCCATGGTGTTGTCCGCTTAGCGCCTGCCGTGTAGTCCGTGCTGGGTCCCGCGTTGCGTGGGGCATCTGCAGCCCGTTAAGAGTCATCGATGGAAGAAAGCGGGATGATTGGACCACGACGCTCCAACGTTTCGTTTCTGCGGAGCTACATGCGTCTTCCCGCATGCCCGCCATGCACGAACGAGTGACTCACAATGGGCGGAGAGAAGTGTATTCACGACTATAACACGCTTCCTAGACCGCTCACACGTCGACGCGTTCACCGCGTTGTTGTCAAGCAAGTTTCTTCCGGGTCTTGGGCCTCGCCCACCTGCTGCGCTGTCCTCTGCCATGCTATGCGACTCGACTCCATGCACAGCCCCCAGCGGCGTCTTGAGCTCGGCCTACGAAAAAGCGCAAACTGAGGTTCGGACGCTCCCGAAGACAGCGCGAGTGTCGTTCTCGTCCAATGTACCACGAACCGGGCAATCTGACTGGCCCCAAATCCATCTGCCAATCCAAGCGCCCATACTCCCAAACGTTGCACCCGGAAACGCTCTCGTGGAGAAAATTCCCAGCCCTACCCATCGTCTTCCTTGAGCCTCATAGTCTATTAAGCGCCCATGTTTACCCTAAGGGGAGATATTAGTCGCAGGCATGGTCACCAAATATAGCCCAGACGGGACGAAACCGGCTGCGAAAAGGCCGTTAATTGCCTGAAATCGGAGATTAACTGTCAAACGTGCCTGGGGCTAGAATTGCTTCATCGAGCGCTGACAGCGGATTGGCGCGAGGTTTGGCAGCCTTCATCTCGGTTTCACAAGCTTCGCAAGAGCCTCATCCGATGTCATGCTTTGATCTAGGCGCCCTTGTACATTGCCGCAAATTTCGGCGACCGATAGAATCTACCCTCCGTGTTCTCCTTGCTGGCCTGAACTGTCATCATCCCTTACGCATGCCACGTACCGCTGGTGTAATTGAGACTCCACCGACTCGGCCCACCACTTCTTCCAGTCGACCACTTGGCGCTTCGTTCGAGCGTCTTCGGCCGCAAAAACCATGGCATGGCTGCGGAACGCCTCCTCAAGGTTGCATCCGAGGTACTGTCGCTGAGCGTCTGACGCAGGCATGGCGCCAGCGTCGACAGCGTTGACCGCCATCAGGAATTGTCGCGCAAGTCCTTCGTCACCACCGCCGTGACCACCGCCTGCAAGATGGGGACTATGGGTTTTGGATTGCCCTGTGGAGAAGTCGTGAACCTTGATGTTGGTGCTATCGTACTCAATCTCGCCTTTGGTACCGTAGATACGACCTCGCCGTTCGCATTGCTTCTCAGTAAAAGCGATCATGTGGAATTGCGCTGTCTTTGCGCCGCGACCGTATAGTAAAGGTAGGCCATCGTCGTCTTTTGCAATGGAATCGTCATCCCAGGTGATAGTGACCATCTGGTCATCACAAACATCGTTATCTGACTCCCAGACACATCGCCCAAACCATGGGCGTTGTTCTACTTCGCTGGTAGGAGTGTCGACGCTGTAGTCTTCAGCCAGATCTTTGAGAAGCTGCTTTCCAGCTGCTTCTTTCCCCATAGTCTTGTAGATATCTTCGATCTCTGGGTTCACAATCTTGACTGGCCAATCCGCGTTCCCGTTGTTCAGATGCCTCTCGAGATAAATCTTCTTCGCACTGTAGTCGCATCCAGACTCGTGCGCGCAGGAAAGACAATTCGTAGCTGACCCAGCTGCCTTCGGTTTGCGCTCCCTGCGGAAGAAGTTGCGAGACCCTGTAGAGGTGATTAATGAAGGAAGGTGAGGTGTCGCATTATCCGCGTTCGGGCCAGGTGAGCAGAGCATCCACATGAGGAAATCGATATCGTGGCATGACTTCGTAAGCAAAGACGGTGCAGTCTTTGACTCTTTCCTCCAGTTTCCCCTGTTTCTATTAGTACTAAACTCTAGAAGGAGTGGTCAGGTTGATCATACCTCACATAGCTATGTGAGAAATGCCACCAGCCGACCGGCTCGACATGTTCGATGCTCAGCACATCCCCAATAACGTCCTTCTCAAGCACCAGATGTCTCAGTAACATGTTATGCGGCGAATAGCGCAAGACGTGGCAGATGCCGAAGATCGTTTCCTTGGCGTTGCTTTCGCCGTTGGGGGCCTTGAGTGCTCTGTACATCCTCATGCAACTGTCCAACCTCGTACTCATCGGTTTCTCACACGAGATGTGTACGCCCATGTCAGCGATACCACAGATGACCTCCTCATGCAACTCATCGAGTACACAGACGAACACTGCATTGACGCCTTTGTCTACGTCGTGACCAGCTCTTTCTTGCTCTCTTCTCTTCACCTCATACTCCTTCCAGTCCTTCCAACTACGGAATGCTTGGTTGCCAGTGGCTTCATTCCTACTGCCCCATATGAATTTGCGACCAAATTCACCGCGTTTGTAGTCACTGGGCTCACATACAGCCGCGATGATAGAATTTGTTGAAGAAAGCGCGGCTTCAGCGTAGGCAGTGCCACGACTTCCTGCCCCAATGATGAGGACGCGAGGTGGATTCGTAAAGGTCTGCTTTCCCACGGCCCGGAGGAAAGCTGTCTCATCTGCTTCGAGGCTTGGCATGTTGCTGATGTTTTGACAAAAGCTGTGTTGAAGCGAGTAGATATTGGTTTGAAAAGGTACTAGTAATGGGTGCAGGGTAGGAACCTATCGCTATGGCTAATATCCCTCCAGCTATTGATATAGATTGGGTCGGACTAATGTACTGCAAACAACGTCGGAACCAAGTCAACCGTACTCGTATCTTATGTGTTTGACAACTTCCTTCAGCCCGTTGGAATGCGATACGTGTTAGACGGTGCGGAGGACCGGACGACTAACAGGTCTGCACGGCGATTGCTCTTTTTGGTGACCAGACAACACAAATGAGGGGGAGGTGAGGTTTGACTACGAGCGTAGCATTGATGTTGTTGCATTGCAGGCTAGGCACCGTCACGATTGGTAGTTACCGTTGGGTGAAGAACGCCACGTGTATCGTTGGCCAATGAGATCATTGCTGATAAAGCCACTCCAGCAACGTAGTACTCGCGGCGCATGAGTATCGTAGGTGGTCCTAGAAAAATTAAGAGTAAAGGTGTTGTCGATCACTTGAACTAGTTTAATTGCATCATGTCACACATCTTTCATTCGTGTGTCTCGCTTTCAAATCGAGTGATATCTACCACAAGCTTTTCCACTACACTGTCACCATTGGTAACTTCGAGATGCAGAGTCGCATACCCGCCACTGTCTGTACAATAGCCATCTATTCCGGGGTCAAACCTTGTTCAGCTCATAGAACAACAAGTATACGTCCTTCTGCATGTTCAAGACTTCGGACGTCTTGCTCTCCTTGATCTTATCGTCGCTTATACGCCACCACCTGTTGCTTGTCTTCTTCGACTTTCGTCGCAGAGGGTTTGACTCTTTTATCGATGACGCTTTCTCTGATGCGCGCTCCTTTAGCGACCTGACACTCCTAGTGCGTGATAAAGAATCGCTGCCAGTTCCTGTCTCGGTAGAGGATGGTATCGTTTGCAGTGGGTCAGAGTCATGCATCCGCGGCGCGGAAGTCGGCGCTGGTCCTCTTGATGAAGAAGGTATAGTATCTTGGGAAGATAGCGACCGTGTCGAAGGAGAGTTCAGTGTGGGTGTGGATGGGACTGGTGAGCCGCGGTCCACGGTATTGGAGAGATTAAGTGCTGAGATCCGCGGGCTTTGCATAGCTGAAGGTGCTACTGACGGTGCTGCGGACGGGTATGGACTGGCTTGGCGACTGTACGCGCCTTCAGTACCAAGCGTCGCATTTGTGGAGAATGGGAGAGGCTGCACTTGACGGCGGAAGGATTCATAGTGACCGCTGTTGTGACTGCCCTTGTGTGTGACCATTCCAAGAAGACGGTAGTTTTTGCGACTTAATAGCCCACCCAGAGGCAAAGCTTCAGGGAAGGCGACCTTGGCCATATTCTTCGTCGAGGCAGCACCGATGGCGAATGTTGATCGCGACAGATGTATCGCAAGAACCTTGGGAAACTGCGAGATGTACATGTGACGCGATATGCGACGCTTGGGTGCCTGGCTGGTATCCGGAAGCTCGACACCTTCAGGCGGCTGTTCAGGGTCTTCCTCCAACGCTTGTTGGATCTTGGCGATGTCTGATTGTAAAAGCGATTGTGCATCTGGGTCAGTGGTTCGCGAAAGCTCATGATCTTTGCTCCTGAGCGCATGCTCTAGCCGACAGCGCTCGCACTTGAAATCGTCGATGTATTCAACCTTGAGCATTCCGTCAAGACAGGCGTTGAGTGAGGTGGAAGAGGCTTGCGGTACGTTCAGGGTCAGGGTGACAAAGGTCGACACGGTAGGCTTCGGCTTGAAGTGACATGTCTCGCACTCAATCTGCGATTCGATCTTGCCCTCGAACGGAAAGCCTTCCTCATCTGCGGGTGCTTCGTCCTCTCCCAGCTCTTCCTCGACACCATCACTACCAGAACCTTCAGGCGGTGCCGCGCCGAACTGTTGCTCGACCTCTCTCCTTTCTGATGCGCCGTCCCCAGTTGTGATGGTGATGCCTGACCGTGTAGCCTGTCGCCTGGCCTTTCCGCCAGCGTGATACTCGTCGCACAGGCGCTCAGTGACTATCTGGAGAAATTCCTGCGCATCCTGCTGTTGCCGGCTGATCCGGGTTCCGAATGCATGCTCGAGCGACCGAATAAAAGGTTGCGGAGAGATGGTCTTCTTGTATATGGGCCGCTCGTTAAGCTTGTCGAGGATGTCCTTCAGTCCATGGGTCAGAATGCCTCTCTGCAGGCCCTGTAGCTTTGCGGGCCTTGCGGTCCCTGTCTCGGCATTCAACCTTTCAGGGTCCACATCATAAACTTCTGGTCCATCGAGCATGCGCCTGTGCGTTTCTCGTATGAGATATATGCGCAGGTCTGGCAGGCCGGCAAGCGCCTGCAGCACAGAATTGATGAAGCAGTCGTTGGCCGCATTGCTGAGACCCACTACGCCCTTCTTCTTACTGCTAGCTGCATTTGCATCGTCGTCGAGAAAGTACGTCGGGCCAAAGACGTAGACCAGGGTAATGGCGGCGAGGGAGGCTCCTGCGGCGTAGGTTGCAATTGTGAGGGGCTTCTCAGGCATCTTGCGGCGCCTGTCACTCCCGCTACCGCGGGATTGGATGGAGGATCTGGGGTCGTGTACGGTGTCGCGGACGCTGTGCTCGGTCGTGCTAAGGTTGTGCTGCGAAAATGCTATGGATAGGGCGTAGAGTATGGCTGACTACCGCATCAGCCATGGTCTGACTGCTGCCCAGCTTGGGATATCGCGCTGGCCGTCATCTGTCGTTTGCTCGTGAGGCGGGCGCAAAGTATGCCGAGCCTACGGCAAGTAGCACCGGCCATTGGCACCTTCCGCCCTCCGTCGCAAGGATCTCCACATCTGATGGACGTCTTGCACTTTTCCTGAAATTAAGCACGCCTCACCACGACACGCCCAATGGCTTCACTAAGGACCTCGACGCTGCTCCCGCAGTGCACGTCGTGTATACGGAGAGTGACGCGGCAAAATTTGGGGGTTTCGGCGTCGCAGCAGACCCGCAACATCTCAAAGAAGGCGAAAGAGGCAGAGCGCAACATTGTCGTGAAGCTACTAAAGGATGTGCCAAGATTCGGTCGCGCAGGTACGATGCATTTACTGCAGAAGTTTGACATGTGCCCTTTGCAAGTCCCTTGAAGCTGTCAAAGTGGTCACAACAAACACCAGTTCGACATGGCTAATACTACAAAGGCTCATATGTCCCGCTCAACCCTTCTCTCATGCGTAACCGATGGTTCCCCGCACGCGTCGCCGACTATGTTCCCGCTACCCAAATGAAGCAGCTCAAGGCGCAGGATGTGGACATGGGCCGCGACTTCTCATATGGCGTACGACTGAACCTGGAGGAGGCGGAGGAAGAGGAGGTCGACTTCATGAAGCAGCCGAAACACTATGTACGGCCGATTGAAATCGATGTGCTCAGCGTATGTCCCGTGTCTGGTCGTTGTAACCACCAATACTGACGAGAATAGCCTGAGCGATCCATGGAGCTCCTCGATGCGTTTGTACCACCCACGATCGACTTTTACCGCCAGCGAATCGAGCAAGACAGCCCATCGAGCGGGCGCATGGGTGCGTCTGGTGCAGCAGACATTTTGACTGCAGCGGCGATGGGCAAGAAGGCGTCTGCAGATGCTATCTACGGCTCTGTCTCAAGCACCGATCTCGTGGCCACTATAAAGGGAGCGCTGGCGCACAACGACGAGGCGGCCCGCGTGATACTGAATGAGGCAGACGTCAAGTTCCTCTCTGGGCACGAGGAGGGCGACACATCGCGTGTCAAGCAGCTGGGCACATTCAAGGCCGAGATACGGTTACCCGGCGTAGAGGAACCTATCGTGAGGAATATCCGGATCAGAGCGAAGGGATCGGAATCATGAGGCTTGGTTAACTGGCCGCAACATATCGTAGACCCCAACTTCCGGACATCTGGAGAGGCCCAGAACCTCACCTTCCGAGGATTCCTCCGCCTCGCTGTAAAGATATACCTGTGCCATCCATGTCATTTGCATTTCCGCATATCGGAAAAATTCAACAACACCTCAATTATGATCACGATATGGCGCATATGTCTTGTCCCGCATCATCAGAGTGACTTCATTGGTGGGACCTTGCATGCTCTAGACGGAGCTGAGTAACATGGAAGAAGTGGCTGGCTCGGTAATTCGAGGCGTAAGGCGAGATAGCGTTTTGCGGCGAGACTCGGACAACATGTCACCTGTGGATTGCAATGATGCTTCACCGAGCTAAGGTGAAAAGACAGTCCACTTTACTTCCGCGCTGCCGAGCGAAAGCGGCCCCGCCATGACTTCAGAGCGCGGCCGTGAAGCATCATCGTGTCTCAGACCAAACGAGCATGATGGAATGCGCCCTCCCACGGATGCGAGCCAAATGATTGAGTGAGGCCATTGTGCGATACGCAGGAATGAGAAAATTCAACAGTCAACGTATCATATCTCGCAAATGGAAAAAATCGTGGGGGTTGAATTGCTTTTACCATGCGCCGTGGGTAGGCCTGGTGAGGGAAGCTGGCGCGGAACCAGCAGCTGCGTCACTGCTGCGGTCATTAGCGGGGTTGTTTTTTGTGGTCCGCCAACCCCACTACCATGTTTGAACTTTAACTAGATAGCTCTCAACACGGCGCAAACTTCTCTCTCCATACTACACCTACACCTTTTCACAATCCCAATTTCTGAATTCTACAATCCAACACATACCCATACCCCAACAAACACCAACTACAATCGCAAACATGGTTCAAGCTTCCGAGGTTCTCAAGGGAAAGTAGGTTACATGGACCCCGCTCGCATGATCATGAGCTGAAGCTAACAACCATTACCTCAGGACTGGTGTCATCTACGGTGACGATGTACGCGGATTGATTCTCGCCTTTGCCTCGAGCAAGCAGTTGACATACTCCAGGTCTACAACCTCTTCAAGCACGCACAATCCGAGGGATACGCCATCCCCGCGATCAACGTGACTTCCTCCTCCACCGTCGTCGCATCCCTCGAGGCTGCCCGCGATGCCAAGTCCCCCATCATCCTCGTATGTTGAGCTGCCATCGGACCGTGGTCGCGCACAAGGCTAACCCGTCTTCCTAGCAAATGAGCCAGGGTGGTGCCGCATACTTCGCCGGAAAGGGCGTCGACAACAAGGACCAGAGCGCTTCCATCCAGGGAGCCATCGCCGGTGCTCACTACATCCGCGCAATCGCGCCCGCATACGGTATCCCAGTTGTTCTCGTGAGTTGTGCCTATACGAAATGCATGTGAGACATACACTGACTTCGTATTTTCAAATCTGCAGCACACCGACCACTGCGCCAAGAAGCTTCTGCCCTGGTTGGACGGCATGCTCGACGAGGACGAGAAGTTCTTCAAGGCAAATGGCGTACCGCTGTTCAGCTCCCACATGATTGATCTCTCAGAGGAGAGCAAGGAAGAGAACATTGAGACCACCAAGAAGTACCTCCAGCGCGCTGCTCCCATGAAGCAATTCTTGGAGATGGAGATCGGAATCACCGGCGGTGAAGAGGATGGTGTCAACAACGAGGATGTTGACAACAACTCGCTCTGTAAGTGTGCCTGTACGAACTACTTATGAGACATACACTAACTTCGTACACCCACAATCAGACACCCAGCCTGAAGACATCTTTGACATCTACAAGACCTTGAGCGAGGTCTCCCAGTACTTCTCGATCGCCGCTGGCTTCGGTAACGTCCACGGTGTTTACAAGCCCGGTAACGTCAAGCTCCGCCCTGAATTGCTCCAGAAGCACCAGCAGTTCGTCAAGGAGCAAGTCAAGAGCAAGGACGACAAGCCCGTCTTCCTCGTATTCCACGGTGGCAGCGGCAGCTCTGTCGACGACTTCCGTCAGGCGATCTCATACGGTGTCGTCAAGGTCAACCTCGACACCGATATGCAATGGGCCTACTTGTCGGGTGTTCGCGACTACGTCCTTAACAAGAAGGACTACCTCCTCACTCAAGTTGGTAACCCAGACGGCGAGGACAAGCCTAACAAGAAGTTTTACGACCCGAGGGTGTGGGTACGCGAGGGTGAGAAGACCATGAGCCAGAGGCTCAAGGTTGCCCTCGATGACTTCTACACTGCTGGCAAGGCCTAAAAAGCTTCTCAACATTCCGAAGCAGAGATGAACTCGGTTGATGGAGAAAAGGCGTTGGCGAATGGGCGTGAGTGGAGGGCGGCGACCCGGCTACGGCTTGGACACGTCGCGATCACGACTTTGATGACATGCAAATCGCAAATTTAGACATAGGTGTTGATGATAATTACAACTGCCTTCTCAAGAGAACATAAACTCCTCGTCACCTTTCAGTTTTCTCGCTGCAGGTCCTTTTATTATCTGGTTACCTTGATGCGCCATGCTATGCAATTTTCTACTGCAGATTGGAGACGTCGGATGTTACATTTTGATAAATATGTTGTAAAGGGTATTCCAGAAACACATGTATGTAGTGATAGATAGTGATCGATGGCTGTTTCGATGCAGATTGGTTATAGTAAGATCACATGGTGTGATTAGATCGGAGGTTCGAAGATTTGTATTCTCCAGGTGCCTGGATACAGTGTTTTACAGCGTGGGCAGATTGATGTAGTATACAGAATATAGTGATAGTTAGCTCACTGCTATCGGTACTATCATTTGATCGAAGGTGCTGACAATCTAATCTACATGCACATGTGGAAGTGAGCATCGATGTCATATCATCGTAAAAGTGCATCCTATCGGAATATGCTCGACACGCAAAAGCCCCGATGTGGCTAGCTCAGCCCTACCGGCATCGTCCGCGAATCCTGCACGCGGAGCATGACATCACATCTTCGAGCCTATGTCGCAATGCGCTTTCCCAAACTTCGCGAAAACAATGCAAATCATGTCAATCGCAAAAGCAGGTTGTGTGGCAGCGGCTGCCAGTGTCGAGCACTTATGTTCAGACCTTTCCCAACTTTCTGCTCATTACTGTAATCACATTATACCCTGATACCCCAACTTCTACGCATACCCCTACAGCTATACGAGCTTTTGGCTATCACCTACACATACATCTAATACATATACCTCCAACATGACTCTTGGCGACTCTATCCGCAAGGGCGTGGGTATGGTCCACGTAAGTTTGCACAACCCATCCCTTGGGACTATCTTGACATCAAATCGTACTAACATTCATAGGGAACTGGCGAGGCCATCCGCGGCAATGCCATGGCCATAGTCGATGACGCGAGCGGCGATAAGGCGAGCGCAACCAAGAACCAGGAGATCGCCAACAAGGGAGTCGACGAGTGGGATCGAGGCTACCGAGGCCACCCTGCCGACGCTGGTGTCACTCCTGCCGACACTGATGCCCACCGCGAACGCATGAACACGACCAACACCACAGCCACAAACTACGGCTCGCACAACTCAAACATTGGCAACAAGGTCGACCCTAGGTACGACTCGGACATGGACCACAGGGGAACTGCGACCGGCTCAACAAATGCTGGACCGCACTCGACCAACGTTGGCAACAAGCTTGACCCGCGCTTCGACTCGGATGTTGACCATCGCGCTGATCCTACATCGAATGTTGGCGGTACGGGCTACGAGACACGTAGATAGGCGATACACTGCGCATTTTAACATCAATATACCCTTTTCCTCGTACCGATTCCTTCACTTTGTTGCTCTCGCTGACATGTCAGCTCTTCTTCGCTCTTCGCTTCCCAAGACGCAGACTGACGGTACAGGTGAGATTCAACATCCTGAACTACGTATACCGCGAATACTTCATGATGTTTTCCCCTACAATATGCTATCCGAGACGGGGCTGATGAAGTATAGCCGAGAAAGACTTCGGATGGCAGCCCTCGCAGGGGTTTGACGAGGCCTGGCACCCACCACACGAACAACAACATGGACGAAACCCTCCACATGAGCATCGAGGCTCGATTGGCGGTTCATCGGGACTAGAGGCTGCAAATAAACTCGATCCCATATTCGTTGCTGGGCCTGACGAGGAATCGATGAAGTACGCTGACCACCCCAACATACACCATCTCCGCGGCTCGATCAGTGGCGCGTCCGGTCTTGAGGCTGCTGAGAAGCTTGACCCTCCTGAAGAAGCGACAGCCCGTCTCACAGACGAAGTGTCCGCTCGTGGCCCCGGCTACAGCCAACCCGACCCATCATACCATCAACCAAAACCCACACATCAAAGCAGTGTCCTGAACATGCTCGAGCGGGATGTTGACTCGCAGCAATACCACCCGCCAAACCGCGCTACTACAGAGCCTATGTCCCAATACGATGCACGCTACGAGAATCCATCGCAGTCAGAATTGGGAAGATATTCGCCCGACTCAGACGATGAGCTACTTCGCCAGTCACGCCGAAGAAGCCGTAAGTTCTCATTCCAAAGACTGAAGTAGCTTGCAGCTATTGGTGTCATGTCAGATAGCAAGCGGAAGGGTGGCTGATACACTACGGTCTCTAGAAGCAAAAGCCGATCCCTCTGCCCCCATTGTTGGACCCAAGACAATGAAGAAAGAGCCTAAGTCGACCACGAATCCTCACAAGAGTGGCCTGATGAATGCGCTAGATCCGAGGGTTGATCGCACTGCTGTGAAAAAGTCCAGAAAGAGTGACTGTTACTGAGAGGTTACTAATGCTTCATGGTGGTTATTTGGGGAGGGAAGCAGCGTGTCGAGACGCGTCATGATGGTATAGAGAAGTAAAATCAATATACATTTCTATGGTGACGTCCCGTTCCTAGCATGCATTGAACAAGTAAAAGACGCTGCACATATGTCTACTGATACAATTCCACTGGCCCATAGAGCGTGTCAATCTCATCTTCTCCATCACTACCTATGAAAACTCGTTCAAGGTTATCAGGATCAATATAGAAAACATTGTCTTTCCCACATGGCCAATAATGTTCCTCCGTGGCTCCGACGCATGAACTTAAGCCGTCTAGAGGCACGATCCAAATCTCCTTCACATTGACAAAATCCTGGACCTCTCGAACTTCCGAATGGTAGAAGAACTCCGACTGCATTTCACGTGCGAACTTCAGTCGGTGAATGAGCAGAGCGACCGGCTTAAAACTTTCGAACATGGACTCTCCGATGTCGATGGTATCCATGTCAAGATTAGCCCATACACACCTACATTTTTGCGTAGCGCTTTACCCTAGGATGCATATCAGAGTATATAATGGGTACCTACTGCGCGCCGTGCCCCGGTATAGCAATCTCCGAGAAACATTTCTGGTACAACCCACGATTTCGTGCTTCTTGGCAGGTCTGGAGCACGGCGGGTACAGGTGTGGAAGATTTGATGTAAGTCGGTCGTTCGGGAGGTGTTATCCACCTGCGCTGATAGATAAACTCAAAATTTACCACGCGAGGCTCAACTGTCGCTTCCCATATTTGCATCCGCAGCTCGTATGGTAGACGGGGAAAGGGGTGAAATATTGTCATGTGGGTGCAAAGAACGGTCGAAGAGGATGTTGGTGTGATGAAGGTTAGTCTTTTGACAGTGCGCTGGAACAGTGGATTCAGTGGTGGCGCAGAACAAGTTCTTGAGTGGGTGATATCATTCTTATTCTGACAAGTTCTCGTGCTATGTAGAGCAAGCGAGTGTAGCTCAAGAGTCCACTTGTGGCTGAATGATAGAGCGTGAGAGATAAATCCGCTAGTTTGGGGTCCACGGTGGCAGTATCGACCGCGGCTCTATCCGCGCCGCATTCTAACTGTTCTGAGAAACAGCTCTATCCACCTTCCCATTCTGGGTCCAATCCTTGAGCATTAAGATTTGTTGCTCTAAATCGCTACGAGAACTTCCACATTAACAGAGTCTGAGCAAAAGAGTGGGAGAAAGGACAAATGTACTATTCGTAGGTCTTTTTGGAACGGCGAGCCGTGCGGCACTCATGCCAGTTTTTGATGTCACTTTTGGTCATTCATTTCCTTGATCATCCAATACTTTTTGGATAACCTGTGGAAATGGTAAGTCATGAGGGAAAGGAGAGAGCGCGTATAAAACTATAACTTTATACTGTCCGTCGCACCCTAGCTTCGTACACCGGATGAGAAATGAGCTGTGTACAGAAAGAGATACACGCTGCACCGTCATCTGGTATCTTTTCTACGTTTAGACCAACATGTTGCTGTCATTTCCCTTTTTCGCATACCCATGGGACACTTAGGTGGCTCATAGCAGCGCTGGCACATGTTCATCTCCATAATGCCGTTGCCTACATGCATGTTTGCTTTCTCGTTTGGTAAGCTTGATTCTTCAGAAGATTACTCTTCTCCATAGTCATAAGCATTTCATTTATACCTTTGCAGCCCTTCGGCACCCATACATGTACTAAGGTCGATCTTCGAAACATCAGGAACATGGCTTAGATGCAGGATTGTTTCTGGAGAATGAGAGAATGAATAGCTTTGCTGTTGACATGTGGTGGATTCTACCAGTAGAGCACACGGGCGGTTTCTATGTCAGTTCTGAACTTCGAGTAATACATGAATGCGATTTCGTATTGTTTTTGCTTTAGTCTTGTGAGGGCAGCAGAAGAGGATAGAGACAGAACAGCCATCGTAGATCTGTCCTTTTGTCTTGAGTCGGCGAAGCACATAAAACATATGGGTACCAGATTTAGAGGTATCGGGAAAAGGCAGAAGAAGACACCATGATATCAATAGCAAGCTGCTTTTGAGAGAAGAAGGAGACAAAGAGTCATATTCAGCCAGCTCAGTCTACGTGTTTTCGACAAGACGTGGAGCCCGGGCAGCCATGGAAGTGGAGTGGTTAATTTTTTGGTCAGAGCATGGTCCACAACCAACTGTGTTTTGTAGGTATATGAAGACGGATGATGTACTAGAGAAACAGATGGACAGTTTGGCGAGAACATTTATACATACGCAGTGAAGCTAGCGTCAGTATTGCCCGTGGTCTGCCGAGTCCGCATGCGCGTTTGGAAGTTGCCGAAACCGTTTGCGATACCTTCCAGCGTGTCGCACACATCACAGCAGCCATTTTAATACACTTTGTTGCATCATAAACACATCGTCTCATTTCTATTCCTATCATATCACATCACCCATCTATGCCTAGAAACGCCACATATGCATCATAAACCGCCCATCCATATCGAAAAGCAAGAGATCCATCGACCAGCAAGTGTTGAACCCATGGTGATGTAGTGTAGACGCCGGAACACCCACGCTAGGGTGCTTGTTGAAGAAAAGCTCCTAAAAGAGCCCCACATCCTGATGCAAAAGAAGAACCTGAGAAAAGAAGTACCCCGCTATTGTTTGCCGTGTTGTTGCAGGCATTTAGGTAGGGGTTGGCGCCGCGGCACCGGTGATGTCGCTGTCCTCGCCCTCAACAGGCGCACATGTGCAGAAGAGGTTTGTGTCGCCGTATGCTGTCATATCGTTAGTTGATGCACCTAAATATAGAAATCATGAAATTAGACTTACCATCGTCCAACCTCGCAACGCTAGGCCAGAACTTCTTCGCCTTCAAGTAGGACAAAGGATACGCCGCCTTCTCGCGGCTATAACTCCTATCCCACTCTCCAGTGATAAGATCTTGCTGTGTGTGCGGGCTCATCTTGAGCACATTACCCCCCTTGGGCTGTTGACCCTCCTCAACCTCCTTGATCTCCTTCCTGATGCTAATCAACGCGTCGCAGAAACGGTCTAGCTCCGCCTTGCTCTCCGACTCGGTAGGCTCAATCATGAGAGTGTTGGCGACGGGCCAGCTCATGGTGGGGGCGTGGAAACCGTAGTCCTGGAGGCGCTTGGCGATGTCAATAGCTTCGATGCCGGCGGTTTCCTTGAAGCCGCGAACGTCGAGGATGAACTCGTGAGCGCAGCGGCCTTCATCGTTGGTGTAGAGGATAGGGTAGTGGGGCTTGAGACGGGAGAGAATGTAGTTTGCGTTTAGGAGGGTGATCTTAGTGGCTTGGGTAAGGCCGACAGCGCCCATCATCTTGATGTAGGCCCAGCTGATGGGGAGGATGCTGGCGCTTCCCCAGGGCGCGCCACTCACGGGGTGGATGGCTTGAGCTCCACCAGTCTCGCCGCGGAGATGGCCTGGTAAGAAGGGTGAGAGATGTTCCTTGACACCAATGGGTCCTACACCGGGGCCACCACCACCGTGGGGAATGCAGAAGGTCTTGTGGAGGTTAAGATGGCAGACGTCGGCGCCGATCTCGCCTGGTGAGCAGAGACCAATCTGGGCGTTCATGTTGGCACCATCCATGTAGACTTGACCGCCGTGCTGGTGGATCAGGTCGCAAGCAGCCTTGACATTGGGCTCAAAGACACCGAAAGTACTGGGGTATGTGACCATGAAGGCACCAAGCTCTTCGCTGTGCTTCTCGCACTTGGCCTTCAAGTCTGCCATATCCAGGTTGCCGGTCGCTTGGTCGCACTTGATGGGCACAACGCGCATACCGCACATGGCAGCACTAGCAGGGTTGGTTCCGTGCGCCGAGACAGGAATCAAGCAGATATCACGCTTCTTGCCAGGCTGCTGCTCGAGGTACTTGCGAATGACGCGAAGACCGGTGAACTCGCCCTGGGCACCGGAGTTGGGCTGTAGCGAGACCGAGTGGAAACCGGTGATGTCAGCCAGGTCGTCTTCCAGCTGCTTGATCATGTCGGTGTATCCCTTGGCTCGCTCTAGAGGTAAGAAGGGATGTAGGTTGGAAACGGTGTCGAATGACACAGGCGCCATCTCCGCGGTGGAGTTGAGCTTCATTGTGCAGGATCCAAGAGGAATCATCGAGTGTACTAGGGACAGATCCTTGGAAGACAGATGGTTGATGTAGCGAAGAAGCTCGGTCTCGGAGTGATGCGAGTTGAAAACGGGGTGGGTCATGAATTCGCTAGTTCTCTTGAACGGCTCAGGAACCTCGATATCGACAGATTCATCAAAAGACCAATTAGCTCGTTTGCCGTGGTACTCGAAAATGTTAACTATTGTGCCGATAATGTTTGCAGACGTAGTTTCGTCAACGGAAATGCCGATGTGCTGGTCGTCGATCCTTCGTACGAGTACTCCCTTGTTCTCGAGACTAATGATGATTTCTTCGGTCTTGTTGCCTGTCTTGACAACGAATGTGTCAAACAAAACAGGTGCGTTGTCCATTTGTCCGCGCTGGCCAGTTTTGAAACCAGTGGCGACGATGGTTTGTTGGAGCATACGAGCCTTTGCAACTACCTGCTTGGCGATCGCTGTCAAACCATTCGGTCCATGGTACACAGCGTACATGGCGCTCATGTTGGCCAGTAGTGCCTGTGCTGTGCAAATGTTGCTGGTAGCCTTTTCACGGCGGATGTGTTGTTCACGGGTTTGCAGCGCAAGTCGTGCCGCAGGGTTGCCGAGCCTATCCTTTGACAGACCGATCAGACGACCAGGAATCTTGCGCTTGTACTTCTCGTCGCAAGCGAAGAAAGCCGCGTGTGGTCCACCAAAGCCCAGAGGGACACCGAATCGTTGTGCGTTTCCGAAAGCGATATCAGCACCGAACTCTCCCGGTGGAGTAAGCAGTGTGAGGGCGAGGAGATCGGTCGCGACACTGAAGAGGGCACCAGTCTTGTGCACCTTCTCGGCGAGTCCACGGAAGTCGCTGACACCTCCCTCAGTGTCCGGGTACTGGGCGAGCACACCAACGAGATCTTGGCCTAGCTCCTCCACCCTCTTGCTGTTGTCCTTGAGCACATCTGCGACCTCGATCTTGATACCAAAGCCCTCAGCACGGGAGTATAGAACGGCGAGGGTCTGGGGATGACACCTCTCTGATACGAGGAAAGTCTTGTTCTTGCTCTTCTGCTTGGACAATGGCATCATGCCCATGGACATTGTCATGGCTTCGGCCGCCGCAGTAGGCTCATCCAGCACTGACGCATTGGCAATGCTCAGACCAGTCAGGTCTGAAACCATTGTCTGGAAGTTCAGTAGCGACTCCAAACGTCCCTGGCTGATCTCTGGCTGGTATGGGGTATAGCTGGTGTACCATGCGGGGTTCTCCAACACATTCCTCTTAATGACCTCAGGTACCTTGGTGCCATAGTATCCCTGTCCGATCAGGCTCTTGCCGGGCCTGTTCTGAGCCAAAATCTCCTTCGCGCTGTTGAGGAACGCGGACTCTGGCACACCATTGCTCTGCCATGCCTCCTGCTGATTCTCTGACAGCTTCCCAATCTTCAACTCGCGCGCAGACAAGATATCGGCGGGTATAACCTGGCGTACAAACTCGTCTAGGCTGCTCGCAGGCGGATCCAGCGCCTTGAGCATAGCCTCCGCTGATTCGGCAGACGGTCCAATATGACGGCGGGGAAATGTATCGAGCGCATCGAAGGGTTTGGCCGAACCGGTCTGCTGGGGCGGGGTGTCGAAGACATCCTCTGCGGCTTCGACGGCTGCGGCCGCCTGTTGCGCATTTGTAGCGTTTTGCTGGAACCCGCGCTTTTGGAAGGTTTGCAGGGTTTGGTATGCGATTGCGCGTGGAGAACTACCCGCGAGCTGCGGACGCGATAGCTGGGCTACACACGTTGATCGTGTGAGCCTGCTAGCAGCGCTAGCTGCCCTGAGACATGCTGTACGCATTCTGGCTGTGTGGTTGTAGTAAGACTATGGGGAGTCTCCCCGGGAAGCAATTAATTTTGAACAGAAGGATTTGTTTTCTGTTGGGCGGATCCTGTGCGAGCAATTGGCCCGGTTGTTCAAAAGTTCGGGAAGCTCGCCACTGTAATGGTGGTGACGATGGCGGGGAAGACGCGTTCAATACACTCACACCCAAGAAAGTGTAGGAGTGAGGACTTGCAAGCGACAAAAGAAAAAGGGATCACGAAACCTCAAGACCCTCTATTCACAGCCTTGACAGCCCTCATTCATTGCTATCTACACACTCTAACCCGTCATTATCCGCGACATTGGTGATAAGCTGACCCTTGCCGAGCTAACGGACGCGTGCCACTAAACCCCAAGCCGACCGACCTTGCATCCACACGCATTCCTAGCACTCATTGGGCAAAAGTACACCGACCACCGCTGCATTCTGTTACTTGATATCCACATAACCCGCACCACCTTCTCCTCCGCGTGTTCTGGGCACGGTTCAACTCGACTAAATACTTGCCCGTCGCGGTGCCATTGTCCGTCGGAGATTCTTCTCTTTCTCCGTCTCTTCGGTGACGGGGAGCACGCCTTGTTCGCGAAGTTGCGCTAGATATTCTTTGCCTGTGCATCGCGTTAGCAAATATTTTCACATGCGATACCCAGCGCTGCATCTTGGCTTACCGTATTTGTACCCAACCTCGTAGATCTCTTCAAACTTCGCAAAGTCAAGCGTGCCGTACGGATCGATTGGCGGACGCATATACCTGCATCCCGGTGTGTTCTTCGCACGTTCCAGCGCATCGATACTAGACACATATGCGAGGCGCGACTGAATCTCCGACAAAGTCGGAGGGTTGGGGAAGCTAGAGAATGGATTCCACCGATTGAACGTCGCCCAGAAGCCACTCAGTGAGTCGCCGAAAGACTGCGGTGCATTGTCGTCAAGACTGCCGACGTCGACGGCGAAGATGACATCTGCACCGAGACTCTTCATGTGCGTGACGGTCAAGTTGTCGATGTAACCACCATCCAAAAGCATACTACCGTTGTCACATAACGGAGGAAGTAATCCAGCAAGCGACATTGATGCGCGAACATAGCGCCAGACGTATCCGCTTGTGTGGATTTCCGAACGCGACTTGCTGATGTTGGTGGTATTGCAATAGAATTCGAGCCAGAAGTCTTCCATTTGTGAGTTACCAAATGTCTTGAAGATACCGCGGTTGAACTCGTGGCCAGTAGTATATGAAGCAGAAGGATAAGTGAGGTCGAGTGCAAATCTCCACATGCTACCCATGCGGCCTGCAAACTTCTTCGCTCGACCATACATGGGAACGACATCCGCATCCCAAGCGTAGAGCGCACCTATGAAACTGCCGATGGATGTACCACCCACAATATCAATCGGAATACCAGCTTCCTCAAGCGCGCGGATGATACCGATCTGGGATATACCACGAGCGCCGCCGCCTCCCAACACAAGACCGACTGAGCGGCCACACAAACGTCGTGCAAGGCGATGAAAGTCACCCTTAAAAGGCGTGTCTGCTGAGTAGAGCGGCGTCTGTCGGACTTTCCTTGAAGTGTACTTCTGGATCTCAGCCTGGATGACTTGTACACGTTGCTTCAGCGCGTTTCCGAAACGTCTTCCGGCGTGATGCACAGGTTCTGAGGTTGCACGGAATGACATCTGAATATGATGGTGACTGCCATTGATCCATGGGCGGTTGCGCAGCCACTTTCTCGTCAATCCCGAAGGACAGTACCTTTCCGAATGCAGAAGCACGAGCTCTTTGCGCGCAGTCGTCTTTGTTGTCAAAAGGAATCGCTCGTACTCGCCAATATTTGGTGACGACTCAGCTAGGCCTACAAGGAGAATGCAATCCGCTTGGTTGATACACGTCTGAGTCCAGGGCGACTTGACTGGTGTATCGGCGACATAGATGACCATACCATATCTTTCCTCTAAATCGGCAAGGTATTGCGAAAGTTTGAGTTTGCCCATGCGGCTGAAGGCATGTCTTCCGAGGTGATTTAGAATGGCAGCCTGATTGAGGGATACCACACCTTGTGGCATACCAATTTGTGTGAGTGCGTTTACTAGGCGACTTCCAAAGTCTACCACTGGAATTCCAGCAGTCACCGGAAGAACAGCAACAGTACGGAGATTGACGGTGGAAGACACATTCGCCCGAGTGGCTTTTGTGCCACGCTCTTTGCTTTGTTCATGCAGTGGATCATCAACTAAAGCTCGCATTCGAGACGCGATGATCTTTGAGATCTTGATGGTGATACCGGGATGTTCCAGAGCAAGACTGTTGAAGAGAGTCTTCGGGAACTTTGCAAGTTCTGTATCTCGAATAGCATGTAGCGATCCTGGTCGAGAGGATTCTGTGAGTACTTCGAGTTCACCAACGCTATCGCCTTGGCCGTATTCCCCAATGACCTTTACAGCGCTGCTTTCAGCGTCGCGGATGGCTCGCAATCGTCCATTCAAGACGATGTAGATAGCGTCACTCTCTTCGCCCTGATTGTAGATGACTTGACCAGCGTTTACTTGAACCCATTCCAAAGCGAAGTCGATATGCTGAATCAAACGTGGGAGGAGTGTCGTGAGACGTTTTGCTATCGTGAGTAGTACGACAGGATACCGTTCGACAATCCTCTCAATTGCTGAGCGGGGCAAGAAACCTACGTAAACATCCGTCTTAGCTGTTACATCGACAAAGGATCGGTTCGACGATACCGCTCCCAGATAGCCAGCTAATCCACCAGGCTTAGTCATAAACAGACTGCGCCTTGTCCGCTTTTTCTTACTACCATCTGCAGCAGTTCGCGAAGGAGTACCTGATCCTGCTGGGCGTGGTGACGAACCAAAAAGGTCATCTTCAGTCAAGCCAGGCCCATTTGGAAGTGTCCCTAGCACGTTGGTTTCGGGTCCGTCGTCTTCAATGGGCACGCTCACATCCAGGAATCCATCGATCACGTAGTACAAGCCAGGGTTCCTTTCTCCTTGTTCCACAAGTACGGAATCTTTGGGGAAGAAAACAATTTCCACATCGTTGACGACTTCTTCCAGTATGTTGTGTGACCCTGCAGCGCTCATGCTGGACATCCCTGATGCTGACGCTACAGACTCAGTGTCTCCGTCCCGCGAGCCCCCAGCATAAGGATCAATGAAACCAAATGCGTTCGTGAAGACAGCTTTTTGTCTTTTGGCGTCAAAGGAGACAAGCTGAGGTGATTGTTCCACCGAAGCAGTTGGCCTGGGCATGGGATTCTCCGGATTAGTGAGTCCGATAGCCTTGAACATGCACCCCAGTATAGACTCCCTAAACACTGTAGCTTCATCGATAGATTCTTGGCGGTGGAGGGTTTTGGGACGTAGCGAGGGAGACGCGAAAGGGTTGAAATTGCTGGCTTCCAGCGGTGTGCGGATGTCACGACGGTCCTGTTGATGTTGATATGGCTGAGAAAAGCTGCTACGGCCGCTGCGACCGGTTCCACGCGCCATCTGCGAGTTGGTCAACAGATCACCTGCGCTGATCCGGTCGTTGCGCGGTCCCTGGTCCGGTGATGTGATCTTGGGTAATACTTGGTTACTTATGTTAGTGTTGGCCCCGCGCGCGGCGGCAAGCCGTGCGTGTGCAGCTGTTCCTCTTCTCAAGGAGACACTGGATCTCCGTCGGCGACCAGCTCCAGGGTTATGCAATGCTATTCCCTTCATGCCCTCGTCTGAGCCAATACGTTCCGTTTCCTTTGCAAACTTCTCCTTGAGTCGTTCGAGAGGAGCATCACGTAGGAACCCTGGAAGATCGTAGGTGGTGTACTTGTTCATGAGCTTTTCCGTACGGAGGACCTCATTCGTCAAACTAAGGTAAGCATGGCTGGTTGCAAGAGTAACTCTCTGGAGCCGCGTGAGGATGACCTGAACAATGTGCGCCGTCGCTTTAGGGTATATGCGCGTTAGTCGACGAAATGCAGTAGCCGGAATGATAGCGATGGTTGTGTCTACGGTTGCGCGCGCGACAATATCTGGATGGGCAGACTTGGGTTTCGCAGGACGCGAAGGTGATCCTCGAGTTTTGCTGTGCTTGATACGCTCGTCACCGAAGCCATCCAAGTCCAACGATAGGGGTGGTACACTTTGAAGTCGACCGCCTGCTGTCGGACTGTTTAAAGTCGATGTTCTTCGATGCCGTATTTTGGCCTCAGGGACTTCGTGTGGAGTGTGCGGCCTCGAATCGTCGAAAGCAAAGCTACTGTTTCGCGACATGGATGGTCTTGCTTCTCGTTGAGGTGTCCCCGGCACACTTGGTCGTGGGTCTTCATCTTCGTCATGACGCAGCTTGACATCTTCTGTAAATAGAGAGAGAATGGAGAATAGCGAAGACATTGGTGCTCCATTTTTCACTTCAGTAAGAAGCTGGTAGCCCTGTCGGTGGCGGTCGCCGGGTGATCCCTCGCCCATGTCATCCTCATCAGAATCCGAATCATTCCGATTTGACTTGACAAAGATCTGAACTAAGCCATCTACTACGAGACAGAAGCCTTTCTCTTCTTCCAAGAGAATGGTCTCGCCCGCTACCAACCGGCGAGTCTGCATGGTGCGGGTCAGCTCGTGAAAGACTGGGCGCTCCAAGTAACCGAACACTTTGATCGCGCTCAAGAATTCATCAAGGTAGTTAGACAAGCCCCTTTTGGAGTCGCTCTCGGCACTGTCTGGAAAGACCTCGACTTGTGGTTCTTCACGCTGCGGCTCAGGCGGTAGTCGTGCGTACATAGTCATGTATCTATACCTTACGAAGTAGCTGACGGTAGATACAACGAAGACGACAACGAGCATCCTGTAGAAGTTTAGCTAAGCACCATGGAGAAGGCCGGCGACGTACAGAGTTGTGAAGTTCATTGTAAAGGTCAAGCTCATTGAAAAGAGCGTGAACAGCCATGTCGGTAGGGTATATGTGACCCAGTACAGAAGGGTAGGCAGTACACTGAGAATGGATAGAATGACACGCCCTAAGAGACCAAAGCTGGTCGACGGTGTAGTATCGGCGGGTTTCATGCCGAGCACAGAGTTGTATATCGCCTCTGCTGTGTTATATACAACTGCTCTGGAGACATTCGCGAGTGACCGAGACGTGGCAGTTCCTGGAACTGCCATGGAGGCCATGGTGGGCGAAGAGAGATCAGTACCGAATTCGGACCGTCACGAGCAAGTGTTTCCAGAAATTTCTAGAGTTGCTAATCTAGTGCGGTAGAGTCAGGACTCCCATGATGAGCCGTGCTGTGGGCACGTTGAAAACCGCGGGTATGTACTGGGGGACACTTGCATGTGGGGGGCCAGCTTGTGAAAGTGCGCCCGTGCATCGATTAGCGCGGAAGTCGCGAAACTCCACCGCGGTAGGCCTGGAGCTCTCACTCGCGCGCCGGAGCTTGTCAATACACCTCACCAATTGCGCCACGATGCCGCCTTTTAAAGATGACCAAATTATCGTGAGTCTCACGTGCCAGTCTCATGTAGCGTAAAAGCGCTAACCCTATCAGATCATTGCGCCTGGCTCCGAGACCACAGTCGCGCAGCTGGGCCTTCCCGAGTCCTTCACTCCTGCGCGTCTGCGCGTGAGATCGCGCATGTTCCCTGCCGAGAAGGAAGGTGAATTCGAGCCCTACAAGATTCGGAGAAAGCAGGATCAGCCCGCCGCGACGAATGGCGAACCCAAAGACGAATCGCAGGAAGAGAAGAAGCCAGCCGAAGGCGACGATGAAGTTGTTTGGGAAGAAGACCGTGTGTCAGAGGAAGGCGCGATATGGCCCATTCAACAAGGCAAAATCGTTGACTGGCCATGCTTCTTTGCCCTCATCACCCATACCTACAACTCTCTGAACCCGCCCTTCCACACACCGATCCTGCTTATCACCCAACCGGCGTGGACCCCACGCGAGCACGAGAAACTCACCCAGTTCTTCTTCGAGAAATTCAAGGTGCCAGCTTTCGGACTGATGGATGCGGCACTAGCGACGACATGGGCATATGGCGTACATACAGCGACAGTCATCGATGTGGGCAAAGACAAAGCAGACATCACTGCTGTGAGCGAGTTCATCCCGCACACACAGGGCAGGGTCATCTCCTTGGAGGGTTGCGGAGGCGAAGCCTTCACTCAAGGGCTTTTGTCTAAACTGAAATCCAAGGGACTCAACCGCGATATGTGTGAGCAACTCAAGAGGTCGCCGATTTGCGAGCTGTTACCTCCGGGAACACCTTTACCAGGACCGGGAGATGCCCCCACAAAGGACGCCCCTACAAACCCTGCAGCAGTTGCCTCGACCGGTGCGACTGGACCTGGCCCAGCTGCAGCAGCCTCGATCGGGAACGTGCCACGAGGCCCTGGCATAGATACAGAAGTTGGCGAAGACACTAGTCTCGAAGAGAGCGAAGGTGTCTTGGACGTGGCAAGCATTGTGGCCGGCGGCAAGATGTCTGAGTACCTCGCCAAGAAGGAGAAGGAGAAGCAGGAGAAGGCCAATGCAAAGAAGAAGGGTGGTCCGGCCCCGACAGCCAATAAGCCGGTCAGGTTACCTAATTCCCGACTGGAGAAGGCCACATTCTTGTACGAGGACCACGCGCTTCTGGACACCTTGAAGAACATGAACCTCAATACCCAGGAGATGGCAGATGCGAAGGGCGCCCTGGACGAAGGCCCAAACAGAAAAGGACAAGAGAACGGGGAGAATGGCGACCCTGCTTCTGCAACTGAAGCAAACGGTACTGGTGAATCTGGTCCTACCGGTAAACGAACAGGATCAATAAGACGCGAGATTGAGGTCGGCACAGAGCGATTCATGGCTGATGGTGATGGTACATTGGAGAAGATTGCAGATGCCGTGCACAGGGCTATATCGTCTATTGACGAGGTTGGCAAAAGAAGTGACCTATGGGAACAGCTCATCGTGTGTGGCAACGGATCAAAGCTGCGAGGTAAGTTTCGACCTTGTTCTGATTGTTACAACGCGTATGCTAACATCTACATAGGCTTCAAGGAGTCCCTGCTCCAGACGATCCAGACCAAGTATCTGGTCTCGCCCTCTTCTGCCACGATTTTCACATCTGAGATCCCATCCAATGTCTCAACGCCTCTTGGAACCGGAGCGAACACACCGCAGCCCCAGCTCGGCCCCCACGGCGGCTCGCAGGTCAATCCGCTCCTGCTTGCAGCAACAACCGCGCAGACACAACACATGATGCCCCATGGAGGCATTCCTGGCATGTCGGGCAACACCCACTCATCGCACGGCCAAACGCCCACTACGATCAAGTTCATCAAGCCACCGGAGTATTTCCCCGAATTCAAAGACGTCGGTTTTGACGAGTCGGCCTTCCTAGGTGCTCAGGTCGCAGCAAAGGTCATCTTCGTAGTCGACCAGGGTCAAAGTAAGGGCTACATGACACGCCCTGACTACAACGACCAGGGACCACAAGGTATCCATGACTACAGCCTGTAGTTTAGGTGATGAATTAGCAATGTGTTACTTTTCAAACCAGCCATTTTGGAGTTTAGGCACGGTTATGGATATCCCGGCGTTGCCAAAAAGGAAAGCTTGGGGTAACGTTTGGTCCAACAGGCGATTGCACATGTGTAGCGATAGGCGAGCGACGCATCGCGAGATGCAACCCTTCAAATTCATTTTCATGACCACTTACAAGCCACCTCTTTCCTTTTCGCCTCGACAAGATTGTGGAAGTGAAACGCCCATTTGTTGCTTCTGCTAATTGGCATCGGAGCACGCCGATCGCCCTGGCGGCTTCGCTCCGCTCCCCACGTGCTAGACATTAGCGAGCAGCTAACCGGATCTAGCCGTCCTTACCTATGGCAACTGATACAGATAAGTACTGCCTGTGCCACCCGGCTCCTGTTGCTCTTGTCTTGATCGTCTTCTTGATTCTTATGCCAAACTTCTGACGGCCCCTATTTGTGCGAATCTTGAATACGTTACGCTTACATCCCTTATCACAGAGTTCTCCACTTGGATCCGCGTCTCGGTACCTGCTCCGATCTATTGCCGCGGCTAGAACACGTCTTCACTTCTACGAGCTGGAAAGCCGAAACTTGTTGCTTGAAGAGGAGGAATTTCTGAACAGCAAAAGACATACAAACTTCAACATGGCAGCATCAGCACCGATATCGAAATCCATCTACATCGGCCCCTTTGTTCACAGTAAATCACTCTCTGAACTTGAGATCCAAGAACATGGCGCAATCGGCGTAGATGAAGATGGCATAATCCGTTTTGTCGAACGGAATCTACAAGATGGTAGCCTTTCCAATCTGATCCAGCAGAAGGGAGATGACTGGACTGATGCGCAGATTGTTGAGATAAATGGATCTGGTTTCTTCTTCCCCGGCTTCATAGATACACACGTCCACGCACCTCAACATCCCAATACCGGTCTTTTCGGAAAGACTACGCTGCTAGATTGGTTACAAAAGTACACCTTTCCCATGGAATCTTCGTTCAAGAACGTTCCTCTCGCACACCGTGTGTATCAGAATTTCGTTTCGCGGACATTATCGCATGGCACAACGACTGCTGCATACTTCGCCACGATCCATGTGCCAGCCACCAACGCCCTCGCAGATATATGTCTGAAGCGAGGCCAAAGAGCCCTGGTTGGCAGGGTGTGTATGAACAGCGACCTAAGCCCCGAGTACTACAGAGACGAGAGTGTAGAGAGCAGTTATGCCGATTCAAAAGCTAGTATCGACTACATACGCTCCATCGATCCAAAGGGCGAGATCGTGAAACCCATCATCACACCCCGTTTTGCGCCTAGCTGTACAACAGATTGTCTCTCCGCTATGGGTAGACTAGCGAAAGAGACGGATGCGCATGTTCAAACGCACATTTCGGAGAACAAAGGCGAGATTGAGCTTGTCAATGAGTTATTCCCGGAGAGTAAGAGCTACACGGATGTGTACGAGACACATGGGTTGTTGACAGATAAAACGATCTTGGCGCATGCGGTACATCTTTCAGATGAGGAGAGGAAGCTGATTTTGGAGCGGAAGAGCAAGATCTCTCATTGCCCAGCATCAAATACGGCTATCACCTCTGGATGTGCACCCATCAGATCACTGCTCGATGAAGGACATACAATCGGTCTTGGAACAGATGTTTCGGGTGGTAACTCGCCATCGATATTGGAGAATGTACGACAGGCGATATGGGTGTCGCGACATCTGTGTATCCAAACTTCGAGTGATGCTGTGAAACTCTCGACGGAGGAAGCTTTGTATCTTGCTACGAGAGGCGGTGCAGCGGTTGTAGGGATGGAAGACAAGGTTGGCGGGTTCGAGGTTGGGAAGGAATGGGACGCGCAGATGATCAGCCTCGGCGTTGTCAGCGAGGAAGGTTGTCAGGATGGTGCGTTTGAAGAGGGTCCAGTGGACGTATTTGGATGGGAGAGCTGGTCGGATAAGGTGGAGAAGTGGGTGTACAGTGGTGATGATCGGAATACGACTGCGGTATGGGTAAAGGGTCGGCTTGTGCATGCAACGAGTAGGTATCCTGGGACCAGGAGAGCTGCAACGCCTTGATAGTCGGCTTTAATTTGCGGGCCTAAATCCGTGTTCAACCATGATAATTGGCGAGAAACAGAAGTTACCACTGTGTTGACAAAGTGCGGTCTATAACATGCCTGTGAATTCTCTCTGATGTGTTCGAGGACATCCGATTTTCTGGCTCTTGTTCCTCTTCATCATGCAAATCAGTCATCGATGACGGTGACAACACATGTAATTCTGTCTTTAGACCACTCGACATCCAGAATATCTGCTAGCATCTCGCCAGATTCTATAAGTCTCTTTCTTCTCTCGATCAGCTCGATCAACCCATCTAGAGAAAACATTGTGGAGTTCTTAGATGCAGTACAGTATCAGCGAGGCAATGCAGGATTTGCACACGGCGCAGCTTTAGGTCTTACTCAATTTGCGAGTGCTATTGTTGCAGCCATATCAGCCTTTCATGGTGTGGCAGAACAACCGGACTGTAAGATGTGCTGGTGCAGCTGGGGTGATGCTGAGCTTGGACCCCAATGCGAAGTCTTGCCGTTCCAGCTTGACTCATGATCACGACTGCTACGACGCGATATCCGTACATGAACGAAGCGCATGGATAGACCTCATGAACGGGTAACAGAGAGCGCATAGGCGCTCGCATCTTCTGCGTCGCCTACCTCACGGAGAAATTTCCTGCGGCACCTGCCGACGGCTCAGCACGCACCGTTCTCTGTCCATAACACGGGAAGCCGCGTGCGACTGAAACGCCCAGCCTCATGTGGATGGTATCCACGAAACAAACGTAGCAATTCTCTCCTCGAGCACGAATCTTGCATTACGAAATGAGGATTCAGAACAATCCTGCTGCGGTTTGTAATGTCCGATTAGACCCACCACTCATAGGGCGCAACAGGGTCACGATCGTACATGAAATAATACGAATTACGGATGTACAAACAATATAGTATAATAGGGTTCAGCTACAGTCTCTTGGTAGAAGAGAATACCAACCACTTACATTCGTTTTATTTCTGCTTTCCACGTTAACTTCATTGTCATTCGTTTAGAAAATCACCATGGTGAACTTCAATTCCATCGTCGCTTTTTCGACATTTGGTCTGGGTGCGCTGGCACACCCAACCATCAAGCACATTGACAGGCGCTTCTGCTCTCTCGAGGAACGCAGCGTCTTTGCCCGTGCCGAAGACCTTACTTCCCGCGCTACTATCCCCAAAGCGACAACATGGAATCCGCCCTCTAGCATGACCACTGGTTTGGATCAGGTCTGGAAGCAGACTATGAAGGAGAACCCGCAAGGCCTCCAGGACAAGAACTGGATCACCGACCAATGGATCGCCAACAACGGCAGTATCAACTACTGCGTTCGCTGGAACCACTCCGGCAAAAGCACCGCGACTGCGCGTGCCTCTACTGTCAAAGCCCTGCAGCGCTCGATGCAGAAGTGGTTCGATATACTCGTTGGATTCGAAGGCTTCCCGCTCACCGAACTCAATGTCGACGTTGTTGGCTACGCTGTCAAGAACAAGAACCTCATCGAAGGCGACACCACCGGTCTTGACATCTACACTACAGCTGATGCCGACGGTGTACCTGAGTGCGACGTCCGCTGCTACCGCGGCGCTCATCTCGATGGCGATTTGAGCCAGTGCCCCGGCGGTGAGGCCAGCCGTTACGACATCAGCCTCTGGCTCGACGAGAGTCTTGAAGGTCAGATGGGTGGTTATGGATACAACTGGGGCCAGGAGATCGGTCCGGACTACTTCCTCAACAACATCGATGAGGAGAACATCCACATTCTGCTTCACGAGATGGGCCATGGCCTCGGTCTTCTAGGTATGTTGCGTACTTATATTCCAAGGGTTGATACTAACGTTAAATCAGACTTCTACGACTGGGTACCCCAGGGCCAGACCAACTTCATTATGATGGCCGGTAGCGCGATGGAGATTACCGAGTTCGATGCTTGGATGCTAAGGGACTGGTGGAGGAAGTTGAAGGCGGAGCGCAAGTGGTAAGCCATTACGCTTACAGTCTCACCGGTACATCGCGCATACAGGCGATAGGAGATTTATGGTTCGTAGTTATCTGCAGCGTCCAGTATCTCGAAGAGAAGGGGTTGGTTCTGTTCTTGTGAATATTTTTATAGCTCGTTATATTATATAAGCTTTCAATTGTGGTTACCCTCGAAGACTTTAGTAAATTGGATGATCAGATTAGATTGAGCTTTCCACTGCGCACGGATTCTTGGGTGGAAGCCTCGCCGTCCATCAACCCGTAAACAAAACAGTCACCTATCAACCGAAAACCATCTTTCACAGATGTATCACCATGAGCAGAGGAGACTCCATCACTATCCCCTATTTGTCCATCTCCTCGGACTATGAATGGAACTTTGCTGCCCTTAAACACGTACACTCTATCACCTTCAACAGTCGTTCTTGGGCCTATGCCCATGTACCCGGTGCTTGTGAGAAAGAAGCGCCGGGAGGCTGTCACAGTCTTGAGGGCGTGGTGGATTCCAGATATGCCTTCGTCGAGATTAAAGGGCGCCGTGCGATCGATGGTGTCTCGCGAGATACAACGAGACCACATTCTCCACGCTTCATATGCGTCATGATCGTCACTTGTAGCTCGACGGTAAGAGCCTTTCGTCCCGTGAGCATTCGGAGCAGCGCCCGTATATATTAGGTCTCCGATCAATGTCCGCCAGAAAACATCTTCGCAAGGCTCTCCAGTAGGATAGATCTTGTCGACTGGTTCGAAGAGTTTGGTAAGCAGCTTCCATGTACGTATCACGGCGCATGTGTCATTGATCTGTGTATGTCGGCTGACTTCGCCAATCGTCGAGACATGATCAATATACAGAGCATCAACCTCCAGCACGTGATTCTCTGGGTGGTAAAGGAAAGCGCCTTCATGCTTGTCGCTAGCGTTGTACAAGTGCAAGGATCCAACTCTTTCTATCTCGGTTGGAAGGCATGGAAGTGACCAGTCCATCACCCAGGACGGGAGGCCTTCTAGTCTTTTTCGATTGAGGACAGCTTCAAGATCTCCTGCAAGGACTGATAGTGAACCTGCTCTTAACAGGTTGCTCAATGTGGTTTGAGTAAACGTCGTCGCAGCATCGTTGCTATAATCGGGAACTAGAGCTGGTAATTCTTGCCAATCTGTGGTGAGTCCAAAAAGAGCGAAGATTTTATCTCGTTTGTCGGTCGCTTGTAGAGGCCTAAATTTCCATAATAGATCTAACAACGTCGCGTTGTCTAAGCTGCTATGATGACGAAGTCTTGTTTCCTCGATGCGAAGCACGAAATCGCTGAATCGATCCAAGATATCTTGACCATGGCGCGTGCCAGCTAAGTCCAGACATAGCATGTGACGCTGTTGGACATAGTTCACAGCGGCTTTAGCAAACATTGACCATGGTGCCGAAAGCGGGCCGTAATGTACTGTGGCATTTCTTGAGAGTACGGTCTCTTGAACCACCCAAATTCGCTGCCACTAGCAGTTATATCGTCAGCTTGTGTCAGATGATGAGATCGGAGAGAGGCACCCAAGCCATGCTCATCAACTTTGCGAGACCTTCCCATACCCTAAGAGACAGCAGTTGACGCCAATGGGCGTTTGTGACTGTGAATGCATGCCTCCTGGGATGTTCGATCTGATCCAATATAGTGGCTTTGTTGCGATCCAGTAATTTAAGTAGAGGATACAAAGTACCTTCGGCAAAATCCTGGATCAAACAAAACGCACCAAAGATGTCCGGCCCTGGACGTGTCGAAGACACTGCAGAACCAGCGGATTGCTCTGCTGTGCACGAACCCTCGAAATCGAGGATGAACGAATTCCGTAGCAAATGATCGTTTGAATCACCTTTCCATGCTATTCTAGAAGTAGGATCGTTCGAGAAGCAGGCAACAACTTCCTCATTAGGCATTGGTTCGCCTAGCCAAATAACCGTCTCGCGACTGTTGCTGTATATTTCACCCATCATGCCCACCTGTTGAGTACGCTCCAGAGGATCTGCTTGGTTTATACACAGAGCATCAGCCCAAAGCAGAACTGTATGGTCAGGCCGTCGAAGTTTGCGCAGAGCCGTGAATAGATTCCGGGAGATTGGAACAGGTTTTCCATTGCATGATATCAGTACTTGACGGGCGACACCTTCAGAACCCCACGTGTACGAGATGGTGATATAACGCCTTCGAACCCGTGCAATGGAGGCTACTTGGAGCTCCGCACAGACATCATCTTCCCAGGTGCCGGGTTGGAGATGCAGCACACGGATCGTACGCGATTTGGCATCGAGTGGTACATAGATGTCGCTGGTAGTCTTCTTGGAGCGTCTTTTGAACTTTGACACGATGCGTTGAGCCATGGTTGTGAATGAAGTATGGATTGTAATCATTCAGCTGAGAAAGTTACATGGTTGCGGTTCGTAATCGCTTGACTCAGCCACTGACAGAGCGGGGCGCTGAAATTGGGGTAACGGCCATCTCGACACCCGAAGCTGACAGTCGTGGCCCCGGAATCTCGTGGTGGCCATAACTCTGACCTCCTCGGAACATTGCTGATCTGCACTATTCGACATTCGATGAATGATGGGGTGACAAATTTAGCGTTGATTTGAATGTCAGCCATGACGTCATTCACGCACGATCCCGAATGTTCCGTGTCTTGTGGCCTCGAGCGCTTGAGCTCGACGCGTCTCCATCACGCGGCAGATGGCGCTTCCAACGGCCAACTTACTCAACGACATTGTTTTGAGACTGTCTTCTGTTTAACAGTAATAGATTGAATTCGCACTACAAAGATGGCGCACGAAGGGCCTAGCGTCCGCGAAACAAGCTTGTGACGAGCTATCGGAACAGCTAGCTCGTGCCTAGCGGTGTGGAAAAAGGTAAGAAAGACGAACGGGTGGCGCCCCGTGGGCGTCTCCGTGCCAGCTATGTGAATGATCGACATGCCTTTGTACCTTGTTTTAAAGCTGGCATGCCTCAGACGCGTTGGGAATTGCTCCGTTATCAGGACTCTATTCTTCTCTTGGTAGTAGGATATGCTGTTGATGAACTTCCGTCAATCTGCAGTCGCGCTTTTAGCTTCCGCGCGCCTGGTTCTGACTTCCACCAGCAGCGAGCATGACCAGTTCAAAGACGTGACTTGGGATGACCAGAATTGGGTTATAGCGACACATGCTCTGGATCAAGGCCACTACCAATCGCGCTTGACGCTCGCAAATGGTTACTTTGGCGTTAATGTGGCATCCGCAGGTCCTTTTTTCGAAGTCGACGAGCCAGTAAATGGCGACGTCATAAGCGGATGGCCATTGTTCAGCAGACGACAGACTTTCTCGACGATCGCAGGCTTCTGGAACAGCCAACCACGAACGAACGGATCAAACTACCCTTGGCTATATCAGTATGGGTGGGAAAGCTTTACTGCAGGTATTCCACACTCGAGCGGCCTGGCTGTTGAAGCGAACGGCCATTTCTTGAATGCGTCGGTCAATCCCGACCACATTTCGGATTTTGTATCGAGTCTGGATGTAAAAGCTGGAATAGCGAGCTGGCGATATAACTGGAAGCCGGGAGGCTCCGGAGACGGAACTGTCGATGTGGACTATCAGATGTTCGTGCACAAGCTTTACGTCAACAAAGCAGCTGTCAGGCTAAGACTTACGGCGACGCGCGATCTGAATGTAACGGTCTACGATGTTTTAGACGGTGATTGCGCTGTTCGCTCAGACTTTGTCGACAAGAAGTTTGAGGAAGATACCCCTACGATTTGGTCTGCTGTCAGCCCCGGAAACATTACCGACGTCAAGGCCTACGTATATTCGACTTTGGGTGGTAGTGACTGGGTGAACCTTACTTCTCGTAGCAGAGTAGCAGAGGGAATCTTTAGCGGTGGCAATGGCTCAAGCATTGCCCAGTCGCTGCCTGTTGAGTTAGTCGCTTTCCGTCCCACCGAAATCACGAAGTTCATTGGAGTCGCGTCGACCGATGCCTTCCCAGATCCACAGAGCATAGCGCGCAACGCTTCACTTTCCGGCGCTGAAGAGGGCTACTACAAGCTGGTTCACTCTCATATAGAGGAATGGGAGTCGATTCTAACACCAGACTCGGTCGATGATTACCATCTGCCGAATGGATCTCTGCCTGAGGATCCAGACGTGCGGGAGCTGCATATCATGGCGCGAACCAACCCTTTCTACTTATTGTCAAACATGGTCGGACCGAATGCTGTAGCTGCGGCTAACAACAACACGAAGCTCGACATCTACAGCATACCAGTTTGCGGGCTGGGCTCAGACTGCTATGGAGGTATGATTTTCTGGGATGCAGACGTATGGATGGCACCTGGGGTGCAAGTATCACATCCGCAGCATGCCCAAAACGTTATCAAATATCGTGTGGAGCACTTCGACCAAGCGCAACGTAATGTCGAAACTGCGTACCAATCGAGCAAAAATCAAACAGGCAGGTTCACGCCTGGAGGGGCTGTATATCCATGGACAAGCGGACGATTCGGCAACTGTACCGGAACTGGCGCTTGCTTTGATTACGAATATCATCTCAACGGAGACATCAGCCTCGCCATGAACAACCACTTGATCATCACCGGAGACGAAGAATACTTCAACGACACCCTGCTACCAATCTCGAACGCCATTGCGCATTTCTTTGGTCAATTGCTGGACTTCAACGAAACCTCTGGCGCGTATGAGCTGTGGAATGCTACCGATCCGGACGAGTATGCCAACCAGGTCAATAACATCGGGTTTACTACAGCACTCATGGAACGTCACTTTCTTGAGACAAACGAGTTCAATAGCTGGTTTGGACGCAGTCCCAACGCTAGCTGGGCGGATAAGGCTTCCAAGATGCGACTCCCAATCAATGAGAAGGCCGGCATCATTGTTGAGTATACTGGCATGAATGGGTCAGTAGCCGTCAAGCAGGCCGATGTTGTTCTGGTGGACGATCTGCTACATTACCCCAACCCCTACAGCCTGTCCAACCTGGACTATTACGCGGCAAAGCAGTCTCTCGATGGTCCCGCGATGACTTACTCTTCATTTGCTGTTGTCGCGAACGAAGTGTCGCCATCCGGATGCTCGAGCTTTACGTACGACGTATACTCCTCTTCGCCGTACGTCCGCGCACCTTGGTATCAGTATTCCGAGCAACTCATCGATAACGTTGAGGAGAATGGGGGAACACACCCTGCATTCCCTTTCCTAACTGGTATGGGTGGAACCAACCGCGTCGGTATCTTTGGTTACCTTGGCCTGGGTCTATACTACGATAGACTAGACATTGACCCCACGCTGCCGCCACAGATACCATACCTGAACTACCGTACCTTTTACTGGATGGGTCACGGCATTAACGCTACCTCTAACTCAACACATACGACGTTAGCACGTCTGCCACGAGAGAACTACACTCTGCCCTCAGCAAACGCGACGTACTTCGACAAGCCCATCCCCGTCACGATCGGTACCCGCAGCGGACGCGACAACACAACATACGAGCTTGGAGACGAGCCAATTGTAATCCGTAACCGAGCAATGGGCGAAACCCTTACTGTGGGCGGGAACATACTCCAGTGCAAAGCCCTGCTGCCACCTCCACAGGGAAACAAGCCTGGTCAATTTCCAATTGCAGCCATCGACGGTGCCGCAAGCACGAAATGGCAACCTGAACTCGCCAACACCACGAGCTACCTGACCGTGGATCTTGGTACCTCATCTTTCTACCCAGTGAATAAAGTTGTAATGGACTGGGGTAACCAGCCACCCTCACACTTCGAAGTTTACTTTTCCAATAGTACTCTACCACCATTCGAAAGCCAGTCGGGATCTGATTCTGATTCTGATGTAAGGAACGTGGCGGCAGGAGATGTAGAGATCAGTGCGCCTTGGGATCCGGTTACTGCTTATGAGATCAAGACGTATATTGGCAATCAGACAAATGTCAGCCTGGAGCAGAGTGTTTGGAGCGGACGTTATGCGCACTTGGGTATTCGGGGCAATTTGTTCGCCGAGAACGCTACTGATGGTGGGACGGTTGCGGAATGGAGTTTGGTTCAAGAGGGGTATTGAGCGATAGAGTCTGATGTCTGATGAACACTATGCTAGATATACAAAAAAGATTAGACTTCTGAAATCGCGTAGGATTACGATTTAACCTGATGATGCAAACGCCACTGATCATGTCGAACTCTCCGGAGATTTCTTTGCAGACTTTACGTGATTGATTTTTTAGTAACGACAAAGCTGGTACAGAATCCAGCTCCAATCATCTCAAATGTCCCTGGTATACTGATCTCATTCCAGAAACCGCTGACCATGTCGTTCTTAATCTCAATCGCGATATTGGAGAGATCGCCACAGTTACCGTGCTTACCCCAGCCCCACGATATCAAATTGCCTTCCCTTGTTACAGCAAGTATGTGGTCTGACCCAATAGCAATTTTATCCAGAAGTGGTAAATTAGGTGGTACTAGTTGCCACATATTCTCCTTACCCCACGCGGTAAGGGTCCCGTCTTCGAACAATACAAAGATTGCGTGCCACGTCGCGCCAACGTCCTTCCAATTCTTGATATGATCCGGCATATTCGAGATGATGTTGAACTTGTCTTTCCCGAGTAAATGATGCTGTCCTTCGGTTGGGTCGCCAACCAAGTATGTAAAGTCTTTACCACATACAACCTTCTCCGGCTTGAATGGTATGTCCTCAATCTTGGTAGCCACTGTAACTTTGCCAGACAGCGTGTCCCCAAGCTGGCCAAGACGCGCTTTTCCCCAGCCATAGACTGAACCATCGGCCATGACGGCGACATAATGCCAGACTCCCGCTGCAAAGTCTACTACTTTGCCTGGTAGATGGAATCGGGTTGAACCTCCGTCGTCCGAACCCAACTCGCCCCAATTGTTGGAGCCGCGAATTTCGACCCAACCGTCTGATGGATTAGGCCCAAGCTCATCGCTTGCGCTCCCGATGAAGGCAGAAGATTCGCATGTAGCTGCGGCAAAGTTGCATCCGGAAGTCAAATTCTGGAAATGGTCGAGTCGAGATTCTGGTATTCCCTTGACCAGCTGACCCTTGCGATTATCGCCAACCCCGTAGATAGTGCCGCGTTTAGTGACGAGCAGCGTATGGTTGTCGCCGCCTTTGATCGTTTTCAGCTCATCAACAGATTTGCTGTAACTCAAAGGAGTAAGATCAGAAATTCGAGTTGGTGTATTAACTATTTCCGCTACTGGTATACCGAGTTGGCCTTCCCCGTTACTTCCAAAGACGTATAATTGGAGGGGTGACTCCCGGAGACTTGTGCCTGCGAGTGACATGCTTGGTTTGTAGTGGCGGTCTTTCGGATGGAAATTCGAGCAAGGGACAACGGAACGGTGTGCTCAGGAAATCGATATGCTTTCACGAAGGAGTGCAGCTATTGTGTCAAATGTTTTGTTTGATGTTATAGTGCTGGACGACTTGGTTTAGGCAGGCTGTATCGGCTGGTACCCCTCTGGTGTCAACAAAAAAGATTGCGGTACATTCAAGACGCATTGTTTGCCAAAGGCACCGGGAAACTGCTCTGCTCCAGTGCCTGAAGGCGCTCGGCGTGGCAAATCCCCACCAAGTCGACGATATAGGCATTAGTCGATAACATGGGAGTCTACAGCCTTGTTAATTTCAGAGAGTTTTCTTGACGCAGACTGACGTGAACTACAAGAGGAGACACTATTCCTAAGTTCAGTTTTTCCCTTATACAAGCCCTGAAGATGCCAGTGTCCTTGACCACGCTAGCCAGACAAGACGCTAATCGCTTACAGGGATCGCGACGCACGGACACCCACATTCAATTCTAGCCGGCGTTCACGAACTTCACCTCCACGACGACAGCAAAACCGACCACGCCCACCCGTACTAACCGCACGCACATCCCACAGTCGCCCAACATGGCCTCCCAGAGCGTGCAATGCTTCGGCAAGAAGAAGACCGCGACTGGTACGGATAGCCCACCGCCAAACACACAATCAAGAGAATGACAAAGGCTAACAAAATCGCCAACAGCTGTCGCCCACTGCAAGGTACACACGCAATGCCACGAATCGAGCGCGCAACCGAACATGATACTTACGAGAAATTTCTAGGCCGGAAAGGGTCTCGTCAAGGTTAACGGAAAGCCTCTTTCCCAGGTCCAGCCCGAGATCCTGCGATTCAAGGTTTACGAGCCCATCCTGATCCTCGGTGTTGACAAGTTCGGTACGCACACGACGCTCTACGCCAAGTAAAGATGGGGAGCAGGAATACTGACAACATGGGCAGCTGATGTCGACATCCGCGTCCGCGTCTCCGGTGGTGGTCACACCTCGCAAGTCTACGCCATCCGCCAAGCCATTGCCAAATCCATCATCGCCTACTACCAGAAGTACGTCGACGAGCACTCAAAGAACCAGCTCAAGCAGGCTCTGATCCAGTACGACCGCACACTTCTCGTTGCCGACAACAGGCGGTGCGAGCCCAAGAAGTTCGGTGGTCCAGGTGCGCGCGCCAGGTACCAGAAGTCTTACCGTTAAGCGGTACATTGGCTTGCTGGTGGAGGAGAAGAAACACAGAGGGTGTGTGGGGGAGCATGGAGCGGTGTTCATCCTGGGCTTTTTCATGGGGTCTTCTACTGTCTACTATCTATCCCTCAAGGACGAGGTTACGTGACATGGCGCGCAACGGCTGCCTGATACGATCCTGCGGCTTGTGACGATAAAAATGAATACATTGGTTGCAAGAACATGGACAAGGGCATACGGAGTGTGGATGACCATGAACCCCAGTGAGAACATAGGGATAAGCGAATGCCAATTCAATCTGTTCAGGGCAAGTACCGACATGTCCAAAGTGATGCAGGCAGAGGCTTGTGAGGTTTGACTGATGCAGTGGCACAGCGGATCAGACAACCATACCTTGGATGTGTGGCCACACTTTTTACAAACAGAAGCCAAGTCACACAGTCATTCGATGAAGAAGGCAATGGACTCTATTAACGGTCTAACATTTTCATCTCCAACACCAGCGCTTCCATGCATTAACACAAAGATGTCTCCAGTTTACCTCCCCAACTAAGAGAGGTCAAGGCTGTTGTTGGTGTAGCCGTAGATTTTGAGAGGCGAAGGCTGCTAACCGTCGCTACCGCTGCTCCTGAACGCAGCACACAATGCCGCATACTGGTGTGTGAGATCGAGGACGTGTTGTGGTAGGGAGGTGCCCTGGATGATGCTGCGGATCTTGACGGCACCCTCTTCCTCGATGAGTTTGCGGATTGTGTAGAGGAGGGATGGCGAGAACTGTCTTCTGTTAGTACTTGCACTCTTGTGGTTTGGGCAACGGAACTCACCTCAGAGTACCATCGATACTGCCAAGTGACCAATCTGATCAGCGCGGCTGTAACATCCCTAACCTGTTTTCTCTCCTCACCCAACTTCAACACACCCCTCATGGCTTTCGGCGAGAACTTGATTTGCAGACAGTTCTCATATGCTTCGACGGCCTCTTCTGTGTGATGCAGTCTCTCAGCGAGTTCACCCAAAATTTCCCATTCCTCACTGCTCTTCTTGTATAGGAGTTGCTGCTGCCTGTACTGTGCCATCTCTGTTCGCCATATCGTATATACGCGAAGATCCTCATACAGGACCATGAAGAGGTTGTCAAGCCAGCGTTCGCAAAGACGCTTGTTCTGGAAGTGTGTATAGTTTGGTTGCGAGGGGTTGCCGTTGTTTGCGGAATCGTGTGCGTGCGGATCTTCGCTGCCGGCCTTTACGACTTCGGATGCAACAGTGTGACCGGGCTTCTCGAGGTCGTGAACTGCTTCAGCAGCCGCGGAGGATGATTCGCCGTTCGCATTTGATTCATCTACGGAGGATCGCTCCTCAACCTCGCCATGTTCGCCATTCATTTGTTGAGCATGCGTGTTCGGAGAAGGGGAGCGGAGTGCTGTTGTGCTGGCGCTGCGAGAATGCGGTACCTGTGCGGTCTTCTCGTGACGATATTCTTCCTCCATGACGAAGACCTGGCTTCTTATCTTGAGTAATTGATCCCATCCAATTTTCTTTGTGATTTCGGTGAGCAGAATATAAGCTTTTAGGAATGTACCCTTGAATCCTGCAGCGTGCAGTTTCCTCAGGGTTGGGTGCACAAGCTCCATATCGTCCATGCTAGAATCCTCAATCTCGTCGCACATGGCTTCGGGCATGACTGGCAGGAAGACTCTCTGCGGCTCTGGCATGCGTGGCGCGTCCTTGTCCTGGTAGGTAAACATTGGACATGAGTTTAGAGTTAACAGCGCCATATCCCACTGTTCGAGGCTGACGTATATTTCCGCTAAGCGCGCCCATGTGCCAAACTCACTAGGCGCAGACACAACGCTCCTCTTAGCGATCTCAAGTGCCAGATCACCGCGGCCCTTTTTGTTGCAAAATTCGGCTTGACAATCGAGGAGGGAGTAGTCCATGGGCAGTTCCTGGATCGCCTCGTGTAACAGCTGGACCGCCTGCACCTCTTCATCTGCTTCAATGTATACTCGTGCTAGTAGTGACGAGATCTCCGGGTCGCGAGTTCGCAGTTTTTCAAAGAGATTGATACCTGAGGTATACCTGCCGGTTGTGTGGATGTAGTCAAGTAGGCCGGTAGTCAAGTGATTCGAGACAAGATTGGGGACCTGGATCTCAGGGTCGGATCCCAGTTGCCAACCTGAAGTGCGTTAGCGGACATGCTATCATATTGGCAGTTGGTCTTACCGTTGAAGAACAGGCGCTCAGCCGCATCCAGAAACTTGTGTTCGCTCTCGGTACTTGTGATGGGGTTGAATCTTCGCACACCAACAATCTTCTTGATAGTGTCGCCTGAGCCATCGTCGGCATAGGAATATGCGCGCAGCACACTGCACAGGTAGGTCTCTAACCACAGTTCGTCGGTGGCCACTCGCTTGTCGCCGCGCTCGTCGATGCAGTAACTCTCCACTGTGCCGGGAATGTAGACCTGCACGCGCATATCCAGGCGTGAGAAGGCATTGTAGCAGCTGCTTGGTCAGCGGTCGCCTATACTATAAGTAGACATTGCCCTACCAGTACAGCCCCGAGACGACCTTGTTTTGCTTGTCATGCGCGGAGTATGTGAGGGTGTTGATATAGGCTGCCAAGCTGGCAGACGAGGAAGCGTCT